AAATCACGCCTTGTACAACAAATCCAAAAACCCCTTCGCCAAATCCACCACCACACTCTTATTCGGCAAGCTCCCCGCAACACCATACAGCGCCGCCGCGTCCCCCGGCGCCTGGCCCTTGGCCTTCTTCCCCTCCACAAGACGGGCGCGTTCCTTTTCGCGCTCCGCCTCTACCGCACTCTCCAAATCCGCCGCAAGCCGCTCCCACACCTTCACAAGCGGCAGGGTAACAGCAACATGCAGCGCGGGCGGGTTCTGCAGCGCATTAAGATGCCATCCCTTGGCCGTCATGGCGTCAGCCAGATCATAGACATTCAGCGTCGTCGCGCGGAAGGCGATGACGCTGACGAGGGGGTTGCCCAGGATCTCCAGCTCGCCGTTGAGCGCCGGGGAGGTACGGATGCGGTCCATGAGTTTCTTCGTTGTGCCAACAATCTCCGTGCAGGCAGCCAAATACCCTGCTTCGCCGACGGACATCAGACTCGTCCAGCACGCGGCGATCAAAGCGCCCGGGCGGGACCCGGCCATGCCGGGGGAGGCGTACACGCCGCCGGACCAGGAGGGGTCGATGAAGTACTGGTAGGAACGCAGAGATTGATTGCGGTACAGCACCGTGCTGTTGCCCTTGGGCGCGAAGCCGTATTTGTGGGTGTCGCATGAGATGGAGGTGACGCCTTTGAGGCGGAAGTCGAAGGGGACGGTTTCGAACCCGGCTTTGTCGAGGAAGGGGACCAGGAAGGAGCCTAGGCAGCAGTCTACGTGGAGGGGGATGCGTCTTTTGAGGGCGAGTTTGGAGAGCGCGGAGATGTCGTCTATGATGCCGTGCGGGAAGTTCGGGGCGGAGCCAACGAGGAGGACCGTGTTGCTGTTGATCAGGCGTGCTACGCGCCGGATGTCGACTTGGTAGGATGGGGCGGGGCAGGAGACCATGTGGATTTTGATTTTGAAGTATTCGCCTGCTTTGCGGAAGGCTGTGTGCGCGGTTTCGGGTAGGATCCTGGGTAACAGAGTTAGTAGGGTTAGTAGTTGGAGATGGAGTAATAAGGGGATAAAGGGGGTTGTTTACATCTCCGGTTCTGTGACGCCTCGCTCCACGTAGGCTTTTTGCCGCGCGCTCAGGCAAGCCATCAGGATACTCTCGGTGCCGCCGCTGGTGGTCACGCCGGCGGCGCCGGGCGGTGCATTGAACAGGCTAAGCACCATGGCCACAACCTCTGCCTCCATCTTTCTCACACCGGGAAATACATCCGGGTGAATCGGATTCGCCACGGTAAACTTGCCATATGCCTCAGTCTGTAACCTCAGCAAGTCCTCCTCTCCGTGGTAGACGGCACCCGAGACATAGCCATCCTCCCAGCGCGTGTGGTCCATGCTGGCCAACGCATGGAGCTCCTTGCGCAGGGCATCCTCGGCCAAGCCTTCTTTGGGCAGAGTCAAGTACCGCGTGGCATTTGCTGGGACCAACTTCGTCTGCAGTTTGGAGATGGCCTCATCTACCTGCTTGCGCACCTGCGTCCGCACGCCGGGCATCCCCAGGAACCAGCCGTATAGTAGGCGGCGCACGTCGACGTAGGCCTCGATCAGAGTGCCCAGCAGGCCGCGGCCTTTGAGCTTCCACAGCACCCGGCGCGTCCATCGGAGAAGAAATAGGAAGAAGACGATGTTTCGTATTCTGATGGTACGTTAGTTCTGCTTTTCCCTCTAACGTCAAGGATGCTCATCAAAGATAGGAGCTTGGCTATTAAGCAGGGATATTGCGTGTTCAGTTGGAGAAATCGGAGCTGAATTGTTGTAGACAAAAAGCGCTGACGCCATGCACGGGAAGACCATGCGGCCAAGAGGCAAGGAAAGCAAAATGGAAGGGAATTGGCACTGACAGATCCATGTTCAGCATGGCCAGCGGATTGCTGGCCTGGGACCTTTTCCTGACACTGTTGAAGCCTTCTCTGAGGCTCACGGGCAGGCGCGACGTTCCGGTCATTTTTACACTACCTCCCGGTCGCGGTTGAGGAATAATGGCATGGAATGAATCTACAAACCCGGATCCGCTGGCAACATTGGGACGGGAATTAGGTAACGACAAGAACACCTGAGGTTCGGGCTTCGGGATGCGCGGGACAGCTATGGAGCCTCGGAAGCTGCCCCGTCGGGGGACGGTGCAGGGTGGTTTAGCTGTTTAGCGGCCTAGTGCCTCTGAAAGGGCACTGCTCCGTCCCCACAAATGCTTCTAACCGAACTATCACATGCGACGCGGCTTTGATTGCGTCAGTCAAAGAAAGTCGCAGTGAGCAACAGCTCAGCGCAGCAAGTCACCTTCGTTGGAATCTCGTGGTGACTATCCCTGGTTCGCCAGTGAAACGAGAGTTTGAGACCGGGAATCTGCCAAATAAATAGCGTTCAAATTCTCGATAAGCACAGACACGCGGTGTTGATCACGCTCGTTGCGAGTTCAACTAGGTATCAAGGCACGCCCAAGGTTAGCAAGAAAGCCATCGCCGCAGCATCTCGAGATTCACCTGACGCCGGCAACCTGCAAATGCGCCGCTATATGACATAAATACAACTAGGTTCCCACCCTGTGGAACACCATACAGAGTAGCAGAGGTTCAACTCTTCTGCTGACTTGTAGCCCTCGAGCAAAATCAACAGCGTCGTGTTGTGTCCCTGGAAAGCCATCGAGACCAAGTTGTCCCCTCCCCACCACCTCACCCTTCGTCTCTCCTTGTTCAGACAACTGCAGCCCAGCTCAGCGGCCAACTAGCCTCCGCCATCTGCGAAAAGCTATCCAAAATTCACAGCGCCAACCCTATGGTTTTGGTTTGGGCAGTCCCCGAGGATGAGAGACGAGGAAACGGATTGTTGGACCTTTCTTGTCGTCATCATGCTGGCGGCGCGGACGAAGATGTTTTGCCAGATATATTGCTGATCTTCCTCTTCATGAATTGGCAAATGCCTTCCGCCACTTCGTTGCGAACGGCTGCGACTCGGTCTCGCACTCTTGCGCTTTGCCCGCCGTCGAGCAGTCCGAGAACCTGACTACAAGATCCCCATTTTTGTACTGAGCCCCTTTGGCACCCTTGCTGTACGAGTTGATTATGTTTTGGTCAACAATCGCCATCTTGGCGAGGATAGTCGGGTGCCATTGGACAATGTGCTCCTGCGCCGAAATCATCAGCAAACTATGGTTTTCCTCCCCGGGATACAGTCAACTCACCAAGGCATGCGTCTCGGCCTTTTGGAAGTTATAGCTCCTATAGAGCGGATCGAACCACGTTTCGAGGAAGAAGCGCGCCCAGTCGCTGTTCCGGACTATAAAGCTGCCTACTGACAGGCCCGCTTTGTCCTGGGTAATAACTAGATCAATTTCTTGTCCCTTGACATGGGAGAAAGTCCTGATGATGCTGTCTGGAGGGACAACCGGGAAATCCTTCTTCATGAGCTCCTCCAGCCGCGACGGTTGCATGACGTGGTCCTCTATCTTGAGCTCCGGGTTCATGACGAAAGCGTTCTGCTCGAGGTACCAGACGTAATGGCAGTCCGGGAACTTCGTGAGCGCATGGCGCACGGCAACGACCGCCGTCCAGGACGCCGGCGCTCCCTTAAGATCGTAGTCACCGACCTTGGCGAAGAATGCTTCATACCCTGATTTTACGTATTAGCTCCTCTAGCTGTCTAGTAGTGACCGTGGAACTGCTACATACCGTGCTTCTCGGCGTACTGTATCCTGTTCTCCACGATCGTCTGAAGATATCCCTTGCCGTACTTTTTCTCGTCCAACACCGTCACCAAGACCACTGGCGGTTTCCCAGACGGTTTCCACTGCACCGAGTCGGCATGCTTGTTGCTTGGTCGGGAAACGAGATATATAAGCGTGATGAAGGCGAGTGCGACGAGCGCGATGAGCTTGAGACGGGTTCTCCGTAGACCCGGTAGCGGGGAGGATCGAGGAAGGTATGGCGCAGGGTTCGAGGCTTTTCGAGGTGGGTATGGTAAATGCATTGTCTCCGGAAAAGGACGGCCCGAGGAATGGCAGTCCTAGGCCTTTATCGAGCAGTGAATAGGTGGTAAATCAGTCCACCGATTTTCCGGTTGGGGGCCAACGCAGGATGAGAGCCGCCAATTGCGATGGGAAACTTTTCCTCGAATAGCGCACCAACAGCTCGTACTATCGCCCAAGTAGCCGTTCTAAAGAGTGGAGAGGTCCAGCGCGTATTGCGACGTCTGAACGATCAGTTGCGCAGGCTGGGACAAAAGACGGTATTCCAGGCTGTCAATCGCAAGAAGGAAGTGGAAGTTATCTGGGTCGCATCCGTCAGCGATTGAGAAACTGAAGCGGTTGTCGACAAGCTCCCTCAGTCTAGCGCCAAGCAGAAAGAAAAGGTTGTTGCGAGCGCCAGGGGAGAATCATCGCAAAGTCGTAGCGTAATCGCACCAGAGAGCGACTCGTGCAACGGTCCTGTCAAGACCGGTCAAAACACGAACGCCGATGGGCTCGTAAATGTAATTGAGGAACATCGCAAGATGGCTTATCGTACAGGTAAACCCTAACCCTCTTCATGCTTTGTCCTACCCTATTTCAGCCTATCCACTTGGCTTCAACCCATGCCATTACTTCGTCAAAGATCAGGAATGACATAGCGTTAAGTAAGGCCTAACCAGTAGGAAGCTCTAATGAATACAATAGAGTCTGACCAGTACTCCTGTCTATCAGTTTTTGGCTTGTATTCCATTTTTTGTTGTTGAGTAAGGAAAGGTTGAAGAAGTTGGTATGGAAGTGGGAGCAAGTTGCTTAGCAGGACCGCATTCCATCATCTATAAGGACCCAACATCTCTTCCCAGCAGCATACAGAACCATAATCCGGCCATCGTCCTACCAACACAGAAAAACATCAGCCAGTGAGACAAGCTCGGAAGGGAGAAACGGACTTGTAGGAACATACAGCAGTCTGGACGCAGGCGCCGCCGATATGCCGACGAACCATCTCCGGTGTCTCGCACTCGTCTAGGGATGAAACTGGTCCGAGACCTTTGCCATGTATCCGTTATTCGTACTTTTACAGATGAGGTAAGAGATAAGGTAGTCGTGATTTCTTACCCTCCTTACATAGCATATTGTGTGCGTCTTCAGGATCCGTGACGATTGCACCACAGCAATAGGGCATGAACCCGGGATTACAGGTCATGAGAGGGGTATGCGGCGATGTAGAGTGTCATGATGCGGAGGACCGCTTGCACGGGAGTCCCTGCCCCTGCCTTTGTACGGGCGGTTGAAAGGGCCAAGGCTGCCACTGAGAACGTAGCGAAGAGGTGTATCATCATGCTGAGAAATACGTACGCTGAGTTGAAACGTATATATCCACGGAGGAGCAGGATGTACCGGCTTTGACCCCGATGGAGTTGACCAGAATTTAAACTCTTAGCCAGAAACTCCTTGTGGAACCAACACCGGTCACATCATCCCGCGGCTCTCGGCTACTGAGGGCCAACGACGCAGAACCAACGAGCCAAAGACGTCAAGGCACCCAAGGTCGACATGTAGACCAACGCCGGTTAAATTGTCTTGGGCCTCTCGGATGCTAGGGGGTTTGGCGAAGTGGGTGAGCGGTATATGAGGAGCATGGGGGAGTTGTTTTCGGTAGGAACATCGAGGACGGCGGTTGAGAGACGCGTGGGATAGACTCAGGGATGAGTCGACATCCACACCAAGCACGGCAATCCTAGGACAAAGGATGTAGGAAAGAGGTATGATATCAAATCGCTGAACAGCCATCATAAAACGTAGTTGGTCGACATGTATTAACCTCGCCTTTCAGCAACCCATCAAGAGACTAGAAGCGCCGGGGAAGCAGACGTAGACAGCAGAGCTCCGAAGAACCCTCCGTTGGAGGCCGATGTTAACACTTTCGTGCCAGATCCCGGATGGGAACAGAGCAATACGCCCAAATCCCAGGGTGGCAGCGAAGTTCCATCTCTGCACACAGACTAGCTGCCACGGCATGGAAGCGAAGCCGTGGCAACTTAAGAGTGTGCAGTCACAAGGGATCATGTGGCACTCAACGTCGAGACAGGGCTGCACCTCGATGTCATGACGGGATTGCTATTAGTACATCCTGCTAAATTTTTCCTGGTGTCACCTATCCTTCCTCGACTCGTGAGTCACAGGCTCTGGCTCCGCGCCGTCGTCCTTTTCGTCCTCGTCCGGATCATCCTCTTGGACGTCAACAACACGATCACTAGCCTTCTCGAGGGTTCGGGCACTAAGATGGCTCACGAACTTCCAGGTTGCCTGTAGGGCTGGTCAGTTCACCGTCAAACAGGAGAGGGAGACAAGATACCTACTCCCAGAAATGTGAGAACTCCAATGACAACAAGCGCCCAGTTGATAGACTCCATCCTGTCTCTTCCCGTGCCACGCCTGCGACGCCCTCCAAACCGTACATTGATCCAATTCCACGGCGACATGGCCAGCATAGTCTTGGCGAAGCCCAACAAGCCAAGAGACAGGAAGCCCTTGACAAAATGCAAGGACCATGTAGCCGGCTCATCGTCAGCTACCAAAACGTCGTCCAACTCAATGTCACTCATGAGGCTGCCAGCAATTCCGCCGAGTGGATCAACCCAGAAGTTGATAATCGGGTCGGCAACGAATCCAAGTAGGAAGACGGTAACAACCATGATGAGCACCGTCAGGGTCGCCCGCAATACCTTGCTCGACAGCCAGCGCCCCCACCGCAGCCGCTCCAGGCGGTACTGAAAATGGCACGTCGGGCATTGCCAGTAATTCCGGTTTGAGAGCGGCGCAGCGAGCCGCCAGGCCTGCAGACAGCCTTCATGGACATACTTCTGAGAGCCTTTGCATTTGCAAGGGCTGAGCAGCCGGCCGAGCTCCGAGTCCTCGGATACATAGCGGACTCGGGCTTTGGAAGAAAAGACCCTGCCCGCCATTGAATCATCGAGTTCGGTCGTGGGCTGTACAACCTCTAGACAGATCCGGCAGGTCCGTGGTTTGTAATGCCACTGCCGCTGGGTCGGCGTCGGGCCCGGCGATGAGCTGTCTGAGGTGCCGGTAGTGTTAGTGTTGGGTGATGGTGCGTCAGCTGCCGGCGATGTTGAAGTTGGCATTTCCACCCCCTGGCGCTCATCGTCAGTCCCCGAAGGCCAAGTCCACTGTGGCTCAAAAGATTCAGAAGCCATCTTCCGGGTGTTGAGCGAGCATGCAAGTATGTTTAGGGGGAATTTCAGGAAGGGAGATAGCTGAAGGTGATGAACATGAGTTGAATAGAAGGCTGCCGAATATGACAGATGTCAAGTCACGCCAACTGGTTTGGGCAATTCGCCGTTGGAGCACAGGACTCCTGGTGACATTTTATGGCCCTAGTGTATCGAATCCCCCAGGTAGAATTCCGCTTCCATTTTTAACCAAGAAGATGGCAGGGAAGGTGAGACATCCTTTGAACCATTCTTTAAACCGGACTCTAGACGCAGACAGAGAAAAGATGAAAATTGCAGCCACAGTTCACTGCAACATTTTGTGCTTTCTCCAGAGACCAGGTTCCCTATGCGGTTAGTTAGGCTCAGAGTGGAGCAGCTCGTACCCACACTCAGGCTGTGTCCCAGAGAAATCGCAGCAATCCAGCGAATCAGCAGCTTCGCCGAATTCCCATGCTGGCCCAAGCTCTCTGCCCAGGCTGAGGCTCCAGGCCATCGACGCGCAACTTCGCCGTGCCTGGTTGGAGCTTGCGAACAACAGCCTCGTTCGCTTTACGGATAACAACACCAATTTCTAGGAAAGCAAGTCACAACCTGCAAACCTTGTGCTCGCTCGACAATCTTCCCTTCGTTCCTCCGCATCTCCATCATGGCGGACAGATACTCATTCTCTCTCACAACATTCTCTCCCAGGTCAGTGCGATCCCACATCTGCAGCTGTTAAACCAATATCACTGACGACTTTGCAAACAGCGGCAAGCTGGTCCAGATTGGTTCGTCACTCACCCAGCTCATAACCCCCTACCACAGATTTCGATCCCTTCCTCCATAACTATCATCACCTCCCTAACAACCAACCCACAGAATATGCTTTGAACGCCGTCAACCAGGGCGTAACAGCGCTAGGCATCAAAGGTCAGTCCCGCCTCCCCCCGCCTCCCTCCCCCCCCCCCCCTAAACTCCCTCCTAACACCCGTTTCCCCGCTCTCCAGCCACAAACGGCATCGTGCTAGCGACGGAAAAGAAGTCCTCCTCCCCGCTCGCCGACCCGTCCTCGCTCTCCAAGATCAGCCTGATCACGCCCAACATCGGCATGGTCTACTCGGGCATGGGGCCCGACTACCGGGTGCTGGTGGACCGCGCGCGGAAGGTGTCGCACACGGGCTACAAGCGCATCTACAACGAGTACCCCCCCACCCGCATCCTGGTGCAAGACGTCGCCCGCGTCATGCAGGAGGCGACCCAGTCCGGCGGTGTTCGGCCGTATGGTGTAAGCCTGCTCATTGCGGGTTGGGATGAGGGTGTGCTTCCTGAGGATGATGAGGCAGGTGGTGAGGGGAAAGGGGGAGAGAAGAAGGGGGAAGAAATGGAAGAGGAGGGAGAGGAGAAGAAAAAGCCGACGGGAAAGACGGGCGGTATTCTTAAGGGTGGTCCCATGCTCTACCAGGTTGATCCGAGCGGGAGTTACTTCCCCTGGAAGGCGACGGCGATTGGGAAGAGTGCCACGACGGCCAAGACGTTCTTGGAGAAGAGGTACACTGAGGGGTTGGAGCTTGAGGATGCGGTGCATATCGCGCTGCTGACCCTCAAGGAGACTATTGAGGGGGAGATGAGCGGGGAGACTATTGAGATTGGTAAGTCTTGCTGCTGTCGCGTGTGGGCTTGGGGGATATGTTGCTAACGTGCGTTGGCTAGGCATTGTCGGCCCTCCAGCGGACCACCTCCTCGGCGTCGAGGGCGTCGAGGGCGCGGTGGGCCCCCGCTTCCGGAAGCTCACGCCGCAGGAAATTGAGGACTACCTCACGAATCTATGATTTCTGGGATGGCGTTCTGATGAGGACCATGATGGGTTGCGCGCGGTTTTTTGTACAACTAGACGACGGGGGGGGAATAGAAAACAGCCACCTCTGACAAAGCTGCGCTATTCTGCCTTGTCTTTATTTGGTCCAAGCCCATCTCACTTTCCCGAAGCGATCAAGAACGAGTTCCTCGGTCCGGCTACTACGCCCGTGATGGACTGCTTCGCCCCGTTGCTGATATCTAAGCTGACCTTGGTCCAGGCCTTGACCGACGTCACTCCCGGCAAACCGAGCTGCCCGTTACCGTTGTCGCCAATCACGTACACCTCCCCGTCCGAAGTCAGAGCTACCAGGTGCGCGTCCCCCACCGCAATGTCGGCGATATCCTTACCCCCGGCGATCTCTACAGGACTCGGGCGGTCCGTGTCTACATCTTCTGAGCCTGAGAAGAGGTCTGCTACGACGGGTGATCGTCCTGCGTGGCCCCAGCAGTAAAGATCATTCCCTTGTGTCAACGCTGCGAGAATGTACCCGCCCGCTGCGAGCTTGGTAATGGGCCCCGTGGGCAGGTCGGCCAAGTCTGTGACGAGGCCGGGTGTTTCTGCGGGACTGTGTCGTCGTTGTCCATGGTGACAGATCCGAGGTTAGTGTGTATATCAACTGAGGACAAGAAACGTTTAGAGAGTTCACTCGGGTTAGTACATACCTCTCATCGGTGACGTCTCTGCCGAGGCAGGCTGCGTAGCGCTCGTCACCCCATGTCCAGACTTGGCCTGTCGATGACAGGGCTGCGAAGCCGGTTGCGTAGGCGACGAGCTGGGTGAGGTTTGGAAGGTTGGGAAAGGTATGGGATGGGCTGCCGGAGAGGAGGTTGTGGATGGATGTGTACTGGTGTAGTGTCTGCGCCCCGTCGTAGACTGGATCGGGGTGAGGTGTAAGTGACAGGCCAAGGGATGAGGTGACGCGACGGGGAGGCGGTCTTGCATACCTACTACGGCATCGTTGGATGCTTCAACGAAACTTGCATGGGATTTTTCAGTAGCAATGCGTAATCTCTGGTGTTCTTTTGGGACCATGCCTGCCGTCTGACATTCGCCATTTTTCAGGCGGACTATGAGGATGAGACGATTAGTTACACTGCAGGCCTACATGCAAGGTTCCAGACTTGTGTCCATAGACATTTCCAAGTACATGGTGAGTACATCTCTGACATGGTGAGTCACTCACTTAGAGTGTAAGAGAAGAAGGGACGGACATGATCTATGTCGCCGTTGAGCACATTGGTAAAGGAGGAGATATCATCGGGCTCCTCAATGCCTGGATTCTCAAACCGCAATTGGTTCCAGGCATTGAAGCCGGTTGCGTACAGTACCATCTTCTGCAGGAGAAGCACGACGTCAAACGACGATTATAGACCAATTTGGGCTTGGTGAAGAGTGTTGTAAGCGCCTGAACGGGAAGGTGCTGATGAGGATGACGAGTCGCTTGGGACAGGCCTAAACTAACGGTGAACTGCAGCGAGTTTAGTAGGCCCACCCCTAAAAAGTATAGTACACTACGTACAGTACAGCGGCAGCACTATTCAAACATCAAGCCTTGGCTGCAGTTAAACCACGAGTCCACGACATGCGTTCAACTACCGCAGCGTTTGTCTCCGGATCCGCGCCAAGCGCCGAAACTCGGCCTCGAGGCTTCTTTGTGAGACTCGGTGATTGAGAATGCGTTCCATTACATCCATTGTCGTCGGCCGAGGCCCACCGTGGGTTTAGGTTGAGTTGTGAAAGACACGGAACAAAGCCTGCTGACCTGCTTTCAACTCTCAAGTCTCAATCAAGCCCTTCCGTCCCGAATTGAGAGCGTGTCGGTGGGCCTCACTGCATGAGGCATCCCAACCTCTCGACCTGAAATATTTTCCAATGCCCGGAAAATCATGGATAAGAAGAGAGCGAACAGCGGGTGTCCTGTATCTTGGCCAACTCGCAGACATCAAGCGCTCTCACTATTAGTAGCTACCCTTGCTCTACTTGTTTGACTCTTCCGGCGAGCGACCGTGTTTCCGGATCCAACTCTACATAGTGCCCCGGGACAACGAAGGCTACCCCGAGCCGCGTCATGATCCACACACCGACATTGGTTGCAAATCGGGTCGAGTCCTAACAACACTGTCAGGCTAGGTCTAGCCACGCAACCGCCTTCGTCCCCTCACAGACACACAGGTTTCCTCCTTGGCCAGGCTCGTCGGTTGGTGACGATGGCCTCCGATACCGACAGTTGGAGCTCTTCGGAGCACGATGACAAAGCCTCTTCCGGACCTCTTGATGAATGGGCTTCTGTCATCTCACCCGAAATCGACCATGTTTCCCCATCCATCTCAGACGACAGCCCTCGCAGCACCACCCCTGAGCAAGAGTCTCCAACCGTCGTAACCATGACTGCGAGGGCCTATCAGCTAGAGATGTTAGAGGAGAGCCTCAAGCGGAACATCATTGTTGCGGTATGTTTCGTCATCGACGTCCTCGCAATGGATTTTCTGATCTTTTATCAAACAGATGGATACCGGAAGTGGCAAGACTCAGGTGTAGGTGTCATGTCGAGGTTCGGCCTGGATGCATGCTGAGATGTTGTCTAGTGCCATACTTCGTATCAAGGCGGAGCTGGAACGGAGCGACAAGGTAAGGAGGAATCTCATAAAATCTAAGGCATCGACTGATAGGAGACTTCAGATGGTCTGGTTTCTGGCACCAACCGTGGCTCTGGCCGCACAGCAATTCGGTGTAATCCAAGCCCAGATCCCAGGCGTCCTGTCCAAATTCATCTGTGGTGCCGACAATGTGAACGCATGGTCCAGTAAGCCAGGTGTATGGGACGAGGTTCTTTCCAACATTCGCATCGTTGTGTCGACATACCAGATTTTGTTTGACGCAGTCTCCCATGCTTTTGTACGCCTCAAATCCCTCAGCCTCATTGTGATCGATGAAGGTGTGTAAGCATCCCCTAGTATTCTTGGGTTCTAGCGCCGCTAACTTCTATAGCGCACAACTGCGTCAAGATGAATGCCGTTGCGAGGCTCATGAATGAGCACTATGCTCAGGCTAAGGCTAGGGGTCTCCCGGTACCTCATATATTGGGTCTCACGGCAAGCCCCTTAATGAGATCCAACCTTGACGACGTCGAGGTGCTTGAGCGCACCTTGGATGCTGTCTGCAAGACCCCGAGCAAACACCGGGACGAGCTCCTAGCACAAGTCAATCGTCCTACTATGATCCCAGCTCCGTATGGACACCTCGCCAGCCCAGAACAGGCTGAGGGCCCTACTCCGATGATGTCAAGGCTGGCTCAGGCTTGTCGGGGTCTCGATATCACGCGCGATCCCTACATCCTGAAACTGTTGGCTGAAGATTCTGCACGGAGCCGGGAACTTCTTGCCAAGGCTGTCAAAACCCGGAAGACGTACAGCCAGAAACAGATGAGGTCGTTCTGGGCCGGATCCAAGAGAATCTGCGACGACATGGGGCCTTGGGCTGCGGACTACTACATCAATAGGGTCATCTCCGAATTTCTTCAGGATCCAGACGCGACCAAAACCACCAACAGTCAGTTCAGCGACCTGACGGAACAAGAAAGGAGATATTTGGCCGAAGCTTTCCTGGCTGTGGATCCAATGCCGCCGCCCGAGACACCAACCATACTCTCCGCTAAGGTGAACAAGCTGGTTGACATTCTGGCGTCGTATCAGGGGAGCCCAGTGGGTATCGTCTTCGTTAAGGAGAGAGCAAGCGTCGCAGTTCTGGCTCACATACTGTCGGTTCATCCCCGGATCAAGCCTCGATATCGAGTAGGGTCCATGGTGGGCACTTCGAAGGTTCCCGGAAGGAGAAAAGACTTCCTGGACTTGACCAGAAAAGAGGACATGTTCTCCCTCCAGGGTTTCCGAAAAGGGACAACAAACCTCTTAGTCGCAACGAGCGTGCTTGAGGAAGGGATTGACGTACCGGTGTGCAATCTGGTTATTTGTTTCGACGAGCCAAAGAACCTAAAATCATTCATCCAGCGTCGTGGCCGGGCTCGAATGGCGAAGTCCCAGCTGTACCTTCTCGTTGGAGGCGTATCGGACAGGTCGCTAGCAGAGTGGGAGAAGCTCGAGATGGAAATGAAGCAAAAGTACCAGGACGAAATGCGTGAGCATGAGCTTCTACAAGAGATTGAGAACAGCGAGGCGTCGGACTATCCGGTTCTGACAGATGAAGAAACCGGGGCACAACTCACCATTCACGATGCGAGGCAACATCTCGACCATTTCTGCGCCACCCTTTCAACAAGGAAATTTGTTGATTGGAGCCCGTGGTATATCATCCGAGACCTAGATGGGAATCCCGTAGATAGCCATGAACGGGCACTACGGAAGGCCATTGTCCACCTGCCAGTCTCATTGCCGCCGGAACTACGATGCTTTGAGAGCATCCGAGCCTGGCCCTCGGAGGCAAACGCTTGCAAGGATGCTGCCTTTCAAGCATACGCCAAGCTCTATGAAGCCGAGTTGATAAACCACCACCTCCTGCCCATCAGGGAGAGAGAACTGCTGAAAGAGGTTGAACCACGTGCGGGGATGGCTCCGGTCAGAGAGCAACTCAACCCCTGGCCACTGATTGCCCAGGCATGGCGAGACAACGCCGCCGTGTCGAGACGGGAACTAACAATCACGAGTCCCGACGGCGCAGCTCGTCTTGCGTTCGAACTCGGCCTCCCCGTCCCGGTCCCTTACATGAAGCAGTTCGTGCTACACTGGGACCATAAGTCATCATGGCTCGTCAAGATGGAGCCTGGATTGGAAAAGGCCAGGGTCGGCCGCACTGCCCTAAGGCAGTCCGATCACACGTCTGCCTTGATTACCATGGCGTTTGGACACCGGTGGTCCGTTCAGGAGAAGCACTATCCTGTCCGATTCACCTCTTTGGATCAAGATATCAGCGTGGAAGGCATGGCTGTAGATGAGGTCACCGCGGATACGATGGTTTCGTCCAGCTATCTTGTCCGCAACATTGCTAACCGCAACCAGCCCTACTTTTACCTGGGCTGGCTGCCAGCCAAGCCTCCAGCCGAACTAGTCAGCAGACCTTATTCCGGTTTCGAGGAAGCAGCAGAAGACATTCCATACGTCGCCGTCAATCTGTGGCCGAAGAAGGTTGGATCGTTTAGGGCACCGCATCCAAACGCCACGCCGCTCCCCAGCAGCAAGCCGTATCCGAGAGTCTTCCCAGCAGAGCAGATCCGAGTAGATCGCGTTCCGGCAGTGTTCGCGCATGCAGGCATGCTCATTCCCGCCATTACTCATGCACTCGAGGTGCACTTAGTTGCTAGAGATCTCCTCGAGTCTCGTTTGGAGAAGACAGGCATCACAGACCTCTCGCTTGTCGTCACTGCCATCAGTACGAGTGCGGCTAGAGGCCCAACCGACTATGAGCGGGTAGAGTTCCTCGGGGACTCGATTCTCAAGTTTTGCACTACCATTAACTGCTCAGCCAAATGTAAGAGTGCTATCCTTCCCGGCTGTGCAGACCTAGTGTTTGTTGCTAACTCATGTCACCAGATCTCAAGTACCCCGAGGGCTACCTCTCACCGCTCAAAGACAAAATCGTCGCCAACTCCCGCCTCTTCCGTGCAGCCGTTGACTTCGGCCTCGATCGCTACATCATCCAAAAGGCGTTTACAATGAACAAATGGCGCCCCATCTACGTCGAGGACCTCCTCGAAAACCCGCCCTCGGCCACAGGGACACGAATCCTCTCAACCAAGACCCTTGCCGATGTTGTCGAAGCCCTTATCGGTGCTTCGTACATAAGCGGACAAATCCCGAAGGCCCTCGAATGCATGTCTCTCTTTCTTCCCGAGGTCGAATGGAAAAGCCAGGAGCACTGCAGACAAGTCTTGTACGACCACGCGCCGCACGACGAGACCCTGCCTTTTACCATGCGTGGGCTGGAGGAACTCATTGGATACACATTCACGAAGAAATCGCTGCTCATCGAGGCCATGACCCACCCATCGTGTAACTCACCCGGCATCAGGGCCTCGCTGGACAGACTGGAGTTTCTGGGCGACGCGGTGCTGGATTACATTGTGGTCACGAACCTGATGGGTATCAAGGTTCCAGCTGAGTTGGACAATGCTACGCTGCATCTGATGCGCACGGCGCTGGTCAATGCCGATATGCTTGCGTTTCTGGTCATGGAATGGACCGGCCCAAAGCAGGAGAGAGTGGATGTTGTTGGTGGTGGTGGCGGCGGGGCCTACGGCGACGATGACGACGACGAGGATGCTGCTGGGGATGATGGGCAGGAGCTGCGCCTCGTCAGATCAGAGGTCTCCCTCCCACTGTGGAAGTTTATGCGCCACGCCTCGGCAGACATGGGCATCATCCAGGCGGCGACGGAGCTGAGGCATGCCGCGATGCGCGACGAGATCCTCCACGCGCTGTGGAAAGGCGGCAGCTACCCCTGGGCATTTCTAGCAAGGCTGCAGGCGCAGAAGTTCTACTCGGATGTGTTTGAGAGCGTGCTGGGCGCCGTCTGGGTGGATTCCGGGTCCATTGAAGCTTGTGAAGGCGTTGTGCGGCGCGCGGGTATCTTGCCGTTGATGGAACGGCTGGTTAGGGATGGTGTGCATTTGTTGCATCCCAAGGAGGAGCTGGGCCGGTTGGCGGTTAGTGAAAAGGTTGACTACGTGGTCGAGGCGAAGGATGAGGAGGGCGGGGATAAGCAGTTCTCTTGCCGTGTGCTGGTGGGAGGGGAATGTCTGGCAATGGTGGAGGGCGGTGTCAGTAGGGAGGAGGCTAGGACGAGGGCCGCGGAGGAGGCTTGTCGGGTGCTGAAGGGGAAGGGGGAGGGGAGGTTGGATACTGAGTAGTCTGCTTCGTGGTAGACAGCGTGGTTCCTGGCGTCGTTAAGGGGGTTATAGAGTAAGGGGGTAGGGGGGCAGTGGTTATGTGGCCCGTGCACGTAGTCTCCCTTGGACCATGTTTATGTATTAGAATCTCATGTCACCTCCCATACGTAACACATCGACTTTCTGCCGTCAAAGCCAAGACATCTACACCGAACACGACATAGATACGGAGGAGCAAACCTCAGGTACATACCTTACGCTGCCTTTCTATTACCATACCAAGGAATAATCTATGAGAAATGCTCCCCCCCTCACTCGTGGGCAAAACAGCAGCCATCACAGGCGCCACCGGCAGCATCGGTTTTGCCATCGCAACCCGGTTCGCACGAGAAGGCGCCAGCGTGGTACTCGCCGGCCGCTCCGTCCAGAAACTGCAGAATACCCTCAAGCAGACGCAAGACACCAAGCCCTGGCAGTGGCAGACGACAACAGTCCAGCAGCAGCAGCAGCAGCAACAGAACCATGCCATAGTCGAGCTTGACACGCGCAAACTGTCGGATTGGAAGGGCCTTGTAGAGAAGCATGTACGTTTCCACCACCACCACCAACTTAACGTGCAATATTAAGAAAGAGGAGTTGACAATGGGTTTAACAATGAAGGAGATTGACATACTAGTCAACTGCGCGGGCATCTCACAGCACTCTCTCCTTGTGCGCGCGGCCGAGGCCGATGTGGACGAGCTCATCGACACCAACCTGCGCAGCGCCATCTGGGGGTGCAAGGTTGTCGGGAAGCAGATGATTTCTAGATCTAGACGAGCTACTGACGGTAAAGGTAAAGGTAAAGGTGAAGGGGGGTGCTGCATTATCAACGTCTCGAGCTTGCTTGCGCAGCGGGCGGTTGTGGGGTCGGCTGTGTATTCTGCTAGTAAGGCTGGGTTGTTGGGTAGGTATCGTCGTTGTTGTTGTTTGTTGTTGTTGTGATGGTGGTGGTTATGGTTTGCAAATGGAACATGCGCTTACTTACATGGATTCTTACTTCTAGGTTTGACGACTGCTCTTTCGCAAGAATTTGGGCACTACGGCGTCAGAGTTAACGCGATTTTACCGGGATATATCGAGTCTGGAATGACCAGCGGTACGTTTACGTTTCAAACTGACATTCCCTCTTTCACTCTGTCGCATCGAGACCTGTTATGTATCCCTTTGCCATTGTTGGCTTTCTCTTCTCGATACATACCCGAGACACCCTACAACCATATTCATCCATCTGATCCGCCGAGACACCCAACAACAACATGAATCTCCGGACCCTGCCCGCCGTCCTACCTTCCTAGATCCCTTTATCACGTTGGTCTGCACACACACATAGTATACATCGTCTCAGAAAGGACTAACTTTACATCTCATCACTCCCAACCCCATGACCGCAGACCTGCCTGATAGGGACGAGATCATGGCAAAGATACCCCTGAAACGCTTCGGCGAGCCAGACGAGGTCGCTGATGCAGCTGCCTTCCTCGCAAAGAACACGTACGCAAATAACTGCATACTGACCCTCGATGGGGGCTCGAGCGCCGTTTGAGATTTCTTTGGCTGCTACTTCGTTCGTTCGAACTGCATGGCATGGTTCAGTCATCGTCAATGACAATGGCACCTCCCGCTTCGCTCTCCACAAGAATGACTTCGTCATCCGCCTTCGGCGCTGCAGCGATTCTGGCTTTCTTGGCAGACAAGCTGTCGTCGATGCTTTCGGGGTGCGGGCGCTTGGCGGGTGTGGCGTCGGCTGGTTTTGCAGCCTCGGAGTCGATGCCGTGCTTGGGCGCGCGGCTGCTTTGACCGTTGGTCTCGGGTGCCGGCGTCTTCTTCGGCTTGATCGGGATTTTCACTCCCTCCGACAAGGCGCCCTTGATGGGCTTGTCGGCGAGCGGTTCCTTGCTTTATCGCGAGTTAGTATCAAGTGAAGGGTGCGCACGGAGGGGGAAAGAGCATACGCTTCCTGGATGGCAATCACCACGTTGACGTACGGATCTTCGTCATCCTCGTCGGTGATCGTCAAGAACGAATCCGGCTTGATGCCTGGGGAAACGAAGTTAGCTCAAAGTCATCAGATGGAGGCTTTGCGGGTTACGAAGGTGTCATACCAAGGTCGCTCAGCTTCTTAGACAAGTTGTCAGTCTCATCTGGGTCGTATAGTATGCCGACCTCGTTGCTGACGGAGATTTCCTTTTCTCCGTAGCCCAGTTGCAGCTTCAAAAAGTCCTCAACAAGGTCGTTCAGCGTCGCCCGCGACAGGTCGACGTACACACGGGTCTGGAAGACGCCGCACACCGGACAATCCGGATTGGGCTCCCTGGACTTGTCGGACGCCAGAAGCCTGGCGGTTGAGAAGGGCGTCAGGAATACCTCCCTGGCCTGGTCGTACTCGCCCCTGAGGACCTTGAAGGATTCGAGAACGCAGAGACCGGCCACGATTGCATTCGTTGTCGCAATGGCGGGGATGATGTTGCCAGCCATCTGCTTAATGTCGAATTTGGATTTTCGGTCAATGCCGAATATAGTTGACCTGATGTTCGCGCTCGCGGCAACGAAGTCTAGTGTATCTTCATCGTCCTTGTCGAAGGTGATAATAGCCTCTTCCCCGGAGCCGTTCTGCGCGGCCTTCATATCAAGAACGCGCTTGCTCAACCGGTCCAGGCTGTCGTTGAACACGACCAGATTCTCCTCCAGCGACCATACTTTCTGCCCATCCTGTAACACTGCTTCTTTTGCCGCGAGCGGTTTGGCAGCTTTCTGAAGCAACGTCCTGTATTCTAGGGGCTCGGGTGGCTTTCTCGTCTTCCACATGTCCTCCATAGACCGCAGACGCACAATATCCGTGTTGAACACCTTGTTGAACAGCATCTCGTGGAACTCGGGGGTACCGACTGACTGTCGAATCTTTCTCAGTGCTTCGGATTCCCTCTTGAGCTCCTCAATTTCCTTCGCATTGTCGGCATCTGTCGAGTGGTCGAAAGCGGACTCGTCCTCGCTCATTCCGAAGATTTCGTTGAGCAGATAGCTCTTGCCCCAGACAATGCAGTGGATCGGCTGACTCGGCGTGCTGCGGATAGTGCAGACAGGGAATGTTTTGGGCGTTTCTTTGGGCGCGCAGTCGTAGCATGCTGTGACACCTTTCTTGATCACCTGCACCTGGCCGTTGAAGCCCGTAGTCCCACTCTCAATCAGCGGCACGTCGGCCGCCAGACACATCTTGTTGACATGGCGCCTGGCATCCAGGTTGTCCAGCGCATTGAAGACTATCTTGAACCCGCTGAACCACTCGATGCTGAACTGGGGGTCTTTGATGTTCGCATGGTGCGCGACGAGCTTAACGGCTGGGTTGAATCTTTGTGCGGCTTCCTTTGCGACCTGGCGGACCATCGTCGTTAGCCAATGTAGGGTTTCCGAATAGCGCAGGGCCCCTACCAATGCTTTTGACTTTTTGATGTGCTCGTGTCGGAACAGGAATTGGCGGTTGAGATTGCTCAGGTCGATCGTGTCAAGGTCGACAATATGGACTTCTTCAAAGCCAGTGAGGACAAGGTTCTTTAGCAACTCGCACCCAATCCCTCCGGCACCCACCATCAACACACGCGACTGTTTGGCTTTGATTAGCGGGAACATGGTGATGACCACGTCGGATGGAAGCGATTGGGAAGCTTTGCGACAACGAGGAGACAAAAGTCTGGTTGTGAGAAATTCCGGGCGCAAAAGAGCAGGCAGGGAGGCGATCTGCCCGAGAGAGGTTCTGGGGTGCTGGGCGCAGATACCCGGGTGGGTGTGCGTTTGCAGGTAGAGGGAAGAAACGGACTCAGGGAGAAGGCGTTTGACTTCGGGTACATACTTGTTTAACGTGCGCATTCAGACCGCGGCCTAGCGACATGGAATTGAAGCTATCGCGGTTCAAAGCAGGCAGCGTTGGAACCAAGGTTGTTGCGCTGCCAACTCCAACAACGGGCTCCATGGTGATTCCAATTTCCAACTGCGCCAGCCCAGGTTTCCCAAGTATTGGAGATTGATTTGTATGAAATTCCCCAGTCCTCCTCAAGTTGCCCTACGCGACGAGGCTGGGTTGTGTTTCTGTTGTTGTCCTCAGCCTTGGTGCAGCGGATTTGTCGCATCGCCGTTATAAGAAACCAGGAAGGTGCGCCGTAACGTTAATCAGTCACGTCAGTGGGCAGTAAACGCGCCAAGCGGGTTCGGGCTTGGCACAAGGCGAAGCGGCAGGGGGTTGAAGCTGGTGGGTCAAGGCTCTGCATGTGCCCCGCGCGTTAGGCGGCATGCGCTGTGAACCCTGAGTTCCTGCTGTTTGCCTCTCGCTCGCATTGATGAATGGAGATGCTGCATTCACTCCAATGTTCTACGCGCAGGTTCATATGTAAGAATCTACAGTACATTCAAGACACGCAGTAGACCCTCTGTGTCAGAGCAGCCAGCCTGTCAGGTATCTTGTACTGAGGCGGGTACAGTATACAGTATCGATACTGTAGAAATTTCTCGCAGTTCAACTCCTACGTAAGATCTCGAACATCTCATGGAGCAGTCAAACATCTTTCTCCATCTTATATTTGCCTGTGGTTCTCGGGGCATCCTGCCTGCAACTGCGTAGGTCTGTCAGTCACGGCTCCCCGAGATCATCATGTCCTCAAAGAGATGATCTCCAAAGCTCGAGCTGCTGCGGTGAGAAGTCGTGTGCACTGTGCATTTGGCCCCTTTTTCTCAAATGGAATTTGCCGTTTGAGTCGACTTGCCGCCTGCCGTCCACAACCACAGTTCGCCTTTGGTCTCCGTTTAGGCAAGAGTTGCCCATTCGCTGCCTTCCATTCCACAATGTCAGACGACGAGGCCGACCCCGAGCTGCTCGCGCTTCTCCGACAGCATCTGCAGGGGAAACTCACCATCAGCGAAGAGCCGGAAACGGGTGTCTTGGAGGGCGCAGAGTACGTCTACGATAATGCCATCGACGTCGCCCTGGACATGCGCTCGTGCAAGAGGGCCGCTTCGGCCATCTATGCGCAGATGCAGCAGAAGCAATACTCGCCTGCCACTTGGACATCTCATGAGCTGCATCCGAAGAGCAAAGACGAGGCCACCGTTGCTTTCATCTTCACCATGGATCTGCTCAACTTCTCCTTCTGGTCTGAGAAGCCTGACGCTGAGCGGTTTGCTATTGAGTACCGTGGCAAACGGTGGACCGGGTACTGGAGCTTGGTTGCTGCATTGCAGCGAGCATTGGACGAAGGTAGGCTGGCTCCCGTGTCGTTGGCCTAGGTTGCCCACCCGTACGATGTCGCCATGACAACCATCTTCCTGAGGTCCACTATCCCGTAGATTTTCTTTCTCTTCAACTGAGGGGGGAGGCTAACAAGAAGCCTCAAGGAATCCCCATTACCGACTCACATTTCTGGCAGGATGAAGAATCCTGCAACTTGGACACACTGAAGCAGGTCTTCAGGTCGTGTACAAACGAAGAAATACCGCTGCTGGAAGAGCGGCTCGCTTGCCTGCGTGAGGCCGGCAAAGTGCTGTACGAAGTATGACATCCGCCGTCGCATCCGTTCGTTGCATGTACCTACAATGCGGATGCTGACATGCGTCAGAGATACCGATGCCATCCCGTCAACCTCATAGCGGCGGCCAATGGGTTAGCTGCTAGGCTCGTCAACCTGCTGGCTCGCGACTTTCGCTGCTTCAGGGATGAGCATGTGTTTGAAGGACGGCGCAAGCCGATCCGCTTCCTCAAGCGGGCCCAGATCTTGGTTGCCGATCTCTGGGCCTGCTTTGAGGGCGAAAGCTACGGCGAGTTCCGGGACATTGACAAGATCACCATGTTTGCGGACTACCGTGTGCCACAGATCCTCAACACCATGGGATGCATCTTCTACAGTCCCATTCTGGACCTGACAATACGAGATAAAAAGGAGATCCCGGCAGGCGGCAGCTGGGAGTTGCAGCTCAGAGGTGAGCAAACCAAGGCGCTGTGTCGTGAATATGCTGACATCCCAGCTAGCCTGCAGTATATGGTGCGTAGAACTAATACGGAGGGAGATAATGAGAAACCACCCGGAGGCTCGTGTCAACGCCATTCTCATTGATTTCTTCTTGTATGACACAATAAAGGAGATGGAGGCTGCAGGACAGGAGTCAGTACCGCACCATAGAACGAGGAGTATATGGTACTGAACCGGGTCTCGGTTCCTCCTTTTTTGTTTATTCCGGCCGGGTTTCGCAACCTGTAGATTCCCTTACCCGCAAGATAATCAGCTAGACAATACCCGATATGCTAAGAAGCAGCAGTATTGGTGAATGATTTCCCGCTCCCGCAGATCCGAACGCCTTCCCTCACTAAAGCCAACCAAGCAAGCCATCATCATCATACAAAACGGTGCCATCCATCATGCCAAGCGAATCTCTCCCAAGCCCAGTATACTCAAACCCCAATCGAACCAACAGCAGTAGAGTTCAAAAGCTCATCCATATGCGCCCGCTCAATCGCCTTATTCCCCTTCCCCTCCTCCTTCAACAAGACCGCCAGCACCTCAATTGGCGGGTTCAACCCCAACCTCTGCGCGCGCTGCCATCTCTTGACCCGCGGGATGCCAATGCAGGGCTACAGAATGAACCTGTCAGTAAACGTCTCTGGGGCAAGAGCACACCGATAGCGACTTAAGCACTACTAGTACGTACCCCATACTGCGAGCTCACATCAAAGTACCTCAGCACCTTCTCACCCGTACTCAAACCCTCGGTGTGCTTCCTGTGGACGGCCCTGGCCATGCGCGACGACTCGATGCCAGACCAGTACCGCTCGATGGCGTTATCGGTGATCTGTTGAGCTCTAAGCTCTGCCTCGGATTTTGGCTCAGCAACGAGTGCCGGCTGCGCCTGGTCTTCGATCCGTTCTAGTCGGCGGTTGCCGGGGATTTGTACCTCCTTCCCCGTACCCTCTTCAGCCTTGCCGTCGATTGTTGCTGGGGTGGTGGGGCTGGGGCTAGCGGGTGACGCCTCTGGTGACGGCTCGGGGATGTATTCCTTCGATCGGGATGGGGATTTGAAGGCATCCTTTTTCCCGCCCGATTGGATGCTTTTGGTTACTTTGTGCTTGAAACTGAGGGTTTGTTGCTTGCCGCTGCCTGCGCCGGTTGAGGACCGGCTTGACTTGCGGGTGACGGGCATTTTGAGGATGACGTCAGGAGGTGGTTTTCTTGAGTACGATATCTAAAGTAGTCGCTGGTCGGAACTAGGAAGGACGATGAGAGGCTGAGAATGGATTGTCTCCTCAGGAATTGGGAATTTTGCAGGTGGAGCTTGCAAAGTAAGAAGAAGGTGATGAGTGCCTGGATGCTGGGCCTTGGCGGTCGTGTCGTTAAGGGAAAGGGCCGCTGGCGGGGCAACCTGCTTGTCACGAGCGGTGCGCCAAGTCATGTGACTTTTCAATTTGGCTGTGCTAACAGATTTCGGTACGAAAGTGGCAATCCCGTGTTAATGCATCTTGAACATCAAAACGTTTAACTACAGACTGGCTTTCAAAAACGCGGTTCTTTTGTTAAGACCAACACCTGTAAATTTGCAGTAGAGCACGAACCACGCTTAACAATTTCTTAAGGAGCAAGCGCATTTTACCTGCAAAACCTCTAACGCTTATGTCCCTGTAACTGTTAGTAATTCTAAGGAGTTTTGATTGGATTAAAAACATGTAGTGGAACTGGGTATCTTGAACGGTAAGCGTTGGATATCCTGAATGGTAAGTGTTGGAACTTGGATATCCTGAATAGTACGAAGTAAGTATTGGATATCTTGAACGGCAAGTGTTGAATATCTTGAACGGTAAGCGTTGAATATCTTGAACGGTAAATGTTACTGTAAAATTGGCTATTTGCAGTAGTTGTACGGAGTAGGACAAAGTATAATACAGTCGGCGCGGGTTGGCTTGAAAAATCAACGGGCGAGCGTCAGCGAGCCAACTCCGCTAGTTCACTTCATTCAAGCACTCAAAAGACAAGAACCAAGGGCCGTGAATCACAGCAGACAGGACGACGTAAACACTTGCGCTATAATTTGGCAAAGTAATCAAGTGCTCACCCCGACTTCATTATAAGCGGAGCCTGGAGTCCGGGTTTCAGAGCCCAACCACGCTCTCCGATGGTGTCGATAAGGGGCCCTGGGGCATATGACCTGGCACCAGGCCATGTTGTATTTTCTCTATCCCATCACCCATCTAAGCAATCGATGTCGAGCGGACCCCACGTCTTATGACCGCCTCCTAAGAGCCCTTCGCCATGCTCAAGACCCTGTTGCTTCCCGGTAGAAGGTGATACTCCTGCTCGCCCCAGCCGCGCAGAACATCTCGCCCTTGCCCATACCCGGCGCCAGAGCCCTCTCAGTCTTGGGTAGCCAACGGACACTCCACAAAGCCCCTTCTGTCTCGCTGTGCGTGGCCACACAGACCCCGCGAGCGACATCCCAGACCTTGACCTTCCCGTCGAGTGACCCGCTCAGGAGGTACTCGCCAGTTTCGTTCCAATCCAGTGATGTGATCCACGCCGGCCGTGTGCTCGGCGTTGTAAGATTTCCCACATGTTCTCCGTGCTCCATATCATACAGCGCGATGACGCCCGCGTTACCCGCAGCCGCAAGACGTTTGCAGCCGGGCGAGAAAGCAACCGCGCGAACGGGCTTGGCCAGACCTACTCCTTATGTTAGCCAGCCGAAACTCCCGTAGATCAACCCTTGCCTCCCTGGGCCCCAGTAGAACAGATGGACACCTTACCAGACAACGAGTAAACCGTCCTCCCCGCATCATTGTTAAACACATACACCGCGCCACTCTCATGCCCACTAGCCGTAAGCCTCCCGTCCACACTCAGGTCCACAGCCATGGCAAAACTACCCCCTCCCCTAGCACCAGTCTCATACGTCTGTATCTTCTCCCTCGCGGCAAGATCCCAGACATGGATCCGCCCGTCGCTGGTCGTGCAGGCGAGGTACCCTTCATCCGCGCTCAGCGCTATGGCCCACACGTCGGCTCCTCCAGCCGCACCATTCCCATTCCCATTCCCATTGTTGCTCGCCCACGTAGCCGGTGTGATCTCCCATTCGAGATGAAACTCCTTGCCATCGCTTGACCAGATCTTGATCTCCCCTCCAAATCCAACACTCGCGGCGACGCTGCCGACCCCGCCCCGCGCGGTGCACACGTGGTGGCAGCCGAGCTTGTGCGCGGCGGCGATGGTCTGCTGCAGCGGGAAGGACGCGTCCGTGGTGCTGTGCACGAGGAGGGATGAGGAGCCGCTCGCTGAGAGAAGGCTTGTCGGCGTCGGAGCGAGGGAGAAGATATCTGCTGGGTGGGCTGTTCATTTCATGTAATTGTGTTAGTTGGGTTTCTGGTTTGGTGTTTGTCGACGAGGAGCAAGGGGAGCTTGGGGAGGAAGGACGGCGCATCGCGGGGTAGGTGGGATGGGATGGCTCGCCTTGGTCCACCGTGTGGGCGGTGAGGTATTGTTTTGACTGGGACGATGTTAGAGTATGATTCTCAGTTATGGGCTGGGTTGCTTTTACCATTGTCAACTTAGACTTTTCATATATGTGTGTTGGTCAACAGTTTGGAAGTATGGTTGAAGGTTGCAGTTGGCACCTAGCAGATGATGGTGGGGTAATGCTTTGTAGCTCTCGAGTTCTTCAACATCATGGCACTTGCATGTCTCCAGATTCCTTAAAATTGCCATACCATCAAACAGACTACCCAGATTTCGATGGACTGTTGCGAGTATCCATTGAGTGTGGCATTTTAATTGTTGCCGCAGCCAAAATACCTAGGTACAATACTTGTACATCTGTATGGACACAGCTGATAATTCTACAGGGGTGTACATCTCTCATGCCCCTTCATCCGGCAATGTGAGTCTATGGATTGAATGCAAGATGCTTCCTATCCCAGTTCGCCCTTTTCGCCAACTCGGCTTGGCCCAGGATAGTCGTCGCATCCGCTAGCACTTCAAGTGGTCGTCGTCAAGCACTGGTACCTCCGGCCTCCCGGTTCATCATATTCCTCAATTCTAGGCTCCGAGTTAGCAAGGATACCAGCAATATGTTTTGCAGACTCTCACTTGTTGCGCAGTGTGGACATAAGTAATGCATCCGTTTTGTCTCCCCGCAGGCCGGGCATTTGCACAGCGAGTTGACGTCCTTGAGAGCCTTGCCCGCCATCTGCCTATGCCTCTTCTTCATGTGTGACGTCTTCTTCTTGGGCACTGCTTTGAGGATCGACTCCCAGATATCCCCAAGCAGTGACGGTATTGACGGAAGTCCGAGCTGGAAGCCGACTGGAATGGCGAGAACGATCGATGGGAAAAGAGGTAGCGAGAATTGGCGGACATGTATCTGTTGCCTTATTGTCGAGAGCAATGTGGGAGGTAGGAGCCTTGGCAGGAACGAGCCGGAGCCGGCCATCCTCGACGCCGGCGCTGCCAATGCCATCGTGAATCGCAACTGGAGTCCTGGTATTCGATATAGTTTGTGAAATAGGCCGCCAGTATGGTCTCGGGTGTTAATTCGAATCCTCCAAGCCTGCACTGCTGCCCACTGTTAACGTTCGCCTGCAGCGTGCCTTCTCGCGTTGGTCTGCCGTGTGGTGGTTGAATCGTGCTCCTCAATTGGACTGGCGTCAAAAAAATGTCGGCGACGTGCTTCGCAAATGGCGAGTCTGCGACGGTCTCTTCCGTTGGACAAGGTTGGCACAGATCTCTTGAAGCTTTGACTTCCACATGACAGTCTAACTTAATTTAGGTTTGTGCCTGGGGCAGCGTCCTCATAAACCAATCAAGATGAGCCGACCTCCCTCCCCTTTTCCCAGCCGGCCAGCGACCCCTTGAACGGAAATCATTGTTTGGTACGAAAGCTGGCGACACGAGAGACTCGTAAAATCCCCTTCGAACTTCGCTCAAACCGCCTCCACCCGGCCTCGATTCGCTGTAGACCGGCCGCACCGCACCTCGAAACCACCAGATTGTGCTTCGTCTAGTCGCTTCCTGTCGAATCACTCTCCATTACTTTTTGGAATAGACGCGTCTATCCTCAAACCGCAAAAATGGCCGCCATGCCCCCTGCGACCATTTACCCTCAGAGCCATGTTGGGTTCGACAGCATCACCTCTCAGATTGAGAGGAAGCTGCTTAAACGTGGATTCCAGTTCAACGTTATCTGTGTTGGTGAGTCTCTGCTCTGCTTGTCCTCATCCGATTGTGCTCCGCTTCCCAATCGGCGAGCAAGGATTGACGTGTCCGCCGCGTTACAGGACAAACCGGGTTGGGAAAGTCGACTTTGATCAACACCATCTTCGCCTCGCACCTCATTGAATCGAAAGGCAGACTCAATCCTGAGGAGGTCATCCGCTCGACCACCGAGATTCAGTCAGTTTCGCACATCATCGAGGAGAATGGGGTGCGCCTGAGACTCAACATCGTCGACACCCCGGGCTATGGCGATCTGATCAACAACGACCGATGCTGGGATCCCATCGTCAAGTATATCAAGGACCAGCACTCGGCTTACCTGCGGAAGGAGCTCACCGCCCAGCGGGAGCGGTATATCCAGGATACTCGCATTCACTGCTGTCTCTTCTTCATTCAGCCTTCAGGCCACTCGCTTAAGCCGATCGACATTGTCGTGCTGAAGAAGCTGTCAGACGTCGTAAACGTGGTGCCCGTCATTGCCAAGGCCGACTCGCTCACTATGGAGGAGCGACAGGCATTCAAGGAGCGCATCAAAGAGGAATTTGCCTTCCATAACCTGAAGATGTATCCCTACGACAACGACGAGCTCGACGAGGACGAGCGGGTCGCCAACAGCCAAATCAAGGTGAGTTTGCAAATGTCTGTGGCAGCAGTCCATGTCTAACATATCGAGCAGGCTTTGATCCCTTTCGCTGTTGTGGGTTCCGAGAAGTCGATCATTGTCAATGGCAAGCAGGTTCGCGGCCGCCAAAACAGGTGGGGCGTGATCAACGTCGAGGACGAGAACCACTGCGAATTCGTCTACCTCCGGAATTTCCTCCTCCGCACACACCTCCAAGACCTCATTGAGACGACGTCTCAGATCCACTACGAGACGTTCCGCGCCAAGCAGCTTTTGGCCCTGAAGGAAGGCAGCGCCCAGGGTCACGGCAGCCGACCCATCAGCCCGTCAGCAGACCGCGAGATGAGCCGCAGCTCGCAACGGATGACGATGAACGGTTACTAACAGTCTGCAATCCCCGCATGGTGCTCTCGTCTGGGCCACCAAGATCTTACCAATGACGACGAAAGACTTTGATATCCCGGCAAACGCATTGCCAAACCCTCCATACCCCAAAATGGCGTCTGAGGGAGAGTGGTGGGGAGGATAGCGCGGCGCAATTCTATGCAGCTTACACGTCATACCCTCTTTGGCCTATGGTGTTTACGTCTTGTGGGCAACTCGTATTCCGTGGACTGGACTTCTTACCTTATTTTCCTTTTAGTACCCGAAGCTCCTCCCCATCTTTGCAGCTGTTTTTTATTCCTTAATTACCCAGCCCTCCGTACTTAATAGAGAGCTCCTAGTTTCGATACCTGGCGGAATACAACGAGATGTTTGCTGAGTGGTCACAGGAAATGGTGGTGATGCTGGATATCAGGTGTTTGTGCGCCCCCAGATTTGTACAGCAGGATTCAGTGTGCTCTATGTGGCCGTCTATGTCGCTACTGTGAGGACGACAAGATCTAACGAGCCATCGTTATGGCTTGTATTCGTATGCTAAACTCTAGCTAAACTCTTGGTTCATTTTGAACCCCGGGTTAGGGTTCACTTTGCACTAACGTAACTTCCATCCACATGCATTCTGTTGATCTGTACCTTCTTCCGACATCAACTTGATGCCTCCCTGATCTACAACAGGCCCGGCTGGTAACCACCAAACGGTTCACTTCACAAGCCGCCACCATGCACACAAAATCATAGCCCTGCCCTGCCCTGAGTCTGTTTACACGCCCTCGACGGCAGTAATGCCACCTTAATCCTCACAACCATCATCGTCCTCACCTCCATCTCCTCATCATCCCCATCTTAAAAAACCATGCCCACCTCCCCGTCCCCGTCACACAAGGGCATAGTCTCTATGGACCCAGCCGCCCCGCTCGACCCGAAACTGCTCATAACCGACATCCTCCGCACCCGATACTGTATCCCCGGCTCGGTCTTTCTGGTGGAAGCCATTGACCGGCGCGTGCCCATCCCCCCTGAGGCCCTTGACAAAGATGGTGGTGATAATGATGCTAGTGATAGTGGAAGACGGAGGAGAAGGAGGAGGAGAACCGGCCTGCGCGCCATGCGCCTCCTGCTCGGCGACGGCGAGCTGTGTATCCAGGCCCTGGTCAGGCCTGAGATGTACCCTTTTATTGATCGGGGGGTGGTGTATGAAGGGTGTTATGTGCGGGTTGATAAATTTGAGTTGAGGTGGGTGGGTGGTCTGGGGGATTTGGAGAAGGGGCGGGAGGGGAAGGGGAAGGAGAAGGGGAAGGATAAGCGGGAAGGGGGGATGGCGTATTTGGTTGTGTGGGACTTGGTTACGGTTGGGTGGAATGAGGAGTATCTTCAGATTCTCAAAAGGGAGGAGGGTGAGGGTGATGGTAAAGGGAATGAGGTTATGTGGGACGAAAAGGGAGGAGAGGAGTTGGAGAATATCCCACAACAGATGGAGGATGAACTGGTGGAAGATGAACCCCCTGAGGAAGTTACAGCGTCACCGTCTGATGAGAAGGTCGTGGATCCAGCAGGCCATGATCCTGAATTACCGGATCAAGAGCCGAAGCTTGATGAGGATGTCGGCGAGGATGACTACATAACCGACTCTGACGACGCTTTTGAAACCCTCAAGATATCTACAGAGAGGGCAGACGAGCGTCGAGTTACCCTGAGCGCTTTAGACACCCCACAAAGACCACAAGAACCGGCTGTCCAACAGAACCAGATCCACGACAAATCCATCCCATGGCGGCCGAACGACCCAACGCAAGCCCTTAGACTCACTCAACTGCGCGCCATCCCCAACCTCCCTTACAAGCAGAACTGGATGGTCAACGTTCTCGCAGTTGTTGTCTCCCTCTCAGAGGTGCAACCATCTCACATCGTGCCATACAGGCAGCGCACGGCACGGCTAGCTGACATGAGCACCACCAAGCACGTCCAACTCTCGACATTCCTGGACCCTGAAGGATTCACGCCCGCCATAGGCAGCGTTGTATTGCTCCTGGGCGTCAAGAACCACCTGTCAGAGGGCGGGTCGTTGAGGAAATACGTGAGCGATCGACCAAAGAGTGGGAGAAGTTGGTGGGTACAGCATCCAGAGACGCTTGGCTGGTGCAAGGAGGAGGTGGTCAGGCTGCGGGAGTGGTGGCAGGGCAGAACAGAGGGAGAGGGGTGATGCTTTGAACTTACATCCCTCGACTCGTTGCCTTCGCCTGGAAACCAGTCACATAAACCTTTTGGAAACTGCTCTGCGGTCAACTGACGCGTGGGGCCACCTACCTGCCTGTGGTTGCCCTGGTTTTCTCTACACCACACAGTTGCTTGGGTTTTTTCTTTCCTTTCCACAAACCGATCAACAAAGCTGGTTTTCAACGCGTCGCCACAACTCGTTGAGCGCTTTGTTGCTTCGCGCGCAATAAAAATCACGGCTTATTGCGTCTCACTGTCGATTTTTTTACCTGGATTTGACCAAGCCAAACTTGACCGACCTGAACCTGACGAAATTGAAACAAATCGACTTCGACAGCCGGGCTTCTTCCAGTTCACCTGACAAGATGGCCGACAACCATATTGCTCAGACCCTGACAATCCTGATGCAGTCGGTTCAGCAGTTGACTCAGTCGAGCCAGCAGTTGACCCAAGCGGTTCAGCAGTTGGTCCAGTTGCAACAACAACATACTTTGACCCAGTCTGTTCAGCAGTTGACTGGCCAACAGTTGACTCAATCGATTCAGCAGTTGGTCCAGGTGCAGCAAGAGCGACTTACCTATCTTCGGAACACCACCCGGGATCACAAAATGCCTGTTTTCAAGGTGCTTGAGGATATTCATGGCTTGGATGAATGGCGCGAGAAGCTCCTCCTAGTTCTAGAGTGTTTCAGCCTTGCGAAATACATCACCAAAGATGTCCCCAGGCCTGAGGGACCTGGTTGTCTTCAGTAGCTGATGGACTGCGTCGAGGTGGAAGAATACATCAAAAGCACCGTTGGTTGGGACGGAATCTGGGACGAGGAGGACTTCCTTGCGCTTGGATGGTCGCCGTCTGAGTACAATCCTAAGAAAACGTTCGAACTCCTCGTCCAGTACTACTCGCCTGAAGGCCCTGCTCGTACAGAATCAGGTTCGGGGTTTGACGACTAGTCGCCGTAAGTACTTCGATTCCCTCGCCCCATCCAAGATTCAGATCGACTAACTCAGGCAGCACCTCGCGACCTCGGATTTCAAGATTTCGGACGATGCGTACCCGAAACACGCTGAAAGATGTCACTTGTTTAACCCGACCTTTACCGTCACGCCCGTTATGCGGCTCGATCACTGCCCCATCACACCAGCAACCTAGCGTTTTTGACCCCATCAACCTCGGAGAAGAGCCAGCTCCTTCCTTCCTTACTACCTGCAACCACCTTTGGTCTGTCGAAAGCGAGGAAGAGCCGTTCTATTCGCCACCAACCCTGCTGGCATTCCTGGGAATCTGGGATGGGAGTCAATGGAGGGGTGATAACTGAGAATTTGGGATTGGAGTATGACAGATGATTAGGAACTGTCACGATCTGCGGTTGTCTCTTACCGTGGCAAGCTGGAGCATAACTGCAGGCCAGATCCCTGAGGGTATGTGACATGATGAGCTTGGTTATCAGAGCCCAAATAGGAATGGCTACCAGTCACCCCTCGAAACAATATCAGAGAGATTACAATCATGAAGCTTCAAGCATCGAGAGAACGGCTACTCGCAGTGCCGCTTTCTCGATTCAAACCTTAGTTATGAAGCTGCAGGTCTTAACCAGACGTCCACAAACTTGCCGGGCTCCCAAGTCGTGACTTCTATATAGTATTTGTCTGCGCCCTGGATTAGATGGCATCCTGACGCGGTTCAGCACCCTCGACTTTCTGTCAACCATCTGGATTCCATCCGCCCAATGAGTGACCCTACCACCAGCGGATCTCAGGACTACGGGCAGTTACTATCCCCATTCTACTTCGAGCCGCGCCATCCACTTCCCACGTCCAAGTAACCATCGGGTATCGCAAGAGTGTCCCCAATCTAAGGAAAGCAAATAACGAAAGGGAATATGCAACAACGATCGCTGGTATCTCCCGATGCAAATGAGCCGAGCCGAGTGAAAAATGAAATGGAAGATCCGAGCCTCATCCAGTTTAAGCAAGCAAAGAAACCCCCCATCTCGCGTAACCGAGAGGAACCTGCATCTCTCAGGCAGCCTCCTCCCCCTTACCCTCACCCGCCGCACCCGCCTTCGCAGCCCCTACGGCCCCTAACAAAGGCGACCTCCCTCCTCCTCCAGCGACCTCACTCCCACTAGCACTAGGACAGCGACTAACAGCCCTACTGCTAGCACTAACCAAAACCTCCTCCTGACTAACCACCGGCGGAGCACCCTGGGCCTTGCCGCGCACTGTCACCTCCCTGTCCCTACTCGACATGGCACTTGTACTTGTACTCGCCGTAAGGCCCGTCGCTTGTTGCTGCAGCACACCCATCGACGGACGATTCCTCCTCTTATACTCCCTCAACCTCTCCTCGCGTCTTCTCACCTGCTCCCGTTCCTCCTCAATCGCCTTTGCCCTGCGAGCCTCAATATCCTCCTTCTTCAGCAATCTCCTTAGCGCCTCCGAGGCCTGGATCAGCCCATCAATGCTTATCGCATGGTTAGTCATTTGGTGGTTAATATAGGTATATACGTTCGCGGGGGAGTCGCAGCGGAGGAGCAGGGGCTCGTTGAGCTTGAGCAAGGCCAAAGCGACTTGAAACAAAAACGCGCCGCCGTCGTGCGGGGTGCAGAGCAGCACGTCCCAGACGCGGAAGAGTGCTTCGGCTGAGAGGCAGTCGGTGAAGAGGGAGAGGAACCATTGGAAGGTCATTGTTTCGAGGTCGATGGAGAGGGCGTCAAAGTGGGCGGAGAGTTTGGGGAGAACTTCGGCGACGTACTGCCGCAGCACGACTTGGTCGGCGCGGGAGGCGAGTAGGGAATGGTCGAAGTAGTTTGGCGGGAGGATGTGTTCGACCATGGAGACGAGGATCCAGAAGGCGTCTTCTGCGGAGGGCGTGATGAGCAGGAGGTTGGCTACGACCAGGTTCATGCCCTGGCAGTAGCCGACGTCGGGGTTACGGCGGGAGTAGGCGAGGAGGACCTGGTGGAGCTTCTCAACGCCGGGCCCTTTGCGGAAGAAGATGTTGTCGGTTAGGGTGCGCGTGATGTCGGCTTTGATCTGTGCGACTACTTGGGCGTCGTCGGCGTCTTCGGACCGGTTGACCAGGTCCTCGTAGTAACCTGGTATGCGCAGCGCGTTGGCGCCGCAGCATTCGGACCAGATTTTGGCACGGAAGGCCACGGGAATGCCGCTGAGGACGAGGGATTTGAATTCATTGGCTTTGGCGCGGCCGACTTTGCCTTGGATGCCAAGGCTTGCGACGCCGATCAGCTCACCGTCGCCAATCCGGGTCTCGGGCATCACCGCGGTGGCACGCTGGAAACGTGCCTCGGCTGCGGCCGCCGCTGCGGCTGCCGCGGCCTCTCCGTCCCGTTTGCGCTCTGCTCGCACTTTTCTGAGAAAGTCATTCCATCGTACTGTCTTCTCTCGCTGAAGGGTGTCGTGGAGCTGGTTAAGGTTTTCAAGCAGCATTCTAACGGGCTCAGCATCCTCCTTTGCAAGTGTTGCTGGAGGCTGTTCAGACTCCGAAGTGGGCTGACTCTCCTCGATAGGTGCTATTGCGGCCGTGGTTGTGGCCGACGGCAAGAAGCCTCTTTCTTCAGTCACGATTATGGGTGATTGCGCCGGTGACTTCGGTGTCTCGCTGGCCTCCAACACCTCTATGCCCTGAGCGCTGATCAACGGCATGTGTGAGAGCAGCTCAGTAGGGAAAGTTGCAATCTTCAAGTAGTCCTGCCATCTCTTAGGTTTGGCCTCTTCTCGTGGCTCTTCCGACGAACAAGGCGTTCCCGGCCTGCCTTCACTACTCATATCCCATTTTCCACTTGAGCTGTCCTCTAGCAAGACTGGAGAGAGACTGCTCCGACCGTTGGTCAGCATCTCGGTGCGGCTACCTTTCTTGGCGTGGCGGGCCATCTGGGCTGCTTCACGTTGGCGCTTTTTCCTGCGCTGGTCATAAATGAAGCCAAAGCGGTCGGTCAAATAGTCAGCCCCGGCGTGATTATTGTAGATATGCGTCAGTGTAGGCGGCTGGACTTCTGGTGGTAGGATGGTGTCCATCTCGACCGGACCGTAGCTCTGGTGCCGAGCAGCCACGTCACCCCCAGGACTGGATTCCATCATATCCCAGCGATCCTGCAGCTGTGACCGAGGCGGGACATCCACGGGCCGGGCTGTACCGCCAGCAGTGCGACGCATCGCCATCAAGGCCTTTGGTCCTCCGATCTGCGCTGACACAGCACGTGCGGAGGTGTTCGTCTTCACGCTCGATGAGGAAGGCGTCCGGAGCGAACCCCCGCCCTGTACGCTGCTCGCGCGTCCGCGAGGCTCACCATCGCGGGCCGCCGTGGCACCTCCTGCAACCAGACGGAGTGCCAGGCTTGCCAGAGATGGTTTCCGTGGAGCATGCGCCGAGTGAACACTGGAGGCCCTGCTTGAGCTTCTCCCAGAATTTTCCCCCGGCGGGTTGAACAGGTCCTCGGGCAGTGCTGGCCGTCGCTCCGTCGGCGGGCTGGGTTTGACGACAGCCGGCTGTTGTGCCTTGCTGGCTTCACGGGTCATGCTGCTTGCGCGACTGGTCTTCTTGACTGTACCACCCCAGATGTAGTCCTTCCACCCTCGTGTCGTGCCTTTGCCATTCTCGGCCTCCGAGCGGGCAGGGAGGGGCACCGAATTCGCCCGGATCGTTGCGTCGTCGAAGGCATCCTTGGCAAAGGGATGCCTGACATCGTCAGACATGGCGTCTGTCATGAGATCCGAGAGCCCCTCTCCGACTATCCCCTTGGCGGCTCCATTCGCCTTGGCTTCTTGTTCGATCGTGCGCAGCCGTGTCTCAAGATCAAGACTAGAAAGGCCACATTCCAGGATGATTTTGCGCAGCGCCCGCTCCCTTTCGTCCGCCTTGCGACGCAAACTCGCCATCTGGGCATCACGCTCGGCCAGGTCTTCAGCGATCTGACGCACGAGGTTGACAGCGCCATGGCGGGCAATCAGGCGCTCGATATGTTGGTCGTCGGCGTGGTGCAATGCGCCCGGGATCTTGCGCGAGGCCAGTGGCGCATCCTCGAATAACGCGCCGCGGTCAGTTACTGTTGTCGAGCTCTTGATGAGGTTATCAACAGTCGTAGTGGGTTGTGGCCGTTTATCCTGCCCCTGGCTCGGCCCCTGTTGCTGCCCCGGTTCACTCTGCTCTGAGACGGCAAAGCTCTGGCCGGACGTCTTGCGCGACGAGGTCACGGTCGAGTCGTCGTCATCTCGGAGGAAGGAGGATCGCTCATCGCGGGGTGAGTCGGGAGAAAATGACGGAAACGAGATCAAAGACTTGTCGGAGGGTGCGATAGATGAAGCCGAGCTCGAGGGCTGGGATGTGAGCTTCTTGCGTGCGCGGGCGGTCGACCGGTAGCTCCTTATCGAGACACCCGACTGCTGTGAGACTGAACGCTCTAGCGGAGCCGACGAAGAAGAAGCAGTCGTCTCATCCATATCGCCGGTTCAGGATGCGACATGGCCCAAATTCGTAGCTATTGGGGTTGTATTGCTACGACAGCAGCAGTAAGGGTGTTGCATGCGCAAGTCGCCTGGTAACGTTCGTTAACGTTAGAGTTAAGTCGCTGTGACAGCTTGCTTTCCATGTATCGGTCTGTCGGATGGGGGAAGCAGCAGAAAGATGGGAAAGAAGTAGGGTTAGTTTGAAAACAACAGATTAAAGTGCAGTACACTGCTTCATGTGCTACGCATCAAGGCGGGCCGTAGTATGCGGTAATCGAGTGTCATGCAGGTCATGCAGCCCACTCGGTGCCTTGAGAGCCCGGATCTGGGGCGGGATTTGCAGGAGGGGATGCACAGGCGAGGACCTTAGCTCCGCCCCAAATTCACGCTTGCCGATTGGCAGATGGGCGGTTTGCCCTATACACCGTGCACTACACAGTGTGTTTACCTGTTTCGCCTCACAACAAACATGCCCCCTTTCCGTGCCCCATTGTCGCAACAATGGACATTAACTTCGGCCAACGATCCAAGTTATATTCGGATACCTCTAGCTTGGGTTACTAGGCTGACGTGTTTAATCCCTTTATTTCGGTCTAAAGACCAGCAAGATTTCTGTCATACTAACTTATAGTTGATCGCTTTAGACTACGAATACCGTGTAGTCTATTGGATGCTGCACTGTCTGCCCAGAGTCTTGGGCATTCACTGGCAGTGAATCACTGCCGGCCAAGATCAGGCTCAGCCCTGCCGTCGATCTCGATGCCGGCCCGCAGCGGCCCGCAGACAATACACCCTTTTCTCTTTATCTTATATGCATCTTGGGTTCCGGTGTTTGGCAAACCCAGCAGCTTCCTCTTCCTTCTCGCTGTAGAATTCAGATCGTTCGTTCATCATCTCATCTGACGCACGTCTCATACGCCATGCGGCCGAAGTCCAAATGCAGTCCTTACTTATTAGCGTCCGAGTTCGGCCACACATCACCTCCAACGTTCACAAATGTTTCTCTTGGGTCTTAACCGACAACCAGAATACTTACAACGACGGATTATATAGCCAACCTCCTAAATTGCAGCTATATAGCCCATGTCAGAACCAACACGTACGCTATTCCTTCTCAAAGACGAGCTAACTAGCCAGGACAAATCTCCAGCCAGCTCATTACCCCCTCCCTCTCCCCAGGTACAATTCCCCCATTCACTCCTTGTAGCACGTTCCCATCTACGAAGAATTCAAGGTGAACATCCCTCTCCCCTCTTCAAAATCCCAAATTCAAACCCTCCCCTCAGGCTCACCCTCCCCCACACCCTCCTCTACCGACACATCCAACCTTCCCAGCCCCTTCCCCATCTCAGACATCTCAGACACAGACAGGGGACTCGGCCCAACCGGAACAGGACTCCCTCTCGCAGCAACAGAAGCAGAAGACGGCGGTCTGGGCAGCGCACGCGTAGGGGGCGGACTCAGAGGCGGCGGCGGAACGAGCATGCGTCTCGCTGCTGCTGATGATGATGGCGGAGGGGGCGTTGCCGTTCCCCTTTCTCTTTCCCTGTCTCTTCCCTGCCCCCTGGCTGCTAGTACCCCGGTGGAACCACCTCTAGACGAGGCTGCCGTGAGCAAGTCAGCTATCTCTCGGGACGTCTCATGCGGCCTCGTTGGGCGCAAGGGGAATTCCGGTCTGGCTGTGGATGTTGGGCTTGCCCTTCCCTCGAAGACGGGGTGAACCGGGATCGGATGGTGAAATTGGATGCTGCTGTTGATACTAGTGCCAGGGGGATGTGCCTCGTTGCGGAGGGAGGACGGAGAGTGGCCCCCGGTACCCACCAGAGTTGAGGACGAGGTGGTGGAGATCGCCGTGGCTGCTGTTGAGGTGCCAGTGCCCTGGCTGCTTGCACTTGTGCGGTTTTGTGTTTGGCCGTCGGGATGACGGCTGGTGAGGCTGCTGCGGGAACCGGCAGTTGGGATACTGGGAGGGACCAGGAAGGGGGAGGCTCTTCCGGCTGGATCGGATGAGATGGAGGAATGGTGGGCATGGCCCGCGTAGTAGCCCCGCGCTATGCGCTCCTGGCGCGGGGTCAGCTTGTTCGTGGTCGGCGAGCAGATCGGAGAAGCCGGGAACACGCCGCTGCCCTTGCCGCCGCCCGGTTGGGAACTGTACGCCGGCGCGAGAGGGGTCAGGGGCGGTGAGGGGCTCCCAGATCGGAGAATGGATTGGAGGAATTTTCGATCGCCGAGTCGGAGCGGTGGCGTCAGTGACCGGTGGTGACCCTTGTCGCTTCCCGGGTTTAGGGGTGGGATTAGGGGTGATGGCGAACTACCTACTGGCGGGTCGTCGGATGGCGTGATGGGTAAGCCCAGAATTCGTCGGAGGGCTCGGTATTTGCTTTCTCGTCGTCGGAAATAAAATAGGGCGAAGGACAAGAGCACGATTGCTATGATTGCTCCAGAGACTGCAAGCCCAACTTTAGCTCCCATGGATAAGTCGCTTCCAGAAGCCGTTGAAGGCCCTTCTGTCGTACTACTTGTAGTCACGGCAGAGCCTGCAGAGGTGTGTGTTGAAGACGCCGCTGTCCCACTCGCGGCTAAGGATCCCGTGCTGGTGGATGTTTGATGCCAGGATATGCTTGAGGAAGGGGTTGGAGCCGGGGATAGGAACAGCCGACATGATTCGGGCGCATCCAATTCTGTATGGCACTTAAAGCCAGGAGGCGGTGGCCCCGGATCGATAATCGAATAGAACCCTATGCTGTCGTGGCCACCGGCAGTCAGCAAGTTGCAAACCCTAGGCACTTTTGTGAGGCTCACTTGTGGCAGGTGTTGATGATGAGATCAACATTGGCTGGCATGACGCTTTAGCTTAAAGTCTGATAGCCAAATTTCGCCCGGTCTCACTCACGGTCTTGCCCTACTCCCCCGGCCTGATCTATCCCAACCCCACAAAAGGTCGAGTCGCACCAGTAAAGAGACCAAAAGTCGTGGATGGGCATCGCCGTGTTCAAGGTCCTGCAACCGTCGACCCAGCCTGGACCTTCTTGCCAGCCACCCAAGACACCACGCATGAACTGAACCTTGCAACGTTGCAGGCATTCAGGCGGATCTTCCTTCCATCTCCATTGCTTGATCTCGGTCGTGTTGAAATAGCACTCACAGCCGAAGTCGTGGGTGTCGATACTGTTTGCAAGATTCTCCATCGCTGATGCTGCCTGATTGTTGCGGTTGAGTTAATGTCCTAAGGGCGTCTAGGTGAGATGGTGGATGGCGATATACAACGAAGCTGAGTATAATAATACATCCAAGGAAGATGGCAGTTTCAAAGGCTAAGTGGAAGAAATGCGAAGAGAAACAAGAAACATGAGTTGACGATCAACAAATGGATGCTAGAGGCAAACAATATCACTAGGAAGGGGCAGTGGGAGGTAAGAACAGCCAGGGCCCTTGACCATCGGGAAACAGATCGTATCTGCCAGCGCCATAATAGATCTAGGAACCAGGGGTTGAAGTAACACCGGCCAGGGGCACACGCGAGCAAGATCTCCATGCTGAGCGATCTACGCCAGGGCGCGGAGACTCGCAGTACTACACCAGGGTTCATTACGTGTTGGGCTTTCGGACTTGGAGGACCCGTAGCGCCGTGCAACCACAATTCAGCGCTACCAGGGTATCGGCTAGCCGTCGAGTCTTCTTCTCAGAAGTGATTGGTGAGAGAGCAGTTAACGAGAGCAGATGAGTCAAAGGATGGAATATAATGTGCAACAAGGCCCCCTTTGACCAAGCGGAGGTCTGTTACACGGTGGCTGCATCCATCCGTCACTTGACGAGAATAGCGATAGACGCAGCTGCTGGGTAGCGGAAGCATCTGTAATAACAGTCGAGAAATGACGGCATGCATATACCCGACCCTGCCGTCGCGTGTTTGTGGGAGGACTCGGAGTGAGCCCTACGTAGTAGAGCCACGCGGATCTTTCTTCTTTGGAAGGAGGGGGTTGTCCGTGAATCTAGCCCAAGCGGTGAGTGAGCTCATACGCCGAATGTCTTGAGTCCTGGCAAACTGTATATCAGTCAGCTAGAGATCCTTGAAAAATAGGAGGGCGAGATACTGGAAGCCTCTTCAAGTTACCTTGCATTCCGTCACAGACGAGCACTTTTCCACAGCAAGGCAATGTCTTGCGCGTCAATACCCGCTGTATGAGCGCCATCAAGATGTCGTATCCCTCCATGCTGGCCCGGGAGCAAACCGATTCCCGTATCCTCCGCCATAACAGCAGTCACACCAAGTTAATAAGGCTCAATCTAGGTTTGTGTCCCTGGGTGTTGTATCCTTAGCGCGGACCCCTGTGGTAATCGTAAGTAACTGGCGATGCCCGCAAAGGGCGGTGGGACGAGGTGATGGGAGGGACGAATTCCGTGCCCCTTAACACTATTTGCGCACGTATGCAAGCAAAGTACTTCTTAAATCCGCAGCCATATGGTCGGAGGCAGGGGTTGCCGAGTATGCTGTTGGGCATGCCGCATCACGACCGGGCACATCTCAGGTTCTGGATTGACTGGGTCCTTGCCTTGAGAGCTTCGTCCTAGACAGGCATAGAAGGGCTTCCGATATGGACTTGTCCGTACTATATATGATGGAAAGGGTCTCGACGTCCCTGTTCCGCATTGAGCGTATACGATGAAGATGAGATCTTTTACCCTTGGTGATCTGCGTAACACCGAATGCTAGCAATGGCAGTTGCTAGGCCAATGGTAGGGTTCGGAGAGCATCTTGTGTTCCCTACTTCGGCCCGGAGCTTACGGTCAGTGGAGAAACCGATGGATGAAGGCGTCGGATCGATGAAGGCCGACCCGTATTGGAAGCGTGGCTCCAACGATCAGAGACTCTCACTCTCATAAAGTCGAGGCTTGCAGGCCTTTTGTTGAGTATCATCTCCTTCGTTTCCTTTTGCTCATGTCCAAACAACTGCGTGGACAAAGAATAATCACCAGTCGTAAGGAACCGTGGCAGATAACCTGATGCGCTGGCTCTCAACAGACATCGCCGGCGCGGGTTTATTCCTCGACCGAATGGTCCCGGAGGTGAGAGATGGCACTTAACGGAAATAATCCAGTTCACGAACCATGATGTCGGGCGTAGGGAACACCTCGAAATCTCATATACAGCGTATAGGCAGGTGCGCTCAAAATAGGAAGGCAGAACCCTGGACTGATGAAGCAGTTGAGGAGGAAGGAGCGGGTGAGTGAGTGCTCAGATGCTCTAGCTAAGCACCTCGGACTCTGAGCCGAGGTGTGTTAGTCAACCTCGGCCCACTCAAACACCCCGCTTCCGCACACTGGTACCGACGGTGGTGACTGCACGAACCTAGGTACTAAAAAGACGGCTCAAGCGTTGGGACAATGGACTCTTGTCATCCTAAGTGAGAAGGCCAGGCCAAGATCGTGTAAGAATTGACAATGTTGAACCCAAGTCCGTCGTTCTAGCGGGGTCGACCAGGTGACACTAAGGTAGTATATACCCGTCCGTAACCTGCATCCCACAACACTGCTACCGTAAGATTCAAACCTCACTCAAAAAGGGAATTCCAGTAATCTCTCGCTCAGCAGGCAAAGCTGGAAGGCGTGAAACACCATGGCAGAAGCAGCCAAGCAACGTGTCCAGGCTATCGGGAATCAGCTCGCCCCCGAAGGCAGCATTCCGCCGATAGCCAAAGTCGCACCCGGTGGGCCACGGGTTGCCGGGAAGGTGGTCATTATTACCGGTATATTCTCAACACTCAACTATCCATCGCAAGTCATGAGAAAACCACTTACATGAATGCAAAGGTGCCAACTCCGTCCTCGGCATCGGCCGCGCCTCGGCGCATCAGTTTGCCGAGAACGGCGCCAAGGCCGTCTACATCTGCGACTACGACGACTCCAACCTCGAGGCGCTCAAGCGCGAGATCAACTCACTATGGCCCTCGGTCGACGTGCACACACGGCAGTTTGACGCGGCCGACGAGGCCGCGGTGCGCGAGGTCGTCCAGGACGCCGTCCGGCGGTACGGGCGGCTGGACGTCTTCTTCGCCAACGCAGGACAGACAGGCCCCGTGGTAAACTTCAGCCAGATCGAGCCGGACGAGTTCATGGAGACCTTCCGGGTCAACTCGCTGAGCGTGTTCCTCGCGGCCAAGCACGCCGCGCCCGCCATGCAACTCACCTCGGCCTCCAAACCGGCCGCGTCGGGCAGCATCATCGCCACGGCCTCGGTGGCGGGCTTGCGGTCCAACGCCGGCGGGACCCCGTACTCGGCGTCCAAGGCGGCCGTCGTCTCAATCGCGCAGACAGTGGCGTTCCAGCTGGCCGGCACGGGCGTGCGCATCAATGCGCTCTGCCCGGGCCTGATCGAGACGGGCATGACGGCGCCCGTCTTCGACGCCGCTCGCGCCCGGGGCACCCAGGGCCGCATCGGCCAGCTGAACCCGCTCAGGCGGGCCGGGCACGCGGACGAGATTGCCCGCGTGGCGCTGTTCCTGGGCAGCGACGAGAGCAGCTACGTCAATGGCCAGGCTTGGGCGGTTGATGGTGGGCTGAGCTCTGGCCTTCCTTATGTTCCTGGGAGGTTGGCGTGATGAGGGGGGTTCATTGGGTTGTATGCTTTTAGCAGATGGGAGTTATAGTCGATTTTTTGTCAGCATGTCGGCAGGTCTACTCAAGGGCTATCATAATACATTCCGGGCCGAGTTGCACGCCCGTGGAAGATGCGACGGGAAAGGTTTTTCTGATGATTCCCGTACCTGATCAAAAGCTGCGTTAGGGTTAGGGTTAGATTCATATGGAGTGATCTAAATTCTAGAAGTTCTCGAGGAGCTGCAAGCCTCCTGTCGGTATCGTTTCTGGATTCTCATGCAGTAAGCAAGGTACCTTATTAGCGTAGCATGGCAGCGGCAGTACATAAAGTAGCGTCGGTTCGTTCCAATAGGGTGGGCCAGCTGCTATTGTGGTTTAATAAGCGCGGGATGTGGTGTCCTGCGATTGTGGAGTTGGTTCGAGGCTGGCCCTCTCGATCTGGGCTGCATTGCGCATTTTTTCGACGCATCTCCATGAGAAACAGCTTCATCATGCGTTCCCAGATCCCATTCTCCACAACCCCCACTGTTAGTGCAAGCTCGGACATTTCGAACAACACATTCCAACGTTTTCATCCATATATTCACTCTAACCCGGATCCTAACCCTAACACCTAATCCTAACCACTAATCATAACCGCTAATCTAGCCACTAACCCTAACCTAACCATTAGCCTTAAGGTGTGTGGATGATGTGTTGGTTTTGAATGAAAAATTGGATTAATGTTGACCTTGAAAGATGGCCTGTGCTCCGTAACAGGAAAATCTAGGTGGTCAGTGTGTCCTTGCCAAGGCACATACAAAAAGTTGCCAAGAATGGGATCTGGATAACGCGAGCCCTTCAGTGAAGAGACCAGCATGAATTGTTAGAGACCCTCAGGGAGTCCGACCGTCTCTGCGTGGACGGTGTGAGCCTTGAGAGTTGAGTCATGTTGGCAGCTGAGATGAGGAACCGGGGCACTGGAACGATGACGTCGTCGTCGGTTGTCATTAACTTCCATACTGTAAGTTACGCCGCCCTGTCATCCTCCTCATCTCCTCGGACTTTCTAGTCGGCCCTATACAAATTCGGATTGCACGATAGGGAATGGATATGCGATGCATCTGTTGTCAAGGGAATCTGTTTACAGCTAAGATGTTTGGCTGGCAGTTTCATCGACGATTTGAAGTTCTCTGGGTCACTAACCTGAAGCGGGTCTCGTGCTCAGCGGCCACGCCAAGAACGTCTAGCGATCCCTTGTCGCGAGTCACGAAATTCAACCTCTTGAGCTGCCTTTGCGCTTTGAGGAATTGCCTGAGAGTTGATGGCATACACGTTGAGACGACCACGTATACACTAAGCTCCTTGTATCTCAAGCACATTGCTAACATAACCTACTGGACACCGCGAGCAAATAAGTACGTACATTACATCCCTATCGTAGACAGAAGTTCTCTGCCAAGAGCTGGGTACAAGTACTGTATTGTACAGTACAAGAACAGCAACGTATCCAAGATGCGGGGGCGGGCCAAAGCGAACCTACGATTGCAGAAAATAAATTGCTGGGCCCAGGCGAATGCGCAAAGAAGCGTCTGGAAAACGAGGTTGGTATAATAACACCTACCGGCAGCAGTATTCTCATCAGTGTCGTCAAGATAGCTGTAAAGCTCTCTTTCCGCAAGTCTTGCACAACTCGTCATGAGCATAACGGAGCCGATGTTAACTCCGGATACCCTGCACTTGGCTCCACTCCCGTCCTTGGCCTAGTTGAAGGCTAGGCCTACCGTCACGCCTACGGTACCTCCGTATACTAGGGCAACTTGAACTTGACGGAGCCCTTCCACTGCGCCGGTCTCTGATCAATCCAACTCGTCGATTGCTTCGGTGCTGGATAGCCTCTCGCTGCTTCTTCGCTAGCCGATCAACAGCAGACAACCTGGAAATCGGTGTGAGTAAGCCAACTGTGGCAAATACAATTGTCTCTCACTTGCAGTCCGTGATTTTCCGCGTCAAATATCCAAGTTATTCCCCATTCTCCCTTACTTTCTGGCCTTACCTTGACAGTTACCGAAGGGTTGTTTGCTCGATACGTTACCTTACGTTTACGTACAGTACCCCAGTAGCGCCTCGCATCACAGAACCCTGACCAGCCCCAGAGCAACCCCCACGCTAGTGCGGGAACCCCAAGCCACCCTCGTGCGCACCTGCCAGAAAACCTTCGGTCAGGCTGCTGACTATTTTCAGTTCCTGCCTGCTAGCAATCTTCGCCGGTCTCCTGCAATATTGCTCAGTCCATTTTTCCCATCATACGACCGAATTCCGGCCACTCGCTGCCCTTGTTCGCTCCAAGCATCGCTAGGGGCACTTCATCGTCTTGCGCTCTTTTAAGCAAGCGACGAAAGGACGAACCCTATTCTCCACCCTTCTAGAAACCTGTCAAAAATGAAGAGAGTAAAATAGAGACCGGCTACCGCACATCGGAGTGCGTCGGGACTTCCAATTGTCCTGGCAACCTCGAATCTGCCTCCTTCTTGACCTACGCCCTCTTTACGAGCGGCCCAAACCCGGGTGCCGCCGATCAATCAGCTCTTACTTTCATCTACGCCGCCTCTCCCGACCCATCCGGCAGCCCTCCCGACCCGGATCCTCTAATTCCTCTCTAAACTTGCCCGTTAGCGTAAGGGTCCTAGCACGAAAAGAGATACAACGATCCTTCAGCCGGAGCTTCCACCGTTCTGGGTGCTACTCAGGGCCAGAATTTACCATGTTGCTGGGTGACAAGGCGGTGGTGTCGAAGCGAAGTGCAAGGCCATATGTCGAGTATGATATGGGAAAAGAGACGCAAGAGGACCAACCAAGCCGAATGGCTAAACAAGAAGAAGCGGAATTGGGCGAGGCAGACAGAAGGCATTCGATCTCGACGGGGACAGTCCACAGCAGTCAAACGAGCTTTGAGGCGTCACCCCTTGTCCGCCCCGCAGATGAAGAGTCTGAGGATGGAGCTTCGTGGCTGGCAACTCGAGACCGACGAGGGGGTGACGTTGATCTCTCGGACGCGTTCCACCCGCCCGCGACAACTACCCACCCCGCCTATTCGATCACGGAGCTAGTCGAGAATCTCCCAGCCGGGACGCGACCTGCCAACTTTGGTATTGTCGTACCAGGGGTTTATCGAAGCAGTTTTCCGCAATCAGAGGACTATGCTTTTATTGAGGGCTTAAAACTTAAAACGATCATGTAAGCCCCCCTGCCAAGGGCCTTTTGACAGTCTGTACTAACTCAGCACCAGCACCCTTGTTCGAAAGGAGTTCCCTGAAGGCCATGAAGCCTTCATCAAAAAGAACAACATTAGACAATGTGTGATCGACATGAAGGGCACTAAGAAAGAGGATATTCCCATCAAGACAATGAAGTCGATCCTCCGTCTAGTTCTGGACCGGCGGAACCACCCTCTCCTTATTCACTGCAACCATGGCAAGGTAAGCACCAATGTCCTTCCCCACCGTCGGACCCTCTGCTAATCACAGTACCAGCACCGCACGGGATGTGTTGTTGCCGTTGTCCGAAAACTTTCCGGGTGGGACCTCGGCAGCATCATTAGCGAGTACAAGAGCTACGCGGACCCCAAGGCTCGCGATTGTGATATTACCTACATCACTGGTTTTGACCTCGCAAACATATCGAATCTTTTTCGAGAAGCAAGCTGGCCCTTTCGGACTGAGAGGTTTTTGCGAGCAACCTTCTTTGCCTTTGTCATGATTCTTATTTGGCTAGGCTCAAGCACCAGGATAGCCACGGCACCGAACCGGAAATTGCCGAAGTGAACGCAGCGGGCGGGAAAGCCCCCTGAGGCAACTCTTGCCTTGGTCTCGGTTTTCATCTGCTTTTCATACGGGCGGAGCGCTCGGGATATTGGCATAAAATCGTTTCCGAAACGGTTATTGAATCGCCGATTCTTTCCCACTGGTTCTTCTCCGAGGGTTTCATCACACGGAGCGCCACATAACGCGCATTATCGGGCGGAAAGAGGCACTTTCTTGGCGATTCCCCGCTTGCTGGTCCGGAGATCGGATGATGGGAGGACTAAGCGGCATTGGACAAGGGGGGTTGCAACGTTTGTGTGCGGAGGCGGAACGGGATTGTCGTGTACGAACATTCTTCTTCTCTTGGGTCCGGCTGTCTGGAGTATTGAGCACATACGCACTGCATCATTTGGGGAACATAGACAACACTGGGTTGAGGCGGAGACAATCAAGTGCTGAGGCGTCTCCCTGGCGTTCCTGGACTGTACTTTTGCATTTCTTTCATTACCTCTCTCTTTCCTTGTATAGTACAGTGTACCCTGGCTAGCCGGATAAACATTTAATTGTGAAGTGCACCAGCGTTGGTTGTGCCATGGCTTTCCCACCAGCCGCCAGTGTTTGTGCTCCCCTTGTGGTGAGAGCAATGTGTAATGGGGAAGAATAGTATACAATGTTCTTGTACAGCGGCATAGTGTTCTCACCTCCTGCTCCTGATTCAAGAATACAGCTTGCCAGCTATATCCCTAAATCCTCCCAACAGACAACCTAGCCTTCCCTCCCCGTTTCCTCCCCTCCCCGTTTCCTCCCCTCCCCGTTTCCCTCCCCCCCCTTTCCCCTCCTACCACTCCTACCACTCCACCACTCCACCACCGTCACCCCCAACAAAACCAATCGACAAAAATCAATCCCTATAAACCCCCCACCGATTAACCTCCCTTCTCTCCTCCTCCTCAAGCTTCCTGTTGCCCGTGGCGTACACGTAGCCGCCCGCGACGGTGTTGGCCGCGCCCAGCGCCATGGCCGAACCGCGCACAAATCCACGCAGGGAAAGTGCTCTTCCCATGCCCATCCTCGTCCCAGGCCGCCGCCGCGCCGCTAGCAGCACATACATGCCGCTCCACGCCGCCGTCATGCCCGCCCCGTCAATCTTGAACCCGGCTAGTGTCAGGTAGCTGCTGAAGACCAGCAGCGGGGCGAAGAGCATGGGTAGCGGCTGGAAGGGGCGGAGGTGCAGGGCGGTGATTAGGGAGGTGAGGGTCATTGGGGGGAGGGCGGATGCTGGTGGTTGGGTTAGTTTGTTGATGTTAGAGGTGGTGTTAATTTGTTACATGTAGAAGTGGTAGGTGAGGTTTAAAGGGGATGTCGCATCAAATGGCATGGGGGGGGGAATTAGAAAATAGAAGGAGTGAGGCATGGGTTGTTGAGGCCATGAATGATGAGGGTAGGGGTGGGAATGCATAGATGGTAAATAAGGAGAAAGGGAAAGAGGACGGCTGGTGGGTAAACATGGGTAGAACGAGCGAGTGACTTACTTCCCCAGGCTGAGAGTTTAGATCTGATGCCTTTCGGCCCGTCGAGGTCGTCTTGGGGCTGCATCTTTCAAGAAGTTGTGACGATTTTGGAGTGTTATGTATTTAAGCTCAGATTATTGGTCAAAATGAGTTCGTAGTCGTCTTTTTCGGTCATTCAGAAGATGTTCTTCCCTCTGTCATAATTCCATTGTAATTCGTCCCTCACGCCCTCACCAGTCTCTCTTCCTTCGTAACGGCGCTTCCAGAACTTTTGGCCAATGACGTCGGTGACCCCTGCTTGGAGGCTAAACATTTCGATTTCATCCCCCTGTCCACATCTCGCCAAGCCTTTTGATGACTGCGCACGGACCCTCTGCCCTGTTCTCAAGATGTGTTCCAGACATTCCAGAACTGCTTCTGATAACTACCATGTAGCCGCAGCTCGACAAACCATCGTTGATTCTCATATCCGGAATCAGTTCCTTGGACCACCATACGTCTTGCGTGGCCAGTCTCTGGTTGCGATTGTTTCCGGCACTCAATTCTGCGGACACTGCTCGGCGCAGTGGCAGACCCGGAGCTCTTGAATCTTGATTGACTGGCACGGCGTTGGTGAAAAAGCCACGCTTTCCAGTCTGACCTCGCGCAACGTCCAATTCAACGCGGACCACGATACTACGCTCAATATTGACATTGCATCCCATAATCTCTGCGATTACTTTCTTGACCGGCCTCACGGTACCCTTCGGTCCTACGCTTGTTCCTCCGGTTTCACCGTGGATCCTTATCTGAGCGAAGCAGTCAGCAACCACGCGCCCCTTATCAGCGCAACCGCCACGTCTCCCGCATAGACACACGCCGAAACCGAAGGGGCAACCATGCCCGATGCCTCTGCCTCGGGGGCTTCGGCCTCCCATAACGACAGCTCTGCGCGCAACCGGCGCGAGCACAACCAGGGCAATCAAGAGCGCAAGTACACGGCCGAGCAGAAAGCCGCCGTCCTCCGCATCCGACGATGCAGCCCAACCGCTTTTTATGAGATCCTGGAGCTCCAAAAAACGTGCAGCGACGCCGAGATCAAAAAGGCCTACCGCCGTCTGTCACTGCTGACCCACCCGGACAAGAACGGCCACGAGCACGCCGACGAGGCCTTCAAGATGGTGTCGCGGGCGTTCAGCGTACTGGGCGATAAGGAGAAGAGGGACAAGTACGACCGCTTTGGGACGGACCCCGACAACCGCTTCGCGAATGCCCAGCACGCGGCGCAGAACCCGTTTGCGGGTTTCGCGAACAGGGGAGCGGCGGGCGCAGGGGGAGGGGGCATGTGGGCCGAGGAAGAGATCAGTCCCGAGGAGCTGTTCGCGAGGTTCTTTGGCGGCGGTGGAGGGGGGTTTGGTGGGCCGTTTGCAGGTGGGTGATTGTTGTGTCTGAGTTTGGGACTTATGGACAACTAACTAACTGCTACCCCAGGTTTCGACGGCGGGCCGCAGTTTGTCTTCAACTTTGGCGGGCCGGGCATCAGGGTGCACAACTTTGGCGGGAACCGCCCGAGGGGCCGGCCCCGCAACCCCGGTCAGGAGGAGCCGGCGAGCACGTGGAGCTCGCTTGTTGGCTTGCTGCCCATTCTCATCTTTGTCATCTGGCCCATTCTTTCGGCGCTCTTGTCGGGCATCTCGAGCATCGGCACCCCAGCGACGCCTACCATGGCGTTTGATAACCCGGTCCCGCCGCTGTACACGATGGAACGGACAACGCCCAATTACAAGGTCAAATACTACCTCAACCCGCAGGACATCCAGTCGTACAGTCCGTCCAAGCTCTACTCGCTGGACAAGAAGGCCGAGGTTCTGCTCGTTCAGGAGCTCCGGATCAAGTGCGAGGAGGAAATGGCGCATAAGCAGCAATTGAGGAACGCTGCCCAAGGTTGGCTACGCCCTGATCCGGACAAGATGGAGTTGGCGAATTCATACCCTATGCCGGCCTGTCGGAGGCTGCAGTCGATGAAATTGTAGCACGGGGATAGATTAGATAATGGTTTCAAGATGGAATCAGGGAGGAAGGCATGTACATGGCCCAGAGTGTTTGGCTTTTCTTTTTCATGGGAGGTTACTTTGTTGCTGGCGTTGGGAGAACCTTGCATATGAAGCATTTTGTAAACTCACCCGCCGCTATGGCCCCCAATGCAGCGAAGAAATATCATGATAGATATAGGTGTCGTTACAATGGATAATTCCCGATACGACGACCAAGGCATGGAACACTGTTGCTGCTAGTATATGGGCCTAGTATCATATGTGATACGGATGTAGTCTACATACATCAGGATCTCTCTGCAGGTGATACTTGGTGAAGCAGTTTCGGTCATCGTTGGCAGGAGCCGGGTAAATCTATGGTTAGCTCCGCACTCGTAACCTTCTGGATTCACCTCGTCGTTACCTGGGAAGTGTAGCCTCCAGCTAGCTGCCTGGTATGAGTATACACGATCGAGACGCGCAAGCCATATAGCCAAAAGAGAACGAAATCGACAAGGATTTCGTAGCAGCAACCAAAGCTGATCATAAGCTGATCCGCCAAAGCACACGCTATTTGGCTGATTGTGGGGGGATGACGAGGCCTAGAAAAGACCCGTGGCTTGAGCCGTGGGGTTGGAGGGAAAATCGCCCCATTGTTTGCCCCGCAGAACCAGCCTTTAGCGGGCTCGGCGGGCCAAGCCCCGGCCGTTGGGAGCAGAATGACGGAGGACGGTGGCACCTGGGCCAACCACCTACAGTAACACCTTCCTCTCCAACCAGACACTTCTTGCAGCGTGCAATGCGTTCGCAGATGCTACGCTTTGAACTTCTAGGTTTGCGGATAAGCTGCTTTTCTTTCCTCAAAACCCAGAGTATTTGCGCTTCACACAACACAACCATTTTCACTCCTAGGGGGAGACGTACCCGTACCTAACTACGAAGCCGTCATCTGCGAGGCCGCCTACCTGAGTGCTCCAAGTCTACTGTGTAGACCGCCCACCTATGATGCAAGCGCGCACAAAGGTCTCCTCGCCGAAACGCTAAGTTAGCCAAAGGAGTGCTTTGATACTGATAACTACGGTTGCGCTCCGACTGTCCAGATCTGTCCTCAATTCGGCCCCTCTGTTGCGATCAATCAATTTATGCCCTTTTTCTCTCTCTCCGAACTTCACGGCCTACAACCCTCCTTCCTCCCGCCAGGTCACCCGGCAGAGGCGTAGGGTTATATACTAGGAGCTGCGCAATGGTGACCCGAAAGCCGCTCCCAGAACACGCCGCCTTAGACCCCGCTGTTCCTCAACAAGGAAGAGACGGGTGGGTGCCAACCGGCACCGGGGATGAAACGATCTGGGAAAACGAGACAAGCCAGCGCCAGCTCGGCCAGGCGAGTAATTCTTCAGGGCCGAGCCATGTCCCGGACTCGCTTCGACCTGGTGGGCCTATAGATCTCTCGTTTGGGGATGAGAGTAGCGTATGGGCTGAGAACGTATCTGCGCCGGCTGGAAATGACGATTTGAGCCGGGTCCCGTCAGTTCTGAGGCCTGGCAGCAGCCATAGGAAGGAAGCTGGCAATGCTCGGAACACGGAGACTACGCATGACGGTGCGCCGATACCCACTGTTCTCCGGCCTGGTAGTGGGGCGGCCAAACAAGAAACAAACCCTTTCAAGAGAAAGATGTCCTTGAGCGCATCGAGAGACGGGAGTCGAGAAGACCTGAGCAGACCGGCGGCATCAGTAAACAACCCTCCAATACCGCCGCTCCCTGTGGACGCCTTCTCGCAGCTCAATATCAACGACTCAAGCACGAATCCCTGGCAACCGGGGCTCAATCAGAGAGACGTGGTCGCACCGCCACCCCTTCCAAGCTTGCCAGGGCAAGATTCTAACAGGGAGGATATATGGGGCCCTTCACAACCGTCACAGGCCGTGCCGGACCCAAGATCAAGCTCGCCGGCTCTCTTATCCATGCCATCGGATGAGGGATCCGCTGGCTGGGAAGATGTCTCTCAGAAGCCAACTGTAACTGCACCGCTTGTCACAACGGCTGATGGCGAGGCTCTGGGGGATTCACATGCGTGGGACGATCTGGGGGCTGGCAGCAAAGGCAAGGCTCCAGCTCAAATCCCTCCAGTGCCGGATAAGGGAGCCCCCGGCCTTGACGATTGGAACTTGATTGATCTAAATACCCAATCCGAGCTTCCTTCGAAACAGAGCCCATGGGAGGACATCGACGCCGGGAGTGACAAGACTGCGAAGGCCGCTGCAGAACAGCAACCAAACGCTGAGCAGGCACTTCCCGAGCTACCGCCACGGAAGTCGGTAGAGGCGCCGCTACTTCCCCCGCGCCCTGTTGACAAGTCGGAGACATACCAAATCAAGAATATCAACTGGCATGATGCGACAGCGGCGAAGAACCCACGGACCTCACCAATTCTTGTCCAAAACGCGAATGGACCCTGTCCACTAGTTGCGCTTGTCAATGCCCTCATCCTCACTACCCCGGCAGACAAGTCGAACACGGCGCTAGTCGAAACACTCCGAACGCGCGAGCAGGTCAGTCTTGGCCTGCTTCTAGAAGGCGTTTTTGACGAGCTCATGTCAGAAAGACGGGCACAACCTGACGTCCCGCTGCCGGACGTGACGGAGCTTTACAACTTCCTTAAGGGTCTACACACGGGCATGAATGTCAACCCCCGTTACATGCCCGCCCCGGAGGTCGTTGCGGCTTTCAAGCGCACAGCTGCCACCAACAACCTCCCCGCCGATCGCATTGACATGATTCCCGGGACGTTTGAACATACCAAGGAGATGGCCCTCTATTCAACCTTTTCGATCCCGCTCATCCATGGATGGCTTCCTTCCAGGGATGAAGCAGTGTATGGAGCGTTTCAGCGGCAGGCATCCTCGTATGAAGATGCACAAAATTTACTCTTTCGCGAAGAGGAGCTGGAGGAAAAACTGAGCAGCACCCACGGCGACGGTCTTAGCGAGGAGGAGCAGCAGCTCTATCAAGACATCCTAACTATCAAATCGTTCCTCAGCATATCCGCGACACAGCTCACCAAGTTTGGACTGGACGTCATCAAGACTTCAATGAAGCCCGGCTCGGTCGCCATCCTCTTCCGCAACGATCATTTCTCCACCCTTTACCGACATCCCCAAACGCTCGAACTGTTTACCCTCGTTACCGATGCAGGATATGCCGGCCACGCCGAGATTGTGTGGGAGTCCCTCGTTGATGTCAATGGTGAGAGCACAGAGTTCTACTCTGGCGACTTTCGAGTTGTTGGCGGCGCTTCGCACGAGCAGCCGGGGCCATCCCGGAGGAGAATGTCGGGCAACTGGGAGGACGAAGCGGCAAGGGACGATGGCTGGACCACAGTCCAGAATCGCCGCGAGAACCGTCGCGAGAACCGCATTGGCCTTCATCAAAGTACTCGACAACGCAGCGCAAGCCAGCCTCTCCTCTCACCGGCCCACGAACAAGAAGACCGCGATCTCGCCCTGGCCTTGCAGCTCCAAGAGGAAGAAGACGCGCGCGCCCGTGCGGAGCAGGAGCGTCGTCGGAGGGAGAGCCTTCTGTCAGAGCGCTTCATCGAGCAGCAGGCCCGCAACCCCGCCGGCGCCGCCGCCGCTAGCAACCACACCCGTGTCGCTTCGCAAAGCACCACCTCCCTCGGCTCATCCTCCACTGGCACTTCAGCCACGGCCACGGGCCGTCGCACGTCAGGAAGCACTGCCGCCCGCCCCGGCGGCACCAACGCGTCATCCACCTCGGTCGGGTCCAACAACCCCGCCGCATCATCATCGCGTCCCCGCCCCACTACCCAAACCGTCCGCTCCCTTCTGCCCCCACCGCGCACAACACGGCCCGCAGAGGAGGGCCTTGACGACGCCCCGCCTAGCTACGAGCAGGCCGCCCGCCAGAACCCGTATGTGCCCCCCGTCGGACACCCAAATCACCCGGCTAGCAGCCCGCTGTCGCCGCGCTCGGGCAGAGGCAGGACTACCACTGGTGGTTCTACTGGTGGTGGTGGTGGTGGTGGCCGGCCCGCGGGACTGAGGAGGGGCGTGCCACCGCCCCCTGCCCCCGGGCCGGCGCACGCGGCGGTGCCACCTGCTGGGGCGGGAGCGGGGGGTGGAGGTGGTGGGGGGAGGGATAGGGAGTGTGTGGTTATGTGATTGGGATGGTATTTGCTTAAGGGGGATTGGGGGTGGGTTCAAAGTTTGGGAGGTGGAAGTTCAGCATAAGCAGTCAGCGAGCGGGCAAACAAGCCATTGGTTGGGTTGGGTTTGGGTTCAGGTTAGGATTTGCACAGCAGGTCTTGGGATATCATTTAACTGTCCACGCCGACGAGGTCAAGGCGGCGGAGGCCACAGACAGGATACATGTACCTGGTGCTCTACCTCATGAGCAAGCGCAGAGTCCTCTACACTGGCGCGTCTTGGGTAGGGGCGGAGGGAAAGGCTGTTACTGCTGGGGTTGCGTCGCCGGACACATGTTGTGCAGGCCTTGGGATATCATTTAACTGTCGTGAGTTGGTTCGTTTGAAGTGTATTTCTAGTTGGGGCCTTTGCGTGCCTAGCTGCGGGTGTTACGGGTGGGTAACAAGGGCGCATTGGGTGGATGGTGCTTGGGTTTGGGCTTGGGCTTATTTGGGTTGTGGGAATCTACCTTCTCGGTCATGATCGTGGTTGGGGTTTTCTAAAGTCTACACAGTAAGGGAGGTGAAAAACAGACAAGACGTTGGAATTCCCGTGAGGGTTGACGGCTAGATAAATGAATGAGTGGTCCTGATACCGACTGCTGGTTGAAGCCAAAGCAGCGGTAGAATTAAGATCTGTACTGTATCTTGTGTCCTCTATTTGCTCCTGTTCTACGGTGACAATGAGGGACAAGTCATTGTATGGCCATCCCCATCCAGATGGCTTTGAAGTTAGGTGTTCAAGTCTGCTTAAAGATGAACTTTACGGAATTGTTTTCATCAAATGCTTTCCACAACTCGGAACTTCGTCGTCGACTCGCCAAGCTGCGGGGCGGCGGCGGTTGGTTGTCACACAGCTTCCCCCCCCCTGCAACCCGCACCGGGGATCAAATTAGGTGAGCCGTCTGCGGGATCATTTCTTGACATCATTCGCTCTCGATCAAATGAGTGTGGGCATTTTTGATCTGAGCAGTTACCGTTAAGGTTACAGCAGCAACGGCAGGACTCGCAGGAAGGTAGCGAATGAATTTAATTAGTAGAAGAATTCCCGCTTTCCTTTCACTTTCTTTTCTGTTTCCTTCGCTCTCCCTTGACTGAGGACACTTAGAGTATCGCACGACGCTAAGCGTCACCGCGGCATCACCACTACAACTTTCATTGCTCGTAGTCGGTCTATACATTATACATCCACAATTTGACAGCTACACACCCCGGGCTTCCAGCAACGTGCAACACAAGGTAGTCACTCAAACCCCATCATCAACCGCCATGGCCACCTCCACAGTAGGCCTCGTCAACAACTGGTATCCGCCGACCCGCGAGAACTACGAATTCGTCCTCTCGCTATGGAAATGGTTCCCCGCTGTAAGTCCTCCCTCCCCCTCCTCCTTGACTCTGCATACCACATTCACCCACGAACATCATGGACACAAATCCCTAACATATTCACTCACTCACCCGGTGACCAGTGGGCCTCCCTCCAATGGTTTATATCCTGGTACGGCATGGGCAAAACCTCCGTGACCTCCCGATTCAACCTGCCCGGCCGAATCGGGTGGCTCACAATGGAAGCCCCGGGCTTTTTAACCCTGCTCTACACCCTCCGCACCCTCCCCTCCCAAGCCCTCTCCTCCTCCTCCTCCTTAACCCCCTCATCCGTCGACATCGACATCGACCTCCCCTGGCAAAACAAAGTCCTCGCGACCCTCTTCGTGCTGCACTACACCTACCGGGCCCTGCTCTTCCCCTTCCTCCAACCGTCCATGTCCCCCCTGCACATCCTCATCTGGGCCTCCGCCATCTGTTTCCAGGTCATCAACGGTCTGTGTCTTGGTTCCTGGCTGGGCGGGTACGGCCCCACGACGGCGAACGACTGGGCCGTGACCTCCCCGACGTGGCAGTTTGTGGCGGGGATTGGGCTGTTTTATGTCGGGTTGGCAGCGAATTACTACCATGATGATGAGCTGCGGGAGATAAGAAGGCGCCAGGCGAGGAAGCAGGCGAAGGATGTCAAGGATGGGAAGGTGAAGGAGGGAGGGAGTGTGGAGAAGCATTATGAGATTCCAGAGGCGGGGCTGTTCAAGGTGGTGCTGTACCCGCATTACTTTGTTGAGTGGGTTGAGTGGTTCGGGTTCTGGATGGCGGCTGGGTGGGGGTGCGTGCCGGCGAGGTGCTTCTTGTTGAATGAGATTGCGGCTATGCTGCCCCGGGCGGTTAAGGGGAGGCAGTGGTATGCCGAGAAGTTTGGGGAGGAGAGGATCAAGGGACGATGGGCTGTTATTCCGGGCGTTATCTGAGTTCTGAAAGGATGGGGTCAGGGGATGGGAAGTAATGATGAGGTTGAGGAATGGTGGGCTGTCATAGGTTCAAGTACCAGTTTTAATATTGCTGACACCGACATAATTGCTGCAAGACAAGCTGAATTCGTTTCATATTTACTTCTAGTCCCGCCCACCTCGCACACTTATACTACAACAGGCAAGCAGAGATTCTCATGGATTGCTATACTCAAACAACGCAAACCCATCATTTTCAGCACGCAAACAAAAGAAATCTCACCCCGCTATAGAGGCATACAGTCGCCTCGAGTAATGATGAAACAATCAACGCCGCCCATGCCGCCCGCCAGGTTATCTATCGTACTCCAATCTCCCGGGGAAGCTCCCCAGCTGGTGTCAGGCCGATCTCAGCAAAACAATCCACCCTGTGTTGTCAGGGAAATCACCTCGGCGATTCCATTCCCCTCTCAGCACCCTACCCCTAAGCCGCATTCGGCCCAGGTAGCTCTTTGGGAGCTGGCGGTGGCGGTGCGGGTGGTGGGGGACGCCCTGCGCCTGTACCCTCGCTGCCCGCGCCAGCACCGTCGCCAGACAAGGGTCGTATCGGGATGCCGGGCTCGATCGACTGGACCGGCTTGGGCACGGATATCGGCCCAGGAGGGACGGCGATACGATCCAGCTTCTCACCGCGCAGGACCTTCTCCACCTCGAAGCGGTCAAGCGTCTCGTAATCTACCAGGGCCTTGGCCAGGAGATCAAGCTCCTTCCTCTTGGACAAAAGCAGCTTGCGGGCGCGCTCATACGACTCGTCGAGCACCCTCTTGACCTCGGATTCAACCATGGCACGTGTTTCGGAGCTCAACTGGTTGTATTTCGTGAGATATTCGACAGGCCCAAGGCGCTCGGACATGCCGAGCTGAGCTACCATCTGCCAGGCGGTACGGGTAGCCGAGTCGAGATCCTATCATCAGTTAGTTTGTGCATTCATTAAGGGGGGTGAGAGGATCAACGTACAGCACTGACGCCGCTCGTCACAAGCTCATGACCATAGACGATCTCCTCGGCGACCTTGCCGCCCATGGCGCGGTCAATCATGCCCAGGTAGTCCCTGATGGTGTAGGAATACTTGTCCATCTCCGGGAGGTAGGCCGTGTGGCCAAGACTTTGGCCACGCGGAAGGATAGTCACTTTGTAGAGCGAACCTGACTGGTCACCAGAGAAGTAAGCAACCAGGGCGTGGCCGGCTTCGTGGTAAGCCGTCATCTCCTTCTCCTTGGGCGTTATGACCATACTCCTCTTCTCGGCACCCATGATGACCTTGTCTTTGGCCCATTCAAAGTGCGTCTGTAAAACCGACTTGGCCTTGAGCTTGCTGGCGCGGACTGCGGCCTGGTTGACAATATTCTCCAGCTCGGCGCCGGAAAGACCGGGAGTGCGGGCGGCGATGGCCTCAATGTCGACGTCATCGCCCATCTTGATCTTCTTGGCGTGGTGCTTGAGGATGGCAATGCGACCGCGAATATCAGGCAGAGAAACAACAACATGTCGGTCGAAACGGCCGGGACGCGTGAGTGCCTTGTCGAGCGATGCCGGGAAGTTGGTAGCAGCCAGAACGATGACGCCGCTGTTCTGAGAGAAACCATCCATCTCGGTAAGCAGCTGGTTCAGAGTCTGGCGAACATAGGTGGCGTCACGCGAGTTGCGCCTGCCGCCGATTGCGTCGAGCTCGTCGATGAAGACGATCGAGGGAGCCTTGGCTTTTGCCGCGTTGAACAATTCCCGGACGCGCTTGGCACCGACGCCAACATAAATCTCGTCGAACTCGCTACCAGACATGAAGAAGAAGGGTACACCAGCCTCTCCCGCAACAGCGCGAGCCAACAGGGTCTTACCAGTGCCTGGGGGACCAACGAGGAGGACGCCCTTGGGGAGCTTGCCACCCAGCGTGCTGAACTTCTCCGGATTCCGGAGGAAGTCAACCAGCTCCTGAAGCTCCTCCTTGGCTTCGTCGCAGCCGTGCACGTCGCTAAACCGGGCCTTTTGATTTTCGGGTTTGGCTTCGTTAGGATCCTTGGCGCCCGGCCGTTTGAAGGTAGTCATTCCTTCAACAACCATAGTCACAATAGCCAAGCTGAGATAGGCGCAGAGACCGAACCAGAGAAGAAACTTGATCCACCGGAGAGCTGCAGTACCGAATGTCTCGTCGACGATAACGTGAAGGGGGCCGTTCTTGGAGCCGGTACCTCCTCCGTTCGAGAACGCCATATTGCCACCGGAATGATGGGCGGCGACAGCCTGTCCAACTGCCTGCAGTCCCGTCGGGCTGAGGCCAGAAGGGTGGGGAGCCGAGTCGGCGGTAACGCCTGTCGTACCGTTGATCATGGCCAGGGCTCTGCGGTAAGCATCATCGCAAGCTTCGTTAGTGGCAAACCGTCCTGCAGGCGGAAGCGTTAGCACATTAGAGTCGGGAGAAACGGAGTGTTACAAGATGAAGCTGAGCGTACCAGACTGATACCGTTCGACGACAATCGCCGGCATTTTCGCCTTGAGAAGAAGCTGGTAGAAAGAATTTTGAGCCGTGGCACTGTTGGGATTCCGGTTGGCAGCAGCCTCACGGTTGGCCAAAAGATCGCGGGATACGCTATCCATGCCGAAGTTCCGGGTTTGAATGATCCGAGAGGGGTTTTGAATCTTGATCCACGTATACCGTTGCATGCGGCTTGGCTGGTATGTGCTCATGGAGCGAAAACCGGGAAACGCAGTCAGGGGACGAGTCATGAGGGTCGCGTAGGAGCGGCGGATGAGGGGATTCGCCATGGCGAGGGACCGAGAGGACATGTTGGAAACTTCCGTGAAGATGTTGATGGGTGAAGCTCTTTCCAGGCCGCGGCCAAGAGAATGCTGTGGCAGCACTGCGTCGCACAGAAAGTCTGGAAGCTCGGTGCTTGTTCTCCTCGCCACATCCGACTCGGCACGATGGGAGACTTGGTCGGTTGTGCTCGGGTTGAACGATGTCGGCGGCTGGGTGCGGCGTGCGGCTACAGCATGGCTTGGTCGGGACTTGGAAACTGGCGCAGCTGGAGAGACAGATGTTAAGCCTCTCCAGGGAATCGTCAGAGTGTTCGCGATAGATGGCCAGAGGTCCGAGGTCGCTGCTGCGATGCTCTGCGGAGGCGCATGTCAGACACGGGTCAACATGCAAGATCGACCTGATTTGTTGAGATGACAGAAAGGGCAAAGTAACTTACCGGCAGCCCACTTGCGTGGAAAGCCATCGTTGTTTGTTCCCGCTCTCTGGAACAGCACCCCCGAAAATCACGGAATGCGGGATGCAGTTGCAAGAGGCAGATGATGCAAGGAGATGGCGGCGTTTCGTTGGGGGGTTGAGTTGATTAGTGGACCCCGGACTTGACAGGCTTGCCTCCGGCCTTGGCAACCTGGCCACCCGGGCCACCCTGGAAATTTCCCTTTCGTCCCACGTGACTTGGCGTTGGACCGGTATTCAATTAACTGCTTGGGTCGCGCCTTCGCGTCTCACTGAGAACAAAGGTTGGATGAAAGGATGGAGTCTAATTGTACAGTCTACAATTTTGAGTGAACCTATTCCATCTTCCAAATTCAGCATCGCATCGGATTCCTTGCCTTTATCCTCGCCAATATAACTTGGAAAATATGAACCGCTCAATCGAGCAGGCTCTCCTGTCACTCCTCCCAACCCACAACGATGCTCTGCCGCAGCCCCTCACAGAACTGGCTAGTTCGCTGCTTGCCCAATCCCGCCACCGCGCAAGCACGCTGAAAGCAGAGGAGGAAATTGCGCGTCCTTATGCCTGCGCACATTTGGCATGCGAGCGGCTCAAGACGACGCTCAACTTACCCCCAATCGACCCGCGCCCGCCCATCCCACCACGCATCTATAAGCGACTTTACAGTCATTTAGAGAAGATCCTGCCCACCGCTGCTTCCACCCCAAGCCGCAGGACGCCAGGCGGAACCACTACCACCACCCTCGGCAGCGGGCGTGTCCGAACGCCCAGCTCCAAGCTCCGCCAGGGACATCAGCAACAACAAGACTCTCCGTCCCCGTTGGCGAACAAGTCCAAGTCCCGACCGACCCCAAGCAAAGCCACATCCCTCTCCCAATTCAGCACCACCCCAACAAAACACAAATCGCCGGCGGCAGCAGCAGCAGCAAGGAATGGCCGCTCCCATGACCCTCTTCCGCGGTGGATCCGCCCCACGCTCCGGTTCCTAACCGCCCGTCTCGGGCCGGCACACATCGGCCCCGTGGTTGCCTCTGGATTGGAATCCATCATCACGCCTCGGGGCAAGCTCACTGACGACGCGTGGGTGCTGGCCAACCTGGTCCCCGTGCTGGCCGCCGTGTACCTGTACGTCTGGCGCGGCGTGACATGGCCCGGGCGGGCGATGGACCAGGCTGTGTACGTCAAGTTTCGGAAGGACCTGGCCGGGACGCTTGCACAGGTGAGAGGGCATGTTAAGTTGCCTGAGGTTGAAGGCGGGGGGGAGGAGGAGGACGGGTGGAAGGGGTGGAAAGACGGGGTCGGGGTCAAGGAGTTTGATACCGCCGCGTTGAGGGGCAATCGGCACGGGTGGTTTGATATGGATTGGGTTATGGGAGTGCATGATTTGGTGATGAGGGAGATGGATGCGGAAGATGGGGAAGGGGGGCAGGAGGAGGAAGACGAGGAGCAAGAGGTGGTGGTGGGGCAGGCGAGGCTGCCGGATACCATGTTTCAGGAACGGTATGATTATCTGAGTGAGAGGAAAAGGAAGGCGTATGCCGATTGGAAGGAGGGGGTATTGAAAAGAATCAGGGAGCTGGAGAAGGGCTCTTGAGGCCGCTAAGAAGACGCGCTGGGCGATTTTTATCTACGAGTCTTATGGCTATCCCTGGGCCGATGCGGTCACGACCTCACGCCCCAGCCTTCTTCAAACTCTTCACGGTGTCAACCACGCTCTTCTCAAACCCGATCCAGTCAATCCCCAACAACTTTGTCGTCGCCGAGTTGTCATACCGGAACCTCCCCTCCTCGGGCGGGAGCTCGCCGCCTTTGGTGTCTGCCGTCGGCAGCAGCTCCGCATACTCTGGGAAATTCTTCCTTATGACGGCAGCCAACTCGGAGTTGCTAAACAGCCCGCTCACGGTAAACAGCCTCTTCCCGCCGGCCTCGGGAATCTCCAACCCGGCCTTGATGTGCGCCAAGGCAACGTCTCTCACATCAATCCAGATAATGGCCGGGCCCGTCGACGGTATCTCCTCGCGCCATTTGCCTCTTAGACAATCCAGGAAGCGTTCGTTGCTGGTGTTGATGGACTCAAGGCTGCTGAGGTAATGAACCACCGGCCCAAACACCATGGGCGGATTGACGGTGACGAGGTCAAACTTGGCCCCGTTGGCAGGATCCTTCACAAACTCCCACGCCGCGCGCTCGGCAAGTGTCTTGCTTGCTCGGTAGGCGGTGGCAGGGCTGTTGTGAATGTCGGCAAGAGTAACAGGGTTCCACGAGGATTCGCTGTAGGTGGTTGACGGGTCCCAAATGTGCGCCTCGTCGAGTATGGCGGCGAAGGACGACGTGACAACGACCCGCCGCACGGAGGGTGCTGAGCGAGCGATGGCGCGGAGGATGGAGGTTGTTCCGATTACGGCGGGATCGACTAGCTCTTTCTTGGGGTCCTCTGTTTTTGGGGGGAGTGGTTGTGTGAGCATGAGCCAAGATGATGAGGGAGAGGAGGTGACGCACTCCACTTGAAATGGAAAGGAGAGGCAGTGTGCAGGACGACTTCCAGTCCAGGTGTCCTGACCACCTCGTCAAAGGCGTCAGGCTGCGCAATGTCTGGAACTATGGCAACGGTGAGGTCGCCCGAGGCGGCTTGAGCAGGGTATGCCTCGCGGATCTTGGCGGCCTTGTCCTCGGAGCGGACAGTCGTCACCACTTTGTGGCCCTTGGCGAGGAGCTGTTCGAGGATGTGGGCTAGCATTTGTCAGTAATCGGCTCGGACACCCTTCGGAGACTCTGCCGGCCACGCCGGTGCCGGTGCCGGCGCTGGCGCAAGTCGTCAATCCGGTGTGAGATCCACCCGAAGGTGTCTGCGTACCTGCAATGAAGCCGGAGCCTCCTGTAATACACGTCAGCTTTCTCCGTCGCAACTTCTATAGAGGAGCGAGATCTTCCGGGCAAAGCTCGGCATCTCACCCCCGGTTGCGAAGGGACGCACCTGTCAAGAGAACGTTGGCCATTTTCGCTCGTCCTTCTTCGGTCTGCTTGCAGCACGTTGCTTGGGAGTCACGCCTGAAATCTACGTCCCGAGCTTTATAACACAGAAATCATCTCAACAGTATGCCCCTTCGCAGCTAAGTGGATGGATCCCGGGTTATATACCACCGGCAACCCCGCTCGTATTGCACCCGGCAATGGAGCCCCGCGGTGCGGGCGGATGCTTGGGCGGGATCCACAATGCATCTTTCGTCTTGACGTGACGTGATCGATCGCTCGGAGGGTTGTTATCTCCGGGCTGCGCTTCCCGGCTTCACGTTCTCCTGACTCTTATACCCTCCCGTCTATCGAGCGTGATGTGCGACACCATGCGTAGCCTTACAAAGCAAGCTTTCTAGAAGCAAGCTGATAGCCAATGGCTGGTTTCCCGGTGATGACGGGATGTGTAAGCGGCGTGCCGCAACTTTCGCCCTTCTTTACCGATTATTTAAGAGGGCAGTGGGTTGTTGAACAGGAATAACAGATTTGGGTGCTAGATTCTCCTTCATCAGAGGCGGGACGATTGTAGACAGACTTTCTGTGCTTTGGAAGACATCTCAAGCAGGCTGCCCTCAGCAACCAATCCCACATCCCAATCCAACCTACACACCAGCAAAACAATTAGGCGGGTAATCATTGCAGTTGCTAAGTATGTAGGTAGCCTGCTTTGCGTGTCCTCTTACACCAGAGCGCGACATACCAAATAACCCTGCCCCCCGCCCATATCAACTATTACATAGATAAAAACCAAGACATCATCAGATCGAAAAGGAGTCAGGGAGTAAACGGGCCGCCGTCCTGTGTTAACCCGTCTTAACTCCCAGACCCAGGTCCCAAAGCGCAAGACTGCGCCAAAAGAAAGCATTCTTGCTTTACCGTATCCCGCCCCCGCGAAAAAGAGGCTCTATATCATGACTACCGGTACCAAATCAATCAAAGTTCCCTTCCCATCCCTTCCCATCCATTTACTGCTCCATGTCCATCCGCCCTTGTGCAATGATCCATCCTCCACCGCAAACCTACCGAAAAAAAAGGCCTTACTACCCTTCTGTAGTATCCATCCTCTCCACCCGCTGCCCACCAACCCCGGCCGCAGCCTTATCCTTATCCTTCGCCATCTGCCTCCTTTCCGCCTTCCACGCCTCAATACGGCCTCTCAAATCCTCATCCGGGACAACATCATCAATAGTCATAGGCTGTCGCGTGTAAGGGTCCTTGGGATCGCTCAGCAGGTGCTGGGTGATAGTCGACCGATCAACAACATGCTTTGACGGGAGGATGACGGGGTCGGACATGAGGATGCCCATGATGGGATCCTCAAACTCGGGCGGGGCATCGTCGTAATCCAGCTCGGCACGGTCCAACCTCTCTTTCGCCTCTTCAAACTTGGCAGACAGCGCCTCCCACGCAAGGATGTCCTTCTCGTCCTTGAGGTGTTTGCTGCGCAGGATGTAGGCCGTCATGGACATGATGGAGGCCTTGTAGGACCTGCCGTCCGCGGCGACGGCCTCGATGAAGGCATCGCTTGAGCCGAGGTTGATGTAGATGTCGACGAGCTCGGGCAAGAGGGTTTTGGGATTGAAAAAGTATTTCTCCGGGTTCTCGACCTTGAGGGTTTTGGATTTGGGACCTGTAAGGATGTCGAGGTTGTAGTCGAGCATACCGGCGAGCCGCTGGACGATTTCGGGCATGGTGAAGGACTCGCTGATGGTGGTGGTGAAGAGCTTCATCATGCTGACCGTCTCGTTGGCAAGCTGCATGAACGATGTGGCTTGTCCCTCAGCCGCCTTGAGATCTTCCTCGGTCTTTTCGCGTTCTTGTTGCGAGAGGTTGGGGTCCCTAAGCCGAACTTGCAAGTCGTGAATTTTGGGGAATTTGCTGAGGCCTTCGTCAAGGACATAAGTGGCATCGTTCAAGAGCAGGTTGACGAAGCGGACGAAGAAGGATCGGTTTGTCCTATGCTGGTTAGAACGATAGAGAACGACACGGCGGGGCGTGGAAAAGCGCTTACTTGCTCGACTGAACCAGCTGCTGCCGGTATACGTCGTTGGTCCAGATACATTTGATGACCTGGAAGATCTCATATCGGATATTGAATTTGTCGTAAAACTGAGTGTGTGCGCCAGTCGACTCGCACTCAATGTAGAACTTCATGACAGCATGCAAAAGGTAGTCGTTGGCGAACTTGGTGTTGGTCATGAGATCGCCGAGTACCCCTTTCTTAAGATGATACGTCGGCCATGTCCCGTGAGAAAGCAGCGTAACGAGAGACGACTTTAGGTACGGATTCTTGATGTACTCGGAAGATTCGAGGAAAGTGATGCACAACGCAATCATCTCGTCGCCGACTGCCGAAAGAATAATCTGTGGGATGTACCGGAAGACGAACTTGAAGTTATCGACAATGTCCTGCAGTGCGTACTCAGGCAGACACCTAAATGCCTCGGGTTGGTCGGACTGCAGGGGAAGCCGAAGAGGTTTGTCGGGGGTGTACTCTGTCCGGCTGGCCACCCGAAGCAGCCAGACAGTCACATAACGCATGAACTGCAGAGACCGGCTCTGCATCTTCTGTTCCAGCAGAATCCCCTCAATAGAGAACTTCAAGGCCATGGACATTTCCAAGACGGTCGTGTGCCGCTTGAGCGCCGCATCCAGCATACGCAGCTGGTCTGGGCGATTAACCAGTTTTGGACGCTCCGCCTCCATCATGGCAATGTTCTTTTCGTAGTACTTGATATCCCTGTCGAGATTCTTCATCTTGGAGTTCGCCGCTTCGCTGCCATAGTGATGTGCAGCAAGAGTCAAGAAAAAGACTTCAGTGATGAAGTTGGATTCGCCATCGACCTTGGTCGCGTAGAAGGCATCTGACTGCGCTTGATCTGCGTTGAGTTTTGTCTCATCCTTAATGTCTATCCTCGGATTCCTCCTGAAGTAGTTGATATCAATGCGACCGACTTTGGAGAATGTGCTGTCCATAAAGGGCTCGCACAGGCAGTCGAGAATGACAGTCACGTTCATCATGAAGCCGTCTGACGAGACCTCTCTCGGGTCCACCTGAATAGCGCGCCTCTTGTGATTGGCATTCATGATGTATGCGAACCAGTCCAGCACCCTGTTCCGAGTTTCAGGGCTTGCTCGGATAAAGGCATTTATGATGGTCTTGAGATCCGTTTGGTGGGCTCCAAGTGTCATCTGGAGGGCGCTCTGGGAGGTCTGTATGCGGGCCTTGTCCATTGTCCTCGGTCCGGAGAAGTATACCGTAGTCACCTCTGGTTGCAGGGGTGATATCCTAAAAAAGGGCCCAAGGATGGTGTTCTTTTCAATCCCGGGTGCCGACTGTGCCATCTGGAAGCAAGGGTGCTGTGCCAAGGCGTTTAATAGAGGGGGGAACCTCGAATACGTCAAAAGAGCCTACCAATGTCAGCAGAGGGACGATGGCCAGCTCGTCTGGTTGCCACCTACATTGACATAAGGCTTATAATCATCGTTCATACTCATCGTCGAGAGCTTGCTGCTAATGTCCACCATCCCCTTAGTAAATAGCGGAGCAATAGTATCGTCCTCGTCCAGGCGTGCCACGGCCTCTACGTAGAAGTCCATGCACAAGCCATTCTCGCTCTCGACCTCGCGCAGGAGCCACGGCACAAGGGTGTCGTGCGAGGGATTAGGTTCTCGCCTTGATCAGGTCAGCGGGCAAACACAACTTTCCTCATATAAAAGACCAGCGCCATACCCAAACAGCTCAGGCATCGTCAGCGCAAAGATGCAGTTGCTAAAGCACAACCTCTTTGCCTCCTTCAGGAGCGCCTCTTTTTGGGGTGCCGGGCCACGGAGCATCTTAAGCGTCTTGACCACCCTCTTCCAGCAAGCCAAAAGGTAGTCGAACAGCGGCCGGTCGTGCTGGAACTCGGTCCCCGCCTCCATGATGATCTGTTCCAGCCGGCTGGCATCCAGCCTGAGCGGTAGCCCCTCGTCCTGCAGCTCCTGGTGGAGATTCGGCAAGAAGGTAAACTGGCGACCATGGCTATCGGTCGTACGGTCCGGATCGACCGTCACGCGGAAGATGGCGCCTAGGATCCGGTCCGTGTACTCCTCGAACGTCTCTTCGCGGTGCAGCGGTGTTTGCTTCCGAGGCGGTGCCGTCGCTGCGGGCCCATCAATCTCTGATGCTCGTCTCTTTGCTCGGGTGTCTGTGATGTCTGTAATACCTGATGCGCTGCTATCTACGCTCTGTGGGGTTGCTGCGGGTGCCGGGGGCGCCGGCGAGATGTTGATGGTGGGGCGGGTCTCTATTGACGAGGACTGCTCGGCGCCAGCATCTCTCCTTTCGGTTTCGGGCTTCGCAGGCTGTGATGAGCTCGGGGCTGAGGAGGAAGATGTTGTCTCGGCCGGTACCGGAGCCGGAGGACCACCTAGCTTAGCCAGCCTCCGTCGCCGAATCTGCTCCATCGTCTCCTTGTCTGGTGCATCGGGCGTCGCCGGCGTCTGGTCGTTGGGATCCATCTTCTCGGTGATCAAGAGGCAAAGTTGAAGGATACTACTGTCTGAGAAGATGGTTCTGGAGAAATCGAGAAGGAAGGGAACGGACCGCACCCAAAAGGCCGCTTGGAAGGTCGTCGGAGATAGGCACAGGTGTACCTAAACCGTGATGACAGTGCAGCAGTACAGCTCGCCTGAAGCTTTTAGAAGGTCACCGAAGGCTTCGGGATGATGGCGGGGTTGCAGTGTGCTAATCCGACTGGAGCCTGCGGCAATGTGCCTAAGTTATGCAGCAACCTAACGTAATCAGCCCACTGCGGCCCGAGTTACAGGCTGCCGTGCCCCTGCTGTCACCAGCCGCAGCGCCTGGTATTCTTATCGATAAGCAATCACTCGCAACCTCGCCGTTGAAGTGGCTTCGTTACTCAAAGGTCACGATCGAGCACAGAGTATCATGAAGAACAACGAAGCTATTGTACACAAAGGTCAGACAGTGATCGCACTCACAGATGTAAACATTGAGAGCATCTTAGAAAATCAGGCTTGTATCATTAACTGCATGAACATCATTGCTGTTCCTCGACTTGGTCATAGACGCGTGTCATAGCTCTAGCGATCCCAGGGATATTTGGTTCGCCAATACTCCAGTTTGTCATGTGCCGTTTCAGTCCCAAACGCCCCGTCTCCTAGATCAAACCCATAATACTTTCATAAATCGGCAGCTTTGCTGCCTTCTCAGTTCCGTGGTCGTCATGTCCATATTTCTATGTCAAGCCGGTGACCGCATCCGTCATGATCTTGGCTGACTCGATGCGAAAACAACCGTTGGTCACCATGCTGCTGGCCGAACGACTCGTTGACCTCGGGGCCAAGGTCGCCAACGAAGACGCTGAACTCGGGCGCCACGATCATCACTAACTTGATGGTCAGCAAGGAATTAAGCAGACAAATGTTCCAATGTTCCATGATCCTTACCGTCGATCAACCAAGCCTCCACCAGAAGCCGTAGAACCACACCATGAACAACAAAGACAGCAGCAGTGGCAGGGTAGATGCCTTGGACATCGACACCACCGATCATGCCAGAGCGTCCAGCCTTCGCAGTGGAGCCGGATGCACGGTTATGGGGACTTGCGACCATAAGTGTGCCGGTGGTCACAGAACGCTTGATTCAACGCTCCCCAGCGCGCTCACACAGACCTGTCATGGCAACCCTAAACCGTGTTCAACTTGAAGACTCTGGTAGAGCCAGGGCCCGGAGTGCCATTCAAATTCAGTGCCCGACGGATGGGTTGTCAGTGAGTTCAGCCATCAAGCTGGTAGCCAGCTAGGACTAAACCGTTGTTCAGCATGCCATCGTCGGCGCTGTGTGTTGTCTTCATCCTTTTCAGATATCAGACAGCTCCGAGAAGGATGGCAGCAAAGAAAGACGCCGGCACATCGTGGCTAGAGACGGGGAGGGTTTTCCCCTCTGCCGTCACTGTTCCGGCGACTGCCCGCGCGATGTGGTGCCGGATTCTCGGGAGAACTTCTCGTGCCACCAGAGTCTGGGGAACGTGACATGCCGGGGTTATGGGAACCCCCTGACCGCTGCTGGGCGTGACTCTGTCGCTGCATGTTCATGAGCCACGTGGTGTGCATGTTGAGCACACCGACCTTGTTGGCAAGCTCTGAGAGCTGCTCGGTGATGCGCGAATTTGCTTGGAGCCGCAGGAGGGACTGGCTCGCATCCATCTCCAACACCTTCCTGCGCAGGTCCTCGATATGCGATTCCATGCGCTCGAATTGTGCGAGCATATAGTCCTCGGTTGAGCCCCACGCTCCATTCTCACTGCCACTGAAACTGTTAGAGGTCTCAATAGGTTCCTGGCCTGCAGCCGTGGCTCGCCCAGCATCCAAGAGAGCGACATCCACGGCCAGAACTCGAGGAGTGGCCGGTAATGCATGACGCCGTTCCCGCCGTTCCCGCCGCTCTTGCCGCCGCTGTTCTCGATCTTTGGTGCGAGTCTCTATAGCCGCGAGACGTCCAGAGAGGTCGTCAATTATTTTGCGGTCTTCGGCTCGCTCCTGGATCAAACGGCCAATCCCTTCGAACGAGCATCCATCTCCCTCGTGTTCCTGGACAGTTCGACGCTTCCCCTCCACCTTGCAGCCTGCTGTGTGCCACTTGCACCGTGTTAGCCCATCGGGGCAGTCGTTGGATTTGTGCTTCTCCAAGCGGTGGCGCAATATTGTCTTGCCGCAATCTGTGCATTCGATTGTTGCTCCGTTACAAGTAAAGTCGTAGTGCGCATCAAGCTCAACGAGGGTCACAACCTCGTCGCAGTACTGGCAGTTCACCTCTTGGTGCAGACACCCCTTTGCTGGCATGGCGTCGCGGCGCGCGATGCGCTTCTTGCATCTGGGATCTGGGCAGCGAACCAGCGTGAACTCGCAGCGGCGCTCATAGTGCCCCTCGAGGTGCTCACGGGAGCATTCATGGCCACAACCCCTATTAGGGCACTTGACCCTGAGGCGGTCCAACTGATCCTTGATGATTAACGGAAGTCGAAGGTAGTCTCGCGTCTTGTCGATGGGCCGGCGGTCAATCGGGCAGACTGCTTGCATCTCGAGCGCTCGATTGATGCATCCAGCGCAAAAGGTGTGGCCGCACGGCGTTGTTATCGGAAAGTGAAATGGGGTGCGGCATACTGGACAAAGCAGTGTCTCGTCAACGGGCCCGATGTACTCGAGGGTCTGGTAGTCGATCTCGAGAAGTGTAGAGTCCGCTCGCGACGCGCAAGCAACGGCACTGCTCGACTGCGGGGAAGCTGGACGATGAATGGGTGATGCGGGTCGGGATGTCGGCTCTGTCATGCCCTCCTCTGGGGTATTCGGAGGCGGCATCGTATTGTGGTGACGCGCACGTAGCGTTGCGTTGAGAATGCCTAGCCTTTGAGGAGGGTCGATGAACCAAGATGGACCAGATCAGTCGAAAGTGCAGACATCCATGAGGAAGAAAGAGCAGGCAGATAGGTAAGAGAAATAAATAGGGCCGGAGGTTTGATAGGGTTGTTTCATTTCACCGTTGGATTCCGAGCCCTATTCAAGAACCAAAGGTCTATTGTGCTTTCAGTCAACAATGGGAGTTGGAGACGCGGTATTGTTACTATTGTGCGCAAAGAGCACGCACGGCGTTGCCGAGGTCGAGATCGCGTTGAGATAAATTGGTAGGCCAAGGGCTTCTTGTGAGCCAACGCTCGGACCACCTGAAGAATACGGAGTACAAGCGGTAAAACTCGTCATCGGTTCCTAACTTCATTTACGTCCCTTTACACAATAGTGACAATATTGTTGGCGCAGTCTCTAGATTCATTGTTGTATGAAACTTCCGAAGACAATAGATCAATGAAGACACTCAAGTTAGCCTTCATTCTCATTGAGAGTCACCACAGCAGGCCAGATGGCGGTGTCCAGCTTGGAGTGGAGCCAGCAGTGGCTGATGTAAGGATAACGGGTTAACAGACACATGTTCAACCTCTCTGGACAGAAGGTGAACCCCTCACTCAATAGAGAGAGAGAGTCTGTTGATGGAACATGTCACTTAACAAAAGGATCCATGCCCAGCAATTCTGGAGCTTCAAGGCTCATATTCAAGGAGGAGTCTGTATAGGCACCCTCTCTCCTGTTAATCCCCTGTCACTTGCATTGGCGAAGTATCACGTTTCCTTTCTCCCGAAGCAAGTAACTCTCCCGGTGTTGTCGGGCTGCCGGGTACTCTGCCCATCTCCCGTCGGATCCTCCATGGGCCCCGACCGGCTTGACGATCTACTCTCTAGCATCCAGTCCCCGGCAGACATCTAGAAGCCTATCATGCAAAGAAGACCGAACAGTCACTGCTACTCTCATCTTTCTGATGTTTCTCTTTACTGTTTTCATCTCCTCCCTGATCTAGTTTAAGGTTTGCATGGCCTCTGACTCTTGAACAGGGTATCCATTGATTTCTCCCCGTGTTCGCTTTCACTTACAAGCCCTGCCTTCTCCCTGTGTTCTCAGGTGGCGGAGGCCTTCAGTCACTCTAGAGAATAGGACGGTCTGGGATCGTTACTGAATATGAATGAGTGGATTGGATACTACAGCGAGAGTTGGTTCTAAGCCCCAGTGATTGTAAACGTACCTTAGACACCACCTACTCGGTAGGGTACGCAGATACTCTCCTTGATCGTTATTGGACGGCACAATACATGTGCTCAACCTGAATTTCACCAAGGCTGGCATATTCCAAACTCTCAGGGGATGTTGATCTCTATGGCTCGTCATAAATACCTCTCAACTGCTGGATGTCATGAGGATGACCCCTTTGAGACTGTGTTCAACCATGCAGGAATAAGGGGTACCGGTATAACCAACCAACCCCAAGGTCGATGAGCAGATTTTATATACGAGTAGCCGGTAGTCGGAACGATGGAATTGGCGGTCAGGTCTCTTTGAGCTGCTGACTGACTGCTTAGTTACGTTTTACGAGCAGATCGCGAGGACATTTAAGATTGCCATGTGTTGCCTGTGACACTCTGACACACGTGTAACCGAGGCCTATCGGGTACCTAAGACATCAGGTACGAAGATCTGATGAGTTCGGACTATCGGTAGGACGTCCAACATCGCTTGTCATTAATCGTAGAGGCCACGATGGGTCTTGCTCTGACCCACGAGCTGCTCTTGGCCAAAGGAATGGATCAGCCAAGAGTGTGTAATCCGGAACTGTGGCCGAGGGCTCTGTTCTGGTAACGCCCCCGTTTGTTTGGCATTACCAAATGGTACCGAAACGCACAACGGCCAAGTCATGTGAAGAACCCCGATTCAGACATGCGCAGAAAGGCGGCGGGCGCCGCACATCCCATCCCATCGTTCCCAGAGCCAACCAGAAACGGAAATGGCACACACGATTGCATCTCTGCGCTTGGCGGCTCAGACCCAGGAGTAGCCGGGCTCGAGCCGGGGCAAAATGAGGAGAACCTAGGATGAAGTCAAGCTAAGGCAGCGTTTGAGGGTAAAGACATCCACTTGGGCCAACAAGGTATACCGTACGGAGTGCTGTGGGATCCGAGTAGAATCGCAATTGCGCCTTGAAAAGGAATTGGGTCAAGCCGACATCACTACCTACGTGTTGAGGTTCCATTCTCCAGCTGTGCGGTGCGGTGTAACTCGAATTCAAAAGATTATCTGCGTGGGCGAGGTGGGTTCAACCTGGAAGTCGTGACCTGCGCGTGGGGCTGCGAACCATGCTGCGCTGCAGGCAGTGACGGTCCCCACCCAGCCCCTCCTCTACCCCCCCGGGCTGGCCCCCCAAAGTTTACCCCTCGGTCCAGCCCAGGCTGCTGCAGCCGGGAAGCCGAATTCAAACACCCCGGTCGCTCACTGTGGTTCGCAAGCCTGTCCCGCGGTGTGCGAGAGGTCAGATTTAGGTCCAGGTGGAGAACGATTTCTTTAAACTAGAGCCGCCGACTGCTCGACTGCTCTTGCTCGCCCAGACAACCATGGAATGCCATCAATTGCGTGCCGGAATGCTTAGAGCTATTCGGCCACAATAGCAATTGCTTGTCGCCCTCGACTGTCGTTACAGGAATCGAGTTAAATTACTCTTCGACTAACAACCATCCTCATTCCGTCCGAACAGTCATCGAGAGAGACAACAGGTGGAGCTGAAAGGGGGTACAGCACGAGGCAGGCACGCTGGCAGCAACAGCAGCGACAGCGGCAGGAGCACCAGAGCCAGCGGTCGCTGCGTCGGGATAGACATCGAATCGACGCAAATTGCTGCGAGGAGCCGTCGGCCCTGCTCAAATGAGCGACGAACTCGAGGCCCGTTGCGTAACCACAGCACCCAATGGGAGCAGCGTCCCACTAGGCAATGACGGCAACCGAAGCCATGGAGAGGGCGAGCGGGAATGAGGCCAAGGCCTCCAAGTCCGAGAGCGAAACAACCTCCAAGGATCACCATACGGCTGCCGCAGACGATGCCCACAGGACCCCGAAGAAGCGACGCAAGGTGAACCATGGTGAGCACTGCCGCAGATTCTTATGTCTCCCTGTAGCTGGGCCCTCGCAAAGCTAACGTCGCCTGCCTGTTCATCGCAGCTTGCCTCTACTGCCGCCGATCTGTAAGTCACCAACCCCCCAAGGCGCCAGGGCTACCCCATCTCTACTTCAGCAATTGGGCCTTTCTCCCCGTGTGGCGCACCAAGCTGCTACCGCCGAGAGCCACTGCGGCAGCACGCAGACGTCCGCACGCCCACTCAAGGCGGCAATATGCACCCCATCAGAAGTCGTGATAGTGGCTAACTATGTCATGCTGCTTTGGCTGCCTCCAGCATATGACGTGCGACCTCGTATGTACCCTCCCATGACTTGGATTATTGGTCCCCTTGTGGCGGACAAGCATTGACCTGAGGCTGTGGCGCGGACAGGAGAGGCCGTGTACGAGATGTATCAAGCGCAACATTGGGCACCTGTGCCATGATGAACCCCGTGACCACGAGTCAAGGAAGTCCAAGAGCGTGCTGGCGACGCCAACCGTTCAAGACTCGGCTTCCCAGCCGGACCTCGGGCCCAGCACCGTGAGCCAGAGCGCCGCCCCGATGAGGCCGCCCTCGTTCGACTCGGCCATGAGCAGCGGACCAGGGCAGGATGCGAAGGCCTCATTTGATGCCGCAGCCCTGGCAAGCCGGGGTAATCCCCTCCAGCTCGTGCAACCCACACCAGTGTCCAGCATTCAGACGACCGCGCTGAGCACTACCATGAGCCAATGTAGGCGGCTACATCCCTTAAACTCGTTTGTTTCTGCACAGGGGCGGGAAACTGACACTGCCGTCCCACAGTCGCCGGCTTTTCGGACGCTTGGCTATCCTCGCAGAACCATTTTCACGACATGCATAACTTCCACCCCAACTATGTGATTGCGCCCGAGGTCACAAATGAGTACAATCTCTTGAGTGACTTTTTGCAGACGAGCCTGCTTGACGACGGCGCGCTCGTTACAGATGACCCCAACCGGGCCGACTCGGTTTCGGGGTTCCCCACCAGCAACGCCATGTTGCCCCCGAGCGCCGTCCCGGGGAGCTCGATGCTGCCGCCCAATTCTGAGCAGGGCGTCAACATCCCGAGGCCCTCGAGCGCTCTCCCGACGGATAAGGCTCGCGAATACTACCTCCAGGCCGCGGACCCGTCGGGCAACGCTGCGCCAGAAGAGCGCATGCGCCAGGTTTTGCAGGCAAAGTACGACGCAGGCCTGCTGAAACCATTCAACTACGTCAAGGGATACACCCGCCTATCGACGTACCTCGACACCCACGTCGCGCCGTCGTCCAAGCAGAAGATTCTTAGGCAGCTCGATCGGTTCAGGCCGAAATTTCGCGAGAAAATGAAGGACCTTACCGATATGGACCTTGTTTTGGTCGAGATGTGGTTCGAGAGGACTCTGATGGATTATGACCGCGTGTTTGCAAGTATGGCTGTCCCTGCTTGCTGCTGGAGGCGGACAGGGGAGATTTTTAGGGGCAACAAGGAGATGGCCGAGCTCATTGACGTGCCGGTCGAGGACCTCCGAGGCGTAAGTACACATGCGGCAATACCGCTGGTGTCTAGTTCTGACGGCGTGCACTAGGGCAAGATTGCTCTTCACGAGATGCTCACAGAAGAATCCAATGTGAGGTATTGGGAAGAGTTTGGAACCATCGCATTCGACCCGGCCCACGACACGCTCCTCACGGCCTGCTCGCTCAAGAATCCTTATGACGAGACGAAGCGCATCGTGAACTGCTGCTTCTCATTCAGGATCCGCAGAGATGACCACAAAGTGCATGTTCTTTCCTCACTCACAGCGCCTGTCTGTCTGCTAACGTGCCGCCTCCAGTCCGAGTTTAATCATCGGAAACTTTCTTCCTCACGACCCGGAGATCGAACAGCATTAGTATACCATGGCCACCCTGCTTTTGCATGTCTTGACTATGCTCAATTCCCCACTCACCCGCTGTGCATACATATCTTCCAAGCCCGCAGAAGGAGCGGCCTCGCTCTCCCTACTGGGCTCTCATATGAGAGTTAACCGCCTGTTTCGGGAGTATATGCAGTATCAGCATTGATCATAGGCAAGGCGGACCATGGCGTTGTGGCTGGCTTCACTTACAACCAAGAACGATGAAGGCACTGCCAAAGTCGAGATATTATACCCTAAAAGCTAGCATCATTGAGAGCAAGCAGGGGCCTTTCTGGCGGGAGATTATACCGGGTCCTATACAAAAGGCTTATACATAAAATGGAATGGGTTAGCCTCATAAGAGGCGGTTACGGGCCTTTGACCAGTCCCTCTGAATTGCCATGGTCGTGCCTTCCACAGGGAAGTAAGGTACTTGCCTTGAGCGGAAACCGGACCTTGCGCTGCATCGTGACTGCCTGGATCAATTGATCATGCGGGTGTTAACATTCTAGTCGTTCCATTACCTTGTGGAAAGTTGAGATATTCGTTCTGGGTTCTATTGATCCCGGTAGATGGACCGTTATCGCACAGGTACAACTCTGGACAACAGAAAACGGGAACCGCCTACACCCCCAAACTCGCGATGCCTCCGATCCGGACACCCAAACATGCGTCTGCCTCGGCCTCTCGCTCCCAGGCAACCGGGAAATCCGAGAAGCGAATCGAGGCAGCAGTCGGTACGTTGCAATCATCACCACCACAAACTTTATCTTCCCCAGGTCACCCATCCATCCATCGAACTCTAACAAACCCTTCCCTCTCAACACACCTCATATCCCCCTTTCCAATTTACCCCAACCCACTAGATAGATAGATAGTAGCACCCCAAACTCCAGAGTTGAGTCAACCACAAACTAACACACAGCATTGACACTTTGACATAAACAAAAGAATTCGCCTCCTACCTGAAACGCCTCCTCACAAATCACCCATCCGACACCCCGCTCACAGAATCCCTTGTCTCAGACGCCGCAAGCCACATCGACCGTCTCCATGCCTGCCACCAGACCTATGTCCCTGGCCTGTCGGGCGACCCGGAGGTGGACGCGCTGGCGACGGGGTTGTGGAATTTGTGTACCCGTCTTGGGAGGGAGGAGGAACTTAAATGTCGGACGGAGGGTGGGGGTAGTACTGCGGTTGTGAATGTGAATGTGATTGTGAATGGGGGTGGTGGTGGTGGTAATGGTAATGGTAATGGTAATGGGGGCGGTGGTGGTGGTGGTGCTGGTGGTGGGCGTGAATGGGGGCAGGAGAAGGGGCTGGGTATCATCAGTCGGCAAGGGGTTGCAGGGGGGAAAGGGGGCCAGAAAGGAACAAGGCTTTCCCGGTTGTACCTCCACGGCAAGGTCCTCGCGTTCCATCTCCTGGGTGTTGCCCGGCCGAAGGAGAATGGGAGGGTTGGGGTTGTGGTTAGGTTAATGAGGTTGGGGTTCAAGGTGGTTAGGGATTGCATCGGTGAGTTCTCGTTGGAGGGGTGCTTGGGGTGCTTGTGGGTGTATTGCTGACGGTTTGATATCTAGATGCCGGCGACTCGAAGCTTGCTGGTCTAGTGATCCAGTCAGTTGCTGACTACAAAGGGTGGCTGCAGGATATGGCGGAGAGACTGCCTGATGAGGAGGTTAAAGAGTGCAGGTGCCTGGAGGTGGAGTATTTCATTATGAGGACTGCGCTGGTATGAAGAGTCGAACAGGATGTGGTTGGGTGGTTTTGCTGACTGTCTCAGTCGTGGCTCGAGGACCGGCTCGATGTCGCGGAGCATATGTACACCAAGACGGAACGGCTCCGCCAGTATCTCTCCCCGGACTACGCAGAACGGCTGGCTGATGTTCTTTACGAGATTGGGAAATCTCTGTCGTCCCGGAGCGATTTTACCATTGCGGTCAAGTGGCTCGAACGAGCAAATGAGATCATCAACAGCCAGGAACTTGAGCGACTATCTCGGGAAGGCGTCGAGTTGCGTCTCGCAGTTTTACAAGCTCTGGTTACCGCCCTCTTGGGCACTGGAACTGCGGATGGACTTGGAAAGGCTAAAAACTACGTGGAGTACATCGAGGCGGAGGCAGGCAACAGACTGGTTGTCTCGTTGCTAAAGCTCGAGCTGTTGCAGAAGACGCCCGCCGAGGTGTTCGACAGCGAGGCGTACGCTGACGTTTTGAGGCATATCATCCGGAACTTTGGCTTCTCGGAGTCGGGATTTAAGCTGATTGTCCACCACATCCGGAAGCTCCACGACAAGAGTCCCGGCGCAGGATGTGCGGTACTTGATGATTTCATTCTGGTGCTCAGGGGCTCGGAAAGGGGTGAGTGGATAGAAAAGGCCGTGGTCACACGTGTTTGGATGATTATCAACCAGAGGGATTCTGTTGAGACCATCAACTCCGTCAAGGGTGTTCTTGAACATCTTACAGCACCCCTGAGTGCGGAAGCTGCAGTGGCGGCTCAAGCGGTAAGTCATTGCCAGCCGTCTGTAACGTCATGCTTACTCCTGGATGCAGTTGATATGGAAAAAGCTGGAATCCAGCTACAGTCAAGGACAGTACGACTTGGCCGAGAGCTGGTGCCAACTGTCGCTTCACAGCGCCTTTCAGAACTGCGGTCCTGGCAACACCTCTAAATTGGAGAGGTAGGCCTTCCCCTTTAAGGCAGGTTCTTGTGAGAGAAGTTGACATCGGAAAGGAAATTGATCCTGTGTGCTCTTGCGAGAAACAGCTTGGACACGGCTGTGTCGAATATCCGCAAGATGTCCCAGCATAGCTGGAAAGAACCCATGACCGCGTATCTGGCCTTTAAAGTCGCAGTTCGGGTCGAAGACCGAGAGATGGCTGAAAAATGTCTCGAGACCGTTGCCCAGGTGCCGGATCACGTCGACTACCTCGGAGCCTGCATAGCAGAATCTCAAAAGGCAGGGGATATTATGTGCGCTATTGCCGCCTTGAAGAAGCTCAAGGAGAAATACGAGTACAAGGAACCGAATCCGGTACATCTGCCAGCTCTATTCCGATGTACGATCCGGCTCTTAAACTTGCTCGAAGACAGGCCAGGTCCGGATGTGGACGGCATCGCGAACGATCTTTGCCTGGAGTTCGAAGCTGGTGGGTTCACCCGTATTGTCCGCCGGAAGTTATTTATTCTGAGTACACTAGTTGTTCTAGCGCTGGAGCGACAGAAGGAGGGTGGCGTCTCGTCACGAAAATTGTTCACGGTCGATGAGCTCGAGTGGTTCAGTAGGAACGCCTACAATATCGCTCTGAAGAATACATCGACATGGGAACTCCGCTGCGTTGTGAGGATGCTGAGCGCGTGCGTCGATATCAATGGCCATTTTCCGTCCGACATCGGGTCCAAGGTCGAGTTGTCCTTGAAGACTCTCTTCTCCCGCTTCGTCATTGTGTCTGCACTGGTCGCCCTTGCGAGGACCCAAGACAATGTCGAAAAGCAGCTGCAAGACTACACGGTAATGCGAAAGCACGTCAAAGCTTTTGACGCCGAGCTTCCCGGATATCTCCCGCAATTAGATGAGCAGTCAAGGGACGATATGCTGCGGAAGCAGGCTACATTGCTGGCGTTTGACTTTGAAGCTGCTGTTGCGCTGAAGGATTGGGATGATCTCGGTGGGATAGTGCAGAGGGCAGTGCCCTGCAAGAGCATCACCGCGTTCCAGGCAATGGCGGACAGTCTGCTGAGAGCCCAGGCTCCGGGACAAGGTATGTCGGTTCCTGCCAGTGAAAATCTCTCGTTTGCTGACATTGGTTTGGTCTTTCAGCCCTGTATTCCACCATGCGCAAGCTAGTTAACGAGATCTGGGCTCTGGAAAGATTTGACGCTTTGAAGCTGGCAAAATATACTCGTTGTCTCTTTCAGGCGACGTTACCGCTGGATGACGGGCTCGCGATGAAGCTGCTAGAGGAAGCGAGCAGCAAAGCCAGAGAGTTGCGAGAGGTGAGCCCCTTTTCTGGTACTCAGATACGCCTCGAAAATAGGGGCGTATTCATCGGATAGTTGGATCCATCTACTAACATCTCGTTCAGAGCGACGCCAGCTGGCCTGAGGAGGAACTGGAGTGGATGGCGACCACGGCGTTCAACCACGCTATCGACTGCTACAGTGCTCACGAGATTGAGCGAGCCAAACGGTGGGCAACCAAGGCCATCAGTTTGGCGCATTATTGCAACGATGGAAAGCTGGAAGAAATCCTGCAGAGCAAGTACATGCAGCTGAGCTTTGACGGGAAGTCGGGGTGATCTATCTTTGCATGCACATACGGGAATTGCATATGCTATGGGGTGGTTCTACGTTCATGCATGCTAGTGGATAGCTTCATTCAGGTCCTGGCGAAATGCGGCATTGGAGTGGCAGCTTTGGAGATGGCTCCTATTGCTTTGCCTACGCAATCCTCCTGCCAAACAGAGAAATACGTTTAGCAGTGCTTCATTATCAATCAAGGCATCGTCCTTTGTTGCGCAGAAGAGCTATATTCATTCACCCGAAAACCACCTATGGCTTTCCCCTTCATGGATGAATACACAGGCGAATAAACAACCGACCAAGATGCCCTTCCTTCCCGGCAACAATAGAACAAGACGTATTTAACCCAGAACAAAGAGAAACTAACCATTCATATAGCAATAAAGAAACTCTTCTCCCCCTCCTTAGGCTTAACCCGCGCCCTCTCAACAATAGGATCCACACACGCAAGTCTGATGCGCTCCGGCGTGGCCGGACTCTCCAGCCTCAACAACCCATCACCCTCTTTATCCTCACCCTCACCAGCACCTTCACCGTCAACACCACCCACCAACTTGGGCTTGACACCATAATCCGCCCTCGCAGCAACAAGCGCATCCCGAATGGCGAAAAACACAGCACTCCCCATAAACAACGGCGGCTCCCCGACCCCTCTACTGCGCTGAATCGTCCTCAGCTCAGCCCACTCCACATCCTTGAGCAAACCGACGTTCCACACCTGGGGTATGTCCCGAAACCCGGGAATCTTGTATGCCCCCGGTCCCCGGGTGAATAAATTCCCCTTTAGGGGACCGTTGCGCAGCCAGAGGGACTCTTCCATGGTGAATAAGCCCACGCCCTGAATAAACGCCCCCTGGATCTGGCCGTAGTCGATGGCAGGGTTGATGGATTGTCCTACATCCATTTTGATGTCGGCGCGAAGGCAGGTGAATGTGCCGGTGAGTGTGTCGATCTCGACCTCGGCGGCTGTTACGCCCTGGGTGAAGTAGAAATACATTTTGCCTGTGTTTTCGCCCCAGGTGTAGCCGATTTCGGGGGTCTTGTAGAACCCTTGCGCGGACAAATTCACCCGGTCGTAGTAGGCTGCATGGGCGAGGTCTTTCATGCTGGCATTAGGCCCGAGTTTCGCGCGGTAGGGTGCTAGGCGGGCGTTGAGCTGCTCGCAGGCGTTGTGAATCGCGTAGCCGTTCAGGTCGGATGAGGCGGAGGCCGCTGTCGCGGAGGAGTTGGCGACTGTGTTGGTGGCGGTTTCGGAGATGAAGACGGACTCTAGGGGAACGCCTAGTGCTTGCGCGGCGATTTGGGTCATTTTGGTGTGTAAGCCCTGACCCATCTCGGTGCCCCCGTGCGCGACGAGGACGGAGCCGTCGTGGTAAATGTGCACGAGCGCGCCGGCCTGGTTGTACCAGAGTGCTGTGAAGGAGATGCCGAATTTGGTGGGGATGAGAGCCAGGCCGCGCTTGCGCCATTTGTGGGTTTCGTTGAAGCGGGCGATGGCCTCGCGCCGGCTGGCGTAGGAGGATTCTTCCTGGACTTGCTTGTACATGAGCGGCACGTGCCAGTCGGTGATGGGCTGGTTGAAGTGCGTCAGCTCGCCGGGCTGGTACATGTTGATCTCGCGCAGCTTTTCCACCGGCATGCCCAGCCGGTCGGCCACCTCGGACATGTACGTCTCGGCGATGAACATGCCCTGCGGCCCGCCGAAGCCGCGGAAGGCCGTGTTGGACATGGTGTTTGTCTTGCAGACGCGGCCGCGGACGTGCACGTTGGGGATCATGTAGCAGTTGTCGGAGTGCGTCATGGCGCGTTCGCACACGGCGCCGCTGAGATCCCAGCTCCAGCCGCCGTTGTTGAAGATGTCGAGGTCGAGCGCCTGGAGTTTGCCGTCCTTGTTGACACCGACTTTCCACCTCCCTAAAAAGGGGTGTCGCTGGCCGGAGACTACCATGTCCTCCTCGCGTGTAAGCATGCATCGCACCGGCCGGCGCGTCTTCTTCGCCGCCAGCGCCAGAATGGTGCTGAGCTGGACCGATCGGGATTCCTTGCCGCCAAACCCACCACCGAGGCGCTTGACTCGGCAGACGACCTTGTTGGCCTGAACACCACAAACCTTGGCGGCGTATGCTTGTCTAGAAACAGTCAGCAGACATTATCATGGCAAAAACAAAAGACAAGGCAACACTTACGCTTCCCTCGGATTCTGTGTACTTGACCAAATCTCCATCTCGCCGTCCTCAGGCTTGGGAATCACCACCGATGCGTTTGTCTCCAGGTAGAAATGCTCCTGCCCACCCATCCTCGCCACGCCGGTGAACACATAATCACACTTCTTAAACGCCTCCTCCGGGTCCCCCTTCTTGATCTCCCTGAAGAAGTTGAAGAAGCTCTCCTTCTCAATGGCCTCCTCGATGCTAAAGACAGCCGGCAGCTCCTCGTACTCAACCTTGACGGCACGGGCGCCCTCTGCGGCGCGCGCAGCCGACGTGGCAAGGATCAAACCGATCGGTTGTCCGGCAGTGTACACCGTATCCTCCGCAAAAAAGACCTCCTCAAATTGCGGCGCACCCCAACGATTGGCTTCCGGACTCGGCATGTCGTTCTTGTCCACGTAGTCCACCACGCCGGGAACCTCAAGCGCGGCGGAGTAGTCAACCGACAATATCTTGGCATGAGCCTTGGTGGACAGAACCAGACACCCGTAGAGCTCGTTCTTGAGCGGCGGGATGTCGTCCGTGTACTGCGCTTCACCAGTGACCTGTTTCAAAGCCGCAACGTGCGGGTTGGATTTCCCAACCGTTTCTTGCATGTATGCCGCTGCGGCCGCCTTGTCTTCCTTGCCCGTGGAGACGTCCCGCTCAAGCTCGGGCACGGCTTCCGCGTCGGCCTCGCCGCTGCCAAGGCTCTGCATCACCTCGTGATAGAAGCGGTAGAAGAAGCCCAGGGCGAGGGATTTTCGGTACGAAGCCATGCCGCCGGGCACACCGAATTCCAGATTGAAGTCTTGTTCCAAGGCGTTCATGGCCCCTTCGAGTGTGTCAAGCTCGGCGAACTTCTTTCCGGTAAGGTAGGCGTTGGCCTTCTTTGCAGCCACCGTCATGGGTGCCATGCCGCCATACACGAGGTTGGCTACCTCGACGATGCCGTCTTCGCTGAGGCGGAGTCTCAGGGCTGCCGTGACAATGGCGATGTCGTCATCCTTTCGCTTTGCCTGTTTGTAAGCACGGAGGAACTCGGTTTTCGGCTGGGTGAGCGGGATGCGGATTGAGGTGAGAATGGCTTCAGTCGGCAGCGCTGTCCGGCGGTAGCCCTTGAAAAAATCGCTCATGGGTATCTCGGTCTCCTTTACCAGCGACTTGGCCACCAGCACGGCGTCGGCTGCCATGAACACCGGGTTCAAGTCTGAGATTGGGGACGCAGTAACCAAGTTGCCAGCCGGTGTGCCCACGTTTCTGATCTGTCTGCCCGCGAAGTATTTGAGCTGCTTGTAAATGGCGGCGAACACCTGTCCTTGAGCCTCGCCGTAATGCTTGATCGCTTCCTGGCAAACCCTTTCGAGGTCCGTAAGCGTAATATTCGCCCCGATCTCAACATGATCCTCCTTCAAACTGTACTGCCGCAACTCGGCTATGTCGCCCACATAGACCGACACGGGATACTGCAGCGCCTTGAACTTGATCTCGATCTGCGTCTCGGTACTGCCACCAATAATCTTGGCGGTGGGATACGCGGCCTTGATCTCGAGCAGCTGGTTCAGGGTCACGGGCCGAAACCACCGCTTGCGCTTGTTGCCAAAGGCCAGCGGGCGCAACTCCTGCTTCCTCAGCGCCGGCGGGAAGATGAGCTCCGTGTCCGGGTTGTACTCGATAAACCCCGGCGGGGTGAATCTCTTGATTGCCTGCCCGTCGCCATCAACACCATCCACCTGGCCATCTTTCTTACAACACCCACCACCTGCACCATCATCATTCTTCTCCATACAACACCCACTCCCCCCATTCACCGTACTCTTCCCACACCCCTGCCCCCTCGGCGCACCGGACGCTCTGACACTAAAAGTCTGCGCGGCATCAAGAATCGGTCTGTAGCCCGTGCAGCGACACAAGTTCCCATCAAACGCCTCCTCAACGTCATGCTCGGTCGGGGCCTGGTTGTTCCGCAGCAGGGCGTACAAGCTCATGACAATCCCGGGGGTACAAAACCCGCACTGCGACCCGTTGCCCTTGGCTAACCTTTCCTGAGCCGGGTGGGGGCGGTTGACGTTGCCGATGCCCTCGACCGTGATGACATGCTTGCCGTCGACAGACACCAAGGGCGCGAGACAGGCGTTGACGCTGGCGTGGTAGATTTGCTTGGTCGTGGGGTTGTACTGGGATACCACCACGGTGCAGGCGCCGCAGCCACCTTCGCCACAGCCGCTGGTAAACAGGTCAGGATACTAAGGTAATGGGGGTGGGGGGTTGGATGGGGAAAGGGGGTCATACAGCTTTGTGCCTCTCAGGCCGATGCCCCGGAGGTATTCTAGCAGGGTGACCTCAGGGTCGATCTCGTCCAAGACAACGCGGGTGCCGTTCAAGTAGAAACGGAGTGTATCGTCAAAGGCGGTCGTGAGTGTGCCGGGTGGTGGCAAGCTGGGCTCTGGAGAGACGGCCGAGGGAGCCATGATGGGCTAAGTAAACGTCTAAGATCCGGGTCCAACCAATGTTGATGCTGGACGTTTCGTGCAATGGGATCAACCAAGAGTGGATCGTCTTCACCATGCGAATCGCCGATTTCACGGTGACTTGCGTGTGTAATGCTGTCAAAAAACCCCGTCCGGCGAGGTGCGAGGTGAGATGTAGATGGGTGGCGAGCTGCGGTTATAAAAGGGAAGCGGTCTTATCCAGATGCCGGGTACTCATGTACAGTGAAGTACTCTAATAACTTCAGTGCCCGCTCCGCCGGTTCCCGATGATGGGTGCGTTTGCTCCGCCCTGGATATGCAAAAGGGGACAAACAACACAAGTGCGGGCTCCGTTCTTGAGACCGGACAGGGATAGCAGTTAAAGATATCACGGATGTCTGATGTCTTAGGTTACTACGGGCCAGCTTCTTATCGGAAGGGCGGGGTTGATGATGCAGTTAGCGCGGGGATCGGCCCCACCTCAAAGGACGGAGGCGAGCCAAGGCCCGCATCGGCCAGCTCCGCGGTGCGCCAACCGCCGACAATCGACGGTCATAGTAGACCCTAACCCTGAATTTGCTGGCAGGCAACATAGACTCATAGAGATCTCGGCGTCAATGGCATCGTGGAATTGATGCGGAAGGCCATATGCCTGCAACTGTCGCTTCTGGCCAGTGAACGAGCTATGTGGCTCTTGCTCGTGATGAAAGGGGATTGTCTGGTATATGACCTCGCTGCTGGGAATCGGTCGTTGGGCCCTTTGGTGAAATTGTGGACTGTCAAACGACAGAGAGACAGAGAAGAACAGAAGGGCATCGGCCCTGCGAGATACATTATTCTGCCGTTTTGAATTCTAGCAAAGGCAGCGTCATGACATACTGTACATACATACTGTACGATGCAGAGAATTCAGCGACAAACAGCATCCATATGCAGAGCCCAACTCTCAGCGAGGAAGTCACGGTACCTTAGTTTGGGCGATCCGATCAATCCCCTGGTTCGCGGTTTTTGAGACGTTGTGGACCCCACACATTTCCCCAATTCTATCACCCTCTCCTCCTCACGAGATTTCCCTTGCAACCTACCTTCAGCAGCAAAATGATGAAAATGAACCCTACAGTTCACATACAGAAAGTCATGTCGGTGGACTCGTGGAGAAACAGGTCGAGTTGGGGTGCAATATCCATCTGAACTCCGCACCGCGCCAGGCACAAGCATGCGGGAATGCATCCAACTCCCTCCCGGTGCCCCGATATCTACCTTACCCCTCATCCTCGGCATCCAAGACTGCAGAACCACTTTGGCTAAGCCGTGGGAAAATGGCCCCCGGATATTTCGCATTTGCATAAAAGGGATCAAGCAATGCTGCGACAATATGTGCCACGCCATATCTCCTCGACGGCCCCCAACGGCCCAATTCTCTCGATACTTTCTGCCACACATACATAGACAGCCACACAGGGATCGTTGCTGTTGCTGCATCACCTACTATCTACCTCCTTGAATCGCGATCCCCTGAGTCGACGACACAATGCAGCCCAAGTTCTACAACGTCATCAACGATGAGCTGCGCGGCGCCGAAAAGACGCACCAAGTGACCGACCCAAGGACCGAGGAGGAGTTATGGCCATGCCCGACTGCCACAATCGCCGACTTTGAGGATGCCGTCGCCGCCGCCCAGGCCGCCTTCAAGACATGGTCCAGGACCACCGTTGCCGAGCGTCAAGCTCTGCTGGTGAAGATGGCAGACGTCTTTAAGGAGCACGCTGAGGAACTCTCCAGCATTCTGGCGAGAGAGTCGGGAAAATCGAAAATAATGGCCGACATTGACATCCGGGCCAGCATCGCCCAGACACTCTACTACTGTCAGTGAAAACCTCTCAATACATGCCACAATCACCAACTAACAACCCCTGATTAGCCCAAAACGCTCTCCAAGACGAAATCCAGTACGAAGACAACCACGCGAAAGTCGTGGCCACTCACATCCCTCTCGGCGTGGTCTGCGCCATCTGCCCCTGGAACTTCCCTTTAATCCTCAGCAACGTCAAGGTCGTCTCATCCCTCGTAACAGGCAACTGCGTCATCGTCAAACCCTCCCCTTTTACCCCGTACGCCGTCATGAAGTGGGTCGAGCTCAGCCGCGGGATCTTGCCCCCAGGCGTCTTCCAAGTCCTCAACGGCGGCGCCGAGCTCGGCGCACAAATGACTTTGCACCCGGGCGTCGCCAAAATCAGCTTCACGGGCACCATCGCCACCGGAAAACGAGTCATGGCGAGCTGCGCAAAAACACTCAAAAAGGTAACCCTCGAGCTGGCGGGCAACGACGCGTGCATTGTCTGTGCCGACGCCGACCTGGCCAAGACAGTCCCAGCTGTCGCCAGCGGGGGGTTCTTCAATGCCGGCCAGGTCTGCGTCGCGAGCAAGCGGATCTACGTCCACGAGAGCATCTACGACGAGTTCCTTGACAGGCTGGTGCAAGAGGTTGAGCGGTCCTACGCTATTCAGGAGGACCCCGCCGCCCCGAGCCTGTTTGGCCCCGTCTCCAACAAGCTGCAGTTTGACACTGTTAAGGGCATCATTGAAGACTGCAAGAAGAACGGGTACAAGATTGTGACCGGCGGCGAGACGCAGCCTCGCAAAAAGGGGTTCTGGCTGCCCCCGACTATAGTCTCCAACCCGCCTGAGGACTCGATCCTTGTTCAGGAGGAGCAATTCGGTACCACACCCCCTCCCCCCCACAACACCTTGCTTTCCCACCCAAGACTAATATTACTCCACCAGGCCCGATCCTCCCGATCCTATCCTGGACCGACGAAGATGACGTGATTGCCCGCGCGAACCTGGCCAACGCCGGGCTGGGCGCGTCCGTGTATTCATCCGACCTGGCCCAGGCCGAGCGCATCGCCCGGCGGCTCGAGGCCGGCGGGGTGTGGATCAACCATCCCGAACGGCCGAATTTTGGCGCCTTCTTTGGTGGTATCAAGGACAGCGGGTTTGGCGGTGAGATGGGCAGGCAGGGGTTGCTGTCGTATGTGTATACCAAGTGTTTACATTTCAAGAAGGATTGATCCTGGAAAAGGGTGTGAGGGGAAAAGTTGAAGGAGGTGGGGTAACAGGTGGGTTTGTGATGATACTGATACTGGTTGTTCTGTCTGGGCAGGCGTATTTGGGTACTTACCTAGTAAGTGATGATTGGATGGATGCCTTACGGGCATCGGTTCAACACCTACCAGTCCCCGATATATTTAGTTGATGTATTTCAACCCCCTAGTCACAGCAGATGTATGGCACTGCCATGTGGTGGCATTATACTAGAGCTGCAAGCGCGATAGTGTCCGTGCTGACACGGGAACTTGTCCCGAACATTGCCGTTGTGGCGCGAGGCACGGGCTGACGTGCACGGGACGGCTGCTACCCACCTCGGTGCCGCTTACCGAGCCGCAACCTTACCTAGCCATACATACACCAAGCTTGATCACAGGATACCAAAGACAAGGGATCATCTCACCTTGACAGAAGAAAGAAGCTGTCTCGAAAACGGATCAGGAAGTTCAACCCCCCAGTTTAACCCCCTGAACTTGCTGACGGCTCTCAAATTCCAACTTCTTGCACGAGACACCTCAAGCTATTCTACCAATGCTATTCCTACATGACTACCTACGTACCTCTGCCCGTTTATTTATGGGTGTACTGTACAGTGACATCTCTCGTCATCATGATGCCGTGCGGCACCTGTCCTCGGCCCTGCAGTATGATCTCCTCGCTGTTCCCGTCCGAGTGATTCGCGTCGACAACGTCGACCGACGAATGATCCGGCGAAATCACCGTCTTTGACCGCCCTGTCGCATGTACCTTGGTCACCACATGGTGCTCTCCATCGCGGGCAGCGTCCTTGGGGTGCAGCTCATACTCGTCGTCGAGTTGACTCAGCTCCCCGCGCCGCCTGTTCGCGTACTTGCTCCCGATGGTTTGCAGGGCGCCCTGGGAATTGCGGCCGTCGCGCTGTCGGTGGTAGTAGCGGTTATTGGCTCCCGGGCCGTAGGCGTAACCGCCGGTGCTGTCAATTTTGAGGACTCGGCCCACGATGGGCTTGAGGAAGGAGGCGCAGGCGGCGATCAGGCCGAAATTAAACTGGAGACTGTTCACGCAAAGACAGGTCAGCGTTGTTTCTCTGACGAGAGCTGTGTTCGTCCTATGATCAAAGGCTTCTCCCGCCAAAAGATTGAACTTACTTTTCCCAGACATGAACCCAGTACTCGAAGATGTTGTCCAAAGTTCCTCCCGTTGTGTACAAGAATATTGCCTTGAGAACGCCCATCAAGAGGGCACTGGAGATGTCAGCGGCCAGCTCAAGACTGCAGGGAATCGCAACACTGCTTACACGTAACCCAGATTCAGGATTCCAATCACATATAACCGTACTCGGAGTTTCAGCTTCAGGTTCCAGATGATGGGAACCGGCAATGCTCCGAGAACTACATCGGTGAAGATGTTGCATGCTGTGTATCGCCGGTGTTAGTACGGTCTGATGAGGCCGGAATGACTCTTAGACCGGCGGGCAGGTTGATACTCACAAATGTTGAAATACCCGAGACTCAGGAATATATTAAAGTCCGCACACCGAGGATCAAACGGATTCGCCCATTGGAACTCCCACCAGCCCGAATAGGGCTTGCAATAGACAAACACCCAAGTGATGGCTTGGATCGTATAGGCGATGATGAAACCTGCATAGGAATTTTTCAGTCAGTATTGCAGGAGGGAAAGAGACAAAAGGGGTTCAATACCAATCAGGGCGTAAAGCGACCAGCGATACCATTTCAGTTCCCTATTGAGTCGCAGCAAGCTAATGGCCATTGATATCCTCAGCGTTCCCAAACCAACGCCGGCAGAGAAGACAGCCTTCCAGAAGCCAATTCGCTCCAGCTCTATCCGGTCCTCTAGTGAGACGACCTCGGTATGGCGACCCAAGCCATGAGGAACCTGTAGCACCAGGCAGACCCATGCGAAGAGGGCGAAACCCTGGGAAGTGAAGTCAGCCGCTGAAGTTCTGAATTGTGGATAGAAATGGTGGTGATGGCCCAACGGAGACACACACAGCACTTACACAAGCTATGATGCACAATCCATCGTCAATCCCAAAGGATCTCACCATGAAGATGCGGACATAGGTCCGCAGCAACACGAAGCTGAGGGCAATGAAGTGGAAAACACCAACGAGCCCGACAATCCGGCCTGCATTGCTCGCGTTGACGTACTCCGGAGGGAGCTTGGATATGTCGATCGGCTCCATCGTCACGGTGCCTGGCTGGGAAGAAGGGAGGATGACGACGACATGAACATCATTCTTTTCTTCTTTGACATGGCTCTTCCCAGCAGAGGGATCCTCCGGCGGGTTTCAGTTGATTTACATAATGTGTACAAACACATAACCTACCTACACATCCATTTGTAAGTGAAGAGGGATTTTGAAAGAGAGCAGGGGGGGTGTTAGGGTGACAGGCTCAACTTTCAACAAGGATGTCATGCAAGAAAGCAGTGAAAAGCACCTGTTGGTTGGCACTTGCCAAACTTGGGGCTCCGGTATCACGTCTTTCCTACGGTGCTGAGTGGACACCCAGGTTTGGAACCAGATCCTTCGTCCAGGAAAGAGCATCCCTGATGTCTGCTGCCCTTGCAGTTACCTGACTTACCTAAGGTGCCATGCCTCACACCTGCGGCAGCACGGGCTCGCATTGACTGATTCTTGAACGTTATCTCGACGAATTCCCTGCATTATGATGGAGGATTATATTACACTACACGTGTAGATTCGCACGATAGCATCTCAAGACCTTTGGACAGGCATAGAATCACCAGCACTTGAGTAAGTTGAGTTCTTCCACCTACACCCGAACAGGCCGTTCATCTCTCTCGCAAATGAGAAGGACAGGCGCTCCTTCGCTCACTTCGGTTACCTTAACTCTCATACATTACTAACGTTGGGGCGATTGCCCTGGAAACCTGTCGAATCATGACAGGATTGCCTCCCGACCCCCATGGCCACCGGTCCGATCGCTTGGCGGTTCTGGACCTCGGGGTCCCTGCTTGGTTTCGGTTCCGTAGGCCGAAACCAGGGCCGTATCGCGCAACCCATGGATCGGGTTTGCCCGTGCCGGCTGGGCGCCGTGACTCGCAGAGATCGTCATGAATTTCTGCCTCACCTGGATGTTGAGAGATCTCACACTAGGGTAAGCTTCCCCAGATTCCAGTACGTATATATCATGATCTTGTTGTCCATCACTTGCACCTGCTACACGTGGACAAGATTTCAACGATTCATTCAACTCGAGCTCTACTTGGCGAGGTAATTTTCCGCAAATCAAAACTGTTGCGGAGACTGATCCTTTGGCATTACTAGAGGCTTTATTTCCTTCGACTTGCGTTACATCAACCCTTATGGCCAGTTGTTTGATTTTGGAATTTCTACCACAGTAATGCATGTCTCACAAGCTCTACGCTAACAAACAAGGGGTAGCCTGTAGTGTGAAAGCCTCCAGACTGATACCTTCCTGACTTATACGACTAGCGGCCTTGTCTCTTCTCGTGTCAAAGCGTGGTCTCCTTATAAGATTCCAGGGTTGGCAGAGGCGTTTTACTACCTTACCAAGTATCACATTGATATGCTCATCCAAGTTGCCAGGTATGAACAGACCCAAAGCAGCATACATATTCCCTAGACTCGGGCGACCTTGGGAATTGCAGCAGTTCTCTCTCACGAGCCTTGAGGGATTAGGTATGTACTGTACCTGCATATTGCACTCCTGAGAAATCATCCATGATGAGTCCACTTGCTGGGACTTTCATGGAGTTGAAAACTGCTGAATCCTACGTTAAGCTAACGTGGGGTTAGTAACTCGGCCTTTTATGCGACCCTAATCTCCAAGTTGCTTCCGCGTAATCCGCGCCTCCTTGGCACTTAACATCATCAACCGGACGTTACCTGAGGTTACCTAGCCAAGTGTCGCCCACGCTTCGCTGTCTTCCCATTGGGTTGGCAACGCCGGGCCAGGGTCCCGGGCGAAGCCGGTCCAGGCACTACACTTGATCCGTCGACATCCAAATCCTTCGCACTTCAGAAGCTCCGGTTCGCCGGTTCGGGGGTAGAACACCGCAATATGGAACCGGGTTCCCGGATGCGATACATGGATATTTCGCGCTACTTTTTCAATGGCTAAATCCTCATGTGCTAGATAGTCATCCTCTGATTCCTCTGGTAATCAAACTAAGGTGCTTACACAATGCAGGTCAAGGTACCTCCGTACTCTCTGTTGGTTGTTGACTCGATCCACGCGGAACGGTCGCAGCCAACGAAATCACAAGAGATTAAATGGTGCCATCAACAACTGCCGGGCCTCGGTTCCATTCCCATGTTCACGGCAACACGCCACTGTATACCTAGTTGTAGTAGCAACTAGCGTGGTGGTAGGTGGCATCGGTACCGGGAATGTGGAAGACACGGAATGAGTGAAAAGGAGGTGCCCCTTTAAAATCCTTCGTGCTCCTCACCACATCGAGTACAATTTCAGTTCCTTGTCGCCTCGTGGCTTTCTTCTCTAGTTCAACTCACACCTGCATATCGTTACCGCCAAGATGCAACACATCACGCTCGCCGGTGTGACTATAAGTCTTGGCTGCCTCGCGGCCACGGTAGCAGCCTCTCCCCAGAACTACGAGTCGCAGGCCTACTGCAGCCAGACCATTTCGAGGGACGTTGCTGTGATTGGCGGCGGTGCTTCGGGTGCTCACGCCGCAGTCTGGCTCCGTGACAACGGTCACAGTGTCGTTGTTGTAGAGAAGGCCAGCCAACTTGTAAGTCATCCCACGTTGCTCAGTGCAACTTCTGTGGTTATTCGCACCCGCTTACACACCCCTCCCAGGGCGGCCACACCAACTTCTACCATGACCCTGCCACGGGCAAGGACCTCAACGTCGGGGTGCAGGGCTGGATGCAGTACCGGAATTCCTATGACTTCCCGCACCGGATGAACGTGTCGACGGACGGGGCCATGTCCATGACCCCGAACACCAACAACTTCATCAACTACAAGACCGGCAAACCCACCAGCTACACGCCGCCCTCCAATTCGGAAGCGTATGCCGCTTTGCAGAGGTACCTTGCCGTCCTCGAAAGGTACGAGGACATGGTGCTGCCGGGCTTCTTCAAGTTCCCGGACCCGGCCAGCATCCCCGAGGATCTGCTCATGCCGTTCGTGGACTTTGTCAAGAAGTACAACCTCGAGGCGGCGGTACCCACACTGTGGGACGCCACGGCCATGGGGCTGGGCGACACCATGAACGTGCCCACGGTGTGGGTGATGCAGGCGTGCGGCGCGCCCTTTGCCCGCGCCCTGCTGGGCCTGGTCCCCTCGGTGGTCCCGCCCTCGGGCCGCATCTACGACCTGTACGAGGCCGTCGCCAAATTCCTGGGCAAGGACGTGCTGTACTCGAGCACCGTCGTCTCGGCCACCCGTCCGACCAACCTGAAACAAAAGGTTTCTTTGAAGGTCAAGAACAACAAGGGCGCGGTAACCTGCATCGAGGCCAAGCGGCTATTGATTGCCATCGAGCCGACGCCTGAAAACATGGCGCCCTTCAACCTGGACAAGAACGAACAATCCGTCCTGTTCAAGTTCCAGTACCCCACTGTCTACGCCGCCGTGCTGCGGCACCCTTCCCTGCAACCCCTCAACGCCTACTCCAACCGTGTCCCCTCTGCGGCGCAGCAGAACAACACCGAATTCCCTGTAGCCCCCCAGCTGGGCCGCATCGAGTACATTGGCGGCACCGAGGATCTGTTCTTGCTGACTGCCGTCGGCACCGCCAAAGACACGACCGAGAGCATGAAGGACCTTGTCAACAAGCAGGTCAACACCATGATCTGTGCGGGCACGCTTCCGGCAACTGGAAAGGGGAAGAAGGTGGCTTTTCCTATGTTTTCGAACCATGGCAAGATGCATGCCCATGTCTCGGCTGATGAGCTCCGTGGTGGGTTCCTGCAGAAGTTGTATGCCCTGCAGGGGCCCAGGAATACGTGGTACACGGGCGCGGCGTTCTCGGCGGGGTTCTCGACTGTGCTATGGGAGTTCAATAAGGAGTTGTTGCCGAAGGTTGTTGAGGGGTTGTAAGTGTATATACATAGATTTAGGTTTCTTGAGCTGCCAGTGAGGCTTGGGGACTCGAGCTAGAGCCGGCGGCATCTATAGAGCTGCTGCGCTGAGTACAGTACCATATCTTGGTTTAATGCTATAGACTGTATATGCTTCGGTTCAAGACCCGGGCTTAGGGCGGTGAGTGATGGGCGGTGGAAAAGGGGTAGCGTTGATCACGGCATAGAACGTGAAGGTGATCTGCTAAATCCTGTACATGTACTTACCATGTCTTATTGTATCAAACAGGGTCTGGTATCAAACTACTATCGAAATCACGACATCCATTATCCAAGCTTCAGAGGGAGTCATCCTCTAACATGGATTAACATTGATATGTAAGTTGTGGGAATAGAGTTGTAATTCAAAGATGCCATCGAGACATTCCAATCACTGGATATTCCCTGCTCTATCATACGTGACCTACCTAATAACCATGCAAGGTTACAAGGTTCCTAGCTAGGTACTACCTTAGTGGTGCTTACATGTCTACGATTTCCTGCCCTCTAATGAAATACAAAATCATACATCTCATGTTGGAGAGCTACTAGTATGTAGCTGAGGTGTGTAACTTGAAAGTTGAAACTTGACAACCTGTGATACATCCGGCCGCTCCGCTCCGCTCCGCTCCGCCTCCTATCGAGGCAGTTGTCGCTCGCTGCAACTCAGGAGCGTCATAAGAGTGAAAGTCATGAAAAACTATCACCCAGAGGATTCAACGCCAGACCCGTCAAGACAGCCCCTGATGGTACGATCAGCTACAGAGGTACTACTACTAGTACCTAGTAGTACTAGCTGGTGTACAAGTCATAACTCGAGCGGTTCAAGTTGAGGACGAGGATCTAGACTCAGCAGTGACGGTACAATACCTTACAGATATTTCTTGGCTCTGCTCAGGTAGGGAGCTTGCTCACAAGTCACAGCACCGATGTAGCCAAGTATAGCCCAGACACTAAACTGTCAGTATTGAGAACAGCGGATGAAGTGTGGTTGCGGACCTGTAAATACATAGGGATCGGAGAGTACTAGTGCCAAGGTACTTATGACCCGGTCGTGTTGAATGTACAGTACACTCACATGTGCACTCGTACCGAGGTCCTATAACAGGAGTTGAATTCAAGATCCTCAAGTCCAAGTTGCTATGTAGTATCCCAACAATGTATCTTCTGGATCGGGCCCGCCAGCACACATCATCACTCCTAGCCGTCGCCTCCCATTTGGCCTTGATTGGTTCGTCGGAAGCTCCTGAGCCCCTATCAGCCAAACTTGGATCCCAGTTCTGATGCTAAGTGGACAGCTTCGCTTATTGAGTTTGGCTGCTTGGCAAGCTCTCTCTCTCTCTTCGCAGTACTTAAGTAGGAGTATGCAGAGCAGAATTCCGTTGCAGCCTAGGCTCGGAGGAACGGGTTTCCATGACCCGAACATACAGTACAGTCAACGGTGATACAATTTTGCATTCCCATTCTGGATAGCCCGAATCCCGTGTGAGTGGCAAGGCCTTGCAACCTACCTCGGCACATCCGTCCCACCCCGCATCCGGGGACCGGGCCATCCGCATAAGCGTCGGTAACAAACGCGGGGAAGAGCAAGGGTTACCTTACATACCTTATGCTTCGACTTGGACACTTGAGAACCTCATGGATGAAGTGACCTTGATTCTCCTCTTTCCTCCTCCATAGCCGTACCTCATCTTAGACTTACACCCACCACCGCATCTTAGTATCTCACAAAACCCGCCATCATGCCCCCCAGACAAAAACAGCCATGCTACGTCCTCGGCGTGGGCATGACCAAGTTCATCAAGCCGCGGGGCAAGGTCGACTACACCGAGCTGGGCTACGAGGCCGGGATCAAGGCCATGCTCGACGCACAAATCACGTACGACGACGTGGAGCAGGGCATCGCCTGCTACTGCTACGGCGACTCGACCTGCGGGCAGCGCGTGTTCTACCAGTTTGGCATGACGGGAATCCCCATCTTCAACGTCAACAACAACTGCTCGACCGGGTCGACCGGCCTGGCCATGGCGCGCAACACCATCTCGGCCGGCGCCGCCGACTGCATCCTCGTCGTCGGCTTCGAGAAGATGATGCCCGGCAGTTTGCAAGGGTTCTTCAACGACCGCGAGAACCCGATAGGGACTACCTATGCTATGATGGCCAAGACACGAGGCTTGACCAAGGCGCCTGGGGCGGCGCAGTTGTTTGGTAACGCCGGCCGGGAGTACATGGAGAAGTAAGTGGGAGATGCCCTACCTAGCATGACATGGCTTGAGGCTCACCATGTGCCCAGGTACGGCGCCAAACCGGAGGACTTTGCCGAAATAGCGCGCATCAACCACGCGCACTCAGTCAACAACCCCTATTCCCAGTTCCAAGACGTCTACACCCTCGAGCAGATCATGTCCTCGCCTACAATCCACTCACCGCTCACCAAACTGCAGTGCTGCCCGACATCAGACGGCGGCGCGGCGGCCGTGCTCGTGTCGCAGGCCTTCCTCGACGCACGCCCCCACCTCAAAGACCAAGCCGTGCTGATCGCGGGGCAGAGCATGACGACCGACGGGCCGAGCCTGTTCTCGCGGAGCGCGATTGACCTAGTGGGGCGGGAGATGACGCAGACGGCGGCGCGGGCGGCCATGGCCGAGGCGGGCGTGACGTCGCCCGACCATTTCGCCGTATGCGAGCTGCACGACTGCTTCAGCGCAAACGAGATGGTGCTCCTCGACGCGCTGGGCCTGTCCGATGAGCAGGGTAAAGCGCATGAGTTGGTCCGCCGGGGAGGGATTACGTATGGTGACAATATGAAGGTGCTCGTCAACCCCAGCGGCGGGCTCATCTCAAAGGGCCACCCGCTCGGCGCCACGGGTATTGCGCAGTGTGCGGAGCTCGTGTGGCATCTGAGGGGTTGGGCGAATAACCGCGCGGTGCCGCGGACTAAGTACGCGCTGCAGCATAATTTGGGGCTGGGGGGTGCGGCTGTGGTGACGGTTTATCGGAGGGCGGATGGTAAGGAGGCGAATGTTCTTGAGTCGGAGGCTGTTGGGAGGGTTAATAAGCTGGAATACAATCCCGCTGTCGAGGCGAGGGGCTTTACGCCCGAGCAGGCCAGGGCTGTGAGGAGCAGGGACAAGGTCAATGACTTTGCCATGACGGCCACGCTGCCCATGCTGAAGGCAGCTCAGGCGAGGGTGTAGGTGACGGCAGGTGTAGGGATAGGTTCCAGTTGTAATATTGTATGTATGATATGCAGCGGCAGCTAGTAACTGATGAACGAAGATTATGGCGATTTGGACTCACGTAAATCTCTCCTGTTCGAATAAGGTAGCACTGCTTACACGTATGTTATTGTGTATGGTGTGCTCGCCTTGCCTCCTTCCGCTCTAGAAGCATCATCTGAGACGGGGCAGTCTAAAAGAAGAATCTGCAAAAGGAAAGTTCGGTCAATGCCTTGTCGTTTAAAACACGGTCGCGTCGATGATTCCCAGATGTCGAGGAAGGTGGACATCCGGCTTGGCAATGCTCTTTCCACTGTGGTGGTAACTAGTCCGTGCAGTGTCACAAGTTGTTCCACGAAGCTTCGGAAGCTTCGATCGGGCTGATCACGCACTTGCTTTTTCCCCGGGGTAGGCGGGTGCAGCCCTGCTAGAATCATGCGGCAATTCATGAATTTCTGCCGGTTTCCCATTGGTCCTTGAAGCACGATAACTCCAGCAAAACTCGAGATTCCCAATTGTGAGGAGACCGTTGACCATCCTCCCATCCTCAACTCCTGACTGACCCCCATCACACTCCGGACAACGTCAGAGTCAAGATTGCGCTCTCTCTGCCCTTCCCTCTCTGGACTTACAACAATAGAAGTTGGTCGATCAATATCACCCCACGTTTCACAGCCCTTTGTCCCAAATGGCACTTGTTTACCCTCCTGTTGGTGCCATCGAGCGCATGAACCAGAATATTTACACGGACCTCCCGTCTCTTGCCCTACCTTGACAAGTCACTGGGGTTCCAGCCTGGTTTGGTGGCTGCTTGTCAACATCAGAAGTTCCCGTGCGTCTATTAGCCTATTTCTCATCGGATCGTCCTTTCTTGGGCTGATGTCGGCTTCAAGATGTATCGTCCTTGTGGTCGAGGTAGTCCCTTGGCCTTGCAATAGGCATCGGGTGATGGTCGTTCTCTGATTTCAATCCATCAAGATCATACAGGAACAGTGTAGTAAAGGTAGGACCAGCTGTGAGAGCGGGCGTCTACCCCCACGCCGTCACTCAGTGGCTACATGTCATCCCCAACATGGCCCTGGAACCAGAGCTGCTTGGACCTGACAGGAATCCCTCACTGGTTTCGGACACTCTCCGATCGACCGTTCTGGCTGCTCGCCTTCTTTTAGCCACACGTTTCGGCTAGGCCGTCCCCCCAACTTCAGGTTCCGCTGTTAGTTTGGTGTCGTTTCCGACTTGTCGCTTAAAACTCTCCGACAGGAGCTCTCCACTTAGCCTTCCCGTTTTCTGTCCTGTTTATTCTTCCTTCTCACCTGTGACCCGGTATCATGCGGCTTCGACGGGTCTCGACTCTCAAGGCTGTAGTGCGCCTGCTCCACTAACCATGGCTGCTAACACAGCCGACCTCTCTGGAGGGCCGGTCCTTCTCTCCTTCTCCCTCGCCACGGGGAGCTTCGCCCTGTCGACCACCTTTGTCCGCTTCTGCGTCCGCGCGGGCATGCAAAGCGGTTTCTGGGCTGATGATTATGCCAGCGCGGCTGCCACAGTGAGTTGCCGCCTCAAGGACGCGAGGTGACAGTCCCAGGATGTTCTGACTCGGGCTTTGCGGACAGGTGGTAGCGTTAGTAGGGATTATCTTTGGCATCTTCGAGAGCACTGCGTCGGACCCGGCGCGGGCCTTGGAATTTGATGTGCTGGGACAGCCGTGGTACCTGATGAGCGTTACCCTCAGCAAAACTTCGATACTTCTCTTCTTCATGAGCAGCCTCGGGCGAGGGCGGCAATGGACCATTCTGCTGGGCGCTCTTATTATCATCATGGCTGCCGTTAATCTTGCCTTTTGGTTGACGGTACACCTCCAGTGCCGACCGTTGGAGAAGCTGTGGAAGCCCTCGGTCGAGGGGGAATGTTGGGATCCATCCGTACAGCTTAGTTTTGGGTACTTCCAAGGCGGTTAGTCCTTGCCCAGGAACTGGATGGAAGCTCTGACTGACGGTAACCAGCATTTTCGGTGTTTTCATGGCTCTTTCTTGCTCTTTTTTCCACCTTAATAGTACGAAACCGCACTCGTCACGGCGAGAAATCCTGGCCGTTCTACATCACGACCGTCCTGAGCTTTGCGTAAGTCTGCTGGACTCCCCCTTTCAGGTTTCCTCACACGCGACTAATTGCCGCCCAACAGCGCCGGGATTTTCTCCATAGTCCGCACCGCACAGAGCTCCCAAACGAGCGGCTCAAGCGTTTACACGATCCATTACTTTTACATGAGTCTCATGGCCAAGTGTGTCCTCTTTTGCCCCTTCCCTTTTCCCCGACCCTTGCTCACCGCTACCGTAGCCTAGAACAAAACCTCGGCCTCATGGCGGCCAACGTCCTCGTCCTCGGGCCCCTCTTCTCCTCAGCCACACGCTCCTCTTCCCGCCGCAGCAACCGCAGCCGCAACCGCAGCCGCAAAACCCCTCGTGATCCTTACGCTTCGTCATCCTCGGCGGGCAGCTCCCGCTCCCGCAAACAGGCCGCCGCCAGAGCCAAAACACCCAGCCGTGCCGGAAGCACCCAGAGCATCACGCGTGCCTCTTCCCGGGCCAGCTCCACCCGTGAAGGGGCGAGGGAGCTGGCGTTGGAGGAGAAGGATATTGCTTCCTCGAGACGCGGTGTGAGTGGAGGATCGGAACTGATCACCCAGGGGGGCAGTGACCACTATCATCGCCAAAATTACAATCATGGGACGAGGTATGAGGAAGACGATGACGGAGCTGATACTGGGGAGTATGACCTGGGCGAACCTCGGCACCGGCGAAAGGACGGCGATCACGAGCACAGTTCTGGGGTTGGTCACGGTGGCGACGGGAATGAAAGTGACAGCGACATGTCTGATGACGAAGATGGTGATGTTAATGCTGGCGACATCGACCTGGAAGCCTGGCCCAGGGGCATCATCAAGACAGTCAGCGTCGAGGTGGTCGAGGAGATCAACCCGGACTATGTCCCTCCTGCCCAGCACGCTAGCGGTAACAACAACAACAACAACAACAAGACTGCTTCCATTATTGCTACCGGACTTGGCGCAGGGGCAGGGGCAGGAGCGGGAAGGACTGGGAGGAGCAGTGTGCTTATCGGCCCGTCGTCGTCGGGGCTTGTGTCCCAGCGTGTGGCGGGTGGTGGGGGTGGTGGTGGCGGTGCTCAGGAAGGTGGTGTGACTGTAGGTGGTGGTGGTGGGAGAACCGGCAGGACGAGCGCTGCCGCTGCTGCTGCCGCTGCTGAGCAGGATTGGGAGGCCATGTTGAGGCTTGGGCCGACGAGGTGAACTCTTACCCTTTCTTTTCAGTTTCCTTCTTTCGTCATTTCCTCCCTACTGTTTGCTTCCTTTCAAGGTTCTGTGCCTGTTCAGCGCTAGGTGTTGGGGTTGGGATCTGTCGTTTAGATCCACCTTGGACGTTTCGCAGAGGTTATGGGAACAGGCGCTGGATGGACTCAATCTTTTTTTTGCTGGCCATCTTGAGTTGGGACATGTTGGCGTTGGAAGAGCGGCCGGACATACATGTCGGCGATGGGCGTTTCCTTCTGTCATTCCTTGCCTTGCTCCTTGTGTCGGCAGGATCTGTGTTGATGGTCCCTACGCGTGATAGACGATACCCGTGTACGATTAGGATGATTTTTGTTTGTTCTTGGTTTGCAAGGAGGGTTGATGAATACATAGACGTTGGGGATGGAGTTCATATTTCCACTTCATGTTGTTCTCGATCGCAGAACTGTTGATTTTGACCCTAACCGCCGCCCATTTGTATACCTGTCCATCATGCAGCACCCTATTGACTGTACTATATAACTCTATTATACAACCGGCATGCCATGCCCATGCCATGTGTGTGCCATGCCGAATCCCGTTCCAATACATGTGGGTAATCACCGACAACACGTGATCCCAACCCCTATGCCAGCCCATATGGTCCGGTCAGGTAACTTTACCTAGGTAAGAAACCTCTCATCGTTTACCTCCCCCTCTCGCATTCCCATACCCATAACCCCTCCCAGTCCCAGTCCCATACGCACCCCTTCCAGCTCCAAAGCCACTAACAACCCCGCTCGTCCTCAAAAAATCCGCCATGAATTGCTCCTCCGCAAACCCCAACCTCCACCTCGCCTTCAACTCCTCATACACATCCAACACCCTTCCCCCCCCCGTACCCGAACACCTCGCAAAAGCCCGCAGCGCCCAAATAGCAAGCCACGTCTTGACCTCGATCTGCTGCTGCTGTCCCCCACCATTGCCGGAATTGGGGAGGTTGTTGTCTCGGTCGAGCGCAGACAAGAGCGCGTTCCAGATCCCCTCGAGCCGCTGTGCGCTCCACGCAGACCCTTCGTACCCGCCATGTCGGGCGAAGCCTTTGAAGAGGGCTAGGAAGATGGCGCCGTGGAGGGGGATGCGGAAGAGTTTCATGTCGTCGAGGTACATGGCTACTTTGGCCAGGTCGCCGCGGTCTACGCCGTAGTGGTTTACGAGGATCCGGTAGGTCTGGAGGTCCGGGGCGAGGAGGGTGACGCTTTGGAAGTTGGGTCTTCCCAGGGGGGTTTTCTTGCTGGTGGTGGTGGGTGAGGGCTTGGGGTTGGCGTTGGCGTTGGTATTGTAGCCGCCGTGGCGACGGCGCAGCTTGCCAAACATAAGCAAAGCGGTGGTGATGGCCCGGTTAGTGCTGGGCGTGCGCACAGGAATATCAGGGGCGTCGGCGGCGGTGCTGAGGGCCTTCATGCGCTCGTAGAGGCGCTCGGCGGTGGCCTCCTCCCCCGCGCGCAGCAGGCCCGAGAGCATGGCGTTGAGCGGCACCGTGTCGATGACTTCGCCCGCGAGGATCATCTCGCGGTAGGCGGCGCGCATGCCCGACGTGTCGAGCTTGAGGCCGAAGAAGTGAATCAGGCTGGTGTAGTGGTACCGGTTGTAGCGGTGTCCGCGCGCGGCCATTTCGCGGTAGATCATCTCGGCGAGAGTAAAATTGCCCGACTTGGACGCCACGTCGAACAGGATGTTGAAGGTCACGTCGGTGGCCATGACGCCCGCCTCGCACTCCATCTCGCGCCACTGCTTGAGCGCCGTCTCGGTCTCGGCCTCGGACACCACGCCGACGTATTTGCTGGCGAAGGCGATGGCCGAGTTCCACTCGGCGCTGGTCAGGGGAATGCCCATGTTTTTGACGTCGGCGATGGCGGCGAAGTAGCGCAGCATGGATTTGGAATCCCGCTTCTCGGGCTGGCCGAGGGCTTTGAGTAGGTGGTGGCGGAGCCTGCCGTGGATGTACAGCATGCGCGGCTCGGGAAGGCGTTGGTATATCTCATAGATGTCGTCGAGGTCGACCTTGTGCGGGCTTCTTAGGCGGTTAAGCACGGCGAAGCGGAGCTCCCAGAGCGTCTTTTGCTCCTCTTCGCCGGCCTGGATCACCTGGTCGACGGATGGGTAGTCGACATCCTCCTTGGTTCGCGCAAGCCAGACTTTGGGTACGTCGGGGGGAGCATAGCCGCGCATGTATGGATCGCGGACGAGCTGGAGATAATCGTCGACGGGGCCGATTTCTTCGCCATCGTAGGGGTCGACGAGAGCGAGCAGCTCTTCTTCGGTGAGGGTGTCTCGCTTCTTCGATTCATTCTTTGGTGGATGGGCGCCCTCTGCATTGGGAGGATCGTCGTCAGTATCTGGTGCCTGCTCGGTAGCCGTAGCAGTAGCCGTGGCCGTGTGGTTTCCGCGGATGTGAGGCAAGGAGGGCCCCGGCAAGCTGCCAAATTGGATGCTAGATGTTCGGGGACCAGGAGCGGTCCCCGTCCCCGCCAGAGATCGCGGACATGTGGCAATGCTTTGTCTGCTTTGTACGGACGCGCAGCCGAAGTGGGAGCTCGACGCAGACCCTCCACCATAGCTATGAAAGCAGGGCGGAAATGCCGCGGCGGCGGCAGACCAGTTCGACGACAGGGACGACAGGGACGACAGGGACGGGCGGTGCAAGGAGAGAATGGCGCCGCATATCGACCCGTCAATTCGGCTAGAGACTCTCATGAGCTGTCGTCAAACATGATGGCCTGCCGACAGCCCAGCCTGGTGCCCCGGGTTTTGCGGTGTGTTTGCGCGGTTCAGGGGCGGCGCTATCGGAGAGCGCTGCGGTCGGTTCGGCCAGGTTGAAGATGAAAAAGTCAAGTTTGATGCTTATCGCAACCGCGAGTCTATCAATTCACTGTGCCGGGCTTCCGTAGCACAGTGACAGGGGCTGCAGGGGCCACCTGCCGCCAACTTCAGCGCCAAGCGCAGCGAGAAGTGCAAGCTCGGGCCCCACTTTGGCTCGGGGGTCCCTAAAATTTACCGCGACTTGATTCACAAGATTTTGGGACATGGAAGAAGCCGTAGCTTGAAGCTCCACCTTGCAATTGACGACGACCATCTGCAGTCTTGAACGACAGTCCAGGAGGTTCACAGAGAGCAACTATCCCGATGGTTGGGATCTGAGTTCCCCACTTACAATCCCCAACCAGCCCACCGCGAGGGCTACCGACCAAATCCATCCCCTTGACTGACCCCGCGACCTTTCCACAGTAGCCCACCCGAGGACGGAGAGAGCGAGAGAGAGACGGAGGGGGAAAAGAACACACACAAAAACAACCCAAAATGGGCAAAGCACCCCGCGCCTTCCTCGCCCAGCGCGTCTACCAAACCGCCGAATGGCGGATCCGAGCCAACGTCACCTCCCCCCGAGTCCCCGGTTCCAAATTCGTGCCCGCACCCGCAGCATGGGTCGAAGCGGTACGCTTGATCCCGCCCGCCGAGATCCTGACCCGAACCTACCCCGTGCAGCACACACCCCCAAAGGAGATACGGCGCGGCGGGCGCGTGGCTCCCGGCCTGTACCGCCCGACACGCATCGTGCACCCAGAGGACCGCCTGCGCCAGGAGTTTTTCCGCGACCACCCCTGGGAGCTGGCGCGGCCGCGGCTGGTGCTTGAGCTTGACGGCCAGGATGCGAGAGACAGGGATTGGAGTAAGGGATTGGTCCAGCCGGGGATGGCGCTTAGTGGTGAGAGGTGGGTTCTCTCCATTTTTCCCGGCTCTCCATTTGTGTTGTCTGCTCACAGGACTTGTTAAAAACAAAAACAGCGTCGTCCAGCGCTGGCTGTGGCTCATGGAGGCCAAGGGGCTGCCCAAGAAGCAGGCGTACGACGTGGCGCGCAAGGAGTTTTACAAGCTGCGGCAGCAGGAGGAGATTGAGCGGCGGGTGGCCGTCGAGGAGGCGCGCATGTACGGCGGGTATTTCGGCATGAGCGATCTGCAGGTCGGCATGCAGCTCGAGGACGAGACGTACGAGAGCTGGAAGAAGTGGGCCGCTGAGGAGATCGCCAAGAGGGATGCTGAGCATGACTCGCTTTACAGCTCACCCGTGGATACGGAGGCTGCTGAGGATATCGATGTGGAGGAGGTGGCTGCTGCTGTATAAGGAAGGGCAGCGTTGGGGGGAGGATGAAATCTGGTCTTGCGGTCTGTCTGGCCGACTGACTTGGGCTGAACTGGGAGGGGCGGCAGCGCCCTCTCGTGTATCATATATAAAACTGTGTTTACGGTAGATCAGGGGCCATGTACTGTACACAATTCAGGGTTTCTATAAGCTGACTTTCAGATGGGTTTCTTTCTAGTATGGAGCGGGGATTCTAGACCTTTTCATCCATCTTCAAGCATAATCTGACCGAATTAGGCCAGAAGCACGTTCAAACGTCCAGCTGGCGTCCATACGCCCGGACACCCGCAAACCCCCTCCCTCCCTCCTAATTCTCACGCCCAGAAAGAAGGAACGCCCCTCTACCAGGCATCCTCTCCACTTTCGTAATCCTCCCCCTCCCTATATACCTGCTCGGGCCTCAAATCCGCCCTGACCCACCTGCCATCCTCCCTCTGCCTGAACGGCGGCCACCACACCGGCTGTTGCTAACCAGGCGGCACGAGTCTGGCCGTCACCTGGCCGACGTAGAGCGAGCCCGGGGTGCGCTCGGCGAGCTCCCTGTGCTGCACGCAGAAAAGGTCGGCGATGCCCGTCCACAAAAAGAGCTTCCCCGTCAGGCTGAGCGTGCGCGTCCGCGCCCACGACTCAATGTACACCATCTTAAGGCGGTTCTGCGGCACCAGGTACAGCATCTTGAGCACGTGCCCGACGAGACACACGATGAAGCCCGTCGCGGGCCCGTTGGTCACGATGACGTGCGGGTACTTGAACTCCGTGCCGTAAAGCCGCCGCGGGCGCGCCTCGGGCTCACGGGTGAGAGCGTTGACGGCGTGGACGGCTGTCGCGAGGCAGGTGAAGGGCGCGGTGAGAAGTGGCTGGTGGACCTTGCGGGCGCGCGGGATGGAGAAGGAGTCGATGGTGCCGCGGCGCTCGTCCGGGAAGGCGTCTTTGATTTTGCTTTCTAGGCGGATTATACGGTTGATCGAGTCGTTGTCGCCTGTTGTGACGATGTAGCGGCGGTGCTGGTTGGCTTGGCCCTGGAATTTGTGCTTGATGGTCTCGATCATTTCCGTCGTGTGGCCGCCTGAGCCGAGGACGTAGAGGAAGTAGACTGCTGGAAGTTTGCGCGTGTCAGGGATGGGGTCTCCCGGCTTGTAAGGGGCCACCCAGCGTCGGCCTGTTTGTAGTCCAGGCTGTGCCCGCTTGATGGAGTGATGGCGGTACTGGGGTCATTGTTAGAATTTGAGAGGGCTATGAAGTGGTATATGCGCCCGAGACTTACGATGACAAAGGTAATCAAGACGGAGGCCAATGCCACGATCCACGACCACGGGAGAAGCCAGAAACCCAGAATTGAAACGATTAGGAAGACCAGGCAGCCAAAGTAGACGGCCAACGCGTAGCTGTCCCCGCCGAGGTCATCGAAGAACTCTCGGATATCTTCCATTTCGGCTCCTTGGCCTTTTGTTGGTCTTGAACCGGGTATCGAAGCTGAAGATGGTGTTGCGATGGCTTGATCGACTGCAACTTTGCCATTGTTCCCGCTTTGCCTAGTCTTGTCATCAGGTTTGGTTTGGGGGACCTGCGAGAAAGAAACCGCTCTCCCTGTATCGTTATTATGCGGGTCCATGGCGGACAACGCCGAGGCTGGGCTGGTGTCGAGCGCACTGCAAGCCGCAGATGGTCAGAACAACCAGTACTTGCCAATGATAGTCACACCCAGGGCCGTGCTTGGGCAAGTGGTATGTTCCAGAGCAAAGGACTTGTAAGTCAGAGGATTAATCTCATCAATCTCAAGCAGAGTCTGGTCCCGCATCAAGGTGTGCCAGTAGCAACACTAGGAGTCCAATGACAGCAGAAAACTGAACTGCCTGGACTTGACTGACGTCTTCTCGTCAACAACACTCGCAAAGGACGGCCTTCACACTGGCGTTCAGACACAATCAAGACGACAACCACATCACAAACTTGGTGATGGGTCATGGGATAAGCGACTTCCACAGAGTGTCTAACAGCCGAGTGTTAGCAGAGTCTTGGCGATTCAACTCGATGCAACGCACAATTGGTCATAGAGAATCCAGACATATGTGACGGGTGCCGCAGGCCTTTAAGTCTGGGATGGCTCGGAATTGGCTTGGGACCTGCGATCAAACGTGCCTCAAGTGCTCGATTTTCACAGCACAACACAACCAAGTGATTAGGAGAGCGAACCGATGAGGTCTATCGGCAGGGAAAATCCTCAGCCACATCTGAATGGCCTGTAAAAGTTCAAAGGATTTGGTGAGTCTCCTTCCCAGGCTCGCCAGGCAAGGTGTAGTAGAGTGGAGCCAGGCAGCTGCCTGTCTTTAACACGTTGTTCCACCTCTCCTGGCCCGTGCACGCCTACTTACACTGAAGTTCAACTTCACCTCTGAGATCTTCTAGTGTAGCTTCACGTCCGGAACAGTCCAGAGACATACATGGATCATCTGCTTTAAAGGTATTAAAGAATTTAGTCTTGCCGTTTCTCAGATCATTCCTATGTCTTCACATCCCATGCACGGTAACGACCAAGGAGCTGCTCTCCTTTTCCTCCATCAAATATGACGAGGGAATTCTAAAGTCAAATTGCCGTTCTGACCGTTTCATCCGATGACACAAATATCTTCCTTGAACACATAATCAATGCATTCAAAGATCCATTCCATTGAGCTGGCAAACCGTCGGGTTCCTGAAAGCGGTGAAGTTCAGATGCCGCATTGTTTGGCCTGCCAAGAGCCAATCAATGACGTTGTCACCTGCCAACGTGACTCCGTGACTGCGTGACGCGCTCAGAAACAAGACCGCCCGGCAGAATTGCAAGTGCCGCCGAGCCCAAAGTCAACAAGTCAACAAGTCAACAACAGGCCGATTATCGTCCCTACAAGTGCTCCTTGAACCCAATTGAGCAGTCGCCCTGCAATGCTCGTTCTCTCGACAGCAAAAGCGAAATGCGGCGACTCAATCGCTACCGACACCTAAGGTGCTTTTACTGCGGGCGCAAGACGTCAAAACGCTACGACGGCAGAACCCGCCAATTCGACTGTCCGAGCTGCGACGCTACCAACTATCTAGACGAGGTAATTTAACATCGCGCGCCAGATACCCGATAACCTTGCTCATGTACGTATCAAACAGGACGGCGAAATCGCCGACCCGCCCGTGGCAACAGACCAAGAGGGCATACCCGCAAGACATTTCTACGCCCCGGTACCGCGCGCCTCATCCCCTCCGTCTGGCGATTCATCCGACAGCAACTCCATATTCTGCGAAACATGTCTCAAGAACCAGCACATGCTGAGCGCATCCCTCGCGCAGTACCTACCCGACCCGGACGACCCAGAGTACGCCGAGCGAGAAGCGGGGCTGGCGCAGTTCCGCAAGAACCAGGAGCGCCTCTACCCGCAGATCTGCGCCGACTGCGAGCCGAAAGTGCGCCGGCGCCTCGAGCAGGCCGCGTACACGGCTAAAACGGATGTGCTGCGCCGCATGATTGACCGGAGTGCGAGCGCGAGAAAGAGCGTCGGGTCGCAAAGGTGGCTGAGACTCCTCCATTCGACGGGCAGGAGGCTCTGGATCGGCGGCTTCGTGCTGCAGTTTCTGTGGCACGCTGTCATTGTGCACGCGCTGGTTTCGGCGTGGTTCGAGTGGGCGGGCGCTGACGACGCCTGGACTACTTACCAACTCTCGAGGATGTGTGCGCCGCTCATCGGCATGCTTCCGTCCGAGGAGCGACTGCTCCGATGGAGTACGCTTTCTAGTGTTCTCGGGGCTTGGTGGAATCCGCAGTTTGCCCAGGTATTTAAGGGCACCAGGCATATTGGCGGGCTATCCGTATGGTACGCCCTCCAAGCCGTCACCGTCGTCGCCCGTCTCTGCCTGCAATGGGCGTCTAGTCTCACAACGCCGGATCCCCTTCTGCTTAAGGAGCAGACCGCCGGCCACACCATAGCCGCGGGCGTTACACTTCTCGTAAGTCACTCTCTTCCCCGCTCCTGCCACAACTCCCCTCACTAACCTCTCAGATCTTAATCCTCGCTCCCTACTCCATTTCAACCAACCTCATCCCTCTCTTCAACCCCTCCTCTCAACCACTCACCCACCTCACTCCCACCTCACAAACCACCCCTTCCCGCAGTGAATCCCGCCCAGACGAAGCCAAATCCCTCTCCGAACTCCTCGACGAGATCCACCACTCCCCCCTCCCCTCCGCAACCCCCCCAAGCCCGATCTCCACCGTCCCCCACTCCCCAACCCTCTCCCACAGCTCCCTATCCTCCTCCCCGGACGACTCCCACTCCCCCAACTCACAACCCACAATGATGGGCCACGTCCACCGCCTCGCCTCCCAAACCTTCACCTCCTCTCTCCAACACCTCAACTCGCTACACCTCTCCAGCCCCCGCCTCCGGCCCGGCACAGTCGGCGACGAAATGGACTGGTCCCCGACCCCGGAGGCCACAACCACCCCTGCGCCGGGGAGCAACGTGCGAGGGTTTACCGCCGCAGAGTTGGGTGCGAGATCAAAATACCGCGCGTTTAATACGATAGGGCAGAGAGAGGCGGAACGGTTTGGGGCTGCGCCTGTTAGTGCTGATCAGGGAAAAAATGGGGGTGGTGGGAGGCCGTTTTGGTACCGGGTTCCTCCGGCGCCGACCACGCCGGCGCAGAGGCTGTATAATCCGCCGAATCGGCCGGGGACGTTGAGGAGTAGTCCCCTTGCTGTTGCTGGAAATAGTGGGGGGGCTGGGCAGGTTAGGTTTCGTGGGGCGGAGGGGACGATGGTGGTTAGGGAGGGGGGAGGGAGTCAGGTGGAGTTTGCGGGGCCAAGGCTCTTTGCCGAACAGGTTGTGAAGCCGATTTTGAAATCGAGTGGGGGTGGGGGGAGGGATGATCCGAGGGATGGGTTGTTGGGGATGCTTGATGAGGGGCTTAGCTTTGATGAGGATAGGCAAGATTTGGTGGAGGCAAAGGGGAGGGAGGGCGGGTGGCTTACGAGGTTGGTACGTGGCTGAGCTGGAGTGCTGCGGGTGGAGATGGGAAGGAAGAAGGGTAGATGTTATGTTCGCGGTTGTCAGTTGCCGCGGTTGGGTCGGTGTTTTGGATGTATGCGTATGTCATGATATTATGGACTGGGTTGGCGCATTGCATCGCGGGTGGGTATTCGTCTTATGGGCAATGAGGATTAGGAAAGACGGGCTGGCTTGCTGCTTGGTTGGTGAATTGGATCGCATGTAACGGACCATAGGCCGGTGATTCCAGCATGGTGGTCATGGTTATAGAATTACATACCCCTTTCCATATAACACTTTGGGCTCAATCAGGTTTGTATTTCTTGCCTTCCTCTATCCCCCGACCACTCTCCTCCTACAATGTAATCCATATATACCCACTATACACACAATCGACAGCCAGATCAAAATAATCTGTCCCTAATCATCCCATACTCGTCCAATCTCAGCAGAAACTTCCCAAAGGCATCCCTCCTCCGGTCTGCCACCTTAAGACTTCATTCCAGTCCACTCGCGTGGGATGCGGCATCGGCGGATTCGTACCGTGATTCGAATCCTGCCGCAGCAGGCGCGATGCTATCGCATCGTTGAGGTGCGCCACGGCCTCCTCGAAGCTAAACACCTCCGAGATAGGCAGTAGGTGTCTCATCAAAAAAGTCCGGTAGTGACGCTCCTCGTGGGCAAATTCCCTGGCCTTTCGGCAGCGGTGGCATTCCCTTTCTGATCGTGGTGGTGGGGGCTGTGGTGAGCAGGCTAGGCAGTGTCGGCGGAAGTTGGCGGTTATTGGCTCCCGGAGCGCGTTGGTGTTGAGCTCGGAGAAGGGAATCAAAGGGCCAAGAAGAGGAGAAGAGAAGGAACAGGAGGAGAATGGTCCGGGCCTGGGCTTGGAGCTCTGTTCATGTTTGACCGGGAGCGGTTGCCGTCCTGGCAGTCAGGTAGGCGGCGGGTAGGAGAGCTTATGGCAAGAGATCCAAGGTTCAGGTCTAACGCCGGATCAAGGTCGTTTTGCTTTCTGGGTGCGGGTTGTTGCGATTTCTGTTGGTCTCCTCCTCGCTGGCGGTGTCGGGGAGGCGATTGGAGTTCGTCTTGGTGTGTGGATGGAGCTCTCAGCGTGGCCTCGCTGCCATCGCCGGCATCCGAGGGAATGTCTTGGAGCCATTGAGACACCCCTTGGGTGTTGGCGTTTTGGTAAGAGAATTTGAGGTTTCGGGCCATTCTCTGTCGAGTTTGGGGAGTTGGAGATGGCGAGTTTCACGAGCTTTAAGAACTGACGCCGTGATGAGACTGGTCAACAGATAAACTCTTCCAAAAACCGGACTACCGTGGATTTCCGTAAATGAGGGACAGGCTCGTCCTCAGGACTACTGTATCGCTAATATTAGCAACCAATTCCATCCTACAGTAAGGTATTCACGTGAAATCTCCCACCTGAAAAGCGCACCGAAGAAACGTTGTAATGAGTGAAGAGGTTGGAGGGTTAAAGGAGGTTGAAGGAGCCAAGTCCAGGGCCACAGTGGCCTCCAATAAAACACAAATTTCCCTTGGGTTCCTCCCTCCCGCTCGACACCGCTGGCTCACTCAATGGATGTTGGTGCTGGTTGAGAGGGTTGAACAGTGTAAGGCGGGATTGGCTGCTAGGAGTAGCGTGCAGTATCACTGACGACGAGTTTGTCTCTTATTTGAAAGAATGTCGGTAATACATGGTGATCCCAGAGTCGCTCAAGATTGGGGACTGAAAAAGCAGTGGTAGAATGTGGTGGTATGCATTATTCGTGGTTGGAGGGTGGCTTAAGGTTTAAGTTGGAGTACCCAATCCGAACCACAGTAAAGTAGAAATTGATACCAGTGGCTCCTGCCTACTTCTACAGGACCTAGACTATTGCATCTCTGATTCAATTGTATCTCGTACAGCCAAGGTCAAAGCCGATAAAAGCAATGCCTCAAACGCCTGTGTTTACCTGATTTCCTGATTCGGTAGTTGCCAGGGCAAAGATGCACATCCCTTCCTCATCCCGCTGAACGTTCGACCTGGCTAAACCAACAGCGTGACAGCCGCCTACACTGCCGGCGATTCATCACTGATTTCATTAATACATCTCACTTGACCTTACTCATAATCGTCTCGGGCCCCCTAGCGACCTCCATCTGCGCGGCCCTCGCCTTAACAGCATTCAACATACTCCTCTCAAAATCATCCCTTGACCTAAGCACAGCCTCGACCCAGCTGATCTGCAGATCCCAGTACGCCGATTTAAACGCCTCAAACGTGTCCGGCACGGCCTCCTTCTCCACCGACAACAGCTGCAAAAACGGCTCTGTCACGCGCCACGTCTCCTTAATGGAATTGCCCACCGCCGGGTTGGGCAGGCTGTTGAAAAAGTCAAACGCCGTCTTGAGATCGTCAAAGATCTTGTCCTGGAACGGATCCGTCCGGCGGAACTTGGCGCCCTTGTTGCGCACCGATGATAGATAACGGATGAGCAGCTCGTCGGCAAAGATTTCGGTGAAGATGTCGACTAGTGAGTGGTGAAGGACCTGCCGGTAGTCGCTCACGTACTCTTCAAAGGTTGCAATCATGCGCGCCATGGCGGTGCTGGTGTACCATTTGGACGTGAAGAAATCCGGCATGACGGGCTTGAAGTCGACGGCAAACACCAGCTGGGCAAACTTGGTGATGCACCACGTGCTGAGGTCGAGGTAGCCGTCGCGTAGCGCAGCCAACTCAAGCTCGGCGCGTTCCATGTACTGCGACGAAACAATCGCACTAAACTTATTCCTGAAATCCGTCAGGTACGCGACGCGGCCCTCGTCCTCATTATCATCGATGCACGCAATCTGGTCGTTGGCGGTAGCCACCAGCCAGTCCTGGAGCGGCTGGAACCCTTCCAAATCCACCACCTTCCCGGACTCGTAGCGCGCCGCCTCGTCCTCGAGCATCTTTTGCCACGACTGCTGGCGCTGCCGCAGCCGCTGGAACATGGCGTCGACCACGCCCTCGGCCACGTCGGCGCGCTTCGAGTTGGCCGCCGCGTCGAGCTGCCCGCGCAGCATGCGCCACAGGTCGACCAGGTTTTTGTTTCTGAAGTAGCCGTACTCGTCCTGCTCCAGGTTGCCGCCCTCGACGTTGCGCTCGGCAAACTCCTTTTCTTCCTGCGCCCAGATGCGCCCGATCCACTCGTCGAGGAACTTGATGATGAGCGCCCGGAAGTCGCGCACCAGCTCCGTCTCGCGGTTGTCAATGACGTGCGGCGTCAGCTCGTCCTGCTTGAAGCCCAGCTTGTTCATCTTGCGGTAGTACTTTTCGGGCCAGCCGACCACCTCGAGCGTGTGCTCGGAGGTTGTTTTGGGGTCCTCGATGATGGCGATGAGGAAGTCGTGCATCAGCTTGTGGTATATGTCTGTCCACGTCTTGTAAATCTTCCATTTCTTGGGCATCAACTGCACCATGCCCAGCCTGACCGTGTTGAGGTCGTTAAAGTACCATCGCAGGCTCTTTTCCAGCTCCGATGGGTCCGCCATAAACTCCTTCCTGCTCTCCTCGAACTGGGACTCGCCGATAGCTTTAATGTATTCCAGAAACCTTTCCTTGTAGCCCCGCACCGTCTTGGCGCCATCTGTAATGCTTTGGAACCGAATGGCGATTTCCTTGTGATCCTTAAGCGCCTCCTGCAGCGCCAGCACCCGCTGATCGCTCTTCTCCTCGGCCTCAATCACCAGCGCGAAGCGCACCACCAGACTCGTGTTGTCCGCAACCACAAGGTTGATCAGACTCCTCGCAATTAGACTGATATGCTCATCAAACCACTGGATAGCCCCGTCAAGCCGCTCAAAGTAGTCCTCAAGCGTCGACTGCAAGCTCGGATCATCGCCGCGCTGGATCTGCTCGATAGCGTCGTCGCGAATGTTGCGCAACTGAGTAAGTTCGTAGTGCACAGCCAGTAAGTTAGGCATATTCTCGGCATCCTCATCATCCTGACGCAGCATCTCCTGGATCTGGGCGAGACGCTCGCCAAAGGTCTCGAGGTTGCGGCGCATGGTCTCGACGGCGCCAAAGTTGCGGTGGGCCTGCGACACGAGGTTGATGGTGGCAAAGTCGGAGATCATGTTTTGCGACTCGGAGCATATCTTGTCGATCTTGATCATCTCGTCCTTGATCTGCTGCACCGTCTTTTGGCCGTCGGTCAGGCCGTTCATGCCGGACTGGGTCGTCTCGAGCTGCTCGCGCAGGCCCGCGCGCAGCTGCGAGTCGACGGCCGCCTTTTTCCGCGAGAACTCGGCCTTGAGCGCGGAGATCTTGTCGAGGTCGTCCGGGTGCCGGAGCAGCTCCGACAGCTTGACCGGCGGCACATCCATGGCTGCTGCTGGGGGGTTGTCGAAAAGGCAATTGGCGTCAGACCATTTCGTTTTATTTTCTAACGGCAATCCTGGGCTTGCCAGGGCCCGCAATGCCCGTGTCGCTTGTGAACAGCTATACTCGGCTATCCGTTCAGCAGCAGTTCGAGCGATCGCTGGTCAGGTGTGGTTTGGTTTGAGGTTGGCCTGAAGTGGCAGGAAGCTGCACTGATTGTGAGACCGCCTTCAACCCTAACCCCTGACATGTATCTTCGTAAGTTCGCATAGACGCATACAAGCCTAGCCTCGAGGTACCATACTCAGAACAATTACTCCTCCTCCGTAAAACCATAAAAATTTGAGGGCAACAATCACCGCATTCACTTCCTTGCCTTCTTTACTTTCACTTCACAAAGCTATAGTAATTATTCGGGTTAAACAACAGGGGGAAACTACTGGGTACTCATCGACCCTAGCAAGCCCCAAAGAGTGTAAACTAGGTGCCGGAAAGGGGGCATCTCTAATTGCTAACACCGTCACAGGCAGGTCGACATGTTTGATGCAAGCGAGGTAAACAATGATGAGCAGTGTCGACAGCAGGGTCACAGTGTCATACTGATGCCCCGATGGCCATCATGATATCCCCGTTTGCGGTCTGCATCAACGTTGAGAATGGCATTGATACTCCCTCGCCTGTATCGAAGATACCAGGCATCTCAGATGCACGTGGTGGCAAATGACCCCTTTCCCCTAGTACTACTAGTATGGTAACGGCTCCATAGTCTCAGCCCGAGCAATCTAAGCCGGTTGGCTGCTAGATTCTAGAGTTTGCAGTTTGTTGCCCTCAATTCCAATGTTAAGAACGAGGAGAAGATCATGCGTCAGGTTTGCTGAACAAGCGCTTTCATAGGTACCTATGTACACCAGCCGTCGCTCTGTGAGCAAACTGATGGGATATGCTAACAGTACTCGTAGCAGTAATAAAGAGGGCAGTTCCTCCAAGCCGGGCTTACCTAGAGTGTCCTGACTCTCGATCTACCTTACCCAGGCGAGCCATATCCTACAGACAACCGCCATAGCTAGGCTATCTGGGAATAGCTGGGCCGTCTGAGGTTACTAGATAGTCTGTTTCTTGTCCTCAACGAACGGAGAACCCTCGTGACGAGCCCTCAAGTAGTCCCGTGATCCTACGCGTCCATCGAGCAGCCAAGCTGTTCGCCGTGGCATACAATCGTCACCGACCTGGATTTGTTGAACGCTCGCCCCTGAATGGGTATATATAGAAGGATAATTCTCTCGACCCCCTTAGAAACTCTCTTCCTCTCTTCTTCCTCTCTTCTTCCTCTCTTCTTCCTCTTCTTCTCTTCTTCTCTTCCTTCAAACCTTCAAACGACTACTTCTAAAGCAGCAAAACTACAACTTTGGAAGAAAAAACTACCACCAACGACTACTGCCGAATCGACGAATCACTGCCAGCATACCTTCCAGTGAGGAGCGACCATCGACTTCACCAACACCAACACCGACAAACGGCAATGATCATGCCTCGCAACATGATCCCGATCTCAAATCTCCTGCCCGTCGATGACGAGGACCTTCACATCATCGAGGACTTCTTCGCACCTTTCGCGAAGAAGAAGAAGGTACAGTTTGTAGCCAAGGAGGACACCATGGGCTAGGAGCTCATTGACTCCGAGGACTGCAAGTCCCCCCTCGAGAAGGAGGACAAGCCAGCTGCTGACCGTAAAGCAGGTGCCTCTGGCGACAGGACTTCCTCGCGCAACGACGACGACAACGAAGACGAAGCGGACGAAATCAGTCAGGGATGGGTTCTCAATCCCAACGACGAACCCGAACCGCAGCGCAACGACAAGAAGGGCTGGGCCAAGAAGCTCGCCAAAGCCGGCTCCGTGATGAAGTACGCCGGTGACAAGCTTGCAAGCTTCCTCGACAAAGCCACCGAGCCTTTGGCCATAAAAAACGAATTCCCCCTCGGGCGCCCACCCGCCGTCGGAGGACGTCACTATCGCTAGGAAGAGGTTCGTGACCTTGCCGCTGCACCCTTTGCCTCTTTCGACAGCTTCCTAGACACTGTCACTAGGCCCTTCAGCTCTGTCGACAACTTCCTAGAGGCCGCAGAGCGGGCTATGGCGCCTTTGCCCTGGTAAGCACTTGACCTCCCCACCACCCCCGTCACTGCACGGTATCCTCTTGCCGGAGCGGACCCTTAGGGGTTACGATGAGGTGGACAAGAGGCGCTGGTGGGCATACTGACACACACATTCTTAACGAGCCTAATCAGACTGTCAGCATACAGGCTCTGGGCATGGTTGGAGGAAGGACGCGGCGGAGTTTTGGCGTCCGGAACGGAATGGATCTTGGGAATCTGGGTTTTTGGGTCGGACCGGTCTGGCGCAGAGGGCACTACTGCCCGAGTCGACCGATGGTGCTGACCGGTATCTAGCATAGGCTAGCAATATTAGCGACTTTTCTCTGAACTCTCCTAGTAAATGACTGCAAATGTGAGATGTGATCCCCTTACCCCTTAATCACCTACGCTTATTTCCTCTGCTCCTTATCCCCCCACCTCTTGATGTGCTACTCTACTATCCTTTAACACCTTGAATGTAAGTGCATATTGAGGTCATGTTCTTCTCTTACCGCGCCAGTGACTGCTCATCATAAACTCTCCAAGAAAGGCTTGTATGTCGTTGGCGAGATGTATTAGAGCATGAGCATCTTACCCGTACAGGCTGTGCTGTGTTGCGTCAGGTCTTCCAAATCAGTATGGTCGTGTTCAAATGGATCTCGAGTCCGCCTCCGTTGGATGATGGCGATAGCCCCGGCCTAGTCCGAACAGAACGTACGGTTCAACCGTCCACTGTAAACGAGACAGAACCTCGCATATGGATCGATACCAAGCTTGAGAATCAAGAACCGTGGATGACCCGCGAGCCAGATCCTGACCCAAGGAAAACAGACTGTCGTCCGGCTGTATACTCTATCGGCGTTCCGCGTATGATACACTCCGCTTTCGCGCGGTTCCCCTGACGCTCCCTCGCCTAGTCATCCCTAATTCGCTGCATCGAGTTCACCGTCCCTTCCGTCGGATCCCGCCACCTCCCAATCAAGATTCAAAAACATTCGACGACATTCGGATAGCTTACTTAGCCGGGTGGTAAGTCTGCCACACTGCACGCCGTATCCGTTAGCATCATCATCATCATTGCCCCCTTATTCCTTCTCTCCTATACCACCACCCCTCCATAAAACCGAACCACAGAACCCCCCCAAACAGTATACCCCTCCCAACAGTATACCACCTTTCACACTCCCCCCCTTCCCTCCCCACCCAACACACCCAATATTCAAAAAGAACAGAGGGGGGACCTACCGGCAATCCCAAAAGGCAATCCAAACCCAGTCACACAAAACGCCCAGTACTTGATCGCAAACCCCTTCTTGCGCGGGTTAAACGGCAGGTTGGACAGCGGGCCCTCCGGGTAGTGGTACGGCGACGAGAGGCGGGCGCTGGTGGTGTGGAAGCCCCGGGCTTGGCGGGCTGTCGCTGCGCGGACAGAGGCGGCGGTTGCGGTTGCGCGGGTGAGCAGCATCTGTTTTCGTTTTCATGTTTATTAGTTGAGGGTTCAAGTTGCGCGATTGCAATTGAGGGATATTGGGCGATCAATTGATTGATTGTTGGATTGGGACTCGGGAGAGGTTGGGTACCTTACCTTGAATGAGTGGAGTGGGTGGTGACTCAGTGGTGACTGAGTGTGGTTTGGGTGTGAGGTGCAGTGGTGATGCGGCTTGAGGTGAGGTGAATTCTGGAGCTTTGGTTTTGGTTGCGGGTGCGGTTGTGACGTCCGTCGGGAGCTCCACAATGGATCGAAGCTCGGATTGAGGTGGTGTGATTTTTTGCGTGGAAGGGGGAATGGACGGCTGTAGTAGATCCAAGGGGGGGTTATTACGTAAGCGGGGGATACAACAGCAGCACTGTTTCTGGACTGCTTGACTGTTCTGAATTCTGAACTGCCTCACTGTTCTAAAACTTTCCAAACTCAACAGCTTGTAGATTAGCAAAGTCTATCTATGGTATATACGAGAAACTAAACGCTCAGCGACTCTATTTCAGCGTCACCAGCTCCTCTGCGCTCGTCGGGTGGATAGCGACACAATTGTCAAAATCCGCCTTGGTCGCGCCCATCTTGACCGCAACACCAAAGCCCTGCAGCATCTCGCCGCTGCCCAGGCCCATGATGTGCAGGCCCACCACCTTCTCCTCTGGTCCCGCGCAGATCAACTTGTAACTCGTCGGGCCCTTCTCCTCGGGGTCCATCATAGCATAATACATTGCCGTAAAGTTGGTCTTGTAAATCTTCAGATTCTCGCGGCCGTACTTCTCCACAGCCTGCGGCTCCGTCAGCCCGATCGATCCGACCTCCGGATGTGCGAAGACGACCGAAGGGATGTTGTCGTAGTCCAGCCTGGCTGTCCTGAACTGCTCAGGGCCGTACAACCGCGCAGCCAGCTTGCGCCCGGCAGCAATGGCAACCGGTGTAAGCTCCACACGACCGGTCACATCGCCAAGAGCGTAAATGTTTTCGACGTTGGTGTTTTGATAGTCGTCCACCACGATGTACCCGTTCTCATTGACCTTGACGCCGGCTTCTTCCAGCCCAAGACCTTTCGTTGCAGGCGTGCGCCCAACCGCCCAGATCAGGTGGTCAACATCCGTCACGACACCCTCACTATCTCCTTCGGTATAATGTATCGTAAGCTTGCCCGTCGTTTCGTCCTTCTCCACCCGGTTCGCCGCGCTCCGTTTGTGCACCTTGATGCCGAGCCGCTCATACTCCTTGGTCACGCCTTCCTGGATCATCGGGTCAAAGTGCCGGAGGAAGGTGTCGTAGCGGATGAACAAGTGTGTCTCGACACCGAGCGCGTTGAACATGCCCGCGAATTCGACTGCAATGTACCCCGCGCCTACGAGCGCCACCTTCTTTGGCAGGGTGTCGATGTCGAAGAAGCCATCGCTGTTTGTACCCAGTTCAGAACCGGGGATCTGCGGCGGTATCGTTGGGTTGCCGCCGACGGCGATCAGGATCCTCTTCGCGTTGACCACCGACTTCGTGCCGTCGTCCAGCGTCACCTCAACCTGGTTGCGCGACAGCAGCTTCGCCCAGCCGTGCACGTACTCGACCTTGTCGTTGGCTAGGTTGCGCTCGTAGATGCCGTTAAGCCGCTGGATGTATGCATCCCGTTTCTTCTTGAACGTGTTCCAGTCGAAAGGGGCCGTCTCTTGAACGTTGAAGCCATACGACTTGGCTTGGTGAATCGTCTCGGCGATGGCCGCGGCGTTGAAGGTCACCTTTTTGGGGACGCACCTGTGCACGGTACTGTCAGCAGTCCGTTTTTGCATACAGAGGGAATTGTCCAACACTCACCCCACGTTGACACATGTGCCTCCTAACCGCTTGCCCTCGATAACCATAGCCTTCGCCCCGTACCTTGCGCTTGCCGCACGGGCAGCTCCAAGTCCGCCGCTGCCGCCTCCTATTACGAGGAAATCGGTCTCCTTGGAGATTGGGGCCATGGCGAGTGATGTTACGGAAAAGTGTCTGGAGAGAATGGTGATGCGGTTTGTAGGCGCTCTAGACGAGAGGAGGAAACGTCTAGCGAAAAGGGAAAAGGATTGCATGGAGGGGGTATCTGTCTGCGCTGAGGGAGGCGCAACCAGGCTGTCTCGCGGGGTAGGAGGGATTATGTACGTGTATCTGGTCCAATACGAGTGTTTGTGACAAATCCAGTGGGATGCAGCGAAGACTCTGGAGCTGATTACGCGATGGAGCGGGCTTACGAGAACCGCGTCCACTAGCTTTGCCGTATTTGGGCCCTAGTATTCCAAATTCCCTTTCAACAACTGGATGGATATTGCATGAAAGGAAGTGGGCGTTACCTTATGTGAGTTGCTCAGCTAAGCGCCTGAGGCACCTGAGTCGCAAACTGCGAGTTTTCGGGGACTTCGCCGGCCGAGGCCCCTCTGATGCCCCACCTCTCCGAGGACGGAGAAATCCGGCAGCGTCATTGCAGGGGTGAGTGACAAATCTCGTTGCCGCCGGCATCCGTCCGATCAATTCATGTTGCAGTTCTGGTGAGATTGTTTACTCACAATCTTTCTACCGGGAAACACAACCAATTCGGTCTACATCGCAATGCTGGCTGGGTAGACAGCAGTCAAGGTCAAATGTAAACTCGAATGGCATCGATAGACGAATAGACTACAATTGTCACACCCTAGGCATCCAAATTCAAGCAGGTCGGATCATCGGATGTAGCGCTCCTTACACACCACTCACCTTTTGACTCTCATCCCATCCAATCCAATATGCCCAAACCATCCTTAGTCCCCGGGTCCCTCGCAGACCTCCAAGCCCTCTGTGCCTCATGCGGTCTCCCCAAATCCGGAACCAAGCCCGTCCTCTCCCGGCGCCTGCGCCTCGCCGCACGCCAATTCCGCCCCGTGCCCTCAACAGCCCGGATCCTGAGCATCGACCTCGGCCTGAGGAACTTTGCCTTTAGCCTCCTCACCCCAGCCCATCCACCGTTACCATCACCACCACCATCCCAACAACAACCATCAGCAACAACCGCCCCTTGGATCCCCGTGCACCTCCACGCCTGGCACCGCCTGGACCTGACCTCCCCAGCTCTCTTCACCAGCATCACCACCAACACCACCACCAACATCCCCGCCGCCGCCGCCGCCACCTTGCAATCAGACGCAGCAGAAAATGCAGGGGAAGTGGCGGTTGAAAAAGACGCAGACGCAGACGCCTTCTCCCCAACCGCCATGGCCTCTCTAACCCTCCACCTAGTTCAAACCCACCTGCTCCCTCTCAACCCAACACACATCCTCATCGAGCGGCAGCGGTACCGCACGGGGGGCGGCGCGGCCGTGTACGAGTGGACGCTGCGCGTTAATACCCTCGAGGCCATGCTCCACGCCGTGTTTGCCGCGCTTGGCGGGGAAGGGAGAGTGTACCCCGTCGTGCCCAAGGCCGTGACAGGGTTTTTGTTCCCCCCTCCGAGTCTTGGTGATGCTACTGCTGCTGCTGCTGCGCCGGACGGCGTTGTTCAGGGCGAGGGAAGTGAAAGCGAGGGTGTGATGGGGATGGGGATGGGAAAGGGGAGGAAAAGTGCGGCGGCGTCGTACCGGTTGTTGAAAAGTGGTAAGGTGGAGTTGTTGGCTCGGTGGTTGGCGGCGGTTGAAGGGGATGGGGATGGGAATGGGGAAGGGTTGGTCATTCCCCAGACGGAGCAGGCGAGGGAGATGGCAAGGGCCTTTTTGGGGGAGTTGAGGCAGGAGGAGGCACGGCGGGAGAAGAAGGGTGAAAAGGTGAAGAGGACAGCGGTTGGCAAGTTGGATGACTTGAGTGATTCCGTGCTGCAGGGGATGGTGTGGCTGCAGTGGCAGAGGAATTTGGAAGACATGATCAAAACTAGGCCGGAGCTGCTTGGGGAGGAGCGATAGGGCTGTGCTGTACGAGAGGAGGATCTGAGGTGAAATGACGGCTATGATGATTATGAAGTGGGTATCATTGGGTACTCTAAACAAAGCCTAATCGCTCCAGTATCCATCATACGCTCCCTCCTCTCGCTGCGTGCTAACCCACTCCTCGCTCGCCAAACCCCTCATCATCCTCCTCTTCAAGCCCGGCGCGTCCTTGTGCCAATCGCAAGCGTAATCGCACTCGGGCACCTGCACTTCGCCAAAGTACTTGCAAATCGCCGCGTGCCTACAGCTATCTGTATCCTCGCAGTAGGCCACCAGCCGGTTCAGACTTTGCATCCTTGCTTGCTTGTTCGCATCGACGCTCCCATCTCTTACCCACGCGCCGTCCCTCATCAGCATGTTGCAGACGCGGTCCCTATCCTCTCGCGCGTAGTACAAGAAGCAATAACTCGCATTCCCGTCGCGTCCAGCCCGGCCTGCCTCCTGATAGTAGCCCTCAAAGCTCTTCGGCAGCCGCCAGTGGACCACGAAGCGCACATTCTCTTTGTCAATGCCCATCCCGAATGCAGTGGTAGCAACGATAATGTCGTACCCCGGTTCGTTGGCTATCCAGCGCGCCAGCGTCTCCTCTTTGACCTCCTTGGGCAGCTTGGCATGGAACGGCCGCGCGCCGATCTCGTCTGTACGGAGCGCCGCCGCAAGCGACTCGCACTCGTCGCGCGAGAGGGTATAGATGATACCCGGCACGTTTTCGACGCGCTCACCGGCGGAATCCAGCTCCGGCTTTCGATCCGGTGCCCCTCTGCGCGCATACACTCCTTTCAACCACGAGACAAAATCGTCGTAACGGTCATTGGCTTCGTCACTCGTGAAGCGCACTTCGAGGTGCAGATTGGGGCGGTGAGCCGTCATGGTGAAATTCTTCAGCCTTTCGGGCGTCTTGTCCAGGCCGAGGGTGGCGAGGATATCCCGCCGGACTTGCCCGTTGGCCGTTGCCGTGAGACACATCATGGGCACATCCGGGAAGGTCTCGCGGAACCAGGAGAGGCGCTTGAAATCCTTGCGGAAATCGTGGCCCCATTCCGAGATGCAGTGCGCTTCATCGACAACGATGCGGGCCAGTTCCTTTTGCTCGTGGACCAACCGCAGGCGCTTCCGGAAGTGGTCGCCCGAGCAAAGCTCCGGAGTTACGTAGAGGAGGCGTGTGAGTGGATGGCCTGTGGAGAGGTCCTGGTAGATGTAGTCCCGTTCGGCCATGGGCGTATTGCTGTTGAGAGTGCGGGCGTCTACGTTTGCTGCGCGGAGGGCTTCAACTTGGTTCATCTGCACCATGTGAGCATTGCCCAAGGGCCCGTAACCAAGCCGGCAGCTTACCATAAGACTCAACAGGGGAGATATGACAATCGTGACTTGATCATCATGTTAGTTCATATCGTTTGCTCTTGATCAGCCTGAGGGTATGGCAGACGTACTCCCTCGGTCTATCACGGCGGGAAGTTGGAAGCACAGGCTCTTGCCAAACGAGGTGGCTGCCTGAACGAAGACATCATTGCCATCAAGGGCGGCGAGAATGATCTCTCGCTGAAACGGTCTACAACTGGGTTAACATTGCTGCTTCCAGATGCCGGATTGTGATTCAAAATTGAATCGTACCTAAATGCTTGCTTGTTGAACTGGCGTCGGAGGGTAAAATCAATATCCTGGACAGAGTCGCTCCTCGCGAGGGGCATGGCTGTATGTTCTCCAAGATTCACAGCATGAATCGACCCTCATAGTGCTACAAGGCATCGAACTCATGATTTATAACGGTCGCATTTCGTGGTCTTTTTGACCATGGACTGGCGAGACTGAGTATCGCGTCGCTTGAAAGTCCAGGTTTGTTGAATTTCATGTTGTTCAACGTGCAAAGAGTCTTGGGTTTGACACTGTGCTTCTAGTTCAATCTAAGTTCTCAGGCCTTCGGCGTATGTGCGCCCGGCGCTGATGGATTAGTGACGCGCTCAAAATCCAGCTTTGCATGGACGTCGATGCAATCAACACTGCAGTGCATTAGCCTGGAGCACCCGACAGCGAGGATCGAGACTATGGAGTTATATACGGCACCAAAGCTTGCAAGTGCCTCTGCTCGCAGCTTGAAACCTGATGATCTGATTGCTCCGTAAGGGTTAGGGTATAACTAATGTCAAACACTATCAATTCCAACACTGGAGCTGAAATCCGAATTTCTCCAAGTCTGCCATACGGTAGTTACCTATATCGTACCACAGCCGATAAAGGGGCTCTCTCCAAACGTCAAGCTGACTGCAATGCCAGGAGAACCTTTGCAGCCGAGGGTTTCACAGCATGTTGATTATTGTCCGTATTCAGCAGATATATATTGACCCATCCTCGGCTCGGTTACGCTGCCCGGCGTATCCGCGCATTCCGCGGAGAGCAAGCTACGGATTCATTTACCAAGACTGCGCAGCCCAACGAGTGGGCAGGCAGTGCAGGAGAAGACTGACTGGGAGAGAAAGGCCAGTCAGCCGGTGCCCAGACTCATTCCTTATCCATAGCAAGGCCTTCGCGGCCAATGTTTGGTTTCATCTGTCAACTCTGATGTTTTGTGGTCGTCTGTTTCTTCTGTAGCATCGCCATTGCAGCCAATCAGTGCAGCCGCCAGCGACCGTTACTGGAGCGTTCACCTGCTCTTGTGGTCTCGTGGTGACGTCGTCGTCCGTAGACTCTGTCCCTTGCAGCTTTTCGTGTACCATAATCCCCGCCGAGAAGCGTGTTTCGTGCCTGCCCAGGACTGCCTTGGGAGCTTACATGCACCCCTAATGCAACGACTCAGGAAATCGCGAGCGGGAAAAGCGGGGTGCCTTCCGGGCAGCCTGAGCCGACCGACTGCTTCATGCCTCGCCCCGGCAGGTTCCAGTGGTTTTTGGTGGGCGGGCCGACCCCTGTCGGTTTGCGACGTGCACCCCCAGCAGTGCCTCTACATTGACCCCTATCTTGGGGGCTCTTGCAGGTTGCAACCTGACATGGGCCAGAGACGGGAACGCAGCAGTTCGCACAGAGCCAGCTCAATTTTGATCCCTAGGCTCGCTGCTTGCAATTCTATCATCAAAACCCTTTCGACTGCTACCGCGACCGGACGCCGACGAGGAACGCGCTGTCGGACGTGAGCCTCAGGTTGGCCGACTCTTTGCACTTCACCGCCTGAGATACTCGCTAACATCCCAGTCCCAACCGCAAAGAGGTTGGTCTCGCCATGAGCCCGTCTAACCGGCTGTCACCGACTCGCCCGCCAACCTGAGAAAATATCTGTCCATCCGGTTGCACGAGACATTCAAACGGCGCTGTCGAGACGCGAATCTGTGCGCTTCTCCAGCTGTGCCTTCGCACCGCCTTGCTGAGCAGCGAGAGAGGATTCAATTGATATGGTGATGATGGCTTCGATGGACTTCCCTCGCGGCCTGCCCGACAATCCGGCACAGGCCCGTCGGGCTGTATTCGCGAATCCGCCCCCTCCACCTCCGGTACCCAGCCTTCGAAATGTGCCGTCGAACTCGAACCTTTCGGCGTCCCAGCCTGTCTCCCCCAGCCAAGTGCTCGCCATGGCAAAAAAGGCGATGCGTGCTGCCAGGGAGAACGAAAACAAGGCGGCGGAGGCCAGCGGTGTCAGCAACACGCTGGAGACGAACCTTGGCTATGGCCTCACTATCGACCTGAGCAGGAAGAAGATTCGCGAGCTACCCGAGGAGATTGTGGACGTAATAAAGGACGAATTGGAGCGGTATGGCTCGTTGCCTGTGCTTTCTTAGTCCTCTGCTAACCCTGCTGCATCAGCCTTGCACTGTCGCACAATTACCTCGAGACGTTTCCCGCGCGGTTCTCGGAATGCACATCACTGCGCTATCTCAATGTGAGGCAGAACAAAATCAAGGAATTTCCCGTCGCGGTAAGCCTCGCACTTGGTGCCATCCGAAGTTCACGGCAGCTGACTTGGCGGGTTTTAGCTCTGCGATCTCAAATCGCTCGAAATTCTTGACCTAAGGCGAAACATGTTGCAGGTTTTACCGCCAGAAATCGTCAAGTTATCGTCGCTCAAAGTGTTGTCCGTGGCAGAAAACCAAATCACTCACCTGCCGCTATATCTTGCCGATATGCCGTCTCTCTCTGTGATCAAGTTAGAGGGGAATCCTCTCAAGTTCCCACCCATAGAGGTACTGCAGGTGCCGGGTGGGGGGGAAGGCGAGCTGACGGAGGTGGCTGCGGTCATAAAGAAGTTTTTGAAGCAAGAAGCGACCAGTGCCTTGGATTCGCCTAGTGAAGGCGCATCTGAGGGCGCCGAGACACCCCGGCCGACCATCAAGCGAGTGTTTAGTGGCCGATTCCCGATTAAAGTGAACGGCAGCGATGTTTCGGACCTCCGATCTCCAGCCCTACCGCGCCCTCCGCCGATCCCGACTCGGTCGCACTTCCGTGGCTTATCGCAGCAAAACGGGGCCCAGCGCAGGCCAGGAGTCATGCCCTTGACCATTGGCAACCCAAACGAGCGCCTCCGCAGCAATTCAGAGACCATAGTCCAGACCTCAAGCCGAGAACGGTCAGAAAGTCGATCCCGACGTATGGGCATGGTCTCCAGGAAGCCTTCGGAACTTAGTACGCTAGAAGAAATTGAAGGAAACAACCGGCTCAGCCATTACCGGGGCCTCAGCCATGGTTCGGCAATGCAAGGAAGCGCTGCAGCCGCACAGAATAAGAGCCCGAGTTCGGGCAGCCCGGCCGATCCCGCCTTGCAACGGCCTGTGTATATCCGCAGGCTCTCGGTTCTGCCGGAGCGGCGCCGCGAATCCAAGGTTGTAGATCCGGTTCTGGAGGCTGCCAAGGGCATTCTCTATTCCATCTTCCAGATTCACCCCATGATCCAGATGTTGATTGGCTTGGCCAATGACGGCACGACCCGCCGATCAAATCTAGAGATTGTCTTTTACAACACCAATGCCCACGTTGAGCAATTGGAACTCGAGATACAGAAGCACGACCAGACTGCAGAGGACGGGGACGGGCGGCGGGAGAATGAGAACGTCCAGAGAGCCTGTCTGACCCTCATCAACGCCTACACTCACGTGTGCTCGCTCCTGATGACCAATGTCGACCAGTTCCTGGACAATGGTGATCCGCGGTATATACGGACACTGCTGACGCAGCTCTACAACAGCGTCATGGAGCTGCGCGCAACATGCTTACAGGGCACACTCGAGGATGGCCAACGTTCCCTTCCCATTCCGGCCCGGCCGGACCCGGGGGACACGCTCCGCCCTCACTCGCGTGAGAACTCGGTCACTCCGACAATCGAGCGGGCCGCTGCAAATGGCAAGCCTCGCAACAGTCCTTTCGTCTACAATCCGAGCAACTTGCGAGTCGCTACCGATGTCTCGGTGCCCGAGATGAACGGATCAATTCGGACAGCGACAGTAAGTGCCGTCACGCCGCGATCTGGCGAGTCCTTCGCCTCTACCAGCACCTCGGGTGCCCGGAATCTGTCTGCCGATTTCACTGAAGAGGACCGCGCTTTTGAGCGGATATTCCTCTCCCTGCAAAAGACAACGGACCTGGTGATGCGCATTCTGCCTCCGATGAACACGCAGTTCATGTCCTCGATGCGGAGCGCGATCGGGGTGCGCTCACCCGAGCATGTGGTGCAGGCTTGGAGAGCACTCGTTGCCAAGTGCAACACGGCAATCCAGCAAACGGAGGCGCTCAAGGCCAAACTGTCAACAATCAAATTAAAAGAGCCCGGCATCCGGACGCGGCAGTCGTTCTGGCGCATGTGCAGCAGCTTCATGGATTCGTGGTACGAACTCGTTAAGAAGATCAAGTCGTTGCAGAACGACATACAGCTTCCTATCGACATCAAAGCCAGATTACGGCCCATCCAGCAGAGTATGAAGGAGACGTGCGACCTCATGATGTCTTCGCCGTGGGCCTACTTTGCGCGCCAATCGGGACCTGAACAGATCGCCAGCCCCTACAGCGCGCAGTCTAGCACTCCGCTGCCCATGACCCCGCAGAGCGCGGCCCTTGGTCCAGCCGTCCAAGCCACCGTCCCATCGACACCTCAGAGCGCATCGTTTGCCTCGATGTTTGGCGGAGGCCCGTATGAGCGGACCGATACGCTGTTGGCCATGGGAGGCTTGGGCATGTCCCGGACAGGCACGATGAACTCGAGCTCAACCGCGAGTTTGACCACGGCGAGTCTGAACTCGATGGGGAGTACGGATGGCATCTTGACGCCATCTTCTGCACTCAGTCCGGGACCAGGAGGGGGCCCGTTGGGGCCATTGCCGTTTCGGTTGAACACTGGCAATAAAGTGGGCGGATTCTAGAGGAGGCTATCTCATAGAAGGGCTGTACTATCATTGTTCTGGGCGGAGCATCTGGCTGGGGAGACCGGTCATGGGATAAAGCGGCGTTGGAGTTCACGGCTGATCTTTGGCTGGGTGCGGATCTCTCGAATGTGTGATGGGCAGGGTTACTTAGGGCACGGTAAGACGGTTGTTTGAGACGAAATAGCTGCTGCAAGGATACCTTGGTTGTGTACTGTTCGAGATATTGTGGAGGTACATACTCGTCGAGGCGGTCTTGGTGGAAGTGATTTATTTCGAAGCGAATAAATCGGGCATAGCGTTGAACTTATGGTTGATTTGAATTGTAAACATGTTGGCCGGGCAGCGCCATTGAAGAGAGGAGAGATTCTGGTCACATGCTTGATCTGGGGTTGCTCCGGGTGTTGCTACTCACCGAGATCCCCGCATCACCATCACATTGGACGTCTCCTCATCGCAGCTACATCAACCGTCAACTGCGGTACTTCAAACTCATAGCGGCGACAGAATTTAATCGGCGAGGTGTTAGGCATATGCGCATTTGACAAGCGACCATCTTTACATTCACTTCTCAGAGATTAATCAGGTATTGAGCTCACTGAACATGGCTTCATCGGCATCAGCTCCGATGTTTCTGAGCGCCGCGTCTATAAGCCGGGCGCAACCCGCTGCGCCCGCCGTCAGCAGCACCCATGCAACGGCAACATCTGCTTCTGTCGTCAGCTGCAGCGGCAGCGGCAGTAGCAGCAGTCATGCGAGAAAACCCAGCAGCATCTTCAGTTCCATCCTCCCCAGTCTGCGATCCAGAGCAGGAACTGAAGCGACATCGTGGCCGGAGGGAGCAGCAGGACTGACCTCCCCGTCTGTCGCCTCTTCCACCGCCTCAACAGCAACGGCCACGGCCACGGCAACGGCAACATCGTCAATAGCTACTGGAACGGCAACAGCTACAACGGCCACCCTCGTCAACCCCTCCCCAGCCCAGTCCGCCGCCGCCTCAACCTCCTCCCAACCGCATCCTCAATTTCAATCGCAACCGCAAGCGCAAGCGTATCAACTCCATCATCAGAATCAACACCGCCCACCTTCTTTCCAATCCCATCCTGGCCCACCACCACCACCAGCACCCCGCTCCACCTCTTCATGGCAACCCTCCCCTCATACCACCCAGCAGCACACCCAACGCAACGAAGCAGAAATCGAACAAGCCCGCACAGCAGTGCTAGCATCCATGTCAAACCTGGTAGACCGGGAACTGACAGGGCGCGCAGCACTGTTGCACGCCAACAACGCAGCAATTGAGCGGCAGGAGCGGGATGTGGCGCGGGCGGTTGACGGACTGCGAAGGGAAAATGATCGGCTGGCGCGTGTCGCCGAGACACATGCGAGGAAGATCAAGGAGATTGGGAATGTCCAGAACTGGGCCGAGATGCTGGAGAGGGAGTTTGTTATTTTGGAGGAGACTTTGAGGTTGGTTAATGGGAACAAAGGGGAGGGGGATGGGAGGGATAGTTATGAAGGGAGTGATGGGTATGAGGGGAGTGATTGGACGGGAGAGGAGGAGGAGGAGGAGGAGGAGGAGGAGGAGGAGGAGGAGGAGGAGGAGGAAAGGGGTGAGGGAGGTGATGTGGTTATGAGAGATGATGATGGTGGTGGTGGTGGTGAGGGACCTAGATGGCGCCATTGCCAGAGTCGCCTTCTCGCCGTGAAGTACACCAGGAGGTGTAGAAAAGAGCATGCTTGGGATGTCACGATTTATGAGTAACGACTGGTCATGAGGTAAAGTCAACGCTCGATTCGGAAAGCTTGCATAGTTATACAGCCTGCTTAAAGGCATAACAAACACGGGCAGGACCTCGACCAACCTACGGAGAGCGCACCGGCGCTTCTCCTTCTCATTACACGCTGCCCAAGCATCACAGAGCAACCAAACTCAAATAAGGCCCGGCAGCATCGTGTACCGCTTCTTCTTGTACCGGTCGCCAAACTCCTTGCGCAACGCCTTCTCCTTGCCCCGCGACCAGCTACGCATGTACAGAATGCCCGTGCAAATGAAAGCCACCACGGCCCAGCTGCGGCTGATCAGGATGACGCCGACCCAAGCGAGCACCTCGAACATGTAGTTGGGGCTGGTGACGAGGCTGCTGCCAATGCAGTTAGGGATGCCCTTCTCCGTGCCGCCGGGCTTCCGCAGAGTCGCGAGGTGCTGGTGGACGATCCAGTTGCACGTCTCGCCAATCGCAAACATGGCCAGTCCCACGTAGTCGAGAAGCCCGAGCTCGTCACGGTCTGATAGGCTGCCCGGGGCATAGATGTCCAGAGCGCAGATCAGGCCGGACATGAGCCAGTAGAAAGCCGAGTTGCGGAAGATGTTCCAGGCGGGCATGGTGTTGGCCGAGAACCTGTGGACAAAGATGGTCTCATACTCCCGCTTCAGGAAGTGGACGAAGAACAGCACAAGCAGCAGCCATTGCACCTGCCGGATGGGCGTCTCGGCCTCGTTCTTGTAGACGAAGGGCGGGATGCGGTAGATGTACGGACGGACCAGGGGCACGACGGCGTGGAAGAGAAGGGGGCCAAAGTACTCGATGACGTAGACAGTGCGCCAGGCCATTTGGGGACCTATGTGTCTTAGTGTTAGGACCGATTCAGGGTGCTAGAGACGGCTTGGACGACCTACCCAAGTCCTTGACGACGAGCTCGCCGGCCGAGATGACCTCGGTCTCGTCGCGGATCAGTGCCTTGCGGTTCTTCAGAGTCGACCTAGCCGAGGGGCCGTAGAGACCGACACGGTTGAAGTCGCTGAAGCCGATCTGGCGGGCAATCGCAATCTTGGCATCCTCAACGGTAGCATCGTGGGGGAGCTCGATCGAAGCCGGCAGGTTCTTGATGGGCTGCTTGGGAGATCGGTTGCTGAGCTTGAGCTTGAGGGACGCCATTGTCGTACCTGAACTGCACCGGCCGGATACCTAAGATGGAGAGTGGTGATTCCGTATAAAGAGATTGGTGAATGCCGGCCCAGTCCAGCTTTGAAACTCCCCAACAGATGACAGTGTTGAGTTGCTCTGTCGGTCTGTCCTACCTATAAATTTGTTTTTGGATGCGGGTCCGCATGTGTATTGTACATTTTAGTGTAACGTTAGCAGAATCGCAGCGACAGTTGGACCCACTCCGGTTCTGTTTGGAGTCTTTGGACTTGGAGACGGTGCCATGAGATTAGAACGGGTGCTCCAGCTCAGATGAATCCCATTTCTCTAAGGAACAGGAATGTTATGTGGACATCGACTATAGTGTCATACCAATACCAAATGCATAGCAAGGCAAGAAGACTGCGGCATGCTGAGGTAGTACATACCTCTATGTAGGGATTGTACTGTACTGTACTTGTATGTACCTGTACAAAGGGCAAAGGCACTCTTTAACTGAATTTTACAAAGTTCAACCCGCTATGGCGGCCATATATAACATGAAGAGAGAGACAAATCTCTGAGATAATGGATTTATCGCACTTCCATAACTCTCACATCCTCACGCCTCTGGTATCTAGCAAAGCAATGACTTTCAAAGCTGCAGAGGTACATATTGTAATTTACATACATGAATACAAGTGGGCCTTCCGCTCACATGCCGCTTCTCTCCCCGCCAAGCCTCACCGCCCAAGCCCTGCACAGGTGAATTGTGAAATGCGACCAGTCACCAGGGAGGCAAGAGCGAGTGGCAGAAAAGTGGGGCGATAGTCAACCCGACGACTTTTTTTATCAAGCCGCATCAGTATCACCACCAGCCGCCGCATTTTGATGTTGACCAGTTGGGCAGTTAAAGAGAGCACAGCTGCCCCCTTCTGCTCGGCACAACAAAAATCAGTTAGCGACGCAATTAGCATACACATGAGGACCGCCAGTCGCAAATATGGATGATCTTTTCGACGTTTTCTCGGAGCAGCCGCGCCCCCCAAAGAAGCGCAAGGCGAATCCCGATGTCGAAATGACGGATGGCGCCGACAACGGGGAGCAAGGTGCGCCCAAACCTGACGAGACCTTGGCGGGTGCCAACGGTCATTCAACGACAGACACGACAGATCAAGGCCAAGGCGAGAGCAAGAGGCTAAAGTTGGAAGACGAGGCCGAGCCCATCATCACCGACACATTCGAGACAGCCGAGTCACGGAAACTCACTGCCGCCCATGGCTTTGCCCCATCCACAGAAGCAGGAGAGTCTCTCGTCCTGTCTCACAATATCCAGCACCAGGTCGCGCTGCCTCCCGGTCTTGACTACGAGTACATACCCCTATCAGAACACAAGCCGCCCGCAGACCCGGCACGTACATACCCGTTCAAGCTCGACCCGTTCCAGAGTCTCTCTGTTGCTTCGATTGAGCGCGACGAAAGCGTGCTCGTCTCAGCCCATACCAGTGCTGGCAAGACGGTCGTTGCCGAGTATGCCATTGCCCAGTGCCTCAAGCGGAACCAGAGGGTCATCTACACAAGTCCCATCAAGGCCCTGAGCAACCAAAAGTTCCGCGATTTCCAGGCCGAGTTTGGCGACGTCGGTCTGATGACGGGCGATGTTACCATTAATCCAACCGCAAGTTGTCTCGTCATGACGACCGAGATTCTGCGGTCCATGTTGTATCGTGGCTCCGAGATCATGCGCGAGGTTGCCTGGGTCATTTTTGACGAGATCCACTACATGCGAGACAAGACACGGGGCGTGGTCTGGGAGGAAACCATCATCCTCCTCCCGGACAAGGTGAGATATGTATTCCTCTCGGCCACCATCCCCAATGCGTTCCAGTTCGCCGAGTGGATTGCCAAGATCCACCGGCAGGCCTGCCACGTCGTTTACACTGATTTCCGGCCGACTCCGCTACAAAACTACTTCTTCCCGGCCGGTGGAAAGGGCATATACCTTATCGTGGACGAGAAGGGAAATTTCAAGGAGGCCAATTTCAACCAGGCCATGTCCTTAATTGAGGCTAACAAGGGATCGGACCCTGCGGACTGGAACGCCAAGCAAAAGGGGAGGGGGAAGAACAAGAGGACGAACAAAGGCGGCGACGCCTCGGAGGAGCTCTCCGACATCGCCAAGGTCATTAAAATGATTATCAAGAAGAGCTTCCAGCCAGTCATCGTCTTTAACTTCAGCAAACGCGAGTGCGAGCAGATGGCGCTGAAGACTTCGTCCATGAAGTTTAACGCACCGGACGAGGAAGCCATGGTCAACACGGTTTTTGATAACGCACTGAATCAGCTGTCAGAGGAGGACAAAAATCTCCCTCAAATTACAAACATTTTGCCGTTGTTGCGGAAAGGCATCGGTGTTCATCATTCTGGCCTCCTGCCGATCCTCAAAGAGGCCATAGAAATACTTTTCCAAGAAGGCCTGATCAAGGTCTTGTTCGCAACCGAGACCTTCTCCATCGGTCTCAACATGCCTGCCAGGACGGTCGTCTTCACGCAGGTCACCAAATGGGACGGCGTACAACGCCGACCGCTCACCTCGTCCGAGTACATCCAGATGGCAGGCAGAGCCGGCCGTCGTGGTCTCGATGATCGAGGTATTGTCATCATGATGGTCGACGACAAGCTTGAACCGGACACCGCGCGGAGCATTGTCGTTGGCCAGCAAGACAAATTGAACTCAGCCTTCCACCTCGGCTACAACATGATCCTCAACCTCCTGCGTATCGAGGCCATATCCCCCGAGTACATGCTCGACCGGTGCTTCTTCCAGTTTCAGACCGCCCACAGCTTACCGCAACTTGAGCGGGAACTGTTGACTTTGCAGCAGGAGAAGAACAGCTTGCTCATACCCGACGAGAGCACGGTCAAGGATTACCACGATCTCCGCACGCAGATCGATGAGTTCAGCAAGGATATGATTGCAGCGATCCAGCTCCCGAACAACAGCAGGCCGTTTTTGCAACCCGGCCGTCTGGTGCATATCGAAACCCCTGGCGGTACGGACTTTGGCTGGGGCGTCATCATTGATTTCAGGGAGCGCAAGGCCGATAGAAACGAAAAGGCTGACTGGCCCCCACAAGAATCTTACTTTGTAGACGTTTTGGTCAGCATATCCCGGGACAGTAAGGAGTTCAACCGCGATGTCAAGAATGACACCGCGGTGCCCGAGGGCCTCTTGCCAGCGAGGCCTGGCGGGGAGGGCCGGTGGGCAGTGATTCCGTGCCTTGCCAATAGTATCAAGGCCTTGAGTCAAGTCCGCCTGAAAATCCCCGACGATGTTCGGTACCGAGAGGAAGAGAAGAGGGTGGGTAAGATGCTGAAGGAAGTCCAACGGCGGTTCCCGGATGGCATCCCAATCCTGGACCCGATCGAAGGCATGGGCATCAAAGATGAGTCGTTCAAGAAACTCCTGCGCAAGATCGAGGTGCTTGAGTCCCGTCTCATGACCAATCCGCTGCACAACTCGCCTCTACTCGACGAGCTGTACGGGAGGTACGTGGCCAAACTCGCGCTGGAGCAAAATATCAAGAAGACAAAGAAGGCCATCGCCCAGGCCCGCAGCGTGACGCAGCTCGACGAGCTCAAGTCGCGAAAGCGCGTCCTGCGGCGGCTGGGCTTCATCAACGAGTCCGAGGTGGTGCAGATGAAGGCGCGTGTCGCGTGCGAGATCTCGTCGACCGAGGGCCACGAGCTTTTGCTAGCTGAGCTGCTCTTCAACCGGTTTTTCAACGAGCTCACGCCCGAAATGTGCGCGTCGGTGCTGAGCGTCTTCATCTTTGACGAGAAGGTTGAGACGCAGGCGCTTAAGGAGAACCTGTCGAAACCCTTCCGCGAGATCCAGGCGCAGGCGCGCATCATTGCCAAAGTCAGCGCCGAGAGCAAGCTGGATGTTAATGAGGAGGAGTATGTGGAGAGTTTGAAATGGCAGCTGATGGAGACGGTGCTGGCGTGGGCGAATGGAAGGCCGTTTTCGGAGATATGGTGAGTTCCCTCCATTTTTTCCCTTCCGGTTGATACTAGTGGTGGATGGCTAACTGATATATGTGTAGCAAAATGACGAATGCATATGAGGGTTCGCTGATCCGCCTGTTCCGCCGGCTGGAGGAGCTCCTGCGGCAGATGGCCGAGGCGGCCAAGGTCATGGGCAGCGAGGAGCTCAAGGAGAAGTTTGAGCTGAGCTTGACCAAGATCCGCCGCGACATTGTGTCGTTCAACAGTCTGTACCTGTGAGCGGGCAGGGGGAATGCAATGCATCAAGGCGTTTATGTGAGGTTATGGATATTGGAGTTTTGGTCGGCCGGTTGGGAAAAGCATACCACGGGCTTTCATGTCAGAGTCAGCGTACGTATTAGACAGAGTATTGTGTAGTACATTAGGTAGTTGTAGTGGGAGTGTATCGGCAGCCGGGCAGCGGAAGTACTAGTAGCTGCTCGTGGGGCTGGAATATCTTTGGATTTGGTAGATGGCGGTTGCTATGGTATCTATCTGCCCGTCTCCTTCCACAAGCGATGCTCCGTTGCCAGCCATCAATTCTACACAACCGCTATTAGGTCCGGCCCGGCGTGCTCTTCGCTCTTCAACCATTCCACGATCCACTCGTACGTTATTCTATCGCTGCTCAAACCAGAGAGGGTATCATCTCAAACCAATACCAATATCATACACTCAAACCATCACCCACCCACCCATCTATACTTCGTACCGCCCTTTGACCTCTTAACTCTACCACCAAAAACCATGGACATTAATTAAGAGAATTACCCCTCCCCAGTCAACCCCCTCACCACCCCAACCGAAACACTCAACAGCACCCCAAACACAACAAACACCTGCATCCTCCTACTCCACAACCCTTCCTCCTTCCCCGCCCACGCGATCACCCCCAAAGGGAACACGAACCCCATCAGCATGCCCCGTATCAACGGCCCCGCGACCGCGCTCAGCCCGTACACGTCCTCTGTCACCGGATCTTCGCCGCCAGCCCAGTCCTCGGTGGTGGTGCCGGTGGTGGTGGTGGTGGTGGTGGGGTAAGTTGAGGTGTTGGAGTTGGAGTCTAGCCAGGCGTCTTCCATCCTGCGGAGCGTGTCGGGCGAGGGCATGTCCTCGGGGGTGTAGCGGGCTGTGTGGATCCGTCGGAATTGGGCGCGGAGGACGGAGATTTCTGGGGGGGAGAGGCCGGCTTGGAGGAGCCGGTCGAAGCCTAGTGGTTGGTGGTGCTGTTGGTGGTGGTGTTGCTCGGGGTGGTTGGTGGGTTGGGGGTGGGGGTGGTTTTGCAGGTGCGGGGTGGGGATGGTTAAGCGCGGCGGTTGTAGCCCGGCTTGTATACCATTCCGAGGAGTGGGTGTTGAAAGGGGGGATGGAAGTACAGAGTTTGCACTGCTGCTAGTGGTGGTGGTGATGGTAGGCGGAGGTGCCGACGCCGCTATCTCCTCCTCCGCCAACTCCTCCTCAGACAGTGAATCCCCTATACTACAATTGATAAAAACCCTCTGTTGCTGCGGCGGCGCGCCGACGGGGGCTTTGCCCTTGCGGTCCACCCGCTCCGGGTGCTCATGCGCATGCTGCGACAGGGGAGGCGGGGGCGGGGCTTTGAGCACGGCGCTGAGGACACAGGCGTCGGGCAGGATGCGCCCGTTGTGGATGAAGCGCAGGCGGGCGCGGGACGGGTGGGTTGGGTCGGCGGCCTGGTCTTTATGTGCGCTGGTGGTGGTAGTGTCGTCCAAGAGCGCGAGGCGGCCGCGGATGAGGTGCTTAAGCGCGATGACGGTGGTCTCGTGCGGCGAGGGGATGTCGAGGTGCAGGTCGGGAAGGGAGGTGCTGAAGCGGATCGTGATGTGCAGCGGCGGCGGCGTCGGGGGGAAGACGGGGGCTGGGGCGATGCGCGGAGTTGGTGGAAAGGGCTTGTCGGATCGCGGAGGGCGCGTTGGGGAGGAGGAGCTGCTGGCGCCGCCGCCATTGAGTCGCCGGCTTGAGCTGCTCATGGTGTCGACTGTCGATCCGGGATGGAGGTTGTGTCCAGTAAGCCGGTCTGAACCAGCGCTCCGAATAAGACAAGAATATTCAAGCCAAGCCAAACCGACTACCCGCCAGTCAAGCCAAATTGGCTCTAGGCAAGCCAAACAAGTCAATTCGAGCCTCCTGTGCGTTTGCTTCGTCTTGGATGACCCACTTTTTACCCAGTTGGGTAGGATAGTGGTGATATTTTCCGTCCTCCATTGGCCACCCCACCTACCTTAGGCTACCTATCTGTTAGTTCACCTACATGCTAGTGGTATTTTCCATCCTTGATTGGCCCTACCCATTGTTTGGTAGCTGACGATATACGCCTATATACCTTCCATCTTTGTCGCCGCTGCCGCCTCCCAACTGTACGCTGGACTTAGGTAGTGTGTATCCGTACTGACCTGGCTTTGGAATAACCTCTTCCGAACGCCTTGGCAAATAGCCAATTCCCCGTAAATTGTCTTGCAAGTAAGTCAAATGTGTGGAAAAAAGAGCCAAATAAGCCAAGCAAGGGCCCTCGATTTGTCTTGTTTGTCTTATTCGGAGCGCTGGTCTGAACTCTGATGATTTGATCGGCGGTTGACCTGAGAGGTCACCTCTGGGGGCTAAGCTTGGTCATTTGCTGCTATGTGTATGTTGTCTTCAATTTTCTGCCCCGGTAGAGGTGGTAAATGCCCGCAAGTGGTGGTTTGCAACCAAGATGTGCTGTAGGGCAGCGAGGTTGCATCAGCCAACGTTAATCTGATCTGATGTAGGAAGCGCCAAGCCATCAGCGGAATGTGACGTTGGAACTTGGAGCAACCCCAATTTTCCCCGCATAAAGTTCGCTTAAGGCCAAATCAGACTTGGCATTCGTTTTTCGGGGCCTACTCATGCTACTAGGCGAACAGCCTTAACGTCCTCTTCAACATTGCCCCAAACAACAATTGCATTCCCTGGCTAGATCCCCTGACAAAAGGAGGATCTGGGCCAAACCATCGTGACTTATCAGTTGGGTATCATGCCCAAGCACCCGAGCATCAGAGTAACAAATGCAAACAGCACCCACGAAGCCCAACCCGGAAATGGTATTGTATTGTACATATCCCAGGCCTTCCTAGTTCCTACCCTCCGAACCTCCTCCCAAGCCTACCCAAGCCAACCTTATCCAGCGTCGAGGTTACAGCGCCCTTAACCTTTTCATCACGACTTCTCTTAGCACGATTCTGCTCGTGTTCCTCGAGACTAGCCACGAGATGGTTGATGAACTCGTCCCAAGCGCCCTGCACGTTGTCGCCCTCTTTGGCTGAGCACTCACAATACGCACCCGCGTGCAAAGTGACGGCGGCTTGGCTGCCCTGTGGTGTGAAACCTGAATGTTAGAAGCCGCTTTCGCGAGAGGCAAGGAGGCGCGTGTGAGGGCATACCGTGCTATAGCTCACCGACTCCTTGCTCGGCAGAAAGGCGAGGTCCAGGACGGGGAAGTCTCGGCGGAGATCGCGCTTGAGAGCGAGGAGCATGACGACCCGGTCGTTTAGAGTCGCATGGAGTTTGGGAGCCCACTGTTTTTCATGCATGTGTCAGAACTCCGTTTTGCGCTGGGATCTCCGGAGTGGGCACCTACAGTGTCGAATATAGTGTCAACGTTGGCCACGTCCTCAACGCTAAAGCAGATAATGGCGGCATGAAAAAAGTTGGATACCAGTGGGCTGCTGTGCTGGTCAGCGATAGAGCCGGGGAGATCCCAGACTTCAGTGTTGACGACAGTGCCATTATCAGTGGCCGACTGAACAGTTCTGATGTTTGGGAATGTAGAGGGTTCGGTCTAGAATTATCCGGGTGTGAGCTCAATGAAGATGGCGCCCATGGACAGAAGAGTCTCACCTCGGTATATGAGCCATTGACAAGATAGCTGGAGACGCGAAACGGCAACATGTCAGCACCATTTCAACATCATCCACCACCCCGGCGCACGGACTTACTTGACAAAAGCCGTCTTCCCTGCACCACTGTCTCCCACAAGACAGATCTTGACGGTGCGCTCCGAGCCGGGCGGAGCGCCAGTAAAACCCGTACGAGACAGGGCCCCAGTACGTGACCGAAGGCTCTGGGCTAGAGCCGCGGCCCGGCGGGTAACAGACGAAGCGGCGGCCGACCAGGGTGCATCATGATCAGCGACCGAGCTGATACGGCTGCTGAGATGAGTTGCACTGCCTATGCGATGCACGGTGCGACGAAGTGTGTTCGAAATGCGGCTGCGCTTGGGAGGCGGCGGCCGATTCGAGTCCATGACCGTGTCGTCATCATTATCCTCGGAAGGCTATGGGGATCCATTATTGTTAGTGTCGGTTGCCTGGTAAGGAAGGGCTAGGGGTGAAAAGGCGGTGTGAAGATCAGTTTCTTTTTTGGATCTGATCTTGGGATGGAAAAAGGGAAAACCTACACATTTACGCTTCATGTTGTCGTCGCCATTCTTCTCGAAAACTTTGGCTGCCAGTGGTTCGCGCGCCTCATCCTTGCCGTCTTTTCCCTCGTTGCTGCCGGCCTGGGTCACAACAGCAGGAGAAGGAGCAGGCGCAGGCGCAGTGTCGCCATGACGGTCAAGCGACAGATTTGCCACGTTGTCTAGCCAGTCGTCGAAGCGCTCAGTCGGGGCGTAGTTGACATGGCGGTCTCGAGCAATGTAAGCCTGGCCGTAAAGCCTGTTGGATCGGGGGCCACGTTTCGGCAGCCGCCGTCGCGCGTCCGTTGTGGGGAGAAGGCCATGGCGACGCTCCGGGATTGGGAAGGGAAGCTGGTGAGAAGCAGCGGAATTGGGATTCCGAGCCCAGGCCCTGGCGGAGATTCCTAGGTTGAAGTTAAAATCGAAACCGTTACTTGCACCACGTATCGGGGAGTGGACTGAAGTGAGGGGAGATTGTGGCGGCGGAGGAGAAGAGCTCAGTCCCGGGGTATCTGGTCTGCGGATGGAGCTGCCTGGCTGGGGCCGGCTGACGTGCCTCCGGACTGGGATAGCAGGGGATTTCATCATGATGATGGCGATGATATTGCCGGTCTTGTGGGAGAGGGGAATGGGCTAGATCAGGCCGACTACAGCCGGATACATGGTTCTAAACCGGACGACTGGAGGTTACAGAAGAGGGCAACGACGGAGGGGTGGTTGGAGGGTGTGAGAAACAGTTCATTGGTAAAAGCAAAATCGCTTCTTGTGAGAAGTAAGAGATTCGATCCATAACGACCTTTGGGAAATACGCAGTGAGAGAATGCCGCCGAGGCCAAGTCGACGATGACTCCTTTGGTAGGGGCTTCGGCTCCGGACCCGCATTAACGGAACGGTGATCGGGCGTGAAGACAGGAAGAGCAATCAAATGATGCAGACGGATTCATTCCTACCTTCATCAGAACCAACAAAGCTGTTTCCAGAGGGCGCATCTAGGTCCTCCATGAGCTAAAGGGATAAGTTGTTAACCTTTGTCACATCTGATTGGGATTATGGACAAATACCTAACAAAACAGAAACAGGCAGTCTTGTTTCCCGGACCATCTGCCCTTTCAACACATTATGTCGGCTGTGTAACCTTGATATTGGCAAAGGATTAAAAGGTTGAGGATCAAACTGTCCTCGCGATATCTAGGCATCCCTTACGTTATTGGACTATCGGGGCCGACTCGGATTGATGCATGTAAGTGCGGCTATGCACGGCCCACCCTCGAATGTGGAGGTTACACAGTATCTGGGCCGATTGCGCCATCGGCAATGCAGCGGAAGGCAGGCCCGACTCAGTCCTGCAGCCGTGCCGATGACGGCCTCGCCGTGATTATTCAACTCGGCTTCTTCAACGAGGATTTCCACGCACCGGTGGCCATTGGAATCGGATCAATGCTGAACCGCATCGATCTTCACCAACTATGACAAGATTCCTTTCCTAGACACTGATTGGCCTTTTCTGTCGATATAAATCTCATGAAATCGACCTTCACCGCACTCGCGCCCCTTCTTCGGCGATCCAAGAACATTGTGCCTTTCCCTCCAACGATCACTAGATATTTACATCAGACGAGACCCGTCATGAGTGAAAAACTGAAGCCTGCTGCCCGCGTGGCCGGCAGCCGGCAGGATGTGTGGTAGGCTCGCTGTTTCCACTTGACCTCACTCAGCACAAGCATCATGACTAATACCCTCCTGCCAAGGACCATCATCAATGAGGCTGCCGCCGCCTCGCCCAAGCAGCCCATTATCAACATGGGCCAAGGGTTTTTCGGGTACAACCCGCCCGATTTCATCCTGAATGCCGCCAAGGAGTGCCTGGACCGGGTTGAGTGCAATCAGTACTCTCCCACCAAGGGCCGCCCGCGCTTGAAGAAGGCCATCTCGGAGGCATACGCGCCCCACTGGGGCCGGAAGCTCGACCCGGACACCGAGATCACCATTACCACGGGAGCAAACGAGGGTCCGTTCTTGCCTGGCCTTCGAGCTCCGCTGGTCATGCCGCTGACCAGCAGCAGGGATGTTGAGTGCCTTCATGGCATTTATCGAGCCAGGGGACGAGGTCATCATTTTTGAGCCCTTCTTTGACCAGTAGGACACCTTGAGTATCAAAAAGCAGTATGATGCTAACTCAGAACAGGTACATCAGCAACATTGAGATGCCTGGCGGGAAGATTGTCTACGTGCCCATGCACCCGCCAAAGGACGGTGCCGTCAAAACCCTCTCCGCAGGGGAATGGACCATCGACTTTGACGAGCTCGAGCGGGCCATTACGCCCCGGACCAAGATGCTCGTGCTCAACACGCCACGTATGCTTGACCCCCAACCCCCCCTTCCTTCACGTTTGTACGCACTAACACGAACAAGACAACCCCGTCGGCAAGGTCTTCTCCCGTGACGAGCTGCAAAGGATTGCCGATCTCTGCCTCAAGCACAAGATCATCATCCTCTCTGACGAGGTCTACGACCGGCTGTACTACGTCCCCTTCACCCGTATCGCCACCTTGTCCCCCGAGGTCGAACAAATCACCCTCACCGTCGGGTCGGCGGGCAAGAACTTTTACGCCACAGGTTGGCGCGTCGGTATGTCTATGAAGTACTCCCAGTTATCTTAGGATTTAGGCCTGGACTGATCATATCACAAAACAGGCTGGCTGATGGGCCCACCTCATCTAATCCAATACGTCTCCGCCGCGCACACCCGCATCTGCTACTCTTCAGTGTCACCTCTCCAAGAGGCTTGCGCTATCGGTAACGTCACCCCTTCCCCTTAACCCTTCCATTCCACCCCCTTCCCGTTCGTCCGTTCACCCCTCAACAATCTACATACATACTAACATTGCTGTGAATCGAACAGGCTTCGAACAAGCCGAATCCCACAATTTCTGGTCCCAATGCGTATCCGACATGCAAGCCAAACTAGCCCGCTTCAACGCCATCTGGGACGAGCTCGGCATCCCCTACTCACAGCCCGAAGGCGGGTATTTTGTCATGGTCAACCTGTCAGCCGTTCAGATCCCGGAGGGATACCACTTCCCGCCCCACGTGGCTGAGCGGCCGCGGGATTTTAAGCTGGCCTGGTTTTTGATCCAGGAGCTTGGCGTCGCGGCCATACCCCCCAGCGAGTTCTACACCGACGAGCGTGCGCGTACTGTGGAGGATTATCTGAGATTTGCGGTGTGTAAGCCGGATGAGGTGCTTGAGGATGCGAAGGAGAGGTTGAGGGGGTTGAGGCGGTATTTGAAGTGATGGGTGTCTATTGGTGGGGATGGGGATGTTGATGTTCGGGTGGTTAGAATAGAGGTAGATGAGGGAGCGCTGAATTGTATGTTCAAAGGGGGGCGGTGGTTGTTGGGTGCGTATTCTCTGGAAGATCTTGCGGATAAAGTACATCTAGAAGGAACAAGACCCGTTACAGCTGATGGTGGATCAAACATGAATAAATGTCCAGCGTGTGTGAGTGCACATGCCAACATGTTCTCCAGCTCGTCATCTATCCCGGCCAAAACCCGGACATCGAAAGACAGGATGACCTTATCCCTAGAAACTGCAAGCTGCGAGAAATGCCGCCCGCAATGTGGCATATATACAGATCTCCCTCCTCATAGCACAAGCAACGCCGAACCTAGGACTTCTGCCACCATTGGCAACCATCATCCACTGCCCTCAGCAGCCCAATCCCTCTTCCTTTCCTCATGGCGAACAGTCTATCGCGAACCTTTCCAAGACCATCTCCGGGGCTCGACATCAGGAGAATCCCACCACCAGAAAAACTTGCCCCAGGTGAATTTGTCCTGTGTCATCTCGAGCCATGGTTAGCTACTACATACCGCATGGAACAGCCATGGATAAGGGGGGAAAAGGGGGGTTAGCAGCACTCACCTCATCATTCCCAAACCTATACGTCCCAGAGTTTACCACCCGCCCATTCAAAGGCAATTCCGACGATGGAGACGAATCGGGCAAGCCATGAAAAGCCCTGCCGCTACCGCCACGATTACTATTAATATTAATACTTTGCAAACAACCCTCCAGCACCCGTCTCACACCTGCCTCAGCCCGCGCCAGCCTCTGCTCATACTCATGCTCATGCTCACGTTCATCATCAAGCCGTTCTTGTTCTTGTTCTTCCGTGGGCTGCTGCTGCTGCCGCACCCCTCCCGACACCGACACGGACCCTAGCACAATCGCCAGCGCCACGATTTCTTTCAGATAGAACCCCCCCGCGCAGCTGACTGCCTCGTCCCGGATGAGCCGGTCTATGGTCAGCTCGACGGTCTGGACCAGGGTTGGGACTGACCAGGGATATTGCCAGGCGGCATCCTTGTCGGGGTGATTGCTACCACTGATACTAGTACTGATACTGGTACGGCTGCTTTCACCACCGTTGTTGTTGTTGTTGCAGCTGCGGGGTGGGTGAGGGCGAGGGTGATGATTGGCGGCGGTCCATCCCCGTGGTGGAGAGCGGGTAGCGGTACAGGGAGCCCCTCGGCTGTCCATTTCAGGGGAAGCAGTAGTCTTGATGTGCCAGCAAACGGCGAGCCCGGAATCTATCACGTCCCGTGGCGTTATCGTCCAGAAGCGCGAGTAGTAAGGTCGAAGCGCATCTCCCGCCTCGTCGGAGCCAGGACCCGGGTTTGTCTCGCGGTCGCTCTGCTCTAGATACGCCAGGAGCACGGCCACGGAGGATATCAGGTAGCCCTGGGAGATTTGCTCGGGGCAGTTGGTTGAGCCTAACGCAAATGGCCGGTAGAGGGCGAGCAGCGACCGGCGGAGTTGCATCTCCAGCTGGACCCCCCGTTCGCGCCATTCCTTGGTCACCACGTGGTCCGGGTCCTTGTCCTTGAAGACATTTTGAGGGCGTTGATGTCCGTAGTCCCCCAGACGAGGGCGACGAAATTGGCAATTGACACCGTCGAGCATCTTTTCAAGCCTTGCGCCCGCTTCCAGGACGGGAGTGTAGTCACCGAAGGTGTGGATGCGGGCGATGAGGGCGGCGGCTTCCATGCGCACAGGGAGGGTATGCGCGGGGGCGGCTTGGGAATGGTTTCCTGTGGGCTGGTCGAGGGGCTCTGAATCTGGTAGGGAGCTTGCGGTGGGCGGCAGATCGGAGCCGTCCAGGTCCTTAGGGGGCTTGCATGTGTATTCCCCTTGCCTGATGGCGCAGGGGAGGCCGCATGTCAGGGACAGGTGGAGGTCCATTTCCATGATGGTAAACCATAGTCGGCGGCGGCATTCTCCAAGAAACCCAGGCACGACTGGCAGTTCAGAGGGATCGCAGCCAAGAGACATTGTCATCCCTATCCGGATAACGTACCCGAGCTGGGCCCATGAGGATTGCTCCTGGGGCTTGATTGTTCCTAGCGCGAGGAGAAGGAGGAGCTCGGTTTCTATTGATGTCAAGTCGTCCATTTGCTTTCTCCTGACCTCGTCCAGCCAGTTTCGCACGAGGACGCAAGCTGTGGGAATATGAATGCTGGCAGATCGGTCGTGGCCAAGTCCACGCGAATCTGTTCCGAACCGAGCGGCGATGCAGAGCATGCAGAGCAGTCGTGGGAGAAAGCCTTCGTTGCGGCACTCGCCATCCCAGTACTCTGCATATTCCTGCTCAAAGGACGGAATATCTACAATCACTCGGTGTAGGCTCTCTGATACAGTAAAGTACAGCTTTACCAGCCGATCGCACTCTGGCCGGGGAGGCCTGATGTGGGCCATGCGCTTTTGGACGGGCTTCGTGGACTCGACGAATACTGTCATGGGTCTCACAGCTCTTCTATGCTCCTTTTTCAAGCTTCGGTATGCATGGTTAAGATCGACAAGCTGTTGAACGAACCTGACCCTGTTCATCATCAGGGACAAAAATTCGCTGTCCTTGTCGCACTGCTTCGCTTGTTAGAGTCCGATTGTCACAACCGAAGGCTAGCCAGATCTTACAAGCTCACAAAGCGATTGGATGCTGCTTTTCCCGACACTCCGAGCTTCTGGGTTTCCTGCTATCGAATAGCTCCGGGTGGGCGGCGGGAGGTCGCTTGTGGGTCGATGGATCCCCAAGACGATCCTCTCGAGACGGTCCAGGCGGGCCGAGATGTCTTCCATCCCTGATGGAACCTTGGGATGGTGCTCCGAGTTGTTGGGTCGGGCTAAGTGAGGCTCAGGTTCGCCGCCATGGGCTCCCTTTGATTGTTTTGTACGCTTGACAGAGCGCTCGGCGACGTCGACGTCAGAAGCATCTGAGCCAGCGCCGCGCTCCTGGTCGGCATATATACATTCTCTTCGAAATCTCTGACACTGAGAGCACGGCACTGATCGGTCACACTTCAATTTGCGTCTCCTAGTGCACAATCAGTCTCGCCAACGTTCCCGGAAGGCCAGGCAAGCGCATCATACCGACACTCGTTACAAGACCTTCCCGGACGCGGCCGCTTCACGCTTCTTGGCTCGGGGGCGGCATCAAAGACAATTGTCGAGCCTACGGAATGAGTTTTGACCTTCGAACCTCCGTTTTCCTGTATCGGTTCCATGGCGGCCACGTCGATGGTGCATTCGGGGGAGCGGGAGGAAGCAAAGTACTCCCTCCCAAGGTTGGCACCTTCTTCATTTCTGTCAAGATGTTTTCACTGATCAGAAGCCATTGGAACACAAGGCCTGCAGCAACTTGGAACTGCAGCAACTGCAGAAATTGTTGTTGAGATCACCCAAGACATGCATCTCAATCCCATGGGCCACAACAACAGGATCCTCGTGTTGGCTGCCCAGCAGGAGAAAATGCAGCACGTTCGAGGCGTTGCTCAGCCGCTCCGTGGTAAACGCATTGTTTACGTAGCATGATGAGCCCATGACGGGCAAGCACGCTGCAGACGCACTGAACTCCCCTAGGCCGACATTTTGTGCAGCTCTTTGGGCCGAGCAGAGCGTGGACGCCTCGCAGCACGATGCCGACAACAGCACGCAGGCACCGGTGAAGCTCTTGGATGATGCAGATCGCGCGGTGCATGAGCCGAGGTTCATCTCGAAACCCGTGGAATTGCTGTGGACCATTTCTTGGCGCCCCATAAATACTCCGTACTCGTGCGAGACTTAGCGCGTCTCGGGCGCGTCACGCGTGCCGGCGCGTTTGTGCTGAGCATTTCAATTAGAGTTCCTGCTCAGGATGGTTTTGAGGATCGCGAGCTCAAAGCTCAAGACAGCAAATCTCCCAACAGCCCGACCAGAAGCAGCTCCGATCGATCACCCACGTCGGCAGTATGCGCAACAGATCTTCGAAGCGGGTCGATCCCCTACGAGCAAAGGAGGTTTCGCGCATCGAAAAGCCTCGTCGCCCGCAGCGAGACCGCCGTGAACTCCCGTCTTGGTACTATCGAGTCTATGCTTTCAGCTATAACGGGGACAGGGATGTAGAACCCTGGGACTTTGACGAGGATATCTCTGACCTGGAAGAGGATAAGACGCAGGCGGGGGATGGTGACGAGCAGCTGTGGAGGGAGGACGAGGACGAGGTTGAGGGCCAGGGCGAGGGCGAGGATGAGGACAAGGGGGGGGCGGACTGCGAATGCGACGGGGAGGACCCCGATTGCTATTGCCAGTTCGAAGACGGCGATCTAAGAACTGGATGAGGACGACTACGTGGAGTCTGAGAGATCCTACGACGTGGAGTCTGAGAGATCCTACGACGTGGAGTCCGAGAGATCCTACGACGGCTCCGACGCCGATTACTACTACTAGCTAAAAGAAATGCGCGAGGAACGAAAGCGGGAACTGCTGAACCAAAAGCTGCAGTCTCAAATGGAGAAAGAACAAGCGCTAAAAGAGGAGCGGGCCATGGAAAAGGAGATTCTCGCCACGCTCAAATCGCTCAAGAAGGGCAAAGAGCAACGCAACAAGACCCGCCTCGACCCACTGGCACGTCAGGAGTTCAAATTATTCTGCCGCGACTACATTGACCACTTCTACACTGGGAGGACCAAGTGGGTTTACTTCTACCGCCTCGACGGCGACGGCGAACCCATCCAGGGCCAACCGGAGCCCGGCAACGAGGCCGACATGTACGGCGACATGTATCTCGATTCGGATACCCTCTGCCAATTTGGGCCGTTCCGCCCTCCGAAACATGCGAGTCGGAAAGCTGTCAAGGTGAAGACCACCGATGGAAAATACGAGCTATCGTTCAAATTCATCGCCAACGGGTATCTAAAGGTCAAGGTCTCTTGGGAATACGTGTCCACAGCCCGAGGCAACCCGTGTCCGACGGCTCCCCCGCCCGGTGCCCCAGACGTGTTCAAGTTCGTTGGCATCAAGCGTGATTGGGAAAAGGAGAAAGCGGAAATGGAGAAGGCTGCAAAGGCACGCCGCTCGCCGTCCCCGCGGGAGACTTGGTTTGAGATGAACCATCCCATGGGGTGGTGGGCTCAAGGTCGTTTCTAAGCTCTCCTCCGAGACAACTCTCTACGGAGGCGCTCGAGGCTCGCTCGATGACGGGGCATGGAACTTTTGAAAGAAGGGTTTGGCTATATATAACCCTAACCCTTCCAATCTTGGCGGGCTTGGTGTTTGTAAATATCCCTTTCCGGACGGTTTGTTTACCGTCATTTACTAATTGCTATAATTTGCTGTTGTCCGTCAAAATCTGCTTGAATCTTTGACCTGGACCTCATTTTTCCCTTTTTCTTCAACTTTCTTGTCCAGATCTACCGCATGTACCGCGCTAACGAACAAACGAGGAGGGGACTGTAGGGCCTAAGCCGCGTCTTCTGTGGTTTTCTTCACTTGCATTGAAATCTACGTTACGATTTTCGAACCCAAATTTAGTCAACGCCCGCCAGTGTACTGTACAAGTACATACACGATGGCCAAATCTTCCACGGAATCGACCACCAAACCTACCACTACCCTCAAATCGATATTGAAGTCGTCAGGAAGTAGCCGAAGACCTTCGGATCCACGCCGACGCTCTCTTCGCCGTACTGTACGCTTCGCGGCGTCCCCTCAACGTTCCAAGAGCGCCAGAGCGAATACGCACGGCAGCGAGGATCGCCGGCCGCCGCCCCGGATCCGGGCCACCCGTTCCCAGAGCCATTTAACGGCCAGTCAGCTCGCCAACGTGCCGGCCAGCCATTACCGGATCTGATGAAATGGGTTACCGAGACCCGGGCTGGCTCTGCAAAGGTACAAGATCCGCCCGCCAGACTGGCGATGAAAGCTGGGCGTACGTCGTCGTCAAAGGACGCGATGCCTAGTATCACCATCAACCAAAATAACATCAATACCGGGCACTGGGGCGGTTTTGCGGCTTACTTACCGCACCTCTACGCGATGGCGTACAACACAGCCCTACAGTCCTTCCTTCCACCGCCAGCTCCACTGTATTATTACAAACTTTCCGCCGTCGACGTACCTTCAGCCAGCGAGCCATCCTTACCTGCTACCATCCTTGCCGCCGTTCCGCAGATAAGGCAACCAAGCCCCGGGAACTGCGAGCATGCATTGACATACAAGATGAAGATCGTGACTTCCTTCCTCAATTTAGGTAAGTACGTAGACGCGAAACATGGTGTAGGCAGGCCGTAAATCTCACATAACCTGGAATGACCATGACGAAATGAAAACAACTGACATTCGGGCTATAAGGTACAGAGACAAATAATGTTTAATATCACCGACGCCTTTCACTGGTGTATACCTGCTCATACAAGACACATGTGCGGGAAGACGTGCAGACGGCATTTGCTGGATGATGCCAGGTTGACCACCGGCTCCCTTTAGCCCTGAGGGTAATCAGGCCATCATCCTCACCCTTAAGGTGCTATGGATTCTGCTGCCCGCACGTCTCAGGCTCTCAGCCAGGAGTTCAAGACACACGTTACCTCTGTACAATTTTGAAGTTCCTTTAGCCAGCCGTGATGTCCCCTCAACAAGTGGACTCCAATATAGATATGTCCTTGGGTGACATCCTGTGCCAAAGCCAGACTTCGAATCCTGACTTAACACCTTCAAACTTCACGCACTCATACTCGCAGACGCAACCCCTGAGAAAAGAAACAAGTTTGCATCAGCAGCAAAACAAACAAACAATCAAGCCAAAGAAATCTATCCACATAAATAGGAGAACCTTGCCCGTCCGCCAACCAACCGGCCAAGTACAGTACCGGTACCTACATCGCAAAGCCTTCTCTTACACACGGAGAGAGAGGCCAACCCAAAGCCCCCATACACAGGGGCAGCAACATGCCAAACACCAACCCCTTTCAACACATCCCAGTACTTAGTACTGTACCACACCGCAACCATGCCTACCCTACCTCACCCAGCACAGCAGGTCCATCACTCAGCCTTAACCTCAACACTCTGCTTAACCCCATCCGCCTCGCCCGTATTAACCTTCTTCCCCGTCTTAGCAATAGTCCGGAGCACCTTGTCGTAAGGAAGCGAGTCGTCGGCAATGACCTCGGCCGTCTGTTTCTCAAGCGAGACCTCGTAGCTCTTGACGCCTGTTTATTTCCCCTCTGCAGTTAGCATAGAATCTCAATATAGGAGGAGAGGGTACAGTAAGAATAAGGCAACACACCCTCCAGCTTCTTCAGGACCCGCTCGACGGCGCCCGAGCAGCCCCCGCACGACATGCTCACGTTGAAAACGTACTTGTGCTCGCCGCTGCTGGAGCCTGGAGCAGTGGCGGCGGCGGCGGGTGCCGGGGCGGTGGTGACGTCGGCCATTGCTTGTTGTGTGTTTTGTGTGATCCGTTTGGGAGAAGGGAGGAAGGGATGATGAGGTCGGGTGTCCAGTTAGACCTCTGCGGAGCTGCTAGACAAAGCGCGGGTTCGGCCGGCAGGCTCCTGAGCTTGTCAAATGCACAGTGAGGCGTATTCTAGCCTTTGCGGTGACTGGGTGTTTGTGAGATGCTGGATTATTGACCTGATCAAAGGTAAGGTAGGGTCAAAGTTGTCGGCAGGCCATACGCCGGTGGGGCAGGGGGCGGGGGCTTTATACAGCCAGATTGCAGTTGCGATTGCGACTGCGATTGCGACACTTTTGCTGCGACACTTACGCGTTGAGCGGAAAGTGCGGACTAATGGCTAATGGAGTCAATGGACAGATTGAGGCGCGGAACAAGGCGGATTATTAATGTCTTCTACTGTTCTACACGCATCCTGAACCGCCTCTCTTTACAGTATCCTGATTTCTCTCTGAAAACCAAGACCACCCCTCGGAACCTCGGGTTGGCGCAATCGCGAGATCTCGCATGATCTGCCTGGCTGCATGGAGATCTTCGAGATCTGGGAGTGGATCAACTCTGCAAGTGAAACAGTCTCGTCCTGGATACATACCCTTGAGATACCTACCTATGAAACATGCTCACCGATCAAGCACCACAATGCCAGCTGTCCTTTCAAGACAGCCCAGCTGAATCGAATGCCGAGCTTCGCCGGACAAAGATGTTCCGCTGACCAGTGACCACACTGGACCCAACAGCGTCCTGGGGCTGTGCTCCAGAAGCTTCCGCATTCGGTCAACTGCCAGCTGCGAAGGGCTCGCCCAACCCTGATATAGCAGACATAGACATTGCAATATTTCGTGATATTTTGCCATCCCTAATAGCTAGTCTTTCATAGAGTCCAACACTGCTTTTCCCCGCTCAACGCCTGCCGGCCTTGCCCATCGAAAGGGCCTTAAAAGCGTCCACTCATAAACACCCAACACGAAGGCCTCTATGGGACGTTGCTACCGCCCCTGCGGCGTCCTCGGACCATGACCATCATTATCAGTGTGCCATGCCTCCTCATCCCCATCCCCATCCCCAAAATCATCCACCCCTCCTTCAAAATCATCCTGACCCCAGTAGTCATCCTCCTCATCATCCCCCCACGCGCCAGGCACTCGCAGGCCGTCCGGATCCCCTTCATCATCATCATCATCATCTCCCTCTCCCTCTGGGGGATTCCCAGTAGCCGTCCGCATGACATTGAATAAGAAATTGAACAGCCCCGGCTCAGAAGGCGGCCTACCAGTCCCTTGAGGTTGAGGTTGAGGTTCCGGCTCACGCACACCAATATTTTCCTCAGGCTCCTGCCCTAGCCCGGGCTCTTGCGCAACGAGCGCACGCAGCAGCTCATCCAGCTCTGCTCTCGCCCTCACAGTCTCCGCATTTGCATCCGTAACCCCCTGGTCCTCGTTGTGCTGATCTAATAGCCTCCTTTGGCGGGCAATCTGCTCCATCAGCCTCATCGCGGCGGCGCGTAGCCCGGCGGCATCACCTTCCGCACGGCCCTGGCCCTGGTTTTCAACCCGTGGGTCAAAAAAAAGCTGCGCCCTAGCAGCAGACACAGAATCCCTACGACTGTCTAACTCAGTCGAGTTCCAAGGGAGCTTCTGAACCTGCGAGGAAAAGACATTGGCCTCGCGCGGCGGGGGGAGGGGGTCAAAGTCAAAGTTGGGCGACACGTGGAGCATGTTGCGGGGCACGGCGGCCATTAAAGCCGGGGTGTTGTCGAGGTAGACAAAGCGGGCGACGGCGAGCGTGACGGGCGGGGTCTGTGTCGTCGTGGGGTCGGCTACGCGGGCGGCGGCTGCGGCGGACTCTTTGAGCAGCGATATGCCCTGCGGCGTGTTCCACAGGTCCTTGGCCATGTGCAGGTACAGCTGCACGTGCAGCTCCTCGTCTGCGTTGCGCGGCTGGATGCCCCATACTGAAGGGGGTGTGTCGAGGTTGAGCGCGCTGAAGAGGGCGCAGTACAGGAATGGGAGGGTCTCCATGTTTTTGGTGAGGATGGATTTGGCGGTTGTGGTGTCTTTGAGTTGGAGGTGGGCGAGCGGGAGGGTTTGGAGGCTGTAGATGTGGCGGGTGGAAGAGGGGGCGAAGAGGCTGGAGTTGCAAAAGTCGATGAACCATTGCGCCTCGCGGGCGCGGATGGCGAGGACATGGATCCAGTGCATCATGCCGTACGGGTCGTCGTGGTTGATGCTGAGGAAGAGCTTGGCCCATTCCAGCGCGGTGCGGTAGGTGCCCTTCATGATCAGTTTCTGGATGAGGTTCCAGCCGGCGAGGTAGAACTGCCGGTTCTCGGGCCGGGCAAAGTCCATCCTTGCCGTGCCGCTCTCCAATTTCTTGCGGAACTCGCTCAGTGTAGCCCTCCCAAAGGTGAATAGAGCCCGCTCGATGAGGTCCGCTGCCAGGGCAGAGTTCTGATCCTGCCGGGCAACCTTGCTCACTTGGATGAGCGAAGAGATGTGGTAGGGGTAGCGATGCAAGAAGTAAACAATCTGCATGGGGTCGTACATCTGGACTAGACCAAAGAAGCTGCCCTCCAAGGCATCGTAGTCCTTGTCGTGGGTAAATGCAAATTCCACTTCCTCTTGAGCGCCTTGTGTGACGCGGATCATCTTGAGACCTTGAGCTGAGCCCCTAGGCCACGTCTTCTTGCCGTCGATGAAGGGGTTGCTGCGCAGGATAGTGTCAAACATGCCCGTGTTTCGCTGGGGGTCTTGGCTGGGATTGGCCGCCCGCGCGCTGAGAAAGGTCTCAAGATCGAGGTTCTGAGGTAGAGTCCGCTGGCGGTTGTCCTGCGTCCGCTCTTCGACATGAGCCGCGTCCATCGCCTTGCCAAAGAGCCGGCGCATTTCATTCATGGCCTTGAGATGCTGGAAATTGATGCGCAGAAGCTCGTTTACCCCCCTGGCCGGCTCATCTGCTGCAGAAGTAGCGGCGCCAGAACCGTCCGACGGCTGTGCCGTTATCTTGAGTTCTTCGAGAACCCGGTCGATGTCATCGAGCGACTCGCGTTCGTCCTTCACTGGCGCCGGGGATTCAGTTTGCTTCGCTTTCTTCTTCTTTTTTTTCTTTGCCTTTTTGCTCTTCTTTGCGGGACCTTCCCCTGTGCTAACTGGTTGTTGGGCAGGCTCATCGTCCTCGCTCTTCTGATCCTCATCATCGTCATCCCCGCCATCGTCTACTTCTCCGAGGGCAGCGAATCCCGAGAACAGGTTAGGGCGGGGCTTGGCGACGATGGGCTCATCATCAGACCCATCGCTCTTCTCAGCAGCCTCATTCTGAAGGTTGAGAAGCTCTTGCTGTTTTCGAAGTTTGCGGAGTTGTCGGCTAGCCATGATGTTTGTACGAGGGTACGGATAATGCGCCAAAGATGAGGTTCGTTTCGGGAAGAACGGGGTGGTGGAGGGGCAGTCAGCCCGTGCGAAAGTCTCAAGACGTTATTCTCTAAAGCCCATCGATCAATGTAAGTAGGGAGTAAGAGCGGATAGCACTTTCAGGAAGGCCACATTCGATAACTGGGAATGGACGGATAGGACTTTAGCTTCATCAAAGGCGACTCGCCGATGCAGTCATTGCCGGTGATGAATGGATGTGGTGGGGCAATTCGGGGTGTGGCGCCGTGGCGGTAAAACTTAATATAGCGTATTGTTGCGTAATTTCAGTGTAATATTACCGGCCGGCTTGGGGCTATAGTTGGGCCGTCTCCCTTCTAAGTTTGTCTCTACACTGGAGAATCCAACTCCCAACTATGCGTCAACACAATGAACCAGTCTGCACCTCTGCATTGTCAACTTGAAACCGGCATTTTGCTGTGAAATTGTATATAAAAACCAAAATGCGTTACTTTTAGAATGGCGAGATTTGGTGTTTGATTTAGCGTTCCCCGGTATCAGCGATGGCCTGATCAAGTTCGCCTTTGGGCTTTCTCAACCCGTTCTCCACGATGGAGTTGCTACACTACCCAAACCCTCCGCAATTGGAATCGAGGTCTTATATATGTCTTGACCCTGCCAGCCTTCCCCCTAACGGACGGAGCAAGGCTAGTTTCTTGCGTTGTCGACGTGTGCGCGGATGGGCAACCCCCAAATACCTGCTGCACGGTTTGTCCGGTTTGTTGCGGTGATTCTGTGAAGTTGGTGACCAGTTGACCACAGAGCACGCGCAACCTGCGACCGGACCCTCGGTCATTGGTATGTGGATTCTCTTTCCCGTTGTCTCAGTTCCCCCAGGACTAAACTTCCATATCGAGAAGAGACTCATCGAGAAATAAGAGGTTACACCCTTGCATGGCCCGTCGAGTCGGCAGCACGGAGCACGAGTGAAAGTTCACAAGTCCATCCTTCGCAGTATTTACGGCCGCCCCTCTGGGCTGCATCACCGCGTGCAGGTCCTCCCGCGGCATCTCTACGCTCTTCTATGCTCACCGGGGAACGATGCCCGAGCAGCTTGCACGTCGTACGGATAGTGCCTCGCAAGCGATGACCTTCGAGGAGTGCCGTGACCTTCGAGGAGTACCGCGAGCTGTTCGAGCCAAGTACGGATGAAGTTTTGGTCCCTGAGTTTTCTCCGAATGTCCCAGGAGCAGCAAGCCTGGCTTGAACGCCTGCTTTCCAGAGACGCCGTGCGTATATTTAGATAATGCAGTTGACGTTTTACAACATAAATGCATAGAAGCTTACCTAACATGCACCCAAGAGAAGATTCGGCGATGTGAACCCACCGCTCGACACGCTTCCAGTACAATCCAGCTGGCTGGCGTCAAATGGCCCAGGGCATCCATTCAGAAGCTGTGGCGCTCGCTAGTTCCATGTGGCTTCGTGATGCGCCGTGGATGGTGCATTGTGTTCCTTGGGGCTGAACGGTACCCCTGCGTCGCCTCCAAAGACGTTCTTTCATGATGGCAAGGCTCCGTTAGTGCGGGCGCCCTCTCTTCCACAACATGGAGCCAATATTTGCGTCTTTTTCTCTCAAATGTCTTCTCCCGTTGCCGTACCGTTTCCTCCGTCTGTCTGCGAGTGTGTGAACGGGAGGGAAAGGGGAGTATCCGACACCTATGATGGAGAAACAAAAATACGATGACAGCGTCTTCACGCGAAGGTGGTGCGTGTTTGGCCTGACTATGAGTTGGCTTGTTGGTATTGGAGCTCTCATTGCCGGTGCCATCTGCATGTATATGGAGATTCACAATGGAGAACCCGCCAACATCGTCATGTCGAACACGAACCGAGAGATCCTTCCTTTGGTCCTCAATATCTTTGGTAAGTGTATTTGACCTTGCTGGTGCTCTCTGCGCGGCGCTCTGATACCAATCTGCATAGTCACTCTGCTCAACGACAGCATGGGTTACATCCACGCTTGTTCTCTCCGGTGGTCGCTGCAAAGAGAAGGCAAGCTCGACTTCAACTCGAACCTACGTCTCCTCACGGCCTCGAGGCACAGCCGGCCCAATAGTGCGGTCCCAAACGCCATCTATCTCATCGGGATTATTCTCGCTTACGGATCAACATCGCTCATCTTCCTAAGCCTAAACCCAGAGCTTGCCCGGCTGTTGGGCAAAGACTACGATCATTCAGATACACAGGCCGTGCACGCAAACACAGTTGCCCTGATTACATTCGGCATCGGATTCCTGCTGCAGGCGGTCATCACCAGCTGGACGTTACTGCAGACCGACATACCCACCTGGAGTTCCAATCCCCTTGACGTCGCCCGTGCATGTACCGTTGATGAGCACGACGGACAACGGGTCGAGCCGCGCATTGGGAGATGCATGATGAGCGCTCATCTGGCTATGAAAGATGCTAGGAGTTGCAGACCAAGGAGGCGACAGAGACCCATGATCACCGCCCATTCTCATGTGAAATGGATCCTCAGTCTGCTGTGGCTTCTGCCGCTGCTGAGCGGCTCCTGGGGAGGCGCTGCATACGGTTACCTCTTGAAGGGACATCGAAACAGCGTTTTTGGGAGGTCGTGGTCTCTGCTCCCAGTTTTCACTGGCAAAACAGACTCCAACTGTTCTACTGGGCAATGCACGGATGGCACCTCGGTGATCAACCTCAACTGGAGTGCCAAAGGCGCGGCTGGTACCGTTGGAGGTGTCTTCATGATTACCGCCATTCAATCCATCGTCACCCTGTCTCTGCACTGCGCGGAGCTGCTCGTAAACCTGTCGCGAGACGAAAAGGTTTTCCGGGAACTCATCGGGCCCAGGGGCACAAACGGACACTACAACTCGATCCTCGCCGCCTTCACATCCTGGCAGACCATAGTCCTGTTTGCCCTCAAGGCGATTGTGCACTGGATATTCGGTCTCGCCATCAACCTGCAGTTCCAGATCGGCGTGAACATGCATCCACCACAAATCTTCTACTTTGCAGGCATCTCTCTGGTCACAGCCATTTTCGGACTGTCTCTTTCCCTGCAACGGCCCCGCGGGTACCTGCCCGCATCGTACGGCCACATCCAAACCATTGCCGACGTTGTCGACGACTGGGCCGACTCGGGATGCATGTTCTGGGGCGAGAAAGATCCAGGCAGCGTGGACAAACCGGGCTACACGGGCACCAGCACCCGCCGGCTCAAGCAGCCGGATGAGAATAAGCTGTATGGCGGCCTGGAGGGTTGCCGGGGAGCAGCACCCCGAGTGACCGTCACCCCGGTCTCTACCCCCGATATGCATTATCCTCTCAGTGCATCGTCCGGGTCGCCCCCGCCGATGTACTTTTCTGGCGGTGCTCCGTCGCCTCCGCCGCCGTATGGGTATGCTGCTTCTGGGCAAGGGCGGGGACAACAACAGGTCAATAGCTATGCCCAGTGGGCGGCATACCAGCCGCAGAACCGACCGAGTTATAATAGTCTGAATAGTGCCTACTCGGGGTATTCGGGGTATAGTGGACAGAGTACCCAGCCGTTTCTTTCGGATTACAGGCGTATGTGAAAACATCTGTATGGTTAATACTGTAGTTGTCTGTTTCTCTTACTGTTCTCTCGGCATGAGATGCATGAGCAGATGTAGGCTGGAGTTTGGGATCTTTTGACATATGACGGCGCTGGTGATATTGGTTTGAAATTCATTTTGGGCCTTGTGTAACATTGTAGCTGATTTGTTGGAATAAACAGCATCACAATGTCCGGTCAGGAATTGAGGCATGTTAAGTCTTGCTCTATTGTTGTTCCAGCTTTTGTGGGTGGTGTGGAAGGGGGAAAGATGTGCCTTCCTCAATCGGAATACAAACAGATGTGTCAGGTAGGGTTAGGGTTCTAGCCTTAGTCTGCCACAAGTGGCGATGCGAGAGATCGGAGGCTGAGCGCACCGCCGCACAGACCGGAGCTTGGCACCTTGTGGAAAAGTGGGAGGCTGAGCTTGCTGAATTTTCATAGGTCATGCACTTTCTTACTCTCTGCCTTCCTTTTCCAACTTCCAACAGCAAACCATCACAACAACCACGATCCAAACCATGTTGCGCAGCGCGCCTGTCTGGCCCGTTTCCTAACCATTCTCAAATTTCCAATTTTCACCGAGCAACGACTGGGCTTTTCTTTTCTTTCAACCCCTCCTCTTCGTTTTTGATTCCCCTCCTCCGCTTCGCCGAACGCAGCTCCTAGCTCTCGATCTAAGCTCCATCCTCCGCGCGTCACTATGTCCGAGTTCCTAGGGTTCGTTGGCTCGCCTATCGCCAGATTGGCTCATATTCCCATCAAGCGCTGACCGTTTTTGCCCTGCAGTTCTAGAATATCGCTCATATCGCGGAGCGACATCCGGTGCGTCATGACCCGGCCCGCTGGCAAGCTAGCTCTGCTGACAACCCCTCTTGTGCAGCTACGTTGGGACTCTCCACAGTATCAACTCGGATGACTCGACCGTCTCCCTGGAAAATGTCAGATCATACGGCACAGAGGGTCGGAAAGGTAATCCCGATGAGGAGGTCCCGCCCTCCGTTGACCTCTACGAGTACATCGTTTTCCGCGGCACAGATGTCAAGGATTTAAGGATCGAGGAGGGACCTACGGTCAAGGAGACCAAACCTCCTGCGATGCCGAATGACCCTGCAATTGTTGGTGTAAGTCTACCCACTGTCTCCAGTCATTCCACCAGGCCTTTCATGATGAACTATTTCGGATGTAAAACTATTGTCGATCTGAAATGCGCAAACAAACAATGTTGAGATTTCCGTTGCCTTCCTTCTGATCATGGCCACAACCTACTGGAATTCAGACGTCTTGTCCTTGGATGGAGAAGTTGCTGACCATCACTCAAGGCCCGCCCCCGCCCGACGAATGTCGCCCCTAGCCCACAGGGTCCGCCGCGTCCTTCCGGACCGCAAGGTCCCCAAGGTCCCGTCGGCCACCCAGGACCCCAAGGTGCGGTAAACCAGCAAGGCCCGCCACCTGGTGCGCCAGGTTTTGGTGGTTACTTCCCTCCCCACATGCCAAGCTGGGGCCGTGCAGGAGGCCCGGCTCCTGGTCCATTCGGTGGCATGCCATATCCGCCTCCTGGCTGGTTTCCTCCCGGACAGGATTTCCCACCCATGGGTCCAGGTCCGTGGAACCTGTATGGTTTCCCGCCGGGGCCTGGTGGTCTCCCGGGTGCCCCTGGCGCTCCTGGCGCTCCTGGCGCTCCTGGTCCTGCTGCTGCTCCTGGCGCCCCCGGACAAGGTCGTCAATCAGCGAACCAGACCCCGAGCACCCAGGCGGCACCAACACAGAAGCCAGCTCCGATTGGACCCTCAGCCGACCGGAAATCTGCAACCCCGGCTCAGCAAAATGAAAAGATTCCGACCGAGCCCAAGGCCCTAAGCCAGCCATCAAAACAGCCGGCAGGGGCGACTCAGGCGGCTCCTGCTGCTCCGGCTGCTTCGGCACCTCCGCCGCCAATCGAGTCGAAGCCAACAGTAGAGGAAGTGAAAGCCACAGCTGCCTCTCTTGCCAACAATGTTTCCGGCGCTGCTGCGACTCGTGACTCTGCCAAGGCCATTCCAACGGGGCCGAAGAGCAACCGCCCATCCCAGATCCTCCCTGCCGTTCCTCTGCCGGCGGCTCTTACTACCAAGGCCCAGCAATCTCGGACCACACCGAAGCCAGCTTCGGAGCAGAATAGCGCGGCCGCCGCTGCAGCGGCACTACGGGACGCCACGCAGGCTGCCAAGGAGGCTGTGGCGGTAGCTATGGCGAAGCTCGACAACTCTGCCGCCCTCCAGCAGTCGGATGGAAATGCGGTCGATAATCTGACTAAGAAAGTTGACGAGATGAGAGTGCATCATGCGGCACGTACGGGACAGAACAACCGGGGCGGCCGAGGTCGCGGGCCCCGCCCTGGCAAGGTCGAGGTTCCAGATGCTGATTTTGACTTTGCGTCAGCCAACGCCAAGTTTAACAAACAAGAAGTCGTGAAGGAGGCCATTGCTGGATCGCCACTCACCGATGTGCCCAATGGAGATGGCACTAAGCCCGAAGTCGCGGCCGACATAGCCGTCTCGGTCGAACCAGCCTACAACAAGTCCAAGTCGTTCTTTGACAACATCTCGAGCGAGATGAAGGACAGGGAGAATGCCGGCCAGAAACCGGGTGGTCGCGAGTGGCGCGGTGAGGAACAGCGCAAGAATATCGAAACTTTTGGTCAGGGTAGCGTCGATGGGGGCTACCGCGGTTATCGTGGTGGACGCGGCCGTGGCCGTGGAGGACGGGGCCGTGGCTATCACCGCGGCGGGCGTGGCGGGAATCAGGGGTTCCGCCAGCGCGAGGCCCAGCCGGCGGCTCAGTAGCTGTTCTGCCTACCATGCTGATATGAAGTCGATGTGTTTGTACCATTAGTCATAGCTTGCTGGGCTTGGGATTGCTTTTGCGCTTTTTATTGATTTATCGGTGGCGGCATTGGACTCGTAGCCTGCTTGTTTTCTGGGCCGCGGGAGTTGTGGGAGGTATGGTGCTATGAAACGGAAAACAAACTGCTTTTTTTCACGATTGGCGATGGGGGTGTGGTTTTTCACGCAGAATCTTGAGCATAATCGGTGGGAGAGGACATCACACATCAAGGCGCCGAGTGGGCCATACTTACTATGGAGGTTGAGGGAGAAGAGTCTGGGTCTGGGTGAGGCGCATACATAATGCTTATTGACCTGGACGGAGAAAGACATGGAGATGAAGTGGTGATGGGCATTAGGTTGCTTTATTACGAGGTAGATGCGACAGAGGGATCGAAGCATCCGTGGTATTTATCTGGGGAGTCGGAGTCCAACCTGTGATAGCTCTGTAAACAGTGAGTGGCGAGGAGCTTGAGGCTAAGGCAAGGCTCTTGGGTGGGGCCGACTGTTTACTAAGAGAGAGGACACCGGCACATAAGATGATTGAGCATGAGCTATGGAGGGAGGGAATCAGAAGAAAGATTTTCTGGGAATTGTTCTTTGCGTGTGCTTGTGTCGTCTCACAGTTGTGGTCGGGTTAATTAGCTTGCGTGTTGTGTCTGATATTGAAGATTGAGGATCAAAGTGTACTAGGGGCATGAGTGTGTGGCACTGATCCGTTCGTACGTAACTATACTTCACAAACAGATACGTATGTGTCATTAAAGGGAGACCGTCAAGGACTGTCAAGCCCCTTTGGTGACAGAACATGTGTTGGAACTTGGAGCTTCATCAGGCGAAAGAAGGACGCATTGTACTCCGTACACGGGTACAGTCTTCAGACAGTATAGTTACTGTATGTGTATAATCTAAGCAAAAGGGGGCACTTTAAGTAAACAAAAACCCCTGAACCGGTGCATCGCAAAAGGAAAAGTGGCTGCATGATGGTCATGGAATAAATGTGTTTAGATGGTGTCAAATGTATCCGTACTTTGTTACTGCAACTGCAGAACGCCTACATACATGGGCTTAGATACACTACACTACCCTATGTATGTTGAGTACACTGCTATCCTGAGGGAAACTTCGGCGGTAACCAGCTACTTCACGCCCATTGAAAATAAGGTAAAAGGGTAAACTGATTGAATTGTCGGATTGCGAGCGTATAGCTCCGGTCGCGTCTATCGCACTGATGATAAGATCCTGCCAATCAGTCCCTCCTTCGTATTCCAATGGCCTTTCGGCCTCCGCGCGCGGCTTTGCGCGGAGACTAGGCACATATCATGTCAATGCGGCTGCGGCGGTGATGTTGAAGACATTGGCAGTTAGAGCCACGCAGGCCGCCGGTGTTGGTAGGGTAGGCCTTGGCTAGGCCTTTGCTCATCATCTCGTTCGCCGGCTTGACGCGCTTCGTCTTCTTTTCGTTGTGAATTTTATTCGGCGCGTTGACCCGCGTCTCGCGCAGTCGGCTAAATGCAAAGCCTGTGTACCAGAGTATGTAGATGTTGTTTGAATTCGCAGGACTCCTCGAGTCCAAACCCATCCAGCACCCGTTCCCCTGTCTGATGAGGCGAGCCCTCACTACGGCCGCGTTATCTCTCAATGCCTTCAAGGCCTGGTGGCCTCCCTGGTTTTTGAAACCATCGTCTCTTCTCCTGAAATCGATGTGGTACTCGGGGTTTTGTACTTGGTCGCGGCGTCGAGGTCCATCGGGTCTCCCGCGTCGTTGTTCTTATTGTTGTGGTTACCGCCGACGTTGTTCTGCTTCTTGTTTCCACCGTAAAAAGAGCCGTTGTTGCGGGCCTCTGCTTGGGCCTTCTTTGTTCTCGGTGTTTGTAGCCAACTGGTTGGCGGTCTTCAGCCAACCCTTTCAGTCATCTTTGCCAGGCTGGTTGAGCTGAACTGTAATGCCGTCCCTCATCTCGCTGTTCCACCTTTCTTGCATGCCATTGGACCTTGGCGCTGTCATTCCAGCCCGCGATTTCCGTGTAGTTGATATACTCGGTTATGGAATATGGGTTTTGTATTTGGTCGTAGCCTAGGTTTGGTTCCTGTGACAATCTGGCATGCAAGCTGCCCAGCTGTATAATGTATCACCCGGAACAGAGCACAAGCTTGGCTAAGAAATGATAGTCATGCTAATGCTAATCATCCTGTGTCTCCAGTGCCAGCCTGGACGACACCTCAACTGCGCGCTCATGCAATCTAAGGGGTATCAATGAAGGGGTATCAAGTCATTGGCCATTGGCGCATTCTAGACCCATAGGCGGTGGAGTCCAGGCACAAATGCTATTTCCCTCTTTTTAACAAGGAATTGTGGTCTTTCGCTGGAAACTGTGGCAGATTCTCACCCAAGCTCCCAGCCGCAGACACGCCGGCCTTCTGCTAATGGCGTACTTGGGAACCAGTACGTGGTCGCGGAACAGCGTATAGCGCCTCCAGGAATGATAGGCGGCAATATGCGGGCTCTCCCTGAAATTGTGGCGTGAGATTCGCATCCTCACAGGCTCCGGGCCAGCCTTCCATTTCTCAAACCGAGGCATATTTCGGGCGAGGCTATCCCAGTGAAGACGGATCTGCCGGGCTAAACGTGACGAACATCGCTGGCATACCGAGGGCAAACACATGAGCGGCGAGAGCGTGGCCTTTACTGGTCCAGAATTGAGGCCGCGGAATTCTGAATCCGCGGGCGCTATTGAGGGGGATAGATAGCGACAAGGAATGCTCGCGAAGGTAGCAGCAAGAAGGAATAGGCTCGGCTCCTCTACGAGGTAAGCGGGAGGCGGGAGAGGGACGTATAGAAAGGCGGGATGCGGCGGCTTGGGCTGTTGCAACTGGTCGAGGCACCAGGGGCCATCATAGCGGGAGCTGTCGACGGTATTTTGTCTCGCATGACTTGATCCACCGCTTTGCCATAATGGTGTAGGCAGTGAGCGCAACGTTTGCAGCTGTCTCTGGGTTGTCGATATCCCTGAGCCACATCCTCATCATCCCATCGAGCTCAGTAGCGGTGAGGTCGCCCCCTCCTTCCTGGGGTTGTCTTGGGCAAGGTTGGCTGCGTTGCTGTAGAAGGACCAGATTCGGAGGTCAAGAAAGGAAAATTCTGCGACGCTTCCGCAAATGTCTGCGCCAGCAGACTGGCAGGGGACAGGGTCTCCTAGATTCGTAAAGTAATGCTGATCTTGGTCATCCCGGGGGATGAAGAAAATGGGCCACTGTATCTGGCCGTCAGCATCTGGGACGGCCCGAGGATCTTGAGTGGAATGATGCATGGCCTGATTATGTTGCCGGCAGCCTTATCTACCTGGAGTTGACGGACTCAGAGCGAAGTGCTGAAGAAGTAGGTAAAAGGTATGACTATGAATGAAAAGGGAGCGTTCTAAGAGGAAACATATAAGCGGGATGTACTAGCCGAGAGATTGGCTCCTCGACATCGAACTCCTGCTCACCCCCGTCTTCACCACCGGCGGTCGACTTGTAGAACATCGTGGTCACCTATTCCACGATGAGAGCAAGAACGACGCCGTCTCCCGCCATGTGTGGGAGAGGGGCTCGCAGAGCTTCTTGCGCCCTGAGCACTGAGCGCATCTAGTGACGCCGGGCTTAAGATAGGCGCAGCGAAAAACAACTCTGAAATATTTCCAAGCGAAGTCGTATGTAGATGTCAACAAAGAAGAGAACCGAGCGAGTGGGCGTTGCCATTGACGGCTGTGTGAACATCGATTCCTGGGACCCAGGGTGCATTTTCCACCAGATGGTGTCGACGCTAGAGGTAGTATTCTTTGACGGCTTTGTCGAGCTTGGTTTCAAAGTCCGAATTTGTGAACCCATCGGTATTCGCCAAGACGAGGACATCTCTGACACCCGGTTGGAGTTCATTGGTGATAACGCAACGAAGTATCGGAGCGGTTCTGTTCTGCGGAGTGGGTCTCTGTCGTATATATACCTATACTGCTAGCCACCTGCGGGCGTGGAAACCGACTTTGGTTGCGTTGAGGACGATATTCTTCATGATATGGAACGTACAGATCTGCTGCTGAACGTCTGGAACGACAGTACTCAAGGCGTTCTTCATCTCTTTTGGAAAGGCGGTGACGAACACTGCTGGCTCCTGGATTCGGTGGTGTAGCGCGGCCTCGGGTCAACAAGTAGCGACTCGAGCCACAGGGTGGATCGTTTTCGCTGCTTCCTGGGCTTTTTTTTCTCGGTTTAGCCTTTCCTTCCTGTAAGTGAAATCCCGGGTCCGTTCCCGCCAATCGAACGGCATAGGCATCGGGAACCCGAATAGCACCTCGTGTGGCTGTAGTGCCCGTACTGTCGTGCAGAAGCCCCATCTTCGGTCTCTCCAAACAAGGTTGTCTAGCCCCTCGGCCTGCTTTCTCTCTAGGGTTCGGTATCTGTCTCTGATGGCTCGAAGGATCCCTCGTATGCGGCACTGGTTCATACTCCGGGGGGTGGCATTGCCAGGAACAGTAACCGTACTCGTAGATGTTGGATTTGCGGAAACCGATGATAGATCGAGCAGCTTGGCTAATACCGGGCTTTATCGTGGGGTCCGTGAAGCACCCCACGTCCCGTTGAACAGGGAACTGAAAGGACTTCAATGACGCACCATCGGTGCGATGGCCACGACTGGGGGGATCGGAGCGTTAGGGTCTCGACAGTCGGCCCAGCGCCTGGTCAGCGAGGCTCCGCTGCACAGCTTCCAGTACGATACGGCGAAATACTCGTGAGGCGACCCAGGCCTCGTATAATGCGCATTGACGAATTCGCCGCGGTGGCCAAACCACTGGGCAAGATAAATAGGAAATTCCGGTTCTGGACGCCAGCGCCCTTGAAACGCAATATCAATGGCGGCTATGGTCTGGAATTCGGCCGACTCTTCTTTTCGAGTAGACCTCTCTGGAGAAGAGGTCCCAGTGGTATCCAGACCACACGTCAACGATGAGGGTGTTGTAGATATATCTAAGGTGGCCAGTCTGGCAGTGACTCATCATATCCAAATGCCGCCAGAGCTTGAAGTGCGGGCCATTGTGCTGTCTGGGGTTGGGGCGCAGGCTGAGGTTGAACTGGTTTCCAGGGCGCGGGGGGTCCTGCTCTGACCAGAAACCTTCTTCAAAGTTCCCGCAGACGAGTAGACGCGCCCGCGCAGTGATCTCGCATGTGGTTGGATTTATTTTCCCGTCAAATACCCATTTGACCGGTGAGACGGTCATGTCAGGAATCCCGTCAAGCAATTCGTACGCCCCCAGCGCCACGGATTTGCACCACCGAAGCCTGCAGGAGCGCTAGGAGGATCTTCGATGTCCATGTCCATCCCTGGTAGAATCCGTCGCTGTTTTTGATTCCTTCCTTCCCTCCCCCAGTCAAAGCTGCTTCAAAGACCGGAGGTCATCAGAGTTCCGGTTCTTGTTTCTTTTCCCCCTTTCCCCTCCCCTGCTGCCCCCCACCGTTCTGGCCCCCGATCTGACCGTTGTTCTGGCCACGTAGTCATCCCGGGATTCGAAGCCTCGGAGGTAAAGATAAGCCGTCGCTTCGAGCACGACATAGTCATAGTGCTCTTTGTTGTCCGGGAAGGGTCTCTGCCGCCGAAACAAAAAGGGGGGCGTCGACGGCATTGCTACCCCATTTGTTGAGGTAAAGGGACAGGTGTGGGATGTGCATGGGCTGCGTGCACAGCGTGCACATGGGGTCGGAGACGCCCAGTTCGGGAAGCTGGATTTGAGGTATTGCCTAACGTTAGGCCAGAATGAGTTCCGAGGGCTTGATTCGGAGGCTTGCTTTGGCATTCGGCACGGCAGCCAGCCCCGGGGCCGTGAGTTGGCCATCATGACTCGTTGATGGTATTGAATCGGGTGGTACAACGATGGTGTACCAAGAAGGACGAGGATGGCCCGGTACGTCTTGGGATGTGGGATGAGGTGGTGCATGTCAACCACGAACTCCGGGACAAGTCCGTAAATCAACCCTGCGACTCCACGAATCTTTAGGTGTCTTATCGCTGCTTGAGAAGGGCCACAATGCCTCACCCATATAACTCAGTTCGGTTTGGTCCGTCTCAATCGTCTCAACAAGGTCTGGCGCATCCGTCATGCCCACGTCCGTCATGCTCACATCGTCCTCGGACTCATCCACCTCAGACATGTCGGGCCCATGATGATGTCGACCATCTCGGGCGCCGCAGGGATCAGGGCTGCGTCGTGCTCAACTGGGAGTCGGTTGTCGCAGGAGCCAAGGAGTCGCAAGGATGGGACGGGGCTTCTACTGTTCCAGCGAACAAATTATGCTGGACAAGCACTTCGCCGTAGATGTGTTTCCTCCGCCATGGCCAAGATTGTGTGTAGGTTAGCAGGTTAGCAGGTTAGCAGGTACTGTATATATAGTAGGTAGTTTGCTCTTCAAAGAGGAAACCAGAAGAGAAAGACCGGGGATTGTTGTTGCCGGAACAGATCCTTGATTCATCCACCAGATCGGGCAGCTCCGAGGTCCCCCTCCCCACCACATGATGGGATCTGATCCGGGTCCGCATAATTCCATTCCGACATCATGCTTGATTCATTCGAGGCATATTGGGCATTCAATGGTTGGCTCGCTTAGCTCTCTTCCGGTGAGCCATGGGCGGACGTCTTTGAAGACGTCGGTCGGAGTTTGGTTGTTGCTCTTGTAGGAGTCCATGTTTTTTCGATTTGTGCTTTCTATAATGCTGATGGTATCAAAAGGTAAAGAACACTCGATTTGCGTTGTTCCAGCGAGACGATGTTGGCCTCCACGTCCTTCACACAATCTCCCCGACAGGCTCCTCCTCGACATGGACGGGTTGGTGACGAGCCTGCTACTCGCGAGTGGCCTGGCGGCGAGCGGAAGGAGACATGGACCTGGTTGTCGCGGCCCAGGCGGAAGGGAATCGGAGCATCGAAGGCGCTGGGAGCAGGAGAGCGACCACGGTCAGGAGCCGACAAGCCCTCGAGGCGGGCAACAAGGCGCTCCTGGGTGTTGGCCATGCGCAAGACCGACTCGGCAAGGATGTTCATCGGTTCCAGCTGGCGGTCTGCCAGCGATAGGGCACGCTGCGTGGTGACGGCGTAGCTTGAAGCAACGCGGCCCAGGAAACCGAGAGCCTGCTGCTAGTTGGCTGCTTGTCCACATGGCCCTGGAAGCAGACCCCGGCGTAATATCTTCCTACGCATACGGTCACCGTGCGGCTCGCCGCCGTACACGGAACTGCGGGCAGGCGCTCGGGCATATCTCCGTTGGCATAACTAGCGGGAGCGAGGAGAAGGGCGGCCAAAGTGATGGCCGTTGAGCACGATGTTGAGGATATTGGCCTTGACCCCCTGTTGCATGGCCCTCTCTGTCTAACCGGCCACTTGCTTCCGGGTCGTGAAACACATGATGTACGATTGACGCCTTGGCTGACGGTCTTGATGGTGTCCGCACCAAGTTCAGGGGGTTCGAGTCTCTCGCGACCGGAGGGACAACGCTTTTGTACCTCGGCATGCGCAAGGTTCGAGTAATGACGGATTGGAGTTGTATATATATGTTTATACCACGCTCTGGCGGATGAGCGTGGTACATCCACGCAATGGGATTGAAAATTTGCGATGGCAATCAGGTTCGAGAGCTCTCGAGCATGAGGGGCCTCGTCAAACCACTCGCAGCTCAAGGTAGTGTAGCAGCACCACGGGAGTGAGGCCGCTCCAGTAACTCTCTGATCAATCCGCTGTAGTTCCTGGGAATCTTCATGTTTCTCGCCTGATCGAAGGGCGGCAGCTTTTTCTTGAACGCTTCGACCAGGAGCTCAGCGTCGCGGGAGAGAGTCATCATCTCGTCGGGTATAAAGACGTTGCGGTCACAGTTGTCGTCTGTCGGCTCGATTCCTGGGGCGCGAGTGAAGTGGTAGTCTTCCGTGTGGCTGGCCGGTGGGCGTTCCGAACAAACCCTAGCTACTTCTCCTTCATTAGGGACTGGACACCTGAACTAGCACATTGCTTGTAGACCCGTGACTTTAGGAGAGTTGGGATCCTTGGAACAGAGGAGAGATTAACTTTCTGGAAGAAGATCATGGCGAATTCGCAGACCCAGAGACCGCATTCCCATCCCTTTTTCTGCTTCTGAGCCCTGCACACGACATACTTGTACTTGTCAAGATCTGTCGTCGTGTACGTGGAGACCTGATCCTGTCCCAGAGCTCATTGAGGAACTCCTGCAGCGCGTAATCCTTGAGTCCAGCGTTGCCCAGCGAGTCAAGCCAGAAGATGTGCTTGAAGGCCTGCACGGTCATAGATGGCGAGCGTCCAAGCAGCCTTAGGGTTGACCGCAGTAGTTAACCGCTCACGACTCAGAACTCTGCGAATTCGCGGCCTGCCTCCTCGGAATCAAGGTCAGGGGCTTTCAAGCCGTGTCGATAGTATAAGCCGTGGTGGTTATGACTGCTGCCGCGACACGCCAATTGCACAGGCCCCAGTAGTCGGGGATGCTGTACTTGCAAACTAGAACGTGGCCAAGACCTCGTTGTCCTCAGTTATTGGAAAAGTCCGGCTCGGTTTTGTTGTGAGAACGTTGCAGCCTAAAAGGGGAAGAATTGCTTGGTGTTCCGGACAAACCACGCCCATTTGATAAGCGCGACCAGGAGACGCAGCGACTGACGACGTAAACCCGGCTGGCGACTGGAATCAGCTTCCAAAGACCGCAGGGGAAACTTTTTTGCTCCCGTCAACGCGGGGTCCAGTTTCCCTCGACTCATCCCCGCGGCCAAGGTCCAGCCAGGTTTCCGCTGGGTTTCCCGCTTCCATACAAAAAGATTTTCGGAGAGGAAGTGCATGTCACGATGTCGAGACGGAACGTAGCAGCAGTTAGTCGGCTTCGGCGCACTGGGTCTTCTTCTGGATCATGAATATATATATATAACGTTATATATATATATATATATAGATATAGTAAAAATGTCTTCTGGAAGCTTCCCACCCGCTTAGACACACGCCGCCGCTAGCAGTAGCACTAAGTTGAGTCTGGGGGTGGTCTGGGCCTGTGCGTGCTGGGGCTGGCTGGGAAGGGCGTTCCGTCCTGAGTCTGTCTGCTTTCCAGGTGTTTGCTGGCGGCGTGGTCCATGGTAACTGGGAGCGGATCCAGACAGCGTCTTCGTCCCGGTGGCGTCTCGCGTTGATCGATGTCCGTTGAGTGGCAATGTGGCACCACCCTGGCGAGGATGCGCGTCAGGTTTGCAAATTGAATCCAGTATTTCCCGAGTTAACGGGATAGGATACCAGCTCTTGAGGGTCACATTGTTGATCCCTCTGTAATCGACGCGAATCCGCACGCCTCCGCCGAGACTTCTGCGCCAGCAGTACCGGTGACGCAGCGCTCGATTTCGACGAGCGGATGAAGCCATTAGCCAAGTTATCGTCCAGCCACCTCTTCAAAACCCGCAGCTCCATCGGTGTCAGCGGGCGGTTGCGTGACACTGGGGCCTTGCTTCCGGGAATCGATTCAATCTTATGATCGTAGGAGCGGTGTGGTGGCAAGGTATCGGCCTCTCGGGGATGGACCATGAGGAGAAGGCCGTACGCAGTAAACACAGAAGCCAGTATCCGGATCGAGTAGGTTGGGGTGTCGTGCCAGCCCACAGGCATTGCACGCAAAGTATGGTACTTCGTTGTCATTATGGCCCATATGGCCGTCGCCAAAAGAAGGCGCAGAGCTAGGAAGCTGTCCCGACGGAGACACAGGATCAGGACCACGGCTAGGGACAGGCGTACGCTCGGAAGAACTGGTGGGAAAACTGCTGGAAGAACTGGACGAAGAACCAGGTTCGGAACCAAGCTTAACCCCAACAGCACTATGAGCAGGGGCAAGCTCAGGAAACAGGGTCAGCGGCAGGATCACGACCAGGTGCCTCCGGCGACGGCGACGACGACGGTGACCGCGGGTTAGCCAAAGCCGAGAGCGACGGCGTAGAGGGGGGCATTTCGCCATGGCGACGACGAAAGCGGTGCTCTCGGCGGATTGTTGCCTGTTGACGACGAGCAGCAGCCACCTCTGGGGTATCCTGGGATGATACGCCGTTGATATCTTCGGACTGTCAACGTCGGCTTGTTCGCCTTGGCGAAGAACCTCGTAGCATCGTCTTCCGTGATCTTTCGGATTGTAAGGTGGTCTTCCCAAAACGCCTCCGCAAACTCGTGGTAAGGTTCAGGTAGCTTCAGTTCTCCAAGTATTCCAGCTTGTGGCCCTCCTTTGAGGAGCCTCTGGAAGAATTCCTCTGGTAGCTGGGACATCGAGTAGTCCGGCCTGGCAGCAATTTCTGGCCGGAGGATGCACAGTCCGGCCTGCTGGACCATGGCTGTCTCCACAAGGATTAGCATCTCGACGATGGTCTGATTTGCATCCCGGCGGAGCTGCGCTAGCTCTTGGATACATGGAATTGAAACATGTTTTGGAAGGAGGAATAAAAAAAAGAGATCTCGTACAGCGAGGCAGCTAGATGTGCTGGATGAGCGTAGCCAGGGGGAGGACGGTTGTACTTGTGCCAGAAATTCGGCGTTGGATCCCAGTCGCGTTCTCGATCTCGTCGACCGTGGATAGTAATAGGCAGCCGCGATAGCATAGTGACGTAAATGGCTTGAAGCCTTTGGGCTCCTTGCGCTCGCGTTTGGCGTGAACTTCCTTGCTCTCTATATAGTAGTGCTCCCGTACTCGGTCGGCAGCCCAGCCAGAGGCTTTTCTTCACCATCAACAGCTGCCTACTCGTGCGTCACTATGGCGTTGGGCAGGACGTTCTTCTCCATGGCGTCAGGCACGCTCCTGACAAAAGTCGAACTGGTCGCCCAGGCATGACCCCCTTCCGCTGGTGAGCACTCCCGAGGCCAGGGGTTGGCCAGAGAGGAAACCAGCACGACAGCCCGTGTACGGGCCCCTGCCGGAACTGAGCCCATTGGCATATCGGTCGTTAGACTGAGTTGTGGCGTGTTCTGAACTTCCGGATCCACTGGCAGCGTCAGGCGTCGGTTGGGGTTGGGATGCCTTTCACCGATGTAGCTTGGTAATAACCTGGTGGGAGCACTGGTAGGCGTCCTCTCCCCTCAAAGTGTCCAACCACACAACAACACAGCAAGGCATTCGCAGCACATTCCTGCATGACCTTTCAGAATCCACCAACTCAGCATTTCCCGACCGTCGTCACAACCGGACGATCAACGGGACCAACGAGCCAGTCCTCCAACACCTCCCAGCGTCAGGCGCGCTTCCCGACAGACCCCGACCGCGACTCAGCCTCGGGAGGATTCCAGTAGCTGGAATGCACATCCTGGGCCTGGGGCTGTGGGCCAGGGGTTTTCCTCGCCCCGTCGAGGCGTTGACCCTCCGCTTGGCGGCCACATGCACCAACAAGATCTGCGTAGTTGAAGCCGTCGGCGACTTTGCGACTCGGATTCTCAGTACCGTGCCTGGATCGCACTGATACCATCGCGATGTCCCTTTCACCCACGACGACCGCGGGTCTCGTGGATCGAATCGATCCTTGACTAAACCCACTGAAGCGCCACCATCGCGCGTCATTGTCTCCATCGCTGTCGGCGTCGGTGAATGGCAGCATGTAGGCTCTCTTCGATGGTCTCCATTGAGCAACTGCTGAAGCTGCTCCCGCGCCATGGTGACAGCCGCGTTGAGCTCGGACAAGATTGGGTCAGTCCAGTCTTTCCGTCCCCCAATAATCGCCAACTCGGCCTCGAGCAATCTGATTCAGGGCAGTCGACAGGACGTGAATGATGTGTGACTTGCCAGTGTGACCCCTGCCTTCGACCTGTAGCAGGATAGGTTCTGGAAAAGGAGGCACCTCGAGATGCCGCTGGTAATGGTTGACAAAATAGGTCGAATATCAACCTCTGCTCGGTATTGAGTCGGTCAACGGCGCTGTCGGACAGGTCCTCAACCTCGGCCTCTCGAGCGTACTCGGCCTCTGCAGCTTCCAGTAGTCTTCGGCCAAGGGGACGAGGTCCGATGCACTCAAGAATGTATGGCGTGGAATATGCGATGTTTTGCCACGCTTCGCCCTTTGAGGTCGGGAGCTGGAGCCCTGCCAGTGTGAGAAGCTAGGTGTTGATGTTGTTGTAACTTGAAAAAACTGGTGGTTGAGCCGGAGCTTGAACTTGCACGGTTGAGCCCCGGTTGAGTTCAGGTATAAACCGTCTCGGGCTCATTGACTAGACGCCATTTTGCCGAGTGGAGTGCTCGAGTCAGAACCTCGACGTTGAGCGATCGGTTTGGTCCGAGCTGGGCGATGCTCGTCACGGTTGGGGCAAAGTCATACCCCATGGTTTCGACGTTGAGGCAGGTGAAATTTGAAAAGGGAGTAGTTGTCTGTGATATATATAACGGGTTCATAGGATAGAACACGAAAGTCCCAATCAACAAGAGCAAGGCAATGATCGCAGAAGCTGGTGAAGAATGAACAGGTCCAGGATCGGATTGGTGGTGCACATGTTGAAGCTGCGCCCCGAGAGGGGCGTGAGGCGCCACAACCAGAAAGCTCCCACCTCACGTCCTTTACCGGCGAGCAGCTTGTTGACGCACGGGAGGCAGAAGGAAGGCTCCTCGAAGAGCAACTCAAACTCTTCATTGTCGGAGTCCCCGTCCAACGCAAAGCCGCCCAGGGAACGTTGCTTTTTTTTGACGGCGGCGCTCCTCGTTGGGGTCGCGCGCCGGACGACGCTCATCGCCGCCACCACCGGGAGCCGAAACAGCAGCGGACATGATGACCGGGCGCAGAGAAGATATTGCCGGGGCCGGGGAGGGAAAAGTTGCGGGTGCAGAAGGGAGAAAGCGCGGGCGCAGGGATTGAAGAACGCGAGATTGTAAGATCGTATTCGAAGGCAAGTCGCGGACGAGGACGTCATGCCTTTAGGTAACTTGCCTCGACTGTGCGGTCCTCGAGGTCGATCTGCTCGCGGGAAACGGGGAAGGATGAATCCTCGTCTGACGACGTAACAGTTTCCCCCAGAGCAGGCATCCTCCCAAGAGCGGCCAGGTACAAGCCTATCAAGGGGTATCAAGGGGTATCAAGGCATGAGCCGCTCGTCTATCCAGGTCAATCTGATCTCTTCCTCCTCCTATATGTTTCATCATGAGCTTGTAGCACAAAACTGCGCGTCGCTGGTAACGTCTGGCATTGATTAGATGTCCGTTTTGCCTCCACCAATTTTGCGATAAAACGTTTCACGGGCTGCGTCTTTGGAGACGCTGGTCTGATGGCTGCCCTGTGGAAGAATATATAGTACTGATCCGAATTGCAGAGAAATCTGATAGAAAAGACGTCTTTCGGATGACGAAACCACCTCCAAACTGAACAATAGCGCTGTGCACTTCCCTGGACCCTCAATTCTATTGCGGAAAGCGTTCGATTGCGTGCGGGAGAGAGATGTTTTTGTGGTGGCAGCGCAGTCTTCTGATGAGATTTGCAGAGATGTGCGTCCGAAGTTGGGGTGATCAAGTGATGGACTGAGATGGCGAGACTGGCACTTTCTTCCCTGTGATTAGCTCAATCTTCTGATCTTGTGGTCGTATGCGCGATGTGCTTCATTTCCCGCTCGAAAGGTGGGCGGCGACGGCCGTGACGGGAAGGACGCGGAAATGGGGTCGCCGGCAGCGGTGGTGATGGGAAGGACGAGAAATGGCGGCGGCGGCGGCATCTGTGAGAATCGACGCTGGTCTTCCAGTTGTTATATACGGCTCAGGTTGAGGATCCAAGCATGCCCAGAATTGTGTGATATGGTGGATCCAGATGGCTGAAATCGTGCAGGTTTCGGATCTTTAGAGATGTACAGCCAGCGAAGTAACAGCGCTTCCGAGTCGGCTTCCTCTCCGGAGGGAGTGCCATTCGCAGCACTATTGGGATCGCACATTCGGAGTACGAGGATCTCCGCATAAGGCGGGATGGCGGAAGAGATGGCGTTGTTGGCGTCAAAGTCTTCGACTGCAGCGATGAGCTTGTTCTTAATGCGGCGAATGTAATTGTTGGTCGAGAACGCTGCATTCTTTTTGCTGGAGACCTTGTCCTCCTCAGTGCAATCGTGGAGGCGAGCAATCTCCATGATGACGCGGTTGTGAAGGTTCTTGTTGGTGCATCCTGAGGCTTTGTAGATTTTCCCATTCTGCTAGCGGCCTGTCTGACGTGCCTCCCGCTGCTGAGGCTCTTTGAGGGAAGATAAGAAGGTGTTTGAGAAAGAATCCCACCTTTGTTCGCTGAAGGCGTGGGATCCTTATGAAGGCGAAGGAAGGTTCGTTGTAGGAGGAAGAGAGTGATCTTATGGCTTCCACGAGACGATACAACTGTAATTCTCCATTCGGCCGTTCCCAAGGTGCTGAATGATGGGTCCTCGTCGTCCGTCCGAGAGATCTATCCAACCAGTAGAAAGGATGGAAGTCTTCTTTTTTCGCGGAGGGGAAGGAGAGTTCGCAGGTCTCGTATGTTTGGACCAGCTGATAGTGCGCAAGGATCAATGTGTATATAGTAAATGTGTCACCGCAAGGTTGGAGGTTGGGCCCGCGGAGATTTCCAGGGGCTGGTTGGCCATTGTTGACCTGGATCCGGCCGACAGTATCGCGCCTTATTTAGCGGCCTGAGCCTGGTTTCCGGCAGCCGCCTGTTTATTCTTTTTACTCACTGAACCAGACAAAAGTTAGCGTCTCTCCAACGATCAGAAATGAAGACACACAGATTATTGAATTGCCAAGACACCCGACGGTTCCTAGTAGAGCTCGAACTCAGGAGACACCACGTTTCGCCTACCCTCCAATTTTAATTGAACAAAAGGCGGTCCGGTTCAAGTTTAAGTTCCGGTAAAAAGCCGTCAGGCCACATTTCTCAAAATGTCTCTGCGATTGGGTATAGCTCTGTGCACATCGGGCATGGTATCTGATAGGGGCCCGGTGGACAGCATAAGGCATCTTCCGGCCGAGCTCCATTTGGTCTCATCGATCATATAGTCCTGAACGGTTGTAATATGAGGCGGCTCCCTGGCCATCCTTCCTCTGCTGTGCCCGCGGGAGAGCCGGCACTCGGTTCTCAAAGCAGTTGGCTCCCGCCGATTCCGCCCACGAATGCGACGGCGGCCGTGATGACCGGGTGACCCGGCGCGGTTAAGACAGAGGTAATGGACGTTCTCCACAAGTTCCGGATCTCCCTCGTCGTTCTCTGCAGCGGTTTCCTCGTAGATCCGGGTTCCGTTTAGTCCGTTGGGCGATGTAGCCGGGATTCTTTGGGCGGTAACCACCAGGCGGGTTGCGCCATCGGGGGAGTACTGACCAGATGTTTTCAGGCAGTGCCTGACCGAACTCGGAGAGGCAGGCCGGGGCTTGAGCGCGTAGCCGCATCGTGGCCAGATCCGTCGCCGCGCCCCCGAGCAAAGGGTTCGTCATCCGAATCCACACCGTCACTTGGAGTTGCCGTCGCGTCCTGGGCCCTCCTCACTGACACCGATGACTGCCGAGGGCTGGGATGTAGCTGCCGTTGCCGGGTGGGCTGCTGCGGTCGTGTGCTCGGGTCCGAATGCTTCCCCCTCCGCGGCATGACCTGCGTTGCTTGCATGGTCCTTGTCCCGCTGGGCGACTGCGAGCCAGGCTTCCTTAAGCATGGACGTCTTTTGTCTGGTTGCTCGACTCATCAGGGTGATAGCTTATATATAGAGACGCGCAATCTCGCGGATGACTCTGTGATAGAGTCCGATGTCCTCGCATCCGCTAAGCTTGAACTCGAATTGGGCTCGGCCAACGCATCTGTCGACCGGCGCAATGACTTCCGACTGGTAAAATGAGATAATTATCCTGACGTAGAGTCTTGTCTGGACGTAGAACTGCCTGGTCCATCCCTGGAAGCGTTTGACCTGTGGGAATCTCAGCTCTGTTTGTGAGAGGGTTAAAGAGGAAGGCTGACAGTAGGGCCTCATGACCTGTGGGATCTAAAGCTTGTTGATAGATGGGAAAGAAGAGAGACTGCCAGTGGAGGATTCAGGAGCTTTAGAAGAACTAGCGTCCGTCTGGCTAGTTGTCTCCGAGTTCGACATTGCGACTGGTGCTGGAGTGTGTAGTTGGGAATTGTATGTATTAGTGAACTGGTTGCTCAAGAGGCAACTAATCCCAGCAATAGGTAGTAAGAGGATGTGTATGCTCCCCTGTATAGGCGGTAAAGGTGTCGGTTCAATCAAGGAGGACAAAAGAGCTCTAAGGGGCTCTACGGCTCAAAGGTCGCAACAAGAATAGTCAACGTCCACCTCTCGCCCTATCCATGAAATGTATTATCTAAGTCGATCATGTCCTTGTCACGGAGCTCCTGACTGGATCCTCCGTGCCCCAGGAGCTTGAACTGATCAATCTGGTCATCAGTGAGCCGCCTCGTGCCGTGGCTTCCCTCCGAGCGGACCGGGTCGAGCAAATGGAGCGCCAAACCAAGCAGATCTAGGGCAGAGTTTACAAACGAGATCGAGATGGCTTGTGGTCTCTGCTGAGATGGCTTGGAGATTGTGTTGGGTATTTCCAGCCTTCACCAACAACCCCAGCCAGGTCCTTTCGAGCCTAGGTTATCGGGATGGGTCCGAGCTATGGGGCGGACTGAGGTTGTTGCTGAGGGAATGACGTGAGCAACTGAGCAATCACACCGAACACCAGATCCCCATCAGCGGTTCCATTCGCCCCGACACCCCGGGTTTCTGGTTCGAAACCAGGAATACAGCAGCCTCTGCACCGCCTCGTCAAGGAATGTGTTCGGCCAGCCCTTTCTTCACAAACGGCCGGACCATCGATACGTGGGAACATGTTGAAGATTCTCATGTTTGACGGTAACTTGAGCGTGACTGCGTGCGATGACGCCTTGATACTGTGCAAAGTCGTCATTGTTGCCCATCACAAGATCGTCAACCTCATCTTTGGCGCGCTCTTCCTGCATTGGGTTGTGGTATTCCGCATACAAGTGGCGCAAGAGCTTGTCAGAGCTGTCGATCTTGTCAGGGTGGGAATCCCGAAGATACGGGGTCAGTGCCTTCGCGGCCTTGCCGCCCAAGCGGCTCTCGATGTAGGCCTGGCGGGCCCCGTCGTCGATTCTAAATGGGCCATCCATCCCATCGCGGCTCCACCTTCTTCGAAGGTCGGCCAGTCTTGTACTAGTTTTGCATATCAAGCACGACCAGGTCGTTGACCTTGTACAGGGGCGCGTCGACCCCTTTCTTGTTGGCGGCCTCCTTATATCGTTGAAACGTAAGCTGGATCCGTGGTCGCCTCAGACTCGGTCAGCAGGAAATTCACTTGTACGGCATTGTCGCTCGCAAGCCTGACCAGACTGTCCGCCGTCTTCGATCCTTCTCATGGTTGGAAATGCAATGAATGATCTTGCTTTGAGCCCACGTCCCCAACCTCTCTTGCGGCCTCAACATGCTCGCGCCTCATGATCTCCCCTAACTCCGTTTCTCTTGGCGACTTCTCGTGCCACCTCAACGTGTTCCCGCTTGATGTTCTCAGTGATGTGGAGGTCGATATCGACGTCTCAAAGCCAGCCAACGGTGGGGTGGGAACCACTGGACCGGGAGAGAACAATAGTGTGTAGCTACGCGCGCGGACGTCGGCATAGGGCCTCTTGGTCTGGCCAAATAGATTGGACAGTGGATATTCTGCGGCTGGGGACGTGCTATGCTTCACGTACCCCACGTCCATCTCGGGGAAACACCGGAAAGCGGGCGCAGTCCATGGGAAAAGGGGGGGAAGCGCGAGCCGCCGTATAAGTTCGGACAGGTTTTCAGCCAGGCTGATCTGGGTGCTTTCACACTTCAGTGTTTCGGATGCTTGAGGGCTTCGAACGCCACCTTGTTCCCACAGTGATTATTTTCTGCAGGCAGCAGAACGCATGCAGTGCAGGGAATCTCTTCTCTTGTCGCCGGTCATAAAGATGGGCATTGCCCCGGCTCAGAAGCTCAGCGAGGTTCGTCCATCCTCCCGGGGCCAGATAGGTGGGTTCCCCTGAATACTCTTTTCCGAGAAGGTCGAATCCGGCGACTCTTCCCGCATGTCTCTGACCTGGAAGCTTGTTGAGGGCCGCTTTCGCCTTGACCAGGGGATGAAGTTCAAGAAAAAGAAGCGTAAGCATGATGAGTTGCCCTGGACGGACTTGTGTTCAGCGGTACTGTCGGTATATAGGGATAATTAGCGAAAGAAGTTACATGTTAGCTAGATCAAACCTGGCTAAAACCCTGACCAAGCCCGGATCAAATCTCGGTTACAACCGCGACAAAACCCGAATAAAACTACTTACAGTTTATGCCTTTACAGGTGGCAGAGGGGAAGCTCTTTGCCATCTTAACACCCTGATTCTTGGGGTGCTCCCAGAACATTTTCCGGGAGTTGGTCTGATGGATCTAAGTTAAAACCGTCAGTATATGGTTAAAACCTAGACAAAACTCTCCAGTCTTGCTCGGACTCGTTGGCATCCCGAATCGGAGCTGGTTCGGCGAGAAGCTTGAGCTGGCGACGTGTCTGACACGTCTCTCGATAGTAGCGCAGGTCTTCATCCCGCTGCTTATCATTCATCTTAAACTCCGACTCGTGCATCTTAACGGTGTGCTCAAAGGCGCGGAGGAGGCGAAACGCCGCCTTGGAGAGCTCGGTACGAGCGGCGTCGGAACAATCAGGATGGCCAGGGTCGGTTGGCGGGCGTTTCGGGCCCACTTCAGGGGCCTCAAGTATGTGCCGGGATTGTGAAGGGATTATGATACCCAGGGCGGTTAATCTGGTCTGGCGTTGAGGATTTTTCTGGGAGGATTTTTCTGGGATTTTTGGGCCCGGTGATGGACTGGTGGCCATGCGGTGTTTTTCGGGACTTGTCGTGATAGTCAATGAGAGTCATTTTCTCTCCCCCTCTTCAGAGCCTTTTCGCGTGCTTGTGACTTTCTGAACTGTGCCCTGGGAATGTTCCATGTCGTCCTCGTGGACCCATTGATTGTATTCTGAAGGCCATCCTGCCCATTTCCGGATGGTACTCGGATTGTCGGGAGTGAACTTACCGTCGATGAGCTGGATGAATTGGATGAGGCTGGATGAGTTGAGTGCAAGGGGTATCAATGTAAGGGGTGTCATGGCATGAGCCGCTCGTGAGCTCGATGAGCTGGATGTTCTGAAAAATCGGTAGCAGACAGAGGCTAGTCGGCCACGTCGATGTCCTCGCCGTGCTTCGTACACGGTGTGTGGATTTGGCGGGTGACGCCTAAACTATCAGGTTGCCACGGCCCGTAAAGAGCGAGTGAAGCCGAGAGGCCGGGGTCGTCATGGATCAGGGTGAAGGAGACGACAAGTCACGCCGGGGGTACTTGACCTTGGCCCGTAGACAGCCACGGGATACTCCTGTGCCGCATCCAGGGCGGCCTGACGGTCCTCGGTCGTCACCAATCTAGCGTAAACCTCGGACTTTGTCTCGTCGGCGGCACCACCCTCACCGCACGCTTGCTCCAGAAATTGTACCAGTCTCATCAGGTCGACCCGGACGGCCTGAGGACTGAGGAGGCGGCTCGCTCCAACGCCTGTTTGGTCTCCACGACGAACCGGTTCGGCTTTCGAGCATGTCCTTGGCGAGCTGATTGACCAGCACAAGTCGGCGCAGCCTGACATCCCAGTAGTAGGCTTCCACGTCATGGGCGAAGGCGAGGGAGAGATCCATGCTCACGGCGGAAGGACCGGAAGGGCGGCGGGATGCGGGGTGCGAGGCGCAAAGACTCAGTGCCTCTTGGAGGGCGTGGCGCCCGGTCTTGGGCCGGAATTGGCGTCTCTCGTCCCTTCAGCGTTGAGGTGAGAGGATGCGGCTTGTAGCTCCGTAGCACCTACACCAGGGGCCCGGTCGAGAATGATCCTGCTGGGAGGCAGCACTCCCATGAACTAAACCTTGGGCTCGGCGCTGGCATCATGAGTTGTGACCTGCTAGTTCCGCCCTCTCTGTTTCTGCGAGCCGTTCTGCCCGTTGTGTTCTGCCCGCCTGGTGGTTGCCGCTGATCAATTTTCTGGTTCTGCTGGTTGTTTCCCTGGTTGTTGTTCCCTCCCCCCTGACTCTGATGGTGCTGGCCTCCGTTGTTGCCCTGATTTGAACCGTCATTCTGCCCCTTTTAAGTGACCGCTGTTCTGGGAATCCCATCCTTGATTGCCCTGGGAATCCATCGAATTATAAGAAGAAAAGAGAAGGTGAGAACTCTGTAAATTGCCGCGACGTTGCCGCGGCGGTCCGCCAGCGGAGGATCCTGGACCCGTAGGTACGGGTCCTGCTCATCTAGTCGTCGTCGTCGTAGATGCCAGTGCTTGTGGACCTGTGATAACTTTAAGCGATCAACTAACAAAGCGCCCCAGAATGACACATTGGCACGCTGTTCAGGCAGATCATGTCCTGATGCTGGTATGCTGGATGCCCCTGTCGTTGGTTTTCTCGTCTCGCTCAGTCGCTCCATGATGAAGCTCACCACTACTAACACTTGGTATGATCCCACCGGGGCCATATACAATGCAGAAGACACAGCTCTCGTCACGCAGGATCTCCAGTGCTCTATCACGTGCCTCGGTTGTCTCGTAGGTAACCGCCAAGAATTCACCAGCCGATGACTGGGCTATCTTTCCAGGCCTCTCATCCAGGCTGCAGCTCGCTCGTCATGCTCGCGAGCCTGTCCAGGAGTAGGCTCATCGTCTTTCCGCCCGGCGGATGGAGAGGCTGATCTAGTGCTCCTTTTGTCCGGCAGAACCTGGGTGATATTGCCCAACGCCCGTGCTCACCATGGTGAACAAGATCACGAGAATGGTCCTCCTCTTGTGATTCAACTTCTGTGGATTCTTCTTGATGGGATTCTTGCGCCGGGGGTTCCTGTGACTGGTCTTCAGTATTCGTTGACTTTGCCTTCGTCTTGACGTAGGTAACAGACCGCAGCTACCATGATGCTGAGGACGGAGACAACTGCGATACACTCATTTGACGCCCCGTGGTCTCTGAAGCAGTAGTCAAGCTGCCATCCGGTGCTCGTGGCGGCAGCGGATACCGACGAAGAAGAGCGGTACCGCGAATGGATTCGACGAATCGCGAAGAGGGTTTCAGAGGCCAGCTTGTCTGCGAACTTCCGTCCCTCCTGCAGCGCAGTTGACGCTTGTTGCTGACTTTGGGTTGGTGGTGTCTCACAAAGTAGGAGCTTCTAGAGTTGACGCTCTGTCTCATCAGGGGTTGAAAGAGACAAAACGGAACCGGGGGTGCCTTGCGAAGCGACGGTCTCTCCACCTCATCGCGTGCTTGATGTAGTCATCGTACTGAATGGAACCATCTTCAGGCTCGAACTCATCTGGGTCAGGTTCCGGCAACTGCCCGTAATAACCGTCCACATGCATCCCCGCGTGCACGATCTGGCAGTGCTGGTAGGCCTCGTGATAGGTATTGAACACATCGCCATCGACCGTCTTTAGCCCGGCAAAGCTGCGGTGCGGGTGGCTGAGCATGAGCTTCACGCGGCAGAAGTCCTCCAGCTCGCTGCTCTGGGCTTCATTTTTGTACTGGGGAAAGTAGTCGAGGATGCGAGCCTTGACGCGAGGGTATATACGCCACGGGGCCTTGGAGACGTCGACGACGGTAAGGAATGCTGGCGATGTGACACGAAGTCAGCCTCACGACGAGGATAGAGAGTCGTTGGATTGGCCCGAGGTCTCATAAATGGTATACTACATCCTCCATCATGCCATGCTGTGCCGTACCAAAGGCAAAACAAGGGGAAAGGAAGAAACGGAGAGAAAAAGGGAAGGAACATTGAAAGAAAAAAGACACCAACGTTGGGATTTTCTGGGCCAGCTCTCTCCTCGGTCAGCCATTGCGGCTAGACTGTGCCAGGGAGGTTGCCATTTTAGTGACATGGTTGAATATATATGACGCACGCGTCTCAAAACCCAGACAGTATCATGGCTCAGAAGCTTTGGTCCAAGGCTGCCCGCTCCGCAAGACCGACTTGGCAAGCATATTCACCGGTTCCAGCTGGCGGTCTGCCAGCGACAGGGCACGCTGCGTGGTGACGGCGTAGCTTGAAGCAACGCAGGCCAGGAAACCGAGAGCCTGCTGCTAGTTGGCGGCGGCTGGGACGGCGGGGGGAGAGATGACGATGCCACGCCGGGCGGGAGAAGGCGTAGCAACGAGGGCGACGTCGCGAGACGAGCGGCAGGGAGTCCCAGGCGGCAAGAAGGAGGCAGCGGCCGACGAGGGCGCAAAGGCGAGGCGGCTCGGGGATCGATGGGCGCGGGCGGTCTCGAAGATAGGCGAGAAGGTGCGTGCGCGTGCGGCGAAGGCGGGAGAAAGGACAGCACGCTTGGCCTTGGTGGCGGCTGTTTTCTTCACAGCCAGAGTCAGGACGGCGGAGCCATCCTTCACAGCGCTCTAGATCGCGCGGATCCCTCGGCGCAGGCGAGGCGAACCGGTCCACAACTGCGCGTCCTACACGCAGGTGGAGTGGTCCTCTCTGCACTGCGTGCAAAGCGAAAAATGCTCAAGCAGATGTTGGCCCAGTACGCAACCTCTACTCGTCGCCTCGCGGAATTCGACCGTGAATGTCTCCCTAGCGTCCCACCATGGGCAGCGCGGACAGTTATGTCAAAGATTGAAGGGGTCAAACCACAGCAGGTCTGGTCCATCTGAAGAAGAGAGAGTCCTCCAAGCAGCGGGCTTGCGTCATGTCGCTCGTACTCAGATCGCGCCCAAGCGATCTGGTAGACCAGTTCAACCCAGAACGTTCCTTTGGTATACGCCGATGGAGGATGGGAGGCAGCGCATGCAGAAATCCATAAACGTTGGCATTGGCACCCGGAGCTCGTTGCCGTCCGCGAGATGATTGAAGTCCGCCTTCAGATGCGCTTGGGTCCTGGTAGATCTCTGGTTTGCCTTAGCCGAGGGTCCCGGCAAATATCATGATACTTCGATGTCCTTGTTAGACCAAACGATCAAAGCAGGGAAGTTTGGAGGGGACACGTACCCCTGGTACTCTGGTGACGCTTGGGCAGCCTGGCCATGCGTATCGCTGCTGTAGATTGCCAAGGCCTGGGTCGTCATTTGAGCCAGGGCAGAGTCAGATGGAAAAGCCTTGCCATTCAAGACAAAGCCAGACTTCTTCTTGCCATGCTGGTGAATCTGTGGTATTTTGCGTAGATCCTCCCACGCGCCCCTACTCCTTGGCCATGGTGGAGCTGGTGTACATGGACACCAGGCCCTTCGACTCCTGGCTCGCCAGAAGTCGGTCATTGTAAGAAGTTGGCGTGCTGCAAGCCGTCCATCGTTGTCAATGGCGGCTTCACCTCTCTGTGTTGTATATATATATAACTATACATATATAAGTTATATATATATATATATATAATCCGAGATGCAGATTCGACACGGATAGGAAAAATTGCTCCTTCGGAGAGAAATGGACCCAGGTAGTAGAGAGGCGGCGTCCCTGGAAACTGTGTCCACTCACGGCGTCTTGGGTAACTCATCGTGCGCCTCTTTTCTGATCGCCCTTCTGCTGCCTCTGCTGGCCACCAAACGGCTGGTAGAATGGGTCGTGATATTGCCCCTCACGTCACCCAGGCAAGAATGTCAACGGTTTTATACCGTGAGGAAGAACAAACGATCGCGGTGACCGAGGGTAGGGCTGCGTCGGTAGGTTAGTCGTTTTGATACCAAGTTAGTCGTCAGGGGTATGTGTCTGGCATCCCTGACTACTTGCAGGGCAAGGTAGTCTCCAGTAGGGATAGCCTAGCTAAGGTACAACAAGTGCCCCTCCACGAAAGAAAACTATGACCACCCTGGTCATTCCGAATCGTCCCAAATCCCAAATCCATCACCGTTCTCGTTCCCACAGTCAATCAAGGCTGGTCAGGAGGCAGCTGCAGACGGCCACCAGCGGGGGCAGCACCGCGACGAGATCCCCAAATCTGGCGATTCTCAGGTCTCTTGTTTGCCGGAGTGCGGGCATCCTTCTCCTCGCCGTCGAGGGTGCGCTTCGGGGCGGCACCATTGCGCCTGGTGCTCGGCGTCTCGGCGCGGGCAGCATTGCCCTCGGCACTGGGAAGCCTGGCAGGCATGGCGGGAGCAGGGCGACGTGGCGTCTCAGGCTGAGGCGCAGTGTGAGCGTTGACGTTGGCAAGGCGACGCTCGATTTGTGCCAGCTTGTCGGCGAAGGATTTCTCCTGAGCAGAACAAAATTGGGCCATGCCGGCGAGAATGCTTTGTTGACCTTGCCCAAACGCCGGCGGGGCCTGCCCAAAAAAACAGCGTCGAATCGCCTGGGCGAGACCATGCGGACTCATTGCGGAGAGGGCAGAGGCCAGATCGTGCAGGCCGCCAAACGACCGGTGGTTTGTGAACAACTCGAACCGGATACTAGTAGCCTTGACCGCTGCGGCCCGTTCTATCATGGAAACTGCCTCTGGTTTCGATAGGTGATTTTGCGGTCTTCCGCTCGCTCCTGTATCAAAGGGCCAATCCCCTCAAACGAGCATCCGGATCCCTCGTGCTCCTGGACAGTTCAACTCCATAGTAGGCGTATATAACAACTTCTGTGTTGTAGTGGCACCCGTACGCTCCTGCTCGTCTTCCGAGTCAGGAATTTCGATGACGGCATAGCTGTCCTTATCGATGTCGATCTGAGGGATGGCGACCTCGATTCGAGAGCCTCTGCTGGAGGCACTGCGAACCGAGGCCGGGGTAACGAGCCGCTGGAATTGTACGGGGCTGGGACGGTATGCATCGGTAGCATTGGCTGAGGGACTCGACACGGCGCTATCCAGCCGCACCTGTGGACGGGGCTCCTCCCGAGCCTCTGATCCTCGGGGCGACTCGGCAGGACCGGGGGAGGAACCCGACAGAGAGCTATCCAGTGGCACCTCTACATTGGCCCGATACTCCGCCCTCGAAGTCGTCAACAGCCCTACTAGTAGTAATGCCCTAGCAAGCACTCGGGCGACTCTGAGACAGGGGGATGGTACGCGAAGTAGGTGTAAAGAGATGATATTGAGCAAGAAACAATCCATTTGCAAGGCCCGGGGAACGCCTGGGGGCGCTCTGCGGCCGCTTGGCAGTCGGCATCGGCGTCGGGTTGCCGAACATGTCGTTTTTCCCTCCTCAGGGGTATAATGCATTGTTGTTGTCGTCCAAGGTGAGCCGCGGCGATGGGCCGTGACGAGATTCGCAAGCAAGTCTGATTCCCAAACTTCGAAGTGGAAAAGGCGCCGCAAGACTATCCTTATTACCAAGAGAGCGCCAAAGACGGCTCCTCAATGTCGAAGTTCCGTTCGCCCCCGTCCTCACCACGGGCGTTTGACCCGTAAAACATCGTGGTCACCTGGGCCACGATGGTAGCGAGGACAAAACCGTCTCCCGCCATGTGTGAGAGGACGGGCTCACAGTTCTTCTTACGCCCTGAAAATGGGCGCACTTGGTAACGCTGGGCTTGAGAACGGCGCAACGGAACACAAACGGCTTTGTGGGGTCGCGTTTGTAGACAATGACTGACGCGAACATGGCCTCAACGGCTGTGGTTCAACTTGGGAACTCGTGGAGGAACGCCCGGTAGCGCTCCTCGCCAGGACCATACCCAAGGTCCATCTCCGCCACCTGGCGGAGCCCTGCCACAAACGTCTGAAGAGCGATATGCCACGCGCGGTGGCCGATGTCGTTTGGCAGGAGTGCCGGTCGCGTCAGGCGGAAGAAGAAGCCGGGAGGAGGAGAAGGCGTCAAGCCAAACCAAAAAGGCGAACCGGGCAAGCTGCAACTCATTTTCTTTGTCGTCGTCGGAGTCGGAAAGGTTGCCGAAAACTTGGCCTTGGACGGAAGACGCGACCGAAGGCGCGACCGAAGGCGAGAAACCACCAAAAACGTCGTCGTGGGCATCCCCCATTTCTACGTCCATTTGGTCAGACGGGGTGTTTGACAGGACGCGACGACCACGAAGCGACCGGCGGGCGCGGAGAGGAGGCATCGCGGACGAGAGAAAGTTTTGACGCGCGTGATGCTGAAAATTTTGTCTCTACCAGCTTTGTTTGGCTGGCGAGGAGACAGCGGGAGCGGGAGACGCGAAGAGTGCTTGTTGTTGGGGAGAGGGCTACGCGATGGTTTTTGTCGTCTGGTCTGACTTGTACCGCTTGAGAGCGAACAGGATCTTGCCCGTCCATCTGCCCAGGTTGCTCAGTCCATCGACATCAACTGTCTCCTGCCCGAAAGGGTACAGGTGCGATCATTGAACCATGCCGCCTTCAAATATCAGGCGTTTCCACTTTTGCGTGTGTACGATATATAGAAGATGCTTTTCGCCCTCCTGCCGCTCTTGTTGACATGATGTGAGACCCCTGAGACGGCTCAGGTGGGGATAGAGATGAGGTCCGAAGACAGCATCCTGGCTTTTATAGAGCGCTGGAACCCAGTTGTGAATGAGCTTTAGGTTCCGATCGAGGTTTCTCGGCCTTGCCGTGGAGCTCGCAGACTTGCTCCCAGCAGCTAGTCGTCTGGGACATTGTTCCGTTGCTGGTTGAATGCGCAGTACGAGCCCAATACGATGCGAAGGCAGTCATTGGTCACCATGCTGCTGGCCGAACGACGGAACAGGGCACCATGGCCTGCTTGATGGACGGTATATCGGCAGGGAGGCCAGCGGCGAGGTGACCACAATCTTGCGAGCTTTCCAGACCGCGTTCGCAATGTCCTGTAGCAAGGACTGGGCGCCTGGCTCGACGTGAGTGGTCGGCATTCTTCTCCAAGCATCATGCCGCACGTCACCGCGACGCCACTCGGCCGTATCTCTCGTCGCTGAGCCCCTGCTCGCAGCGGTTGGCGCCGACTTCGATGAGATTGGTATCATCCACTGCTTCCATTGCGTGGAACGGAACGGGCGACTTCCGCCTCTTGTCCTGTTAACCGCGGAACCGAGCCTCCATGGCTGTGTCTTCTGCAGCACGAGAGACTCAGCACTCTCTCAATGGTGAATTCGGGTCTGACAAGCAGGCGTGCTGGAAACCAGTTTTTCTTGATCTCGTCGTACGAGTCCTTAAATGCTCTCGGCGTATTGTTGCCGGTTGAAGACGAGCAGCAGCTACCTCTGGGGTATCCTGGGATGATACGCCACGCCGAAGGAACCGAGCAGAGCCACGCCGGATGCTCGTCAGTTGCTCCCTGTAGTATGGGCATCTTGGTGGGGTGTCGTGCTGGCCGTCTGGACGGTAAAGGGTTAAGCCACTGATTGATCAACCCCCTCCAACAGTTTTCGCACAGCATAGCAGTCGTCGCCAGAAAAGTGGCCGCACTGCAAGACTGTGTCAACCTCCCCTTGAAGACGTCGTCGTCCAACTGAATCAGGTCGGGTTGCTCCGAATGGCCAAGGGTTTTGACCCTGCGGAAGCAGATGCCGCAGGTAGCAGCCGGCTTGGGCGCTCTGCGAAGTGATGGAAAACAACCAGGTGATTATTTAGGTGTATATTTGGTGGGCGCGGCTGTGATGGTTCCACGCCCATTCGTGGGTGAAAGCCGTAGTTCGCGAAGAATGGCGAAAATCCCGTCGTCTCCGACACCGCGTTGTTGCTGCAAAGTCCGCCAGTGGTAGCCAGTCCACCCAATCGTCCTGTGCCCAGTCAATGAACAATCGGGGGTACTGCTCGAGCTCGGCGTTGATGCGTTCTGTTTGTCCGTTTGGAACCTGCACTCCCCGCAGGTCGAAAGGTCGAAATATTGTCTGGTTCGTCGCTCTCCTCAAACGGTCGGCGGTCCATCCCACCACGGTTGGCTCTCGGACGGCGGTTAATAACGCCCCCTGGCCCTCGGGTTGCGGTTGGGCCTGCCGCGGTTTACCCTGTTCGCCGCAAGCTAGCGACGCCGTTCGCCGGCGTCCGAAATGGGTTGAATTGCAGGACCAGGTCCTGGATTCGCTGCCGGGCCGCCGTTGTCGTCCGACTCATCGCCGGATTCTTCTGCCGGAAGCCGGACAGTGCGCTGCACGGCCTTGTCCCGCCATTTGCAGTTGCCACAGCAACCGTCGAAATGGCCCTTGGCCCGGATAAACTCCACCAAGGGGGCTCTCATGTTCTCGGCGCATTGTATGCAAACCTTTCCCGCCGTGCCCCTGCTCTGAATTAGGATGGCATTGATACAGCCGTGTGGGTAATAACCTTCTCACGGTTGACGCGTCCCTCGTACGCATCGACAGTTGATGGGGGCTTCGCGAGACGGCGCTTCTCCACTGGACGTCGTTCTGGCATATAAGGCACCTTATCTTCACTGTGTTGTTGACCCACTGTTCTAAGCGCTCCAGGCCCGGCTGCGAGGGCAAATCCCAACGCACGCTCACATAGCGAAACACAAGCGTGGTGATATTTGGCGCTGCGCGGACAAGGCTTCAAGGCGCCAATCGGATGCCATAATAGTCGTATTCTGAGAACGGTATCTTGAGCGCTTTCTTCAGTGGCTTCGGCCACATCCTTGCCTCTGGGTTCGATAGCGCTTTGAGCACTTCCTGCAGAAACGCTGAATCACGGTACGCATCCGCGATCAAGTCATCAGTGTGACGGCTCGTGTCAATCTGGAACAGTCGGAGTTCTTCCATCTCGCCGGAGGTAGTTGGGTCGAATCACCCCAGATGGATCCGAGACAACGACGAAGGATTTAAAAAAAAAAACAGCTCGAACGGCTTCGTAAAAGCACACAAGTCATGGAAAAGGTCGCTAACCAGTTGTTCTCCGTGGCAGGCATTGCACTTCTGTGGCTTCTTCCTACCCTCTTCGGTCATGGTTGGCGGGAGAGCGAGCCATGTATGCTTGTCAACCTCTGTATTAACATAGAGTGTTCGGCGCATTATATGCCCACACTGCTCGAAGCGTAGCTGCTCTCTGCAGTATGGGCATCTTGGTGGTGTGTTGTGTTGGCCGTCTGGGCGGTGATGCCACTGTTTGACCAACTCCCTCCAACAATCTTCGCATAGTATATGCCCGCATACCAGCAGGATTGCTTTTTTATCGTTGTTTATCTCGCCGTTGTCCATCTCGTCCCAATGCGTTAGGAGTGCCGAAAATCTGCCGCGCGCATGGGAGGAACAAGCAAACAGCCCCAACAAGGTCTTGGGGCGTTGGGATCCTGTTGAATACCTAAGAAAACAAGACGAGAATACATCTGTATGGTGCAAATATACGAAGAGACAGATTGAGACGCAGGACGAACAGGAATGCTGAAAATCGGTCATACAAATGGCACGTCTCGGTGGAGATGGAAAGGCTTGAGATCGGGCAAGGTGAGGTTTTCGCTTTGTTGACGGCTGCGGTGATTTTGGCGTCGAGGTTGGCGAGCGCGTTGCCAACGTGGCCAGAATTCCCCTCGAAAATGCTTAACAATACGCTTTGTAACTTCCGCGAAGATACAGTTGTCGTCAAAGACCCGGGAAATCCATAGCCAAATAATAAGCTCATTTTGACCGAATGCGGTCTTGGATGAGGCTTGGAGGTCCTTGATCCATTTTCTGGCGCGTGGGTAGAGATTCTCGAGATCGTCCTTCATGGCGCGCTTCATGAGTGCGCCCTTGATCTGATCGGCGAGCGAGCGAACTTCCTCAAGATTGACCGTGTCTTGGTCAGCAGCGACCTTTCTAGGTCATCAGGGTTGACGCCAGCGATGTCATTGGTTTTGCGCGGGTGCTTGCCCGACGACGTTGTTTGCCGTCGGAAAGGAGTTCATAAAGAGTGTATTCCGAGCGCTCCTATTATGGTGCCATTTGCGACACTATTCGGGTCACACCGCGATCCAGTGCCGTCATGGGCTCAAGGGTCTTCATCACATCCTCGAAGTTGGACCCATGCGGGCCCAGCGTGATTGGGAAGATATTATTCTGACTCGCATGCTCACGTCTCGGCAATGCAACAATCTGGAGATGCACGCCCATGACCGACTTGTGCATGACGCGGTCAGCGCGAAGCCATCTGGGAAGATGAGCAATGGGGCCGAGAGGATCTTCATGCTGGTTGGGCCGGGCGCAAAGATGCCGACGAAGGTGTCACGGCCGAAAGTACGTATCTCGAGGTAACCAAGTATAGGCGATACCTTGTAGGGTGGTAGGATATACGAATTTGCTTTGTGAATGACGGACGAATCGTGATCGCGCTGATCTCTAGGCTAGGCTCCGGGTTATCCTCGAACGAGCAGTGGGAGCCAAAAGAAAAGTCGAAATCCATCTGGACTCGATATCGCACCATTGTCGAGCAACCAACGCTTCTCTCGCTGTAAAGAAGCTCAAGCTTAACATGGAGCTTGGGCGAATGCGAGCGAGAGGAGGGCCGGAAAGGACCTTGCCAACTATAACCGGCTCAAGTAGTCACCTTCCCATGCACGGTCTGCTTCAGCGGGATGAACGTCAGCAACAGCACAACTCAAAGCTTGGTGGTATGTCGCCAGTAAACTTTACCTACCTGGCTGGGTCGTAGTATACGCCATCAATCGAAGGGTTGAGAGCCATGGACAGTCTAGCTAGAAGCCATTTTAGGCGGATCTTTCCCGGACTGCTTGTTGAGATCATTGATGTTGAAGGGCGAGTTGGCTATGTATCTGTCAGGCGATCTCGACCCCCTTTATATTGGGTAAAGAGGTCCTGCTGGACTCGGGAAGAGGCGAATGATGTTTGTGAGGTCAGGGGTAGAGTTGATACAGAGGACGGCATTCCAGAACTCGTCCGTGACGACAGGGCGTTTCTTTCCCACAATGGCTCCTTCAGCACGCTGTTCTGCTCGTACTGCGACTCCTCATTTTCACTAAAGGGACCGAGACAAATTGCCCACCTGGCGGGGTGTTGAGCTTGATGTGTCGCCCCGTGACTGCTGATATCGCCGGGATGGAATTCGTCAACCGTGACATCACTGTCACCGTCCTGGTCCCTGGGGGGAAAGCCGTCGAGAGGCCATCGCCACAGAAAGACGGGACCGTCGGCCCCTGAAGACTGTCGGACCCATGAAGACGGTCGGACCCATGAAGACGGTCGGACCCATGAAGACTGTTCAACCCCATGAAGACGGTTCGGCCCCATCTAGACCGTCAGGCCAGGCGTCATGGCCACCGTTCGGCCCCATATAGACCGTGATGTGCCGATCCGCTGGAGCCTCTGCGCCCCGGATCTTCCACCCATCTCGCGTCCACGCAGTCTCTCTGAGTCTGGCCCGTTATATTGGCGGGCATGGGCCTCGGGTAGGTGAAGCACATCCCATGCCACTGCAAATCCACGGTGCCTTGCGGGACAGGGTACCTGGTACTTTCTGTCGAGCCATGCAAATACACGGCCCGCCTCGACGGAGACGGGGAGAGCCAGCCCACAACCGCGCGTCCTAGACGCAGGTGGAGTGGTCGTCCCGGCGTTGGGCGCATGACGCACCACGACCAGGGAAGCGGCAGCGAATGTCGTCTGGGTTGTGCCTGGGGCTGCTCCTGTTGCTCAGGAGCCGGCGCAGTTCGCTGCTGTACGGCAGCAGGCTCGGCGATAGGTCTCAGAAAGTAGCCACGCCCAGGACTGAACTGTAGATCACCGCCTTTGCCGGAGAGCAACTTACTCACGCAGGGGAGGCAAAAAGAACGAATGCTCCTCCGAAAGCAGGTCGAACTCGTCGCGTCAAAGTCGTCTTCGAAGACGAAACCACCCTTTGCGGTCAACGAGCACAAGAATGAGGGGAGGGTGGTGTCACGGTGTCGCTGCCACATCGATCCAGGATGCCGAGATACCGATTTGCGACCCCCTGCTCCATTGCAGAACGAAGCATCGGATCGTCAAGTCTCATGCGCTTGACTACTGACCGGCCATGCGGCCGAATTGGTGGTATAATCATTCATATATAACAACCTAGATTGATGCAAGGCATGCAGTTGTTGGGTATGCCTTCTATTGTATGTGGTTGCGCAGAGGAGGAAAAAGCAGTGTAGGCATCCCAGGCCCAGGTTGGGGGAGGAGATGGAAGATATGCTCTGGGAGTGACGGCTCTCCATGGCGTGTGCGGTGATGTGATCAACCAGTCCCGTCTTGAGCAGGATATCTCTGTAGGGCTTCGTCTCTCCGATGGCGAGCATGCAGTTAGCCTTGCCTTTATGGTTGTGCCGGGACGCCTCACAAACTGCTGGCCCAACATTGAGCAGTGGATGGTTGTAGATTGTGGTGGTTTGAGAAAGAACAATCGTTTGCCAGCAACATGCAATGTGTCATCATATATATATGTATAATGAGTCTCGTCAGACCGCTGTGACCTAGCGGTGTTGCTCGCCGAGATACCCTTAACGAACAGGGGAAGTTGATGCGTTGTATCCACGGGAACGAGCCTGCAATTACGCAATCCTGTCAAGCTATCACCATCCATTATGCTCAATTTGACAGAATGAGACAAAGAACAGTGCTTGAGGATGTGAGAACTCACAAACGCTAACAGTCCATGCCTCCCGAATGCCGTTTCATGAAGGCCCATGCCCTCAGCTGCATCAAACCACTCTCACAGCAGAGGATGCCAAACAGCAGCCCAAAGAGAAGGCAATTGAGCATGGAAGCAAACATATTGCGCAACCAACAGACCGCTCTTTAGCTGCCCAACATTGAGAGGGATGAGAAAATACAGCTCAGATCAGAGCAGCCCATCCAATGTAAAGCAACTCGCCAGCTTGCACCGTGCATGCATCCTCCCGTGAGCAGATCGAGTCTCCAGCAAAGTCTGAAAGAGTCAAAACCAGCAGCAGCATTTGCTAACATTTGATGATGCAGAGATCCGTCGGCAAAATACACCTGAAAGAACAAGCACAGCAAGAAAACACACAACCTGATCCATGAAGCTTTCAAACGGCCAGCTGGGCGCTGGTTCTCAACAATTATTACATCTCAAGCAAGTCCGCCTCAGTGAAAGACTAGATCGAATTTTCATTGCTCACATAAACCGTAAGATCCGAGAAGCCATAATGATCAAGATTATCCCTCATCTCAGTCGACTGGTCCATGGTGATATCGAAATGATCAACCATTCTGCAAGCGGAGGGCGGGAAGGATACATAGCAAAGATTGGAATAGAAGAATAGAAGTAGCCAACTAGCTAGTGAGGCATAATAAATAGTAGGCAATCCAATCAGGCGTCCTTTGAGAGTTGGGGTAGCAGAGCTCAAAAACGCCGGAGACGTTGACAAACAGACCCTAGGTCCTTCTCTTCTCCGCTGAAGAAAGCTCCCCGCAAAGATGGTATAGGCATGAAACATCCAAAAAACCAACCGTTCCACATCACTAAAAGCAATATAGTGTAAAATCCAGGGCTTCATTTTCCATGCATCAATCCCACTCAGCGAGAGTTCCCCAGGGCGCTGATCCTCGCACCCGACGGACGGTGAATCAGACTCTCGGGGTGCTTACCCACGACCCCCGGTTCCTGGTGCGGGTGGGGGTGGGGGATGGGGTTGGCCTCGGACTCGGAACGGTCACCGGAGAGGACATCGTGGTCCTCGTCGTCCTCGACAATCTTCGTAGGGATGTCGTGTCCCAGTCCTCCTCCGATACCGTACTGCTGGGAGGACCGCTCAGGGGTCGTGGCCGTGCTAGCGATAGACATGCTAGTGCTGCTGCGGTTGGGAATGAGATCCGGTGTGGGTGGGATGCTAGAGATGCGACCGCTGCTCGGTCGGAGACGGGCGCTATCGTCACCGACATCGGACGTCGCCGCCGAGACGGTCCCGTCGTCACTGGGTGCGATTGAGAGAGAACTCCCTCGGCGACTTTTCGATAACTCCCGAGCACGGGAGGCCGGAGATTCCGACCTCCCAAGCTCGGCGTCCTGGGCAAGTTGTAGGCCTTCAACAGCGGCCTGGCACTGTTCCGCAATGTTGCGGATAATGTGGGCGATAGCATCCGTCTTATCCTTGAGATGACGGTCCGCCACGTCGATGAAGGTCTGAGTAGACAGGCGCCTGCTCGCAAGCGTGAGGTTCTTGATGAACCGTGCGTCGTCCTTGTCCTCGGAACCTTCTAAAAGTGGGTCAGAAGTGCATATTTGCCAAAGCTTCTGGGATGGAGATTTCTTACCCAAAGCAGCAGCTTCGGCCTCCTCTTGGGCAGCAAAGCCAGCCTCAATCTCGGCAGCGAGCTCGTCGGGGGACGTCAGCGTCTTGACGAGATGTTCCATGTGATGGTGTTGGCCAGAGATCAAGCTGCGCAGATGCAGCACAACCCTCCGAGCTTCGTCGCGTTGCCGGGCGATGGTCGCATTGGTGTGCTGAAGCGCGCTGAGCTCCTTCCTATTCCTCTTGCGTTCCCGCTCAAGCTCCTCGGCAATTTCTTGCTGTAGAACAAGCGCCTCGAGAGCATCGTCACGCTGTTTCTCAGTGCCGGCAAGACGGACCGAAAGTCTAGCAGCGTCGTCCTTTTGTTGATCGATGAGACCTGCCAGGCGGCGATTCTCGCGCTTGTGGTTCTCGATCTTGACTTTGAGATCCTGTGTTTCTTTGGTGAGAGTGTCTGCAAAGGCTTGGAATTTGAGGAACTGCATCTCCGTATCAGCGAATCTGGGCTTGCCTTCAAGTAGGGCTAATGTCGCTCACCTGTTGCTTCCAGCTTTCAAGCTCCTCAATGAGATAGTTGTTCCGCTTGGTAACTTTGTTGAGCTCTGTGTCCATACGCCCTTTCAGGTTGATGAAGTCCTGCCAAGCCTCCAGAGCATCTCGCGAATACTGATTCCGCTCTCGGACAATCTCGTTCAGATGCCTCATCGACACCTTGGTCATCAGGGGCTTCTTGACCGATCCGCCAAAGACAGCCTTCAGGCCAGTGTTGCGACCCTGCGATATGTAAGCATCTTGCAGACGCACAATCAAGTGACCGAGAGACTCACCATTTTCTCGCAGACATGGTCCATGACCGCCATTACGGCATCCTGGTTCCACCAGTCGGGATCCTGAATGGACTCAACCTCACCACGCATAACGATGATTTGACCGGCGGGGACTAACTTTCCGCCGCCGTATGCGGAGCGCAAATGCTGAGGTACACCGGACGGCGTGACATCGCCGTTGAGGGCTTGGGTGAGCCTGGTTACGAACTTGTTGCGCTGGCCAGGTGAGAGCGCAGTGGGCGGATTGTTCGTGAGGACAAAGTTGCGGTCGAGATCGACCACCAAAGCATCCGCGGGCGCGGTGAAGAGCGATCTGCACTCGGCCGTAATGCCAAGGATATATGGACCCGGTTCCTCTACGAGGTCCTTGGCATGTCGTGCGTGCACTATCGGGACGTACAAGCCGCTCCATTCGTAGACACGAACGCAAAACCGCACCGTCTCGGCCGCCATGGTCAGCATCGCCGGATAATGGCTGACAAAGATGATGCGGCGCGTAGGCGAGATGGCCGCTTCGATGACGCCGACAATATTAGGAATCGAAAGACAACAGAACAGGGGCCACATGGCAAAATTCTGGAAGCCCGTAGGCGAGGAGGGGAACTGGTAGCAGAGCGCATAGTCCTTCATGTCGATGCGGACCAAGTCGTTCAGGCGAGGTGCAGGGAAGCTCAGGATGCGGGATACCTCCTCGGCGTGGAAGAGGTTCGTAGCCTTGTTCCAGTGGATCCACATGCCGCGTAAATAATCACCGAGCAAGTTATAGAGAGGGTATCGTGAGAGGAAAGAAAGGCAGTAGGGAATCCAGTACTGCTCATCCGGATTGTCGTAGAAGTCCGGCTCGGTCCGTTTCCTGAGCTCCCGGATAGTCTCGGCTCGCTTCTCATCAGCGCGCGACCAGACGCGGAGGCAGATCCCGTAGAGGGTATGAGACGAGTCCTGTTGGAGCACAAAAGCGTGGTGAACGCAGTGGGGTTGGCTTCTACCGGTACAAATCTCCACATCATGGGGGAAACAAGCCTGTGAAAAAGTCAGTGGATGTGAGCCTGCGAGACGAATGTGATCCCATCCAAGCCGTGACATACCCTCATAGCAGCGTGCAGAGCCCGGGCAATCTCATTGTCCTGCTCCAACCTTGGGCTACTTCCCAGGATCTCGGGAAGCCAAAACTGGCCGACAGCACCCTTCATGTGGCTAATTTTCCCTTGCGCAGGTGCCGGAGCCTTGACCCATTGCGACGGCTCACGGCCGACGCCGCACACCATGTAAGCATGAGTGAGGGTCTTGGGAGTCCGTTGCTGGGGCTTGATGTTTAACGTCGACGGAATCGGTTGCGTGATGCGGGAGTGGAGGGACGACGTCCGGCTGGGAATAATAAGGTTCGCATCGGCCTGATCACGCGTGACAGGGCGGCCATCTCGGTCGCCCGTTCGCGGACGTGTAAAGGACGGATGGGCGGTAAGAGACGGCGCCATTGTGGACGGAGTCTGGATGCTACCCGGCTATCCACAGACACGAAGGCCTTCGGGTGGGTTTGGGTTTAGGACAGCAGGTCGATCCCGTGCTGTGTCAGATGGTGACTTGGGACGGTGCGTGGCAACTCAGTAGGCACAGCCGCGTGTGCGTTGATCGACCAGTCTAGCTGGTCGGGGAAAACGGGTGCCAGCGTATTGAGACGTGTTTCAACTCGGTGTCGACGATGAAAAAGATGGAGTAACAGTCTGCACAAAGCAAAGGGGCCCGAGAGCAAGCACTGGGAAGCCTGCTGATACAGAGCCCGGTGGCGCGGGTGAGACGGGGACGGCCTCGTACAGACTTGCTGTGAAGCTCTCGTCAAGTCTCCCGCACACTCCTCTACTGGGGAGAGGCCCTGGAAAGGGAAAGGGGGCGAAACACTCGAGGATGGGAAGAGCTAGTGGAGTGTAAAACGAGAGGCGGGAAGAAAAGGAAAGAAGGACTGCGAAGGCGTGTGGAAAGAGCTATGGGGAAGGACCGAGCACCGTGAGGAGCGAAGGCCACAGCCAACAGCCAAAAGAAGCAAGAACGTGACGGGATGAGAAAAATGGAGCAATGAGGGCAATTGAGGAGTGCCTTGCTCAGTGGGATGGATAGGTTCGTGTGGCCTCAACACTAACGTTCCCCTTCACTGATGAGCCTCCGAGGACCCCCAAAGAAAAAACACAAGCTGCAGCACCTCCTTGCAGACAGAGAAAGGAGCTCTGGGCAATCGGGGCCAGCGACGGCGAATTGGGAAATAAGGTGGAGGCACTAGCCACGCTGAAATCTGCAGCTAGGGAGACCTAGCAAGGGGTGTTCGCCAGGGGCTCCGCTTGCCAAGACAATCAATTCATTTCGGCACGTGGTACCCGGTACTTTTTTGTGCTTTGCCCCTGACTGCAGAGCAACACAAATTCGATGATTGCAAACCGATCGAATGGGTCTGAGCACAACTTTACCACAAGTCACTGGTACAGCTCCGCAATGATGCGAACCCCTGAACGCTGTCTCCGAAAGAACTTGAGGGCCATCCTCTTGCTTCGTTTATTAGCCAACCTCTCCATCCGTGTGGATTGTGTGCAGCAGCTCCTCGCTCCCTGGCTGTCCTAGGGCTGGCTGCGTCTTGAAGCATGCAGGAAGTCGGCTTCGCAGAGATTTGCGCCTCTCTCGGAAAACCGCTTGCACCTGATCGAGCGGTGCCACGGTGCAGTTCAGAATGCTGAACATTGATCGAGATCACGTACATTACATGTACTGTGCAGTAGTACAAGGGACGGCAGGAAATTCCAAGTTCGGCTAGCGACTGTTTGCATGGTAGCATCCGAGAACGCCGAATGCGTTGCGAGAGCGAAAGGAACTCTGATGATCATCGCTGATCCGTTTTGTGTCAAGGGCACAACACGACGTTCCCGAGAACCATCAACTCATCTCATAAACGCTTTATTCGTAGCTATAGCGCATTATTTCTGGTCCAGTGATCCGGTCACCTGAATTGTCCGGGCTCGAGTTGCGCTCATTAACTTCTTTCACCCACAGCCATATATATCTTCGACAAGCCAACATGTCCCAAACATCGATCCGAGCAAGCGGGACACAGGGGCCTGTTATGAAATCCGCCGCAGGGCCGAGGCCGTGTTTGGACAGGCCACATACTGTACAGTGCATCTCAGCTCTGTTCAAAGACATCCAAGTCGCCGCTGAATAGCATTACGATCCTATTCATCCTCTTCCAGAGTATCCGTAAATCCATAAGAGAACCTAGGGAATACGAGGGATGTGTTACATAAATATAATAACACGAATTACCGTGAGCGTGGAATGGAGTATTTAGTGCCGGGTCCGGGCAGATAGTGCTGTCGTCTTCCCCGCGTTGTGCCTTGCTGGGGCACGACACTGTGAAACCGATGCAGAGTCAAAGTTGCGGCTGTCGGGTTGATGCAGCCTCTGGCGAAAACGTTCGAACGATGCGGTTGCTTCCAGCCACGCTTTGACCCGACCTTGCCGCTGTTTTGACCGTCGATTGGACAACCTCAGTTATCGGGACCTGTTGGAAGTGCAACGTTATGCCATTGAGCTAAAAACTTGGGCGCCCACAATTTCTTGTGCACTTCAGCTTTTCTAACAGGACCCTGGGCCCCGGAAGCCGGCAGCACAAACGACGGGAGCAAAAGAATGAAGCGTTGGTCTTTCGGTCAAATTTTGCCAACATAACGTTGGCTGCAAACAGTTTTTTGATTGACAAAACGCCCCTTACGATGATGAGCACGCCAGGGAGTTGGCGAAGCATGAAATTGGCGCAATGTTTCGGGAGTTCCCATCACCGTCGTAATCACAACCCTGCGGTACATACATATACGAGTAATTACTCCGTACACTATGACCGTTACAGTAACCATTTGTTACTTTATCATAGAGAAAAGAAAGAATATCCCTTCGTCTTGTGTGTAACGATAATTGTACATGCAGTACTGTAGATGATATAGGCAGATCTGAAGGGACGAGCAACTGGTCAAGCAACTAAACGTAGACAGTCTACGCGTGTAGGCCTTGTCGGCTGTTAGCCTCATGACTTGGCTATGATGGTAGCGGAGAGAGTCTACCTATACATATAGCGAGAGGAAGTCGTTTTCGTTTTCCACGATGTCTTCTAAGCTCTAACCCACCCCCACTTGTCCCACGAGCGGGACAGGAACGGAAGCCATGGGGTTTGGATAGTCAGGCCTCGACCGCTTTTTGGACACTGGACGAATATTGCAGCAGGTTTCCATGTTATCCGCAGCAATTATCCGCACTGCACAGCAACACCATTGAAAACACCATAAAGTACGGGACGGATAAGGCGTAGTCATACCCTTGCGGAACCCCATAAGTACAACAGATTTGTTAGAATGTCTAGGGTCAGTCGTAAGTCAACGTCATGTTGCTGCCCGGGTATGCAGTTGAAAGAAAGAAAGCCGTCCAAAATAACGTTAGCAGGCGGGTCATAATGAAATCATTGTGAGAGATTCGGCGGCCAGACCCAAGTCAAGACAGAGAGAGAGCTCTGTTTCCAGGTGAAACATGCAATGCACAATGAAGGGTGGAGTCGGTGGCCGGCCGGCAAGCTTGTGGTGGGGCAACTTGGGAGCTGTCCCCACCAAAATCTTGCGATAAGGCTTATCAACAAGTTCATCCAAGAAATCGACGCCTGTTTCTCTCTGTGGGATGTATTCATTGCGAGCACCTCGGCGGCGCCGAGATTTAATTGAACCAAGCTACCAATCTTGAGCAATCAAGTCATCATGTCCGGCACGGTGCTCAGCACGCTCTGCAGCATTTGCCATTCCCAGCCGCCAAAATACAAGTGTCCGCGGTGCGGGGCGCGCACATGTTCAGTGCCATGCATCCAAAAGCACAAGGCGCGTGCGGACTGCGACGGCGTGCGAAACCCAAGAGCCTTTATCCCCCTAAATCGCCTCCGCACCGACGCCGGCATAGACCATGATTTCAACTTTATATCATCCATTGAGCGCGCCCGCCAGAGAGCCGAGAAAGACGTGGTCGAAATCCGGCAGTTACTGAGCGAGAAGGAGCTGCGGCCAGCCAACGAGGAGAAGCAGTTCCGCAAGGTATGGCATGGCGATGAGCTGCACCACATCCCGGTGCAGGTTCCACCCAATGCCAAACATGGCCAGCCCCATAAACCCCATGCAAGTCCGGCTGTTATCGACAGCTTCGACAAGCACGTGCGCCGGCGGCTGAGGTTTCTCGACATCCAGGCCGTCGCCATGCCAAGAGGGATGACGAGACAGAAAGAGAACAAGACCGCCTGGAACAGAAGAACCCAAACGATCAACTGGCAGGTCGAGTGGCTCGTCTTCAACCCTCCCGGACCGGACTTTCCCGTCGAGCCCCAACAGCCCCTCCGCGTCCTCTGCAAAAGCCTCGAGGGCAGACCCCTTCACAGTGCCTTAGCATCCGCTCTCGAATGGCACCGTGGCCAGCGACAGCGCCAACAACATGACACCGTCAACAACGACCCCAACATCAACGAGAACAACGCCGACGAGGCAGCATTCCCCCCCAAGAAGAGACTCAAACCCCAAAGACCGCCCCAGACGCAAGACCCAACGACCACCGGCTGGCCCGCAACACCATACACAATGCAGTCCTCACTCTCAGTCAACGCGGGAGGCGGCGGCGGAACCGCTACATGGAACAGAATGACCACTCTGCCTTCCCAACCAACAACGCTAGAAGACGACCTCGTGGCGTGGCAATTCTTCTTGCTCAAAGCCAGCCGAATGCCGACTTCGTCTTCCAACTCCAATCGCAATAGCAGCAACAACAACAAGAACAATTTGAGAACCCTCATCCCGCTCGCCTCAACAGACACCCTGACGAGTGCCCTGAGCGGGCGCACCGTGATCGAATTCCCCACGTTGATCGTCCTGCCGCCCGGCCTGTCATTACCGGACGGCTACGAGCTAGCTTCCGGGTCCGAGCGGAGAACACCGAGAGGGAGGAACGACGGTCATGGCACCAGTATCAAAAACTACATACAACCTGGGAGCGGGCAGAGGAATGGCAAGAGGCCTCTTCAAGCGGAAACTGAAAACGGTGCTGAAGGGGGCTCTAAGGGAAGAGGTGGGTATAAGGGGGGAGGGAACAAGCGAGTCAGGTTTGAGCCGGGACGGGAGAAGCCCGCTGCTCCGGTTGTCAATGGTGTTGAGGATGCTGAGAGTGAGGGTGAGGAAGGGGAGGTGGATAGTGATGGGGACGACGTGACCATGAGCGAGGCTGCTGTAGATGGGGATGGGTTGAGCGGGAGTGAAAGTGTTAGCGACAGCGATAATGAGAGTGACAGCGAGAGTGGTCCAAGTGAGGAGGAGAGCGGGGCGGTCCCGGTCGAGGCAGGGAGCAAATCCCTGGGTGGTCTGGTTGACTATAGCTCGGAGGAGGAGTCTGACTAGCTTGATCGGTGACAAGTTTCTTAGATGGAAACTAGACGAAAGCTTCATAGCTTTATACTATTATGTAATAATGAGGGCTAGGTACTCTCCAACTCAACCCTCTTCGATAGTAAGGACCACAAACAAAGTCAGGGAGAGTGTGTTCGTCTACGTGACAACCCCAGTTTTACTACTAAGTCAACAAACTAGAAACCACATTTAGCCCCATGTCAAGAGTGCACGGTAAGTGCCGTCAGGGAGATCATACCTATGCAATCCTGAACGGCCCAGGTGTAGGGGATGCCATGTTGCGTCCCTGAGTGAGTCCCTTGCCGGTTCATTTAGACACAAAGACCCTGCGGCTGAAAGTTCTCCTCCCTTTATCCGACTCGTCTGTAATGGGATCATCAAGAAGCCGCCAAAGAGCATACTAGTGCCAACTCTGGCTGCTCGGTGAGGTACTACTAAGGTAGTAGCTGTTGAAGGCGTACCTTGGCTTGTAGGTTGGACTGGGCAAGGGCTAGACTCGACTATCCTTGTTCCTAAACTTTTCAAGCAGTACTTACAGAAAGCATGCTTGAGCTGTGTTCTTGCACGTTTATTCGCCGACTTGATATGCACCATCTTGCGTCCACTCAATCTCATACTCATTACTGGCTGTGTCAGAACTGCACTGTCCAGAAGCTTGGGAGGTCTTAGGGTACTTACCAATTCTATGTAGTATTGCGAATATCAGTACAGCTCATACGAAGTAAAGACCTGACGCCTCCAGTATCATAAAAACATTCAGGGAACCTCAAGTAGTGCCTGGTGATATGGGAAAGGAGCAGTGCTTAGTAGTTCAAGGACCAAGGCACATGTTGGAGTACGAACAGTTGAGGAGAACAACGCTTGGTATCGCCGGTTGGTCTTAATCTTTACTATATGTGTAGAAAAAGGAAGCGTACGAAGCTTGACGAGCACGACGCACCAGTACATCCATGGATGTCCCTCCCCCATCGCTGCTTCCAGCATTTTGCTCGCCACGCCACTGCTGTCCTAGATCACTCCAGGAGCTAAGGAGGTATTTTGGGGAAACTGTGACTTGGTACGTAGGTACCTGGTGGTTTGCAAAGCACTTTTAGACAAACTGGAGGGAAGTCTGTCGCACTTACCGACTGGAGGCACATCTCAAGGAAGGAGAGGGAGGTAAGCGCCAGAAGCTTAATAACGGCAATTGTAGTCCACCGATCTCCAGATCCTCAGCACTCACGTATACTGTAAGTACATAGGTAACGTAGCAAACTGCGATAATCCAATATGAAATGGTCAGGCCCATGAGCTTCCAGCCTTGGACAAAATTAAAGCCCCTGAGCCCCTGACGATCACTTATTTGTTCGCTCAAGAATCTGCGAAAAAATGCAGAAGTCGCATTTCCCCGTCGGCTTAGACTTCCTAGCAATCTCGACGTAAGTGGTAGGAGGCGTTCGGTACCAGCTGCAAGTCCTAGGTGGCTTCCAGATTTAAAGACATGTTGCAAGCTGCACCTTCCCTCAACGTTGCTCGCCACAAGGACACGAAGCCCTTCAAATGTGACCAACTTTCAGTCTTCACTGTCCATGCTATCCTTCTTCTACCTCCCTTCTCTCCTTTTCATTGGACACTCGTCGCCCCATCGCCCACGTCTGCCGGCGTCAACAATCGATATTGTTCAACCCGCATTGTGCTGCTCGGTCGGATTGAGTCCCAATGAATGGAGTTGGCCATTGCCTGATGACTGTGTTATGTAAGTGCTGTCTTCATCTGCTTTGGGACCTCCTGGGACTCTCATGTTCTTCAAGGGAGAGTGTCAGGGTAAGGTAGTTAGGTGTGGTACCGTGTGTTGCTAACCTAGCCGACAGCGTCATAACTTGACTTCCATCAGACATCAGGCTGTGTCTTGGGAAACCTGTGGAAAAACGAGCGTATCGGTAAGGAGCCCTCAACAACGAGTCTTTGAAGAGTTACACACCTGGTTTTACACAGGCGTGAACCCTGACGATGACCCTGTGGCTGACGAGGAGTCTAAGCCGGGAGCTCGGCATCCCTCTTTTGCTTGCGCCTGCCTAGATATCTAGTTGCGTCTAGGGTACAGAGACTGAGAGACTGAAGACCGGTTCGGGATACCCAGCCGTCAAGACAAACGAGGCCGGCTGCCTTCTTGCACAGAAGATAACCAACTGCGCGACAACGGATCTGTCTGTCGGCGCGGTGACGGGACAGAGGGAGGTCGCGGCTTCAACCTTCCTACCTTTCATTCTCGACCTACCCTTCAATTCTTTTACCATCAAGATCATACAGCGACAACAACAGCGACAACAACAGTGGCAACAACAGTGGCAACAACAGCGGCAACAACAACGGCAACAACAACGGCAACAACAGCAATAGCAATAGCAACAGGGTTGGAGAAGAAGTGGCTGGGGAAAGCCTGGGCAGTCGCCTGCTCGATGATCCCCGCCGTCCGCCCGACTCGAACATCCGGTGGCATTTTTGCCAGGCGGTCCTCACAAACATGAGAGGCATAGGAGAGCCTGCCCTGGCCGGTCCATCAGAAGAACCCTCTTTTTACCATCTTCATCCCCACCCAGCAGGTGAGAGTCTCTGACGGCCCAGCTGTCCCTGACATTCGCTCCTGGACTGTTCGAGGTGCTTCAGGCTGTCGCGCCCCCAGAAACTCCCGGATCCCCGGCTGCCTCGCGGTGGCAGCGTTCCCGGTTTACACTCAATTTGTACCGGTACCTATAGCACGCTCGGCTCTCTCCCCCCTCGTCACCATAGTGTACTGTACAATTTGCCTGACCATTAAGGCCGCGAGGGTAGAGAAGAAGGGATGCTCCTGGGGATGTTGTCCGGAGCCTCTTCGCAGATTTGATAGCCGGAAACCAGGTGAAGGCGTTGAAGATGGGAGTGGCGCTAAAAGGTCTCGAGTTCACAAACGAAGAATCGAGCCATGGAACTCTGTTGAGTAGGAGAGGGCTGTGTGCTACTATACCTACTCCGCCACCGCCCTACTCGACCCGTGGGGGGTGAAAGTAGGAAGGGGAACTTGACTTATATACGCAATGAAGTTGGTACAAATCCAAACTCCGTATTCAACTCCATCATCATAACCAATATCATACCCGTCCATGCTGTAGAGACACATGGCCTCTAACAGCCTTCTAGCTCTTCGTCCTTGTTCAGCCAATGTTATGTCATCCATGCTCTTTTCCTCTGCAAGTGTTCCTTAACCAAACGGTTGATCTCACTCAGGACGCAAGAATCCAAATAGGCAAAGGCCTCGGTGGCTAATAGACTTTTACGTTCAGCTCGCTTGTCTGAGTCGTCTGTTCGAGTTAGATTACCGCTTCATCGGCTTATACACTACTCCTTAGAAGAGTCACTTTGCTCTAACCTATGAATTGAAGAATTGGCTGATCTAGAGTTGACAATGATGATGCTATCATGGCGACGGGTTGAGATCTGCATGTTCCTTCTTGCAAACACAGTGAAAATCCGCTCGCTGAACGATTGTTATCTGTTGTTGACGGTAGACATACTGATAACCTTTTCCCGTAAGAAGGAGCTACCATTGCTCTCCTACCTGTCCAACAGTCCGACCTTACGCTCTTCAAGTTGCGTTCCTTTCCTTGTTGTCCTCGGAAGTCCTCTGCAAAACACATAAGTCACAATACTGATTTGACTGATGGACTCTTACGGTGAAGCCTCTACGAATAGACTGTCTTAAGTCAATGGAATGGTCGCTGTCCGGGTTGTGATCTAGAAGTAGGCGGATGATTTCGTCGACCACCTGCAGACAATAGCTCGCGGCGGCCAGGTCTCCGGACGGAGTGTCGGCAGGCAAGTTCGAAACCTCTTCTTTGAGTCGCTGTCGACGAGAATCCTCAAGATGTCTTAACACGCCTAAGGACCTACCCCTTATTCACTGTCCTGTGTGATTACATCATCAGACGGCAAGTCGTTGGATGCCGGATATGGCTAAATGTGATGTACATACAGTCATCGGGATCTGTTCGCTCCCCCCAAAGCAGAAAGTACCGTGACGGGTACGACGTCGGATGTAGCGCCGGGTCCTTTGTACGAGCCGAGAAAACTGACCAGAAAGGCACAATCTCCGCAATCTGGCTTTTTCGGCGGGAAGGTCGGCGGATGAGACTACCGGTATTCTAGCAACTGAAAGCACCGGCGGTGAGAACGGTGAGGTCAAGCTGAGCTACGGGTAGTTTTTTTGATGACACCATCCGTGGTGATGCAGTCTTTGTGCATCCGGGCCGAGACGTTCCACTGCCGTGTCCTAGGACGTTTTCATTACGTAGCTTGGGAGACCTTTTCGGTTTTCCTTTTCTCTGTTTGCTTCTTTTTCCGTTTTATTTCCCCCTGCCATCGGACGGTCCTACACCCAGAGCATGGTCAAGAGCCCCGTGCGATTGGATCTGGGCCCCCTGAATGAAGGCATGAATACGATGAATCTGCTGATAATGTAGAGGCATTCCGAGGCTGATGTGAAAAATAAAAATCCACTCGGCGCGCCAGTGGCAATCAATTCGGCACCGTGATCGAAGACCCTTTCGGCCTTTATATAAAATTTTCTTGCCTGTGCCGTACATCCGGGACGATACGACGGTACGACCTCATCGAAAGGGCTGAGGATCTCTGACATGTGAAAGCAAACGATGTCACACAGCCCTGATGATCGCATGGCCTGTGGGTCCAATGGAAGCGGGATCCGTGCTTTTTGGAGTGGGCCCTGGGTGGTTTTCTCCGATAGCTTAACCCTAACTTACACGACAGACAGATCAAACCTCAAGGAGCGTATCAAGACTCGCCAAACAGGTTCGGGGCCGCTGTAGTGTAATGTATATGACTTCAGAAGTACGAAGTAGTGTAGGAAGGAGGATTCCCATACGTATCAGTGTTCACCGACTCTTGTTATCAGTGCACACTGGCATTGGCCAATCTGTGAATCTGGTGTTGATCAGATCTGAACTTGATAAGCTGTGAAAGATAACGTTTTAGGCTCGTCGAGCAACCGCAACAACTACATTACGGTACGGATACAGCGCCTACCACACCGTCATTGATCCGAGCCCGCGGTAGTACTACCTTACACTAGTACTAAATATGTATTCAACAGTCACGACAGTATCAAAAAACGCAAACGGACATGGCGAGATCAGATGTTAGAATTCGTCATTGTTGATAGCCCTTCCTCGATTATCAGCAGCTGCTTGTTAAGTCATGCATCTGGATCCTGGATCCAAGCGTCTTAGTGCCTGTCATGACGGCCAAGCCTCCGCAATGGTCGAGCAGCGTCAATTCAATCGCATTCTTCATGCAACTTCCTAGAATTCAGGTTGATTCCAAGAACTAACGTCTAGGGCCAGCCACAGAAAGCACACCTTCTTTCATGTGTTCAGTTCCTCTTGGCCTGAGCCTGGCGAGTTAGGAGCGACCACGGAGCTCTGGGAGCATGGGAGCATGGGCCAGCTTTCACATGTCAGAGTTTCACAGCAGCGAGAGCTCGCGACCTGAGCAAGTGGGTCCAACGGCCCACTGACATAGGGGGTTAAATGGCTTGCAGGGAGAGCTTTGGGCCGTTTTGTTTGGCTGACGTTGATGGGAACCGCCTCCGTCACACCTTCCAGCCCATACAAGCACCCCACAGACGCATGCAGGACAGACCAGATGGCGATAAAGGCCATCGCGGCCGGACTGACTGCCAGTTGGCTGAGGTGACCGCATACGCGGCTTCCATGTATTAATCCGGATTTCTCTCGAGGCGTGGCGTCGCCGTTTCTGCATTTATTTTTGGTCGTGCCATCCCAATAAACATTCCGTTCCGTGCCCGCTCTGCTTGCATTCCAATCTTCCTCTCCCTTCCGACTCTTCTCCTCCCTTTTCATTCCCAAGGCTTCCGTCTGTCCAAGCTATAGCCTAAGCTTCCGCATCAATTACATCCACCAACTGAACTTAAACGAACGCTCCGAATACTCAACCAATTAAGGTACTCCCTTTTCACTTCTGGTGCAGTCGATATCTTCCCACCGGCACACACTGGCATACTGACATGTGAAAGAATTCCCACGATACGAAAACAAGATGGCCACTCAGACCAACCGTACTAGTGTGGTTAACGGCGAGTCGCCCTCGTCTGCCACCCTCCGTGTATGTCACCTTCCCATATGTGTATCTGGACAGCTCACTCATGCCCTGCCATAGCATCTCCTCACATATCCTGCCGTCCAGGATGGCGTCCGGAAGATCAACTCGATTCCCCTCATGGAGAAGTCGGTCCAATTGAGCAACTCGGCTTACCACACGCTGGCCGGCCCATTCATGCCATTGCTGTCCAAGCCGTACGCCTACGTGTCGCCATACGTCGAGCGCGCCGACAAGATTGGCGACCAGACCCTCTCCAAGGTGGAGGAGAAGTTTCCGGCGGTCAAGAAGCCTTCGAACGAGCTGTCGGCTGAGCTCATGGACGGAGCCAAGAAGGCTGCCTACCTGCCCGTGCAGATGAGCAGATCGGGTGTTGAGTTTGTCTTCCAGACGTACAACGAAGAGTACAACAAGGTTGGCGGCGCTTCTGCAGTTGCCCACAGCAAGGCGGCCGTCTTGACAGCCGTCAGGACTGCCCTGACCATGCTTGAGCTTAGCAGGCAGGCACTCATGAGCGCCCGCGAGTTCCTGGAGCAACAATCACAGGACATGTCGGAGGACATGAAGGATAAAGCGCAGGGCATGAAGGAGACGGCGCAGGGAATCAAGGACCAATCGAAGGACACTGCGCAGGGAATGAAGAGAGAAGCTAAGAAGATCCCGGCGGCTGCTGAGGCTAAGGGCATCAAGGCTTAGGGGCCCGAGGACGAAGAGTGTTATTACGTGACTGCGTCAAGGTTGAGCAGGGTTCTCCGGCTCCGCGGCCATGATAGCCCGCCCCTGCGAGGGATGCGCCGCATCCGGGCCAGTCAGCAGAGGATGTGGGAAGCGAATAGGACATGAAAACTCCGTTCATTCTTTCTGAAGTGGCGATTATAGGTTTCATTTGTTTTGGGATGGAGCTTACATTCTGTTCGGAAAGTTGGGGTCGGTCGTGATGGGAAATAATCAGCGAATAGACATACTGTACTGTAGTCCAAACGCAGCTGCTCGGCTGTGAGCACAGCGGTGGCATGTCCTGGTTTCTAATCACGAGTGACAAAGACTTGAAGCAGCCGAGTAAAGATAATGAACTGTCCTCTTTCCATTCTACATTGCGCCAGCGCATGAATCAGCTATCACTCAGCCCATGTAAACTGTTCCTAGCGGATCCTCAACTACTGAGCAGTGGTGTAAGCAAGCTAAGGTATGCTAACCAATGAGGGAACCTACAGATCATCTCGGCAACAGCACCCGCCAATGTGCAATCAAGCGGGATGATGTGACAGCAGATGCCATGAGGAGGATTGCTTACATGATGCGACTGGCTGGACTGACTGGATGGTGAAGGACTGCAAGGTGGGCAGGCATGGGGTCACGTGGTCACATGACCCCACTTACGCGAATGCCCTACTTCCTACGCCCTACGCAGGGCTAGTGTAACCTTTCTCTTTTCCTTTCTCAAGCTTAGATTCTGCTATAGTAGTAGCAATCCTACTAGAACCTTCGTTTTCTATATACAAGATCACTATTCCATTATAATCTAAGCTTCAACCCAATTACCCATCGCCTAGAAAGGCTA